AGAAAGCGTACCTCAGAAAGCGTACCTCAGAAAGCGTACCTCAGAAAGCGTACCTCAGAAAGCGTACCTCAGAAAGCGTACCTCAGAAAGCGTACCTGGGTACGCGCCAAGACTCTGCATTAGGGGGGCACTGGGGGGTATAGAGGCACGTGGTAACGTTACCCAGGTAGGCGGACCCAAGTAGGCGGACCCAAGTAGGCGGACCCAAGTAGGCGGACCCAAGTAGGCGGACCCAAGTAGGCGGACCCAAGTAGGCGGACCTAAGTAGGCGGACATAGGTAGGCGGACCTGGGTATGTACTATAGGGGCCCTCCCCAGCCTTCAACGGAGCAGGGAAAAGTTCACCACCTAGGTCTGCCTACTTAGGTCTGCCTACTTGGGTCCACCCACCTAAGTCCGCTTACTCAGAGGATAACCCCTTACTCATCATGTTTTTTCTCTATTCGGGCGTTTGAGCCATCCTCTCCTCATTTGGACGCTTCTCTGTGTCGACTTTCTATTACGGGATCCTGGTGGCCTGCCCCTAGGTCGCTTCTTGGGTTGGTTTTTCCTTGGAAAGCCTACCTGGGTACGCGCCAAGACCATTCATTAGGAGGCACGTATTGAGGCACGTGGTTTATAGACGCAGGTAGGGAAATATAGGGGGGCGTACCTTAGAAAGCGTACCTGGGTGCGCGCCAAAATCCTTCATTGAGTATAGGTTGAGGCACGTGAGCAGAGGAATCTAAGCACGTGGACGCATCTAGATCCGGGCACCTAAATCGGCTCTAGAGCCCGAATTGATAGGGGCGGCGCCGATTTGGGTACCCCTTTGCCCCATCTGTAGCACCGATTGTAAATGTGGTGTGCTGACTCATCTGGCAGAGGGAGAATCAAAAGACAGAACCGACCAACATCCACAATCCGCCGTGGCTTATACTGTATCTCAGTGTCTTGATATCCATTCTCCTCTATTTGGCCGGCCGATTTACAGGTTCTGCTGACTCCCACGATGTACAACAATCTCGATCCATTGGCCTTCCATGATCAGTCAATAAGACTCGCCAAAAGTTACAGTGTAAAACTCATGTGAGCCCGGCCTTGTCGGAAAGATGAGAGCTGCCAAAAGAGATTCGTGTGCCTGGCTCAGTAACTCCACAAGGCCTATTTCTGGGAACTCTCGAGCAGTCAGCTTGGCCGCTGTCCCGGGGAATTCTTGAGCTCATATCGGCTCACCAGTACGGAATTGTACCTTCAGAGAATCCGAAACACTCAAATAAACACCGATTCATATTCACAGCCGTCCTTCCAAATGAATCGACTCTGAATCCTGTGACAAGATTCACACGCAGCCAACCACCGGGTTCAATGGAAAGTGGCCCAACGCGGTAATAGTGAACTCGGGAATAATGCCATCTGGATCAATCTAGAAAACAAGTTGGTCTTAGATCATGGTTAACCTCTAGCGACACCAATACGAATTCAAGTTGTAGGCTTTAGAAACGGTCTATTATCGATGTCAGCCCGTGTGCGGCACTAGAAGCAGGCGACGGCCCATAAAGCCCCAAATTGTCCAAACCCAGCGTCGAAGACGTGCGGTCGTTGACAACTTATTGTCGTCAGTAAGTCAGCTCTTTGCAGGGTAAGGACTAACCCCTTTGCAGTATTGTTCTGTCAGTTGCAAGAACCTCCACTGGACAACGCGTAAATCCGACTGCAAATATAACGTAGCATTATCCTCATGGTTTCCCAAATCTGCTCAGTGACGGCCGCGCTCCGGGTTTTCGTAAGCGCCGGTCCTCCTTATGACCCTTATTCCCGGATGTTCGTCCAGGAATACACAGACACATCCGAATTGTCAAAGCGCGGTGATCAGCTGAATGTCCGAAAGATATCGTAATTATGCATACGCGCTTCATGGTTCTTGAAGTGCATGTGTCCACGGAGGACGACAGCGGAGGCTTGACATTCGGGGTCCAGGCATGGGATGTCATCGTTTTCCTTAAATTGTTTGAGATGGAGTTCGACATGATCCCGAGTTTTGTACACTGTTGAGAAGTTGTGCAGTCGGACTTCGCATGGCTCTCTTGTGTTCCAGAAGCAGAAGACGCACTGCGTGGTTGTCGGAGCCTTGGGAAAGGGCTGACGGTCTGACGATTCAATTTTCGCTTGAACTCCCCATGTTCGATCCGGTTTGTGCCGCAGCGGGATGTCCTTCTTTTGGCACAAGGCGACGAGAGCGTTCGCGGTACGGATCCTGTGACAGAACTTGTCCTGATCACCAAGCTGGCAAGTATCCTGGCAGATAAGGTCCGCAACCACTCGCCGTTCTTCCAAATGGTGTTCCACCTTTTCGGGCACCCAGTCGCCCTCCTCGAGATCGAGCATAGAGAGATCAAGCTGCTTGTTGATCTCAATTGTGCTAATTGTGTCGAAAAACTGCTGTCGCGCGGCTTTCTTCGCCGACTTGAGTGCTGTCCATTTTGTAGAACGAAGCGCTCGGTCGGCCTCCTTGTACATCCGGTAGATCTTAGTCCCTTCAGCTTCCGCCTGCTTCAGAGTTCCAGATTCTTTGCGCGCTTCGTTGGTCAATCGGTCTCTCAGCTCTCGAAGCTGAACAATGGCCGGGTCGGCCTTAAGACCATCAATTTCACGTGAAGCGAGCCCTGTTGGTGCTCGTGGGTCGGCGTGTCGACTCATATGTGTGACTGCTTTAAACAGAGCCCTGGACGAAGGCTGGCCAAGGAAAGCAGCCTGTACGTCACACTGGACACGTTGATTGATGTATGCTTGATAGATACCAGCATCCCTATGACACATAACTTGCTGAAGCTGAGGTTGAGTTGCAACAGCTATAGGATGTCAGTATCAAACCCATCGTTCTGTATGGCCAGTGTCACATACCTTCAACGGCCTCACCAGCTCCTCTCCGGATGACATAGGCTCCCAGGATTTGCATGAGTCCTGCTTGGAGACCCAATCGCTGAAGATAGTAGAGATAGGTGTGGTAACGTAACGCTTTCGTCGGCGACGTTTGAATGCCAGTGGAAGTGCGTTCAGCTTGGCGGAAGATTGGCTTTTTCATCATCTCCGCACGCCATCTAAATTCCAAACTGCGTCGTGGCGGACGGACTCGAATCCGCAATATATCCTCCATTGATGTTACCTTGGACTCGAAAGCATCGTCGAGGATGGCGACAATAATCATCAATAGGATCGCATCAAAAACAAGAGTATCAACCTCAGTAAGGATGTACGTTTTCCTGCCGAAAATGTCAGTAGGGCATCACATACATGATTTCGAGCAAACACTAACGGATTTGGTTTTTTCTTCCATCCCTTAGTATACTTCAGCGTTACCTCCATCGCGAGAAGATCTCGTTTTCCTTCAGGGTTCGGAAGCATAAGAAGCGTCACATCCTCATAGCAGAGAGTCTTGATATCTTCCCAATCCAGTTCCATTTTACCATTATCGTTGTCCTCATCATTCTCCCATCCAAGGTAGTGTTCTCTTTGTTTGATTGGATCGGTCACTTTGTACACCAAAGCGGCCGGCCTCGTTGCTGTGTACGCGGAAAGAAGAATCAAGAAAGCGAGCTGGAGTCGTTGTCGTTCATCCGGGAAGACCGATGTGTCCAGAACCCAGAGATGATGGAGGACAAGATACACGTCGTCAACGTCCATAACTGGCTTTTCCCGCACGGATGTGTCGAGGTTATACTCAATGGTCAAGTATCCATCAATGTACTACCTCAGATTAGTCATTGCTCCAGAAGAATAAACACATCTTGGTTCTTACGTCACGGACCTCCTCCATGACTTTAGCATGTAAACTCTTCCCCACGGACTTTCGGTACAGCATGCACCATACTCTCCAGTATTCGTCCAAAGTGCTTCTTTTCCGGACTCTGGAATAAACGTCCAATATCCATTTGAGGAAGGTCATAATATCTTCTTTAGTGGCGTGTACGAGGAAGTGAAGCCTGTCTTCTCCTAGAAAATCGCAATGACTGGTTTTGCTGTCAGCAACTTCTCCCCTCGGTAGGTCCTAAACCGTGTACACCCTTACCGTATCCATTTTTTCATCACTCCAAAAATATTTTCTTTTGTGGAGTCTGCATGGGACTTCTTCACAGTGCCCTTCTCAGCAAGTCGTTGACGATGTCTTCGATAATGTTCGGCCGAGTATTGGGCCGCTGGCCTCTGGTTAAGCGGCTGTAGGGTCATACCGCCTCTGGGAAGATCTTTCTTTCCCAAACTCCTTCCGTCTACCGATAGTGTTGGATGATGCGAAGTAGTCGCTGGCAAGTAGGGGAGGAAGGTCGGAAGAGAAATTCCTCATGGAATGCAGAATAGTAAGAATCTCGGGATCCGGTCGAGACATCAAAATTGGGTAGAGCCGCAGGAATGCACGAGGAGATGGGAGATGGGAACGTAGTTCGAGTCGAGTTTACGAACGCCCTCTCTCTGTGTGGCAGTGTCAGGAAATCCACGGGGACCGTCCCTCCAGGTCCTCGAGGCGCCATGGCCAAGGTGGTGCAGTCAAAGGCGCCCATCTTTTCGAAGAGTTGGATGGAGCCCGTTCTGTTTCTGAAAGTGGACTGTTTCTGGTCCCAACGATGGTTGCGAAGTGCATGAGAAGGGAACTTTGATTGACGACCAAGGGAAGGTAGACCGAGGAGGGTGCAGCCTGACGTAGGAACTGACCAGGGGGGCGATCTTGGCGTCGAGGGAAGAAAGCCTCCAAAAGCGGCGGCGCTGACCGCCAAATTCGGCGGGAAATTTCCCTGCACCCTTCGTTGAGCGGTAGTATTAGGAAAATAGTGACGTAGTGTCGTTCCGGGACAAATACACCGTCCCGGACGGAGTACAATACCTACAAATGATACATTGCATCACTCGACCCTTTTTTTTTGTTTGTGAAAACCCTTGATTACGCAAGTCGGTCGGTTTTCTACGGCTCAAACACAAGGGAGAGAAAGAGGGAGAGAGAGAGCGAGAGAAAAGAGAGATTAGAGGTGATTTTCTTCTTCCTCTCATCAAGAAAAGTTGTTTTGCTTTTAAAAAATCATTCTGTCCTCGCTTGTACTGGTCGTGAGCGCATTATCAAAGCTAGAAACTCAACAGTTCCATACCTTGAACACCTCACCTCATCAAAACATCCATCACCCTGTGATCACATCTTTGGGGACACAAAACAAAGACCACAAACTCCAAAATACGAAAACAACCAAAAATGAAACACGAAAAGAACATTCCTGCAGAGCATCACACGCACAGGCAAGTACTTACCTCCCTCACTACCCCAGGGTACCTACCTGGACCTGCCGCCCACTCGCCAGAACAGAGTGGACAGTAATGACTTGACTTGACTCCAAAAAGGATCGGCGAATGGCTCCCTCACGATCACCGGGCTCACAAGGAATGGTTGGCGGGGGTGATTGACCACGTCGACCGGAACCCGACGGACCTACACCCCGTGGTGCAAGAGTTCCAGGACCTGATCGAGAACAACACGCGGGTCTGGCTCTTGTTTTCGTCCATGTTCGAACAGATCCCCAACAAGGAGCCGTACAGGACGGACCCCCGCGGGCGGGAGGCGGGCCAACCGACCATCAGAGACCACGTCCACATGCTGAGGGTCATCAACCACCTCTTGACCACGGCGCCGTCGTGGAACGACAAGTCCGAACGGGTCGGCCTGGTGGGACTCCCCTTCAACGCCCTCTTCGACTGGCCCATGGGCACCAAGAGCGGGTTCGCCGTCTTCCTGGACCCGGAGGTGAATGTCATGTTGAAGAAGGTGCTGAACGCGTGGGCCGACTTTTTGGGTTCCCCGGACTCGGCGTACGTGTTGGAAAAGGACACCAAGGGGAGCTGGTTCAGTCCCCACGGGCACGACGAGCTCCAGTACACGGCCAACGTGGGCAGGACGGACTACAAGTTCGAGGAGATGTTCCAGTGCGACCCGTCGGACCCCCACATGGGGTACACGTCGTGGGACCATTTCTTCACGAGGCTCTTCAGGGAAGGCGTCCGGCCGGTGGCCAGTCCCGACGACGGCGCCGTCATCGCCAACGCGTGCGAGTCAAAGACGTTCAACGTCGCGAGGGACGTCAAGCGTCGCGACAAGTTTTGGCTCAAGGGTCAGCCGTACTCGGTCGTGGACATGTTGGCGCGGGACCCCCTGGCGGAGCGGTTCGTCGGGGGCACCGTCTACCAGGCCTTTCTGAGCGCGCTGAGTTACCACCGCTGGCACGCGCCCGTGTCCGGCAAACTCGTCAAGGCGTACGTCGTCGACGGGACCTACTACTCGGAGCCGCTGTTCGAGGACTTTGGACCCGGCGGTCGGTCGGCCGACCCCGAGGGCCAGGTGACGAGCCAGGGATACTTGACCGCCACGGCGACGAGGGCCGTCATGTTCTTCGAGGCGGACAACCCCGACATTGGGCTGATGGCGTTTTTGGGCGTCGGCATGTGTGAGGTGTCGACCTGCGACGTGACGGTCGAGGAAGGTCAGCACGTCGACAAGGGGGACGAGATTGGCATGTTTCATTTCGGGGGTTCCACGCATTGTCTGCTGTTCAGAAAGGGTGTCGAGCTGGATGGGTTTCCCGGATTACAGCCTGAACATAATGTCGCTGTCAGGAGTGAATTGGCCCGTGTGAGAACAAAGTCGAAGTAGAAAACAAAATCATGTCCGAAGGTAGTCCATACTCGCTACCAGAGTGCCAAAACGTTTTGCCATGATTGAAGAGGTTGCATGTACTGTAAGATGGAAATCACTCAAAACTCGTCATAATGTTGCTACTTTAAATCAAATAGGCTGTCTAACCTATCTTGGAACCTCCCCAATACCAAAATATCTCGCCCTTTTGAAACCCCCTAACAGAATCTTCCGCTGTTGCCGCGATGCCCAATCGAGACATTCTCATGACTACAAGTTATTGTTCCGCAGCCACTCACTGAATTTCTCTCGCGTAAACCGGGAGAGAGAAGGACAGCGGCAGCTCATTTTCCACTTCTTGTATTACCGAGTACTTGTATTCCCTACGATATTACTATGGGCAATTCTCAAGGTCAGCGGAGATACTGAGATCTTGTTACTCCCCTTGCCAACTCGTTACCCGCGTTCCATTACCGCATCCAAATTCCCAAATGTCTTTTGATTTTGAGTATATATACATCCCTTCTCCGGGGGAGGGGCTTTTCCCATTTAACCTGAAGAAAAGTACATAACATTATTAAATAACATTAGCTGGCTTCTTCTTTTTTCCTTTTCCGGCCTTCTTCCTTTTTCATCTTTTTGTTGCTGTCCAAATTTGTGGAAATGATGGTAAATCCATGATCTCCCGTCCGCAGAATGGCATCGTGTGGCAAGTTGATGGACCTCAGAGCTAACAACGGGCAAAAATCATACCTTTTCGTCGTGTAACGATCATTGTGTACGGACCTTGACACCCACGTCACAACAAAATTGAACATCATCTCGCTGCTATGTTGCGTGTATAATCGCAGCAAAACAGCAAAAAAGCAAAAAACCCTAACCGAAGCACCATCGTTTAGCCGCGCACTTCACACTCGACATTTACATGTTACATATAATGCTCGTCGCCGCCAGAGTATAACACGTATCTCAACCACACACAATCACAACCACCGTCGCTCCTCCTCTGGTGGTCTACTGTCTCTACCACACCATAAACACCGAAACCCAAAAGACGTGATCGGACACCGACCTTCGCTCCACCATGCCTCTCATAAACCCAGCACGACTGTTTCGGGTCCATCGAGACCCCCCAAAACCACGACGACCGTTCGACATAGACAATTACCTCAACCCTTTTATCCCGCAGAACCCGTTGCGCTTCTTCCCGTCATGGTTCTCTCACTGGTTCGGGTACCGTGCGCCGCGCGCCTCCTCGGCGGGCCAGAAGCCTCCACAACCTCACTCGCCGTTCCACACACTGTCACTGTACCTTTCCGTCATGCTCGGGGCGTTCTGTGGGGTGGCCATCATCGAAAACGTGTTTTTGGCCCTGCCCACGCTGTCGGGCCACGCCGCGCCCATCATCATAGCCTCGTTCGGCGCCGCCGCGATCCTGGAGTACAACACGATAGAATCGCCACTCGCCCAGCCCCGGAATCTGGTGGTGGGTCATTTCCTCTCCGCCGTGGTGGCGGTGGGCATCACCAAACTCTTCGAGCACCTGCCCCCCGACCGGTTCGAGGAGCTGAGGTGGCTCGCGGGCGCCCTGGCCGTGGGGGCCGCCAGCGCGGTCATGAGTCTGACAAAGACGGTCCACCCTCCGGCCGGGGCGACGGCCCTCTTGGCCGCGACCAACGTCGAGATCCAAGAGCTCGGGTGGTGGTTGTTGCCGCTGGTGCTGCTCGCGGCGATGCTCATGCTCGCCAGTGCGTTGTTGTTGAACAACGTCTTTGACCGTCGTTTCCCCGTCTACTGGTGGACCCCTGTCGATCTGAGCGCTCTGAGGGAAGAGAGAAGACAAGAAAAGATCAAGACCGCGTCGGACGACGTGGAGAGAGGGAGCGCACGTGGCGGTCCCGTCACGAACGGAAGTGAGGGGATCAGTGATGCGGACACCGAGGCGGAATCCAACGAGGCGGCGGTGGCGGCCCCGGAAATTTTGGACAAGGTCACCACCAGAATGTCCAGATCGGTTTCGATTTCGAGGGCGAGCAGAGTGCCTCACCTTGTCGTGAGGGGGAAACCCAGTCACGCCACCAGAAAAGACACAGAGGGAGAAGATGAGGACGAAGACGACAGAATCATCATCACCCCCAGAAACATCATCGTACCGGATTGGTTCGAGGTGAACGATTGGGAGGATGAGGTTTTGCGGATTTTGATGGACAGGTTGAGGACCAGAGCGAGTGAGTCTTAGAAAGACTTTTGTTTTTTTGGTTTTTGGTTCGGGGGTTTTTTTTGGGTCTCTTCACATGGCAAGGCATGGCGTAGCACAACATAAAAAGCGTGCACATATATATACCTGTTTTGGTTAAAAAATCGTCAGGCGTGTTTGGACGAAGAGAAAAATCACACCCCATTGACCTTTCGAATAAGTCCGTCAATCACTTGCGACGATAGGTTCATGACAAAGTTGGAAAAAAGACCCAACCAAAAAAAAGGAGGTTGATTCAATCTGCTCTTATTGAGATTCGACCGTGGTTACCATTTGCCCGAAGACACGAAAACCACAAGACAACCAAAAAAAAATTGACGACGCCATCAATCATAAAATTGTGACAAGCCAAAAACTGCGCGAATGAGAGCCCCGGAGGACGCTCAATGGCGACGGTCCTAACCGCGCTGTGCAATGCAGGGACATCACCATAGCATAAAACCCCATTCTTGATCGGAGCATGCTTCCACAAGGTAAGTATGAGAAGAGAATTTGACGTGTCCAAACCATAAACCCGGAGGTTCATTTCGGTGGGGCCCCGATCACGTGGGAGTGCTGTGATGGGTCAGCGCGTCACACTTGAGAAAACATCATCACAGTAGGAACCCCCTCCGAGGCAGTAGTTGCGCACTTGGCGACTCCGTAAGAGCCTCACTGTTATGGACCATTGACAACGGTGTCGATACTAACTCCTCATCCTGATCATGGACACCGATACTGATATTGTTCATTGTCCTACCGTACGCTATTCATCGACCCTCTTCTGTTTGGATCACACACAACCCCCACGACACGTTCCTACGCAAGCGAGTATCTCACTCCTTCTTACTCCCCATCAAGTCCTTCGCGACCATCCCTCTGCAGATGGGATGGTAAAAGTCCTTGTTCTTCTCAAACGTCTCCACGGCCCGTTCGTAGTCCAACTTCATCAACCCGCGATACAACGGTCGGACAAACTTCATCCGTCCCACCTGTCCCAGCATCTTGACCACAAACTCCTTGATGGATTGATCCCTACTGGCCATGGCGATCTGGTAGTACCGCGCCGAGACCTCGACGTTCCGGGTGTCCTTCAACTTGTAAACGTCCCCCATGTGGTTGGCGTGGCGCATCGGCAACGTCGTCTTTGACGCCATGACCTTCTCGAGGAACACGACCACCTGGTTCGCCGTCCACCCTTCGATGTCGAGCTTGCTCGGCTTGAAGTCCGACGGGCCGTCGGGGTTTCGGGTGAATCCCTCCCACTTTTCCGCGAGACGGTAAGCGACGTCGACGAGGGTGGTGTCAAAGTCTGGTTTGGGCGGGAACCCAGGCTTGTAGAACCACGTGTCCCAGTCGATCTCGGCGAGCTTGGCCGAGACTTTGCCGTCTGGCTTGAAAAAGTCTAGCAGGGTGGTCTTGAAATCGTAGCTGTCCAAGCTCTTGCCTCGCCAGGTTTCAAAGTAGTGTGGAATGAACTTGTCAAATTCTTGTTGACCAATGAGTTTTTCAATGTAGTACAAGAAATTGAAGCCCTTTTCGTACGGGATGCTGGAGAATGCGTCGTCGGGATCTTTACCCTTCAGGTCGATGACCAGTTTGGTGAATTCGTGTTCCTCGCCAAAGTTCTTGATGGAGTCCGTCAACGCTTGCCAGCCGATGATCGCGGAGAAGTCCCTCCATTGGTCACTTCCGTGGACGATGCTTTGGATCCGACGTTCGAGGTACGTGGTCCAACCCTCGTTGAGCCAGAAATGTTCCCACGAAGCATTGGAAACGAGGTTGCCGGACCACGAGTGCGACAGTTCGTGTGCAATCACGTCGACGTTTTCCCGGTCGCCGGAGATGATGGTCGGGGTGGCAAACGTATAGACTGGGTTCTCCATACCACCGTAGGGAAAAGATGGCGGAAGAACCAAGACATTGTATTCGCCCCAGGCATAAGGGTAGACGAGGGATTCTCCGGCTTTCAAAAACTTCTCGGTCGACTCTTCCAGCTCCCACGTACAGTCTTTCAACTCGTCTGGGCCTGTAGCGACTGTACTCCGAGGGCCTATCGAAGCGGTAGAAATATCCCCGCTGGCAATGGCATAGAGATACGCCGGTATGGGGACGCGCTGGTGGAACTGGTACAGCTGGTGAGAACCATCGGCCGATGGAGAAGTAGGGTTTTCTTTGGCACCGAGTCCAGAGGCAATGACGGGAAGAGGTGATTTGAGGTTGAAGTCAAATGTCGCTTTGACATCAGGTGTATCTTGACAAGGGAAAATAGATCGAGCGTGAATGGCTTGACACTGGGAAAACATGTAGGGATGCTTCTTGTTGGAGGTTTGAGCGGGAGTGAGCCATTGCAACGCTGTGCAGGACTCTGTAGTCTCGAGTTCAATTTGGATACCAATCTTCTCATTCAGTTTCGGCTTCCTGTCTAGCTTGATCTTCAACGCACTGCCATAAGGTTCGAGTCGCTTTGCGGTCTCCCATTTGGCCGCTTTGCCCTCGGCCATAATACTATGGATAAGTACATGGCTGGAATCGAGAATGATCTCATCACTTTCACCGTCTGTGATGGCTTGCAGGTCATGAGCTACAGTTCCTTTGAGCTTCTGCTGGTCAAACAGAATATCGAGTGTTGTAGAAGTGTGAAGCGTTCGCCAGTTATTGTAGTTTGACAACGTGTTGGGGTCACGTGGACTGTTGATTGTTGTAGTTGCCATATTTCGGGTGAACAGAATGGACAATCCTCGTGATTCTTGTGTCGAAAGGCGGCCAAGTCTGCGATATGTCGTTAGGAAAGTCACTGTGCTGGACAGAATATGTCTGATTTTATTCTTGGACATGCAGCTCTAAACAAGCATCGACCGTGGTCACCTCTCTCTCGACTAAGCTGAAGGACGCTCACCGTCACTGAAATACAAGGAATATCCAAGGCAAATGACTGTTGGGATCCTTGAGCGAAGTGTCTGGCAAGTCCAATGCTATTCCAACATGACAAGTTGAATCGATGTCTGAACTCAGCAAGTATGTACAATGCTTGGCAGCGAACACGGATTAATGATAATCCGAGATAATCACCAACTGTACTCCGTACTTTGCTTTCCTCGACCTTCTTTCTTCCTCACCTTCAGTTTCCAAGATCAACTTGGCCATGTAACAGTGTGGTTTTCCTATCTGTTTGATCATTTCAAGATAGTCCCTTACAGGGCAGTCCCAGAAGGTTAACCCACGCATGACTCGATGAAGGTCGTTGTAGCAATTCCATGGACTTGCATGTCAAGATCACTTTTTTGGAAAGCCTCAACCAGACACATCAATTGGACGGCAATTGTGACTGTTTCCGTGGTTATCTGACCGTAACTTGCACATGAGAGAATCCGAAATGCCTTGTCATCGCTGAACATGAGGCAAACAGCCTCTCAACTCCCACGAGGCTGAACACTTGATGCGGAACGAGATTCCGCTACCATAAGTGTCTCTGATCAGGTCACCTACTCGAGAAAAAGCACCATGGAACAAAAACGTCAGGTGAGGTCTGCTCCATACGACAGACCTCGATCGAGAAGTTAGTTCCTCCGTATAGTATCCGTACAGCATGGCGTCTCAACAAAAAAAATAAAGCCCTTGACTCAACATCTCTACCCTTGCCCTGCATGAAACCTTTTTTTTTTTGTGAGCACTAGCAGATCCCCCCAAGTTGGAGCATCTCGTTGACGTGCTCCGTACTCGTGCCTGAGATCCGTATGTAGGTGCAGGCTACCTATTGTAGGTAATATTGCCAGATCCCTGCCTGGTTCGATCTCAGGGGGCGCTATTGTTTTGTTTCGGACGAAAGGAGATTGACCATCTCAGCCCACCTTGCCAACGAAGTAAGTTGCATCGACACGACATCCCCTTGAACCTTTGCCACCAGGTAGTGCTAGTTTCGGAGCTACTCTTACATTACTGTTTTTGTGATTATTGTATCCATGTCTGTACTCCGTATCCGTACTTGCGATTGCTGCTCCGTAGTAACCCCAGGTACCTGAACCAGGGGGGTGTTGTTTGTGCAGAACAAAACAACACTGATGTGCTTGCTTCGAATCTCGTCAATGATGGCGTGAACAATTGCGTATGTGGATGTAGTCAACAGCCAGTCATTGATACTCGATCAGATGACAATGCCACCACCAGCACCAGTATTTCGTGTCTTGAGTCTGGCAGTCTCCCTCTTGACACTCTCACCGCTATTCTTCATTGACGGCAGCGGTACCTCTACTCGGTACACCGTACGTCTACGAAATGTCTCTTTTTTTGTTTTCCGTTTCACATGGGACAACTCGCATCAAATCGTTCTCATCTCTTGTCGGTTCGAAATTCTCGCAGCCTCGGTCTCTCTCTGCAGTGCAGGCTCAGGATTCTTGCATGTGTTGGTCCTACTTTTTCCGACCACCATTTCACCATCACTTATCACAATGTTTACTTTCAGTACTACCTTACTCACATGCAATATACAGAGTAGTAAGAAGATATGTGTGCATCCAGGATACTCCTTCTTCATTTGTGCCGTGCTTTGGTTTCCGATTCCGATTCCGATCATACTCATGCCCATCTCTGTAGGATCGTCCTGTAGTTTTACAGTCACAGTACACTGCATACGTGACACGGGACCTTTTCTGGGTGATCCTTGTGTGTGCCTGTGTTGCCTGTGTCTATTGTCCTTTTTGAGACGGCGACACACTCGACGACGAACCGATGTGTGCGTTCGAGTTAGACAAAAGGCTGGCTCAAAACGTCGACTACAAAGGTGTGTATGTAGTAGGTACAGTAAGAGCAAAGCCATTAGCCCTCCGTCCTGCAACCGCAACGGCGTTCCACTGACGCGGGAAATGAACAAGACACTTGCCCAACCACCGCACCATGTACATACACGACAGCACGAAAAACACTCGGTGGGAAAAAAAAAGACCAAGGTCTCCCCCCATACCCGCGCGAGTATAGGTGACACACTTCACCTAAGAGACAAAGGTCACTGTGACATTGTCGCATCTGATCAGTGTGTCACCGAGTACAGGACATGGTACAAGACCTTGTTGCGGTACTTGACAATTGTATCAAATCTTGCGTTGTGCACTTTGTTGTATTTACTGTAAGGTACAAGCTGCATATGCCACCCTGAGGTCCGACGCAAGCAAGCTCATCCATCAATTACCTAGTCTCGAATACAAAACCATAGTCAAGAAATCTGAATGGATGCCCCCCAAAAACCCGTACCACTTACTGCGACTACCTAGGGTATTGAAATCTTTCCAACCAAGTCTTGGGTGTGATAGCACATCTCATCATACTCATGCAGGATGGTTTTCGTCACTACCCAACTGATCCCACTCGAGCATTTATTTTTCGGGGTTCCTTTCCCCCACGGGCCCAAAGAAGTCTTTTGTGTGATTTCCTTGGAATCCGACTCTCGATCAATCCAAACTCCCTTACACCACGTCAAGGCGGTGCCTCCCCAACTCTCTTTCACACGTATACACGGCCCCTTTCCCTTGCAACGTGCCTCACCCGGCTAGCCTTCCTGAGTGACACAACATTTCTCATTCTTCTTTGGTTCCAGATCGCTCACTGGCGCCTTTGATGAACCGACTCAAGTCGCCGACGGGAAGGTTGATGGGGAAGTCCACGGAAGCCAGCAGTTGGACGAAGAAGAGGTACCAACCCAGCAGACAGGTGACGAACGTGATACCACCCGCGGCGTGTTGCAGGTGGATCTTGGGAGCGCCATCGCCGATTGTGAAGAAGAAGGCGGCGAGGGTGCCAAACGCCGCGACGAGCGTCGCAAAGATCAACACGAAGATGATGTTTGTCCGGAGCGCGCAGACCAGGTAGACAAAGCACAAGACGCCCATGTAGACGTGGAAATAGGCAAAGGTGGCCGCGAAGACCGGGTCCGAGCTGGCTTGAGCCGGGTTCGAGGGATCGTAGGCGATCGAGGCATTGAAGTAGGGTGTCAAGGTAGCACCAAAGGCGAGCCAGAAAGCGCCGAACGAACCGAACACGACAAACGGGAACGTGTTTCCCAGGATGAACTCGAGGAGGCCTCCGAGTGTCATGAGAAGACCGCCGAAAAAGTAGTAGACACCGCTGCGTGAAACATGAGCTTTGATGCATGGCAATGGTCGGGGAGTCTTTTGGGGGAAGGACCTACACTTCTGCAGCACCCAGGCCACCGGCACCTCGCCAGCCGAGGAGAATGTTGGAGAGGGGAGTCAAAGAGAGCAGAAAACCGCAAAGAGCCCTGTGGATATGTTAGAATAAGCAATGGTGAAGGTGAGGAGAGGACTGACAGAGGTGTAGGATTGCCAAAGGTGGAACGAATGTTATTCGAAACTCGATTCTTTGGGGACAAGTAGATCTTTTCAAAGAGCTCGGGTGTGATGGAGATACTCCCAGCGGTTCGAAGTCTTCTCAGAGCTGTATCAGGGTCGTGATGGTCATGATGAAGGTCGTATCCGCCATTGACAGAGCCGCTGCCGGCGTGATCCTTCTCGACATCTGGCATATGGTTGTTGGTGGCCATTTTTGGCGATGTAATGGCCCGAGGTGAACACGTAGAGGGATAGATCTGTATCTCAGAGAGGAAGAAGTGAGGTGTGAAGTAAAAGTAATATGAGACTGCGAGGTAATGTTGATGTATGGACAACCAGGAACCGGCAGGGAATGGACAAGAACGAGACACGAGCACAGACACGAGCAAAGCTGGCTGCTCTGGGAGGGCATAAATAAATATTACAATCAGTTCAGTCAAAGTGTTCCAAAGGACCGCGTCACAGACCATGCATGGGTCGATCAACTGGTGTTTTCTCCTCTCGGTGGAGGGGAGTGTCCCCTAAGCCGCTCAGCCGAAAGGACGGGCATATTGACCATTGGTCCACGAGCACGTCTCCTGTGGCCACAAAAGTCAAAGGGTGAAATTGATTCAAGGCTTCAAATGGACACCGGGCGACAGGGTTTCCGGTCGTCAGTGACCAGTCGTTGTGTGCAGCACTAAAATCCGCTGCATCGACGCCTTCGCTCCCCTTTATGGCGAAAAGCCCAAGCTCGAAAGATGAAGCTCGATGAAGGCAAGGCCTTGTCCAATCACCTGTACAGCAAGACATTGGGTTCAAGCATCCGAGCCAGTGTCGGGAGACTAGACACACTAAGGGACACCAGAGCAACACCAAAAGGCACACTAGGCCGTCTGTGTCTGGGTCAAACAATTGAATATTTTTGGTCTAGCAGTTCGGCCTGCGGGGAAATGCTGGGGAAGGAATAGTGCGAATAGATGATGTGATGGCCTGCATATTGTCCAAAGCAGAAGTGTCAGCAGGGATCTTTGCTTCATGGTGGTCCGCTGTTGTGGATTTTTGACAAACGAGGGTGGCCGGCTTCATGGATCTCTGCAGGACGAGCATTCACCATACTTCCGTACTTGGATGAGATACGAGGGAGAGAATTCTCTAGCTTACTAAGCCATGATTGTGATGGTCACAACTTCGTAGGCAGATACTCTAGGTAGAGAGCTCTTTGGGTGTAACATGAGTAGTGGATGGGTGTGCAGGCCAGGCTGTCGTCAGTCCTCGAGCGGCTCCGGTCTGTCTCGGAAGTGCCATTCTTGCGGGGTCGAGAATCCTGTCTGCTCCTTTCATGACTCGAATCTCGCGAGATGGAGCTTTCAAATTTGCTGCAAGCACATGTCGATCGATGCAATTTTTCGCTGGGGTTGTAATTGAGGGGAGAAGTCTAAACGATGTGGAACGATCCTATCGCATCGTCCACTTTCTACGGGAATGACTTGTCGTTCGATTTTGCTTCCCCCTGCTCGAGTCGAGCATAGTCGAACACGGCGACAGACGGTCATTACCCGTTGAACGTCCACTTATTGGCAGATCAATCATTTCAAAGAGGGGAAGCTATCGATGATGCATGAGCGGCAATGCAGAAGCTGAACTATGAAACCAGTAAATGCGCGAATGATACTCGACGAGACTGCAACGCATCGACCAGGAACGAGACCGAAAGGAATATGTTGAGAGCGAGCTTGCCGAGCGCCAGCCTTCTGGGTTGCAGATGATCATCTCTCAACCTCGTCATGTCTACGAGTACGCTGGACCGAAGGTTCCGGCACTGCGCCGGAAGAGTTGTATGCGACCCCAGACTCGGTTAACCAGGCAATGAGGGGGTCGATCAAGATCTTTTCCTGTTTGTTTTTTCTCGCTTCATGTCCAGTTTGATAGTCCTTCACCATGTTGCAATTGTGAACGATGCCTTGATGACGGTGAGCGCGGTTGAACCAAGGCACAACCTAGCGGCGATGATTGACTTCCGGGCAGATGGGGGATGGCGCTTCCGCTGGTCCAGGTATCGACGGAGCGTCCACTAGTGAGTCGTAGTGCTGGAGCTTTATATAGCTGTCACGTGGTGTAAATCACGTGTTGAGATCCGGTCGAGCATATATTCATATAGTGCACTGAAGAACGCATGCTTTGGACCCAGGTTAAGAGAGAGCCGTAAAGACTCTCTATACATCCCAGAGCCATGTTTTTAGAATCAGATCTTACATGCCACGTTGTCGATGGCACAGACGGCGATTTAGTTCGAGATTTTGCTCCATGACTGGGCCTCCCTTTGACTTCCGTCTTCGCTTGTGATTCTCTTCAGCCTCGACGAGCAAAGGCTATGAACCTTCCTTGAACATGCTCGCAATCCATCGAAAGTCACGAGAAGAGCCATATTGACTTCGGTGGTCCGCGTCGTGTGATTCGGTACGGGTTTGAGAGCACAAACGGAAGCCCGACTGGTATGTCAATTTTGTCAGCGGTCAATTGTTGCATGGGTGCGAGAACTAGAGAGCATGACCTAGACAACATTAATCGTCCAAGAAGCCCATTGTCCTACTCAAAAGAAGTTGTCCCATTGCTCATAGCAGAGCCAAGAACGTACATGGAAAGTCCGGAACAGTATGCAAATTGAACCATGGTTTTACAGACCGCTTTTCTGCTGCGCAATGTATGTACAAATCTCTTGCTGGATCTCGGAATCTCTTCCACTCATCAACGGCATCGGCGCCATTCACTGCGAGTAGAATGCCGCGTATCAACTGCGCATAAACGCCATGTCTAATTGAGCCCACCCATCCGGCTTCACTTCCTCCATCTTCCTGGGTCAAAACATAATACCGCTACCGGTCCTTCAGCTTTCGGCCGATAGTTTCGTGAGATAGGCCTCGAGGTCAAAGTTCTTGTCGTTGGGATCCGTGATAACTACCATCGAAGTCAGTTTCATGTTGGGTTCCGCGCCGGTCAAACACGTACTATCACCGCTGGCCGTCTTCGCCTGAGGAGGCAAAGTCTTCTTAGCCCATTCAGCTTTGGCTTTTTGTATTAAATCGACCTTGTGTTGGTATTCCGCCTGCGCATGAGCTGCAGCTGTATTTGCGGAAATTGTTCTTTGGTGTGAGAATCCGTAGAATATGCCTGCGACCAAAGCCGACCACCGAAGCACCTATAGATTATCAGTATGCAGCTCCAGAGAAAGTTGTCCACGCGACGTTGGTAAGCTAGGATAGTTTGATCGTACATTAACTCCTTGAGATGTGGACATTATGAAATATGAGCGACACCGGCAGTGTGATTTCTTTTCAATGGATGAATTCGAGGGGTGTTGACTTCGTCCAGCTGAGATCCTGTATTTCTATAACTCCTTGCGTGCGTGGCAGGAAATGCGGATGTCGAAGGTGCACTGGAAAGGCATTTGATTTTCGTTCCGAAGCTCTTTCACTTTCTCGCCAAAACTAGGATCACGTGAGGTCGCGCCGCTCCCGGTTGACACGAGCCACGATCCCCAAACCATCGACATTCACGGCAACGAACACTGCACGATTGACTCGAACAAATCGCCATGTCATCGCGTAAGGACGAGCTTCTGGCAAAGAAGGCTCGCCTAGCTGAACTCAGGCGTCAAAAGGCTCTACGGGAGGAGCAATATGCCTCCTCCCGGCAGAGCATTGGAGAAGTGAGGCTTCTGAATCTGGTCCAGGAGGCATACTAATCTGCGACAGGCTCATTCACCGGGCAAGACCGCAGACGAGAGAAGAGCCGAAATCGACGAGTTCGTTTCGAGACTGATCGATGGAAAAAGAGATTCACCTGCATCGCCACGAAGAAGCCGGCCGCGTTCGTTGCAAGGCACGGGTCAGATCACTCCGCAAGATGAAGTCGAGCCGTCGCCCAAGAGGCTGATGGTGTCAATGTCAACACAAACCGAAGACAACGATGAACCCTCTAGTGCTCATGAGGATACTGCAGCGGTTCATGAGACTGCGCCCCCAAAAAAGGAGTACATAACCTATGCGAAAGGCGTTCAGACTGAACCCTGGTTGGATGAGAATACAAAGGCTCAGGACGGATCGGAAGACGATGATATCCAAGTTCGCGGCGAGAGACAGCGTAGTCGGAGGGACTTCGAAACAGAGGAAGAAATTCGACAGAAGTTGCGGAAGGAAATAGAGGAGGAGTTGACGGCGACCTTTAATCGGGAACCGGCTCATCCCCAATCACCAAACTCCCAACCTCGATTCCCATTACGGACGCTCAACGACAATGAGTTCAATGCTGTTGTCGCATCTTCAGAATTTGTATCATTTGTCGAGAGGTCGTCCAAAGTAATTGAACGAGCTCTTGACATGGATGACGAGTACGACCTACTGGCGGACTATACTCGAACCTCCATGTTAGATGACGACGACGATGACAGTACGCCATATTCACGAACCAGCAAAAAGTCCCATTCGGTACGCGAGTCCTTCCAACTGTTTTCCGATCGCTACACCCGCCGACGGATAGTGTCTGATATTCAATTCTCACCACATTTTAACGAACTACTACTGTCATCATATACCAAAAACCCATCAGCCCCGCATGAGCCGGCCGGCCTAGTTCTGCTTTGGAATTCCCACGCCCCTTCACGACCAGAGTATACATTCACCGCATCCTCCGATGTCCTATCTGCTCGATTTTCACCCTTTCATCCGAACCTTGTCATTGGAGGTTGCTATTCCGGACAAATCTGCCTGTGGGACACAAGAACATCCGGTCGAACAGGCTTACCAGTACAAAAGACTCCGCAATCCGGATCACACCTCGGTCATACCCACCCGGTCTATAGCATCAGCGTGGTTGGCACACCCAACGCGCACAATATTTTGACGGCCTCTATGGATGGGGTCGTCTGCTCATGGTCTGTCGATATGCTGACACAGGCACAAGAGTATCTTGTTCTTAATACCCCGGCACCCGCCAAGACAGACGATCTTGCTCCGACGAGTATGAGCTTTCCCACATCCGATCCGACCTTCTTTGTGGTTGGGACAGAGGAAGGTAGCATCTATCCCTGCCATAGATACGACCGCGCTGGTGCACAAGCTGGTGTTGATACCCGTCTGTTTTACCGTGGCCATACAGCCCCAGTCATGAGCTCGCAATTCCATCCTGCTAGAGGTCCTGTTGATCTTGGCGATTTGCTTCTGAGTTCTAGTTCAGACTGGTCGGTCAAGCTGTGGCGCATCAAACCATTGGCGAGTTCAAGCGCGGCAGCGGCAGCTTCTGCTGCTGGTATTGGCTCTACAATTGTCAATCCTGTGCTTAATCTGGCTCGAGAAGATCTGGTCTACGACGCGAAATGGGCACCACATAAGCCTTCGGTATTTGCGTGCGTCACTGGCGCTGGTGACCTCGAGGTATTTGACCTGACGTATGATCTTGAAGTACCGATTGCCAGGGGAACGCCAACCAGAGGAAATAATGGTGTCGTGCCATTCAAGGGATTAAACAAGGTTGCATGGGAAGAGAAGAGAGGCAGCCATATCGCCGTGGGTGGTCTGGATGGCATCGTAACAGTCTTTGACGTTGGAAAGGGCTTACAGTGTGGCAACAACGAGACGAAAATGGAAGAATGGACAGCCATGAAGAGACTGGTCACCAAACTTGAAGGCAGCAAGGCTTAGAACTTTGGAAGTGCATTTTGCTTTTGTCGGCGTGGTATTGGCGATTCGGGAGTAAACAAAAAGTTGAGACCGGGCCTGTCTTGCCTTACAAAGGTTGGTTTAAGGCTGATTGGATCGCTTCTACGGAGTAGCTTTATGATACCCCCTTGAATATATACTTGTTTTTGTAGCGTCCACATGCTGAACATGTTGTAATTGTACGTAGACCAAAGCTGAGGCCACCACTGCTTTCTTTGAATGCTTCTTCGTTTCTCCGGATGTCCCATTTACATTCATAGTTAATTTCGTCCCTGAGAAGCCCCTCACTAACGTGTGATCGTGTCGTCGTCGAGTGTGGAAAATTTACACTTACAAAATTCATAACATGGCTCTAGTGTGGTCCGAAGCCTGAAGGTCCAAGTCCAACGCGCCCAGGTCGACGCCGACGGCATTGTCTCCCAGGAGGACCTCCTGACAATCGTCGTCTGCGACGCCATTGACAAACTGTGTCACGACGAAGTCGACCCGACGACGTCCGATGACGGCCATGGGAGCGTGCCACGTCCCCGGCCCGTACGTGACGGCCTGGCCACCCGTCGCGACAAAGGCCCTGAGACGCGACAAGTCCGGCGGGTTTTGGATTTCGACGTCTTGTCCCGTCTCGCTCTTGGCGGAAGCGGATGAAGAAGACAGTGAAGGTGCGACGATGACTAGAAATACGGTCGTCGGCGTCGACTGACCTCTACTCGCCTCTGATGAGAGACCCAGAGGACTGAACGTCTGCGTGGTGTAAGGGTGTCTTTCGAGGACGGACACCTCGAAAGCGAGCTGCTGCCGTTTCTTCTGGCCGGGCCGCGAAGACGTCGTCGTCGACGACGACGACGACGACGACGTATCGATCATGCCCACGCCGCTCAGGTTCCGAGGGAAACATGAAAACATGCTCATTTGAGGTCTGGAACGCGCAGCGGCACCGTCTGCGGGTGACGATGACGACCTGACGGGGTAATTGTCGACGAATTTCGAAACCGGCGAGGTTTTCAAGGCCGAGTTTTGGTTCGCAAAGACCGCCGTGGGTTGATGGGGCGAGTGGAGTGGTTCGGGTACTTTGGCGGGCACATTGTTCAGCGTGTCTGGAAAGGGGCTCGAGATGGCAGTCCCAAAGGGCGCAAAAGACTCTGGTGTCAATGGCTCGATTGATAACAACCGACCACGACGGCCGTGGGATTCCAAGGGCGTGAGTGTAGGTGGCGTCATTTCTTTTTTTCTGTTCAAGTTGAACAATCCGGACCGTCAACCGTCTAGAGCCGGGGATCTCGCTCCTTCGGATTCGGCTTTTTTATCGGTATCCGCGTTCGTTGGTTTGATGTGTTACTCCGTACGTGTACGCTCAAAAGGTTCCTTCTTTGAGGCACCGCACAAAAGCCTCACTTTCCGCGCCCGACTTTGAGCGAAAAAGGGCCAAGGGTCAAGAACAAAAAAGAAACACCTATCTCCGTCGTCCGTTCTTCTTTGAAGCCCGAGAGATGTACTGTATTCGGGTTTGGCGTCACGGAATCGAGAGGCCGGCGAATGGATGATGTCTTTCTCTAGCAAGTAGTGTTTTGAAAGAAGCTGAATTACTCATCAAGGAATCGGGGTCCACTGATATTTGCCGTGGATGAGGCTGACGAGTGAGGATCGTAGCCGGTACAATCGTTTTTGGATCCAAGCCAAACAGGGACGAACGTGCGATTTCGAGATACGGCGTACGGGGTACACGGCGGACGCGTTTACCAGTGTTACGTATATCTTGCTGGTATGGATCAAGTCAAAAGACTGAAGAATCGTTGCGCGTATACGAAGCAGAATGACTAAAGAGCTCGGGTACCTGGATGAAGTAGTCCGGGTCTCGGCACAGACACCGACGAAGATGGGGAGGGCACTTTTTCAGGCGTCGTGATAAGCTACAAGCCTAATGAGTTTGAGCCATTTGGCTCGCTGCGGGCACCGTCTTGGCCTTGTCCTCGCTCCCTATTGCCCTTGTTAGGTTTAGGCTCTAAGCCCTAGAAGCCTCTTCGGACGTCACTTATCGCTCCCCGGAAGGTGCCCCCGATAACCCGTAAAATGCTCTTCGTACACACCCTACCTACCTACTTTGCCCAGGTACGGAGTAGCTACAGTACTATTGTACGAAGGGTTCCCAAATACTCAAAAATCCACTCCTTATCACACACACACACACATCATTCTTTCCAATATCGCATTGATGCAATCTCCAGTGGCACTATCCGGAATGCGTCTTTGTCTCACACAGGTACTTCTTCCGCTTTCTCCGCTCAAGTTTTTGCTACGACCGAGTCCGTCCCTGGCGGTTATGGAGTTACCTTTTCTAGGAATCTTGCCGTTTGCTTTCGTAATGCATCAATTTTGCCAATCTTGAACGAGCCTTCCATATGTTTTTGCCAGTTTTTTCTTTGCTACCATGTATATCGATCCCAAGATTATAAAGCCTCCAGCAGTAACCGCCTCATGTCCTCGGCTCACAGTCTTGTACCAGCCTCTACCTCCATAAACATCCTTCAAACCTCACGATGGAGACTTACCTGCAATATCGTCGAATAGGACGCACGATCGAGAAGCAACTCGAGTCTCCCGATGTCGAGTCTGCACGCCAACTACCATGCTTATCCCGCCAAAAGACCAAGGTTGTCAACGGAAGGTCAATACTGATCGTTGAATGGGACGGACCTGACGACCCCTTGAATCCCCGAAATTGGTCTCGTTTTCGACGGGTTTATGCGACACTTATCATATCTGCCATCGCATTCATGGTCGGAGCGGCGGCGCCAATCGATGCAGCCGTTCTACCTCAAGCTGCGAAAGACCTTGGTGTCAGCGAGGTAACAGAAACACTCGCGGTCGGCGTCTTTTTGATTGGGTTCGGTGCCGGGGCACTCATTTGCGGTCCGTTCTCTGAAGTGTTGGGCAGAAGTGGCACATACATCGTCTCCCTCATTTTCATGTGCATCTGGCTGATGGCCTCCGCACTGGCTCCCAACCTCGGCGCTCAAATCGTCTTCCGATTTCTGGCTGGCTTTAGCGGTGCATCACCCCTCGTCTGCGCGGGAGGATCAGTGTCGGATATGTTCACGCCCCTCGAGAAGACGTACATGTTTCCGATATTCGCCCTCGGAGGATTTCTCGGGCCACCACTTGGTCCTGTGATGGGCGCCTGGGTACCTCAGTCTCCTTATCTGCATACATGGAGATGGACAGAGTGGATCGCGCTGCTCACAGCCGCAGTCGTGCTCTTTTTAGCCTTTTTCTTCCAGCCAGAGACTTTTCCACCGCTTTTGCTGAGTTGGAAGGCCAGGCATCTACGCAGGATCACTGGCGACAAACGCTACTACGCTGCACACGAGATCGAGCGCATACCAATTGTGACGCGGCTCAGGGTTGCCCTACCGAGGCCATTTGTCATGGCTGTCACCGAACCAGTGATCTTCTTGATCACTTTGTATATGTCGGTCTTGTACATCATTCTCTTCACATTCTTCGATGGATACGACTTCATCTTTCGCGAGACGTACGGTGTGTCTCAAGGTATTTCAAACACGATATTCATAGGAATTGCCATTGGCGTATGCTTCGGTGGAGCCTGGCTGCCTTGGATGTACAAGATGACTGTACAGGCCCAGAAAAAGGCAGAAGCACACGGCAAAGCGCAATTCGATCCCGAGATCAGGCTATGGTTCGCCATGCTGGGTGGTGCCCCAGCAATACCAGTCTCACTATTGTGGATGGGCTGGACAGCATACCCCAGCGTCTCGATCTGGTCACCAATTATCGCTTCGGTCCTTTTCGGCTATGGCACAATCATGATCTTCATCAGCTCTTATATGTACATCATCGACAGTTACGAGATGTATGCTGCAAGTGCGCTGACATTCGCCACGTTAGCTCGATATATCATTGCAGGGGGGATGACGGTCGTCGGCATCCCCTTCTACAAGAATATGGGCGTGCATTGGACTTTGACCATCTTGGCGGCCCTGAGTGCCTTACTTGCTCCACTGCCATACGTGTTTTACAAGTATGGGTACATAATCCGGAGAAAGAGTCGATTTGCAGTAAGTCGGGCAGCGGAGGACGAGGTCGTGCCTGTTCAAAACGAGTCATCTGGTTCGTCGTCTATGTCCGTCCCGCTGGAAATGGACAAGGAGCGTTCAGATGATCCAGCGCCGGCGGCATAATCCGTGATGCCGGTTCTGAAGGTCGCCTGTTGACAATAGACCCTCATGTATTTAGCAAGCGTAAGCGAAAGTTCTTATCAATCAATATTTCTTGAGCCATCAGCGCGCTGTAATCTCTCAAATCGATGTTTAATACGACCGATACTCATTCCTTCGTCGTCAGTGGGGATTCGATCAGTTCCACGAAAACACCTAGAATCTGTAAGGCTGGAGGAGTGAAGGTTACTGGTAGCAGTCTGTTCGCTTCCTTCTAAATTAACCTGACCAGGTTTCGTTGGCAATGAGTGATCGTAGGAACTCGACTGTCGCCCAAGCTGCCGTATCCTCGAACATATCTATGAACTCTTGACCCGCCCCAATCTTCACCCGGTCTTCAGTAAACTCCGGAGCGAGGACGTTCGCCATGAGAGCATAGTCGGCGCCTTCACAGAGCCTCAATGCTTTCCAACACCTGCCGGGTACCGAAACAATGGGTGTTTGGCCCGCAAGGTAATCGCGACCGAGAGTGATCTTCTCGGCAATTGGCGATTCCGCCTCACGGCGTCCGGAAAGCGAAGGATGTCGTGGAGGTATAAAGGTATAATACTCCACCGGCCCGCCCTCTATCAGAACATGTGTGTCATCTGGGTCGAGAAAATGAAGAAAATTAACAGGAAACTTTTCTGTCAGCATATAATAGTTGTGCGATTGGGCCGCCAGAGGTTTGGCGGAACGAGTAAAGACAGAAGGAATGTTGGCCTCGCTTGTGTTCGGCGTTGCAGGTGCTGGAGTGACATTATGGCATGAGCGACCGACAATGCCGATATATCCAGATTCTTTTGGCAAGTATGTCAAGCCCAGTGTTTCGATGAGAAAGTCGGCTCTTGAAGGCGTGGAACGAGATGCGGGAGTATCAACCGTGCGCATAAGGTCAGACATCTCGCTTCAAGGCTGAAGTTGACTGAGACAGATGTTTCAAGAACTACGAGAAGACCGGAAAGATGTTTGTGCCAAAGGAATCCCTTAGAGTCGTTGAGAGGGAGAAGGTCGTTGAGTGATCATCTACGTTACGATTCCGTTGACTACAGAGTACGAAAACGAATACGAATACGAAGGTCACAATGCGGTCCTCGTATGCCGAGGCGATCCATCCATCACTCCACCAGATCTCAACACGCCGCGATGCTCCGTAGATTTCGATCCGCGTCTGCTGAGCGTGGAGCCACCTTGGAACTGGATACACTCTAATAGTCATACTTTTGGTTTATATCTCATAACGAGCCATCGACATCGTTACTCTTCCCTCACCACAGAATTGTCCGGTAGTGATCCGATCACCATAATCAAGCTAGGAATACAGCGACCCTCCACGCAAATCGCTGATTGAAGCGCACCTTGATTGAAACCGACGAGCCTTCCAAGATGTCCTACATACCGGGCCTCACCCTTCCTTCGTCTGTCTTCTCAAATGCCCCCATCTCGATCCTCCTTCCTCTCGGCCTCGGCTTGGGATCGGGCCTGATCTCTCAACCGGGTCGGATGCGGCCCAAGACATTCTCAGATCCTTCAGCCAAAGAGATGGGGAAGTTTAGGACGGTAGAAGAACAATACAAGGCCTTAAAACAGCCTCCTTTCAGACCGCCTCCTTACGTCTTCGCACCAGCGTGGACGACGCTGTATATGATGATGGGTTACGCGGCTCACAGGGCCTGGACGACAGGCATGTCTAGCCTGAGCCCCCAAGTCGTGGAGGACACCAGAAGAGGGGCCACCTTGTACACGCTACAACTAGGCCTGAACCTCATCTACATGCCACTGTTCTTTGGCCTGGGTAGGCCCATCGAAGGCATGCTCGACATTGTCACCTTGACCGGGACCGTAGGTTACCTCACCTACGTTTGGAGCAAAGTGGACAAGACGGCAGCCTGCCTGATGGCCCCTTACCTGGCATGGCTCGGCTTTGCGACATACCTGACTGCCGGCACGGGTCACCTCAATGGCTGGACAATGTCGGGCACTGAAAAGAAGGAGGACACTGCCGTGGAAAAGAAGGAATCATAGTCGACGTGTCGGCAGTTCCTCGAACGCTGACAGGGTATAGCAGAGCGTCTGCCCTTTCATCAGTGTTTCTATTCCAAGTTCTATATTACGTCGTTGATGTCACAACGCGACGATATGTAACGCAAAGGTTGTCGCTTTCTCTGACACTGCGAGAATTGCTGTCAGGGGAGGCTTGGGAATCTCTACCATCGATGCTAATTGACCATCTAATACGCTTCTCGGGCATCTGTTCAATCGTCGGAATCTGTCTTCCTGCACTCATGAATCTCATCGACGTCAAAAACAAGCCCACCTGAATATGACAACCTCGTGCAATTGCTCCGCCGTAGAGGATGTGTAGCTCGCTTTGTATTGTGGTGGCTAACATCAGGCTGAGCAAGGCTATTGCTAGCACACACAAAGTAGTATCCCAGAATCATAAGAATAGCCGCCTTCAATCGTTTACGAGCAAATCTGACAAGTTGGAGAAAGATGAATTTTGTTCTCATACAACTCAGACATATCTTCATTAGGATGTCTTGACCATGGGCATTGGCTAGCTAGCTTCTCACAAAAATGGCATGGCACCGAGTTCTTTCCATCTCCATTTCAAACATTCAAACAAAAGGGGGGGTATCTGGCACTGTGCAAATTTTCAAACAAAACAAAGTCCTCTTCGACCTCAGGATAGAAGTCTTTCGATATCCCTCAGAGTCCCCGTGCGTTCCTGTCTCTTCATTCCAGCGTCTCTTTCGCCAAACGCCTCGCTCGCGAGCTTCCTCTTCCTCGCCTGTATCTCGAGCACTTCATCTTCAATCGTGCCCTCGACGATCAGTCGTACCACTTTGCAGTCTCGCGTTTGTCCGAGCCGGTAGACCCGGTCGACTGCCTGATCCTCAATCGCCGGGGCCCACCACGAGTCGGCCAGGATGACTTGATTGGCGGCGACGAGGTTCAGCCCGACCGAGCAAACCGAGAGGGACGCCAACATGATCTTGCACGATGCGTCGTTGTTGAGAATGTCCATCGCGGCATCACGACGTGCGGAATTCATTTTGCCGTCCAGGCGGGTAAAGTTCAGTCCGTCGCGGAGGAGTTGGGCCTGGACAATGTCCAAGAACGACGTCCACTGCGAAAAGACGACCGTCTTGCCTTCCGCCTCGGCATCGGCAGCTTTCAGCAGCTTGACAAGCGCCTCGATCTTGCTACTGCTTGTCTCTGGATCGATGTCAACATCACGCTCGTCGTCGCCTTCACCGATGCCCGCGGCAGGCTCGACAAGCTTCTCCTTCTCTTCCAAGGGCGCGCGGCACATGGGGCATTTTTGTTGCGTCGTTATGACCCTCTCGATGCAATCTCGGCAGAAGACGTGAGCGCAACCCGTGATGACGGGGCTCTTCAGGGTGTCAAGGCACACGCAACAGTCCTCCTGTGAGTCGATACGGAGCTGCAATAGATCCTGAAGAGCCTTTCGGTTGGCAGGATTCAACACATCCACTGTGGTATCCCCTTCCACAAGCTCTAGCAGCTTTCTGACTCGCTCGTCGCCACACATTTTCCAATGATTGCAAGTCTGACGTAGTCTGAGAAGAACCTCAAGGAGATGCGTCATGTTGTTTTCTCCCTTCTTGACCTTCACGGCCTGGAGCAGACCTTGACCTTCTGCTTTGAATGCATCGTAGCGTTCCTGCTCATGAGGCAGGAAGCGAACGGTATACTTGTGGAAGCTGAGACCAGGAAGCTTCAAGTCAATAAATTTCATGTCTTTCATTCGACGGAGGCATAATGTTGACATGAGGGCTTGCAGCAGCAGACGCGAGTTGCCGTCGCCGTTCTTAAGAGGCCGAATTAAGGCGGAGTTGAAGATCTCGAACTCTGCTAAACCGCCAGACAAACGCAAAAACTTGACATGCGAGTAGAGGTCTTTCAAGTTATTCACAATAGGCGTGCCCGTCAGTACCCAGCGAGACCTAGCATCCAGTTTGGAGGCCGCCAAGGCCATTTTGGTCTTTGGGTTGCGAATCTGGTGGCCCTCGTCCAGGACGAGTCGTCGCCAAGTAATTGAGAATAAACCCTTTGCTGCAGGAGTCTTGATAGGCTCTGAGGAGCGATTTGGGAAAAGTTCCTGCGTCATGGTCTGATAGGTCGTAATCACAAGATCATACTTTTGCAACTCTTCCCGAGACAGGTCTTTGTTCTCCGCGCCGTGGTATGTCAATATCCTCGGTGTGTATTTCTTCCTAACGTGTAAAGACGCTTGATGACTCCAGTTACTCATGACACCCAAAGGGGCAATGATGAGGGTAGGTTGGCCATTTCTGTGTGGGTCAGCCATGAGGAGAGATATGATCTGAATAGTTTTGCCTGTATATTTCACATCAATAGGCTATCACTTGAAAACAATCTTGGGTGATAAACACGACTTACCAAGACCCATATCATCAGCAAGGATCCCACCACTAGCAAGCTCTGGAGCTTTGCTGAACGTGAAATTCGTGGCGATGTTGGTGTAGAATTTACCGTTCTTCTTCCACATCTGCACGACATCATCGCTCTTTTGGGGCAAAGTTGGGAATTCATGGTCTAGCATCCACTGGAGCCCTTGCCGCTGATATGGAAGTAGGTGTGTTGCAAGTTGCGTGGGCTGCTCGGCCATTGGCATCTTCTCGAGAATATCCTCTCCAGCACCAATTCTGTGAAGCATGTCCTGAACATCGCGGGGATTGAAAGTCGTGGTACCATTCAGGATTTGATCCATGCTTTCCGATGGTTGACTCCCACCGATGGTTGAGGGACTGAGATTGCTGTATTTGTTGGAGGCTTGATGACCATATACAGCATTACCCTTCCAGGCCATGACCGCTGCTGCCTTCTCTCTTGATTTCCTTTCCTTTTCCTGTTCTTGTAGGCGTCTTTTGAACTGACCATACTGGTTCAAAGGGAGTCTCAATTCCTGCATCCTGCGAGCAAGGGCAGACGCGGCGATAGGATCACTGGTTCCGAATAATTTGAGGCCGATTGGACAGTCATAAAACGTTTGTGCGCCCGTAAGACAGCCCTCAACAAGCAGCTGTCCGGAGTCCATCTGCAGAAGCATTAATACTGGGCATTCAAGGAAAAGGAACAGAGAGCGTTTAAGACAATATCAACGTGGGACAAAAGAGCGCAGGGACAGAGACACTTACCAAGGGAGCCAGCTTGGCTGCCACCTGCCTGTTAATGTGCCCAATTTGATCACGAAGCACATTGTCAATTCGAATGGCGTTGCTGTCGTAAGGATTGCCCGGCTCACGCTTCACTTTCACATATTCTCCAGTCGTGGCTTGACCATGGTAGAATCTGCAGCCCACAATCTTAGTATCAAGGATACCGTACAGCTGATAGCTCTCGTAAACATCATCGTCAAAGTCTTCGGTCAGGACGATCTCGCGTGCGATGTCAGCTTCTTGTTCTTGCGTGGAAAGCCACAGATCTCTCTCCGAAGAACGATACGTTTGTACGCTGGAATTGTGCTTGGAATGATGACTTGAAGAGCTAGGCTGGCTGGATGAGGGCGGGGTGGGCAAAGGTGCACGATATCGCTGGGAAGAATGAGATGACTTTTGCTTCGGTACTTTTGCCCTGGGTGGCCGTGGAAGGTCATTGTCATCACCTGTCAGGTCCACAGTCTCGATCTTTCTTTTTGGCATGTTCTTGGTGGATCCAGGCGTGGGAAAAGATGGTGGCAGAATTCGGGGCATGATGTCGAGCATGCCCTTGACCAAGACCTAAGGGGTGGACATGAGTTCAATTCAAACAGATGAGAGCAACTCCCGCACAGGCGAAATGGAGTTATGATGCTATTGATAATGGATGAAAGTGAAGTGCCTACGGAGGCGTGCACCAAAACGCTAGTGAGTGCTAGAGACAGAAATAGCTTAGTCCCATAATTCTTATGACGGTTTAAAAAGACATTATATTTTTGGACCTTTTGGGTAAAGAGTACCTAATAAGGCCTGTAGTGACTACCAAATAAATAAGGAGGATAAAACCCTAGAGTGTCTAGACTATTAGCTATGACCATCCCTAAAAGTTTAGCAGAGAGTACATATTTTTTAGGCTCTATTAGGCGCCACTTGCCTAAACGCTCAAAAAAAACATGTCTTTTGAAATTGCTAATTAAATGACAGAGCTAGACTATTTTTGATGTTTAGCGCACTATAGAGGGAGGGTTAACAACATTTGGTGCACGCCTCTGTGAGCCTGAAATTAGAAGCTTGACGCGGGCAAGGTTTGTGCAAGGTATCGCGAAATCACGTGATATTTAAATGGACAGGCGCAAACAATGAGGCAGTCCTCCGTAATCTGTAGATGAAACGAATATCCTTGCAGAGAAGTATGGATTGTCAATCTAGCCTAAGTGTGGCGCTCAATACTATCGGAAAGCCCAAATTGTGTCTCACAGTATGTCTTCATCCTCGTCTGTGTCAAATTCAGGATCAATGGTAGGAATTTCTGAGTCGTCACTATCACTCCCATCTTGTGGAAAGTGTTTGCGTGCTGTGTTATTCGACACCAGATGACCACCAGATGCTGGCACTTGAGCCTGCCAATTCACAGTCTGTGGATTCAATTCCCCAACAATATCTGTGTCAGCATCCAATTCACTTGGATCAGCGTTCATATCTTGAGTCATCGGCCTGACTGCATCTTCAGAAAGTGCTTCCGAGCGCGGCTTCTTTGGTTCTCTCGACTCAACCAATCCGGACGAAAGGACCTCAATGCTCTCGACGTCAGTTTCCATGACCTCGATCGACCTTTTCTGTGCTCGAATACCCTGGTTGTCCTCCACGCGGGGAATCATCTTAGCATAGGTCTCATCCGCATTGGCTTCTGGAGCCCCTGTATCTTCGTTCTGTTGTTCTGCGACTGACTGTTCCAGATGGACCAATATATCGGTCTTGTCCAGGCCATCGTGTTCATGCTCTTCGTCATCCGAAAGCTGAGCTTCCGACTCCTTTCGAACATGGGGTCCACCATCACTAAATACTGGCATACGTGGTCTGAGCAAGGCCTCCAATGCCATGTTGTCTTGGGTAGACCGAGCCAGGAAGGGCAACAAGCTTGCACCAACAGCTTTGCCGTCCTTCGATTGTACCGGGTTCAGAACACTTGCCAACACGGCATCCTCATGGTTCAGTAAAACTGCAATTCTGTCCAGTTCTGCCCTTATATGCCGGGACATGGACGAAGCTGGGTAGTACCTTAATGCCTGAGACAACAAGGCCCAAGCAGCTTCAAATACCTCTGGTTCCTTGCAGAGAGAGCCAGTGTCGGACCTACCATTGCTATTGGGGGTCGAGTTAAAACCCAACCGAATGTTATCGTTCTTTGCAATGGTAGCGGTACTGTCGGCCGTCGTCCGTAGATATCCTGTTTTCACATCGACACAGCAGCGCTCCAATATACTCAAAAAAGCGGTCCGGTGACTCTTTAAGGCATGGATATCAAGCTGCATCATGATATTCCCAAGGATAGAATAGATATCAGACCTGATACCTTCATGCCATGACATATTTGCAAAGAGGTCAAGAATCTGGCTTACGATTGTCTGTTGTAAGGGAACGAGAGCTCGTCCAAGGGATGAGCACAATTTTGCAAGAAGTCCAAGGCATGCCCTGTGAACTTCGGGCAAATTTACCCACAACTCTTCCTTTTCTTCCTTGCTTGCCTCTTTGTGATACTTCAAGTCGCTGCTATTCCCAGGCTTGCCAGATGGAACGGTTATCACCATGAGACGAGCTGTTAGATCGATAACTGCTCCAATTGGCAAAGGCAAACTTTCCGCCGAGGGTATAGACGTCAAACAGACTAGCCATTGTAATATCACCCTGAGCCTATGACTGCCTTCATTAATTCCAGCCCAAGGAGGAAGTCCGGCTGAGTCTGATTCCGCTTGTTTTGGGTCTTTAGCGAAGTTCGGCTTGCCTCTAACTCTTCCAAAAGTGGGATCATTGGACTCGTGTTCCTCGACAACGGCTCGGAATACTTTGTCGGCGGTGGTGTGTGCCCCGTTGATCAGATCACGGCCCATTGAAATCGAGTCTTGGATGATTGTAGTCTTCGGAATAGACCATAGCAGCCAGCAGAGAAGTCGTATGGCCAGATCCCGCTGGGGTGCACGAGCTTCAATATCCGCAATGACGCTGACACAGATGGGCTTCAATTGATTGAGGAATGGTCGAAACACTGAGGCGTATTTTGGAAGCAGGCGGATCCAGCAGGTCAGTACCGAACTCAGTAAGGGACTGGCGACATTCTTGCTACCATTACTAGTTCGAATACTTGTTGGTCGTATTAGGTTGAGAGTGGTTTTGATGAAGGTAGGAAGTAGCGGCGTGGTAATCTCTCGAACCAAGGCCGGATCATCCTGAGTCAGGACGAAGATTCGAGTAAGAGTGATTAAGTAAAGTGTCTTGACTTCGACAGTATCCGGCTTGTTCATGCAATTGAGAAGACCTCTGGCCCAGCTTTCCGTAACACGAAGGACGTTTTCACCACCATTGTCAATAGATGCTTTGACCAGAACAGCACCCGTAAAACGACCAGCAATGGACTTTTCTTGGAGTAGAGAATTGATTCGAGTTTTCAATTTGTGCACCGCAACTGAAGCAGTATTGGCCTTGCTATCCGCGAACTGTAAGTTCAGTGAACAATTCGCCAACTGTGCCGCAAGCAAGCCTGCAATACGAGGCAAATCATCGACTGCTGTAACAGTGAGCCGATTTGCTACTGCACGCAGCACATTCTCGTGTTGCATTTTTGTGTCTGTAGGAAATACAAACAAATAAATACCATCCCTAAGGAATCTTGGAATTTTTTATGAATCGGCAAGAAGTGATGCCGAAGTTTTGCCATGTGCATTCATTGTACCCGACAACAAGCCAATTTCATAACTGCGACTGTCTTCTTCAGTGTCTTGTTTTGCAACTGGAGCGTGTCTCTACAGTTGGCTTCGCGAACCTCAAGAGCAAAATGTCACAATTGAGGAATCCTTGACGGGGACGTGCTCTCGATAACCCAGGTGTCACGATGAGTGTAGGTCCTGTCTGCCCGACTGTCATGAAGCGTCCCCTCTAATCTATACCAGGTCCATCAGGACAAGGCCCAGCGCTACATCAGCCTGCTAGACACTGCGCGAATCAGCGCCAATTGGCAAGAGCTTCCAGAACTTATACGCAAAGTCACAAAGCACGCTCCAGACCGGAAATGTATAGTTCCAACCTTGTGGTAGTCCTTGCTCTGACCCCTCTCCGCAGGCTTGATACAGACCGCCAAAGTCGAATATAGTGTTGCGAGCTCACAGAGCCAACGTCCCAATACCGCCTCCAGTAATCGCGCTCCTACAGAAAGCGATATAACCTCCCTCGAGGCAGAAATACGAGCTGGCGGGCAGCCATTTGAAGACTCGGTACAAGGACAGGCGGCGTTGCTTTGGGCTCAATGGGCTGGAGGAAACAAGCAGAAGAAACATTCACAAATCACTTTCGAACCTTCTCGCACTGCGGCAGATGTGAATTCGGTATGGACAAAAATATGTGTGGTGAAGGCTGTTTACATACAGGGCATGTTCATGAGTCAAGGCGGCGACGAACAGCAAGGACAAGAATTACACAGTACTCTTCTGCCATGGCTCGACTCAAATCGGAGCCTCGTTGTCTCAACTCCGCAACTATTATACTGGGCGCAGCAACTGCTCGGTCGGATAGCCTTGGGTCAGCGACCAGCCGAAGCCAACTCTTTCCCGGCCTCAAACAATGACACCACATCTTTCAGACTGCAAGCTTTCCGTCACTGGGCAGTACTGACAGCAAAAGCTCCAGATGTGTCTCGTTCAACATCTGGAAATTCACTGGGCCATCTATCCAAACTGATGATGTGGAGAGCTTACTACAGATTCATCTCGGACATCCTACTAAGGAAACCTCGCACTCCACAATCGTCGCCAATGAATGCTCGAGCCGATTTGTCAAATGAGCTGCGCCGAGTAGAGACCTCCTACGAAAATGAGCTCTTGCGAAATACGCAGTTTCCGAAGGCCGATGGATCCAATCAGGTTATTGAAGAGTGGGTGGAAGAGTTTATTCGGAATTGGTGCATTCTCTGCGGGCCAGATTGGTCGGAGTCAGATCTGGGCGAGGGTGGACGTGATGCCGTTGGTAGGAACGTGCTTGACATGCTATATCGGGCTGCGACGAAAACATTTCATTCAACACTCATCTTCCGGCGACTATTTCAAGTTCACAAGGCACTGGCTGACTTTGACCTCGCCTACAAAGCTCTGGACACGTACGTCGAACTTATGGATCGAGCCCGAGCGGCCGCGTCCCAAGCCGGTGGCGAGTCCACCAAGAGAGATAGCGATCACATTTATCTTCAAACCATTGCCGAGGCCGTTGAAGGGTTGTCTTCTTTCGGTCGCGCCGGAGAAGCTGAGAAGGGGTATAATTTATCCCTGAAGCTTGAGGACTTGCTTGATGAATTAGAGCCCCAGCCAGATGTGAATGTTCTGAATGGCTCGAATCATACTAGTGGGGACCCGGTCACCAACGGGTTTTCAACGGAGCCTCTGCCCCCCGAAGTGGTCGAGGTTGTGTATCGAGCTATCGGTATTGGTAAAGCGCAGTGGGCTCGATTCACACCAACCAGCGAAGGCCGTTCCAACCTGCAGTCTGATGCCATTGAAAGCCTCCGGAAGGCTGCTTCTCAAGATCTTCCAGTTGAACAGAGATTAAACTGTCTTTTCGCTCTAGGCAGGATGCTCGGAGAAACACGCGAGATCGACGAAGCGATTGCGGTGGTGAAGCTTGCGTTGAGTTGCGACTCGAACGAAGTGGCAGCAGATCAGACGTATGATCTACAACGAGACTTGATCCCTTTTTGGCACCTGCTAGCATTGCTCTTGTCTTCCAAGCAGAACTTTGAGATCGCCAGCCAAAGCTGTGCTGCGGCATTCGAGCAATTTCCGTCATCGGATATCATTTTTGGTGTTGGTCGTGGCGCTGCAAGGAGCGGCGAGAAACAAATGAGAGGTCAGCATCAGGTCGGCCTTGTGGATGATATGGAATGCGATGAGCTTCAGAGAATTATTGAAATCCGGATCTCCGAACTCGCATTGACGGAGCTCTCGGAAGGTCCTGAGCATGCGGTCAATAACAGTAATGACTTGCTTGCATTATATTCACGACTGTTTGGGCGCCACGGCACCCTTACTCTCGCGGATGAAAGATCGAGGTCGAGAACCAAAATATTACAAGTCCCTAAAAGCTCGGCCGGCACAATCAAGAGTTCGAAAGGCAGCATATTCTCTCGACGGGCTGGCAGGCTGCATGAGTCTCCCAAAGCTCAGAAAGCGCACAGCACGCCATCTGTCGCTGAGGAACCCCGTCGTCCCGATACACAGACAACGCAAGCACCAACGATACATGTCACCAACGAAGACGAAAAGCCGTCGCCACATAAACACCGTCTATTCCGGACTTCTCATGAGCATTCCAAAGACGAAAAGCGACATGGGTCAAGACGCCTCTCACGGTCGCGTAGTCGCGGTAGAACCGACCCTGGTCATAAATCGGATACTGGCGAGTCATTCGAAACAACGCCAGAAAAAGTGAGCAATTCAGAAGAGCCATCACAGCCTGCTTTAGAAACAATCACTTCTCAAGACGTCCCAGCTGTACCCGCCTCGACCGATCACGACGAGAGCAGCGATACCAAACAACCTTTGAAGGAAGTTCCGCATAATCTTGCAACACATGACACAATGCCACCGCCTGTACAGCACCAACAGCAGCCTCCGGAGCAGGATATACGTCTACCAACGAGAGTGCCCTCGGACCTAGTACCTCGATTCCCCCAGACTGCATCGCAACGCCATGCCCTCAGTATTCTAGTCAAGATCTGGTTGATCATTGCCATGCTGTATCGACGGGCCAAAATGTTTGACGATTCACGCGAGGCATGTGATGAAGCGGCCAAGGTGGCATCAAAGCTTGAAAGCATCATTGCCAGTGTGGAAAGCTCAGCCCGGGCTTTTAGCAGTGCTGGCTGGGGTGGTGGTGGCAAAAGTTCTGACGAGCTATGGGCTGATGTCTATTGCGAACGTGCCGAGCTTTTGATGGCGATCGCCCGAGAAAAGGAAGAAAAGGAAGGCCAGGTGTGTTCTGAAGGGGTACGCGATGCTGTTGAGCAATACGAAACATGTCTGATGTGTTTTGTTGACCACCCTGGAGGAATCGTGGGACTTAGCACCGTGTTACTGGACTATTATGAGCGCAAGGTTGAATTGGCTAGACGAGTCGATAGTGGTCCGGCCAAGATGGGAGAAACGCCGGCCGACAGGGGCCGGAAACAACACCGACGAGAACTGAGCCGTTCCTCTGACAGTGCTGCAATTAATGGAGGGCCGTTGGACACAGATACGACGGCTGGCTCAACGACGGCTCTACCGTCACGAGGAAGCAAGGACGACGAGCTGAAGAAGACTCCAGAGAACCTCAACAGACTAGCGGCAAGAGACCGCGCATATGGGTTGTTATCTAGCCTGACAAAGCTGGGGTCCGGCTGGGACAACTCAGAAGCGTGGTTTGCGTTGGCGCGAGCACATGAACTCGGAGGAGAAGTGGACAAAGCCAAAGAGATTCTATGGTGGTGCGTTGAGCTGGAAGATTCACGGCCAATCCGACACTGGTCCAATCTCGGGTGCAGTGGCTACGTACTTTAGGAATTAATTTGGAAGGGGGTCGAGTGATGTTTAAAACGCGTTTCTGGAAGTTTCTGTAACATCACCGTGATTGAGAAGTACGGAGCATACGGAGTAGAGTATTTTGTATCAGCACTCTCTGGTCGTTCTGGCCAAGTGTTACAGATTCGGAGGCCGACAAGGACGGCGGCTTCTGAGGAGGCGGACTGAGGCTGAGGCAGCAAGCCGGCGTGTCTAAAGGACAAGCTGACAACCAACCGTTCAAAGAAGCGAGAGAGGCTGACAAGTCAAACGAGAGTGCCGGATGATGAATACGAATCCTTTCAATAATGTTATTGCAATACTCCGTATATCCGTATGTTAGGCATCCTCGGATAAGCGCTGAAAGTGCCGGCTTCAATATTTTTAGACCAAGGCACCAACAATCACCGGCCCTACTGTACGGCTCTCCACGCCTTTGTTCTACTGTACAGTAGGTACTCCGTACTTGGTACCTTGTACAGTATCGACTTGGCCGGGACGAGGGTCTGAGCCTCTACCTGCAGGCATGATGACACGCTTGGCTACAGAGTGTGCTGAAACACACACACACACACACACACACACACACACACACACACGCAGCAATCATCTTGTGACTTGACCTTGTCCATGCATGAGGACAGAAATACTCAATATTTCGAGAGGCACCTACAAAAGACAAGAGCAGATGCACTCTCGTCGGAATGTTTCGTGGTCTTTGTCGTCACCACCACCATCGCAAGCATCATCGTCATGGGTGTGTTGCCGCGTAATGTTTTTCGCCATCCAAGTTGGTCTGGGGCCCAGATCGGGACCTCTGGGCGAAGCTGGGCGGGATCACCACTTTTATTTAAGCCTGCCAGACCGTACAGTACATGAGTCGTATTACCAGGAACCTAATGGTCGGAGATTCGGGTCTTGGTAGCTTTGGAAGAGGCACATCGGCACCCATTGAGCCCTAAACCGCGTCATCCCGGCGTCTTCCCTGGGCATTACGGGGGGGACTAGTGAGTAGTTGTAGGCGACCAGGACTTCCTTCTTGGGGGGGCCTCGTCCACTAAGCCTCGTAGCCCCATGAATATTCAATGGTGATAGGTTCATTCCGCCCTTTTGCTTAGTCTCTCGCCAGCCCACTTTGTTACTTTCCCGCCTCTCCGACCTTTGCGAAACCCTCACTTACTCGTAAGTCCCCGGCCACCATGGTTTTTCCCTGCTGCGCCATGTCACTGCCCATTTTCCACACTCGAAATAATATATTCCCAGCGCATGGGCCCATGATGTCGCTGCTGCTGACGAAGTACTCTTTACACGGATCTCGGATGGTACGCAACAGTACCACGTACCTTGGGGTATTACTAGAAGAAGAACAAGTCTAAGTTGAGGTCCAGTTCCTTTTTCCTTCTTACTACTTTTGTTGCTTCATTCATTCCTATATCCTCATTATTAGCCTTACCACCGACAAGACACAGTCGTTTGCTTTGTGTTAATGAAAACCTAGCACTGCAGCTCCCCCCATCGATCCATAAAAGCGCGTACCACCCACTGTCTTTTGATTTACATACTGGTCATTGCTTTGCCATGAAGCACTCCACAGCCGTCATGGCCCTTGCGGCTCTGACAGCTGCTCCTCTTGCCTCCAGCCTCGCCATCAATAGTGCTCGATCTTCAAGCCCCAGAGTCGTCGGAATGCCGATTCAGAGGAGACACGTTTCAGACCCCATTGCTCATGATCGAGCACGGTTAAGGAGGAGATCAGGGACAGTACTACAGGACTTGGACAACGAGCAGAGTCTGTACTATGCCAACATCACACTCGGGACACCACAACAGGCGCTACGGTTACACATCGATACGGGGAGTTCAGATCTGTGGGTGAATACGGCAAGTTCCAGCTTTTGCTCTTCGAGACAAGACCCCTGTGAGGGTGGGACGTACGACTCCTCGGCCTCTTCGACCTACAAACTGGTCAACAACCAGTTCAACATCTCCTACGTCGACGGGTCCGGAGCGAGCGGGGATTATGTCACCGACACCTTGAACTTTGGCGGCGTCGCCATCACCGACTTCCAGTTCGGCATCGGCGAGGCCTCGAGCTCGGAACAAGGCGTGCTGGGAATTGGGTACGCCTCGAACGAAGTGGCCGTCAACCGCGCCGGACTCGACGCCTACCCCAACTTGCCCGTGGCGCTGGTCAACGGCGGCCTGATCGCCTCGACCGCGTACAGTCTGTGGCTGAACGACCTCGACTCGTCGCAAGGCGAGATCCTCTTCGGCGGTGTCAACACGGACCAGTACGAGGGGGAACTGGCCACCGTCCCCATCCTCCAGAGCTACGGGGGCTACTACGAACTCTTGATCGCCCTCTCGGGCCTCTCCAACGACGGGAACGACCTCTCCGCGTCCAGTTCCTTGCCCGCCGCCGTCCTCCTCGACTCCGGCTCGACCCTCACCTACCTCCCCGACGACATCGTGACGAGCGTCTTCAACCAGGTCGGGGCCGTGTACTCGGACAGCCTGGGCGCCGCCTACGTCGAGTGCAACATCGGATCCGCCACCAAGACCGTCGACTTTGTCTTCTCCGGGCAGACCATCAAGGTGCCCTACGACGAGCTCCTCCTCGACGCGGGCACCAACTCGGCGGGCCAACCCCTGACGTTCGAGAGCGGCGAGGCGGCCTGCCTCTTCGGCATCGCCCCGACCCAGAGCGGCGGCACCGCGGTCCTGGGCGACACGTTCCTCCGGTCCGCGTACGTCGTGTACGACCTCGCAAACAACGAAATCTCGCTCGCCCAGACCGTCTTCAACTCGACCACGGATAACGTGAAGGAGATCTCAAAGGGCTCCAACGGCGTGCCCAACGCCACGCCCGTGTCGAACCCCGTGACCCAGGTCGTGTCTTCGGGTCAGTCTGGAGCCAGGATCGGAGGCACCTCCGCGACGGTCACCGGTACCCTGAGCAATTCCGCCGCTCCGGGACTCAACAAGAACGCACCCTTGACCACCATCGTCGGCACCTTTGTGGCCATCGCCGGTCTTGCATTGGTCGTATGATGAGAGGCTATGATCAACCATATCTGCCTCTAGGACATTGTATTCGATTTATTCGATGCTCCAACCCCCTTGTCGACGAACCGACCTCCTTTTCCGACTAATTTGACAAACCCCTCGACCTGATGAATCTCTACACCTCTGTCTCATGGCGAAAAAATATTATGAACCACGAGTTTTGACGAAAGCCTGCCTTTGTCTTTTTTTTGTTTTGAGCGAAGATCATGAATGAGCCATCCTTTCATACGACCATAGACGGCTCCCCTTTGGATATTTTTATGCCATATGGATATATGGGAGTCGGTATATCACTGCATAGCGTTGCATTTTGATGGCGAAATGGGTTGGGAAATGATTCAAGCACGTACGGAGTACGACGGAGTTGCGAGGTTTTGCACATATCACAGCGCTGGGTACGGAGTACCTACCTAGGTATATATTCTCGACAGGTCCGGTCTTTGTCTGTCGCATCTGACGGCGTTTTGTATATGTATCCCCTACATTTACGAGGAAATTACGTAGCGTTATCGTCCTTGACGACCAAGATGTTCACACGCACCACACAATATTCCTCCTTTCCTTTCTCCCTGTTTTTCTTATCATCACGGAAGTATGAGCATCTTCACTCTGAAAACACTGGTGAAAATTAGCCAACTAACCTAGCTAGGTACCTTGGTCTGTCACCTCATCTTACTCTGCCGTGAACGTGTGCATATACGAGTGGCGCGTACGTGTACGTGTACATGTACATGTATAGCTGACCAGTCACGTACCTCTTAACAGGTAATAGGCATAAGAGTCTACGTGTACATATCATGGACATGTGCGCTACACCAAAACACAATTTTTTATTTATCATCCAAAGACACCACGCTTCACATAATCATCATGTACCCAGACTCGACTTTCTTTTAGACTACTTTTCCCCCTCTTTATCGGTCGACACCGTGCGCTTGAGCCTGTCCAATACTAGGTTTCGAACTGCCGACTCTGATTCCCTTTGTTGTGAAACTGGGTTGTATATTCGAAGGACTAGACCTCCCTGACCCGGATACCGATGCCGAGCGTGACGTGGTCTGTGGTTGTTGTTGTGGTTGTCGCTTCGCACCTGCCTGCGGTGCTTCATTCTCATCCTCTACTCGATCTTGTACAACCTGGGCATATGTCTGCGGTTGCGTTTGTGAATGTAGCGTTTGAATTTGTTCCGGTGCTGACGACGACGAAGGTGATCCCGACACTTTGATGCTTGCATTTGCTTCTGTCGGATCTGCATGTCCACCAATGCCGGGTGATCGCGAAGTTGAAATTGCAATCATGGGACTTGCGTCATCTGACCTGCCCAGCGCATCTGCTCTGTTTTCTTTCATTGCTTGCTCATCATCCTTGATGAGTTCGTAGTTCTGCTCGTACCAACGCATCAACTCTCTTGCACGCAGGCCGGCTGTGTCATCACCATTCGTAGTGTCACGAAAACCCGCCGCACGGGGTTGTCTCTGGGTTAGATCCGCGGGGTAAGCATGCTGGTGATACGGTTGTTCGCGAAGGTGCTGTGCATAGGATTTGACTCGTGATGTTCGCGGTGTATCACCCGTACCATCAAAATCTGAGTACGAGCTTTCATCTTCTGACCAGTTGCTGCCGCTGTTCTGCCGTCGATGGAGATGTGCGGTGTCTGCTATTGACAGAGCTAAGCACTTGGGTATACCGTTGGAGTTGCGGCCCAATGCATAGTACCGCAACGACTCGAGCACGTGGGGAAACACGAGATTATGAACGTCTTGTGCCCAGAGGAAGTCTAGATGCTCGAAATGAGGAATTTCCGTAGCTATGGTATGCCGGGGAAGCTCTTTCAGCATGACGCGAATGTCCACCAATGAGTCGCTACCTCCATAGACGAGGACAATAGGTGTTTTGATATTTCGAGTGGGAAATTTGGCGACTTTGTAATATCGGTTGCTGGCGCCGACGGAGAATTTGTTGGATGCATCGTCGTCGTACATCTGGAACGATTTGTTCCTAATGATCTGAAACCAGTGTACCACAGATTTGGTACTTGTGAAGCTGTATAAATGAGGATACGCCGCTAGCTTCTGTTGGACGGTAATGTTGCGTCCGTACCAGGCGAAGAGGAAAGAAAGGGACATGTCAATCAAACGCACAAAAATGGGTGGGTACAGGATAGACTGCCACATCGTCGCCGAAGACAAAATCGATTTGCGGCCGAATGCCAGGAAGAGGACGTCAGGACTAGCCTTGACCAGCGAGTCGACGATACCATTGCTGAGACCAGCTGGAGACATTGCTGGTGCGAGAGCAATAAAAACATTGACTTTGTCGTTCAGGCCAGGATGAATCGAGAGTGTGGCAAAGGCTTGCGCTGTGCCTTGGCTGAAGCCGATATAAGAAAGAGATGACTGGGATGTCGTGTTGAGAATGTAGTCAATTGTGTTGGGAATATCGTGAAAGGCAAACTCTTCGATCGAGAAATCCCAGAACTTTGTTGACGTTGACGAGAATTGTGTAGACTTTTTGCTGTATTTGTTGCCGCGATTGTTTCCCAGCCAAACATCATATCCCTGACTAGCAAGCGTAAATGGGAGACACCGTTCTTCTTCCGTCAAACAAACCCAGACCTCGCTGTTCATGAGCAAGCCATGATGCATATAAACCACCGGCTTGCGCAGGGAATCAGGTCCTGCATTCACCGCATGGACACTCTGCTCTTCACCCTTCCGGAATGGCAACCGGTGTACACCAAGGAGGTATCCATCTGCCGTTTGCACAACATGTTCTTCTGCGTAGTATCCAAAAAGAGCACAGAGCTCGGTAAAGTCGGCGCAAGTGGCGATGTGGTGGTGTCTAGATTTACGATCGGACCGAGCTTGTTTCGACTTTGGGGACGAAAGTCGGTTGAAAAGTTTCTTTGAGGTATTGTAACAGAAGCGTATTATAGGTTGAGCTAGATCGCTGTCAGTTCAGTCCTCCGCCAGGGAAAGACAGTCTCTCGCAGCACTCACGCAATCCGAGGGTGATTATTCGAACAAGAACTTCCAGAGCCACGAGTATCAGGGATCCTACCAATGCCAGGTACTCTCTCCTACACGCCGAAGTTAGCCAGAGGAGACATGTGGATGGTTCGGACTACACACAAGTAGAGTCGGCCGATAAAGGGGACTCGCGCCATTGTAGATCGGAAATTGGTACAATTAAAACAACGACGGGAAGCAAATTTCATGCAATCTGGACATCAAAGGCCATAATCGAGTCAAACATGAGGTTTTGGTAAGCAATAGACCGCAGCATCGGTCGAGGTCAGTGGGAAGCACATGTTTCTGCAGCGAAGACAAGGATGAGAATCGACTAATACTGCGTTGAGAGGTGCGAAAGACGTCACCGGGATACGCAGCGCTAGCTTAATGAGGCTAGGGCCATTATACTGGAATTCTAGTCACGTGATTGACAATTTCCAGCTCGCAGGATAAATTTAATTTCAGCACACGATTTCTCAAAGGTTTTTCCTTCCTTTCCACAAAATTGAACAACGCAAATCCACGTCCAATCTAAAAGCACTTCTTACGAGGTCACCTAATGGTTGCCCATGATGTACAGAATTCGTCTATTGGAACGGAGAACAACCAATTTGGCTGATCTTGGGTGCAGTGTCAGTCGCGTCCTTCTGGATATGACTGGGATTGCAATGATCGACCATACAGTCCTACCAATTTTATTTTTCTTTGCCAGTAACGTACATGTCATGGGTATCTCGCAGCATAATCATACAGATTCCTACCAGTCACTTGCTCTCTAGCCATTGTTCAAGCCGGTCAACAAGATCTGCCTTTTTTCCGGTCACCGAAAGCTTCTTCGCTCCGCAGACTTCTTTCAGTTGGGCAACTGTCAAGCTTGACAATGTGCCCTTCTGCCACAGACTTCGCACCTCGGCCTCACTCATTCCGTCCCCTCCTTCCGTCTTTGCCTTCTTTGCCACTGACCCTGAAGCGGCGGATGCATGACCGTTGGTATATCGCTTCGAACCAGTAGGAACCGAGTCTGGATGATCTATGTGGAATTCTTTGAAGACTCTTTCGAGTGTTTTGCCCCATTCTATGGTTTCGTTTCCCACACGCTTGTCGATCTGCCGGTATTTCGGAATTGTCTTGTCCTCGGGCTTCTCTGGAATCTCATCGTCGAGCGCTAGTGCCTGTAGGATGCGATAATGCCATTGAAGGCTTGGGTTGGGGTATTTGGAAGGATCGTATATTCCTTTCGGAAGATTGAGCTGTTCTAGACCACGGATTAGCCGGTAATTGTTCTCTTATAATAGATCACCACTCACGAATTATTGGCCTCATGGCATCCACAAGGTCATCTGGAGCGTGTAGAGGCTCTTGTCTGGTTGTTGGTGGATTCGGTCGGATATCGTCCGCAAAGGGCAGTGGGATCAAATGGAGACCTTGAGGTACTCCTGTGGGCGAGATCCCAGCCACATTGGATCTGCCATCTGTAGGCTCTGCGGACATTGTAGGAACCATGGCAGCCATGGCCGGAGTGGCATTCTTTCGTGGAATAAACCAAGTCAGTCCAAAGAGTTTGGCCCTCGACAGTTTCTGATACAAAGCACTATACACACGTGTGCTGCCAACAACATGCTCTTCTGACGGATAAAGAAATGATGAATTCTTGAGGTTAGCCCACAGTGGTAATCGTGATATTGGCTTGAATCCAATTACTCTGATCACAGGCTTCCCGAAATCTCGGAGTTTCTGGGCCTCGTCCAACTTGAAAGTAATCTGCTCGCCACCAAAAGTGTAGGCTTTCCGGATTTCGGGTTTCTGGACTTGACGGGTGTCCTCGGCAACTTGTTCAGTACTTCCGGTTACGATTTGTGGTCGCTCAGAACCCAAATAGATGTAGCTGCTTCTGGCTGGTTTTTGGTGCTTATAGAGCAGATATCCCTTTACCGATATTTCAAGACCTGGACCGATCTCAAGTGGAACGGATGAGAAGAGTGCCCTTTTGGGTGTAACCTTTGAGGCAATGCTGGTCAGAAGAGCTTGTAGTAGGGATATGCCATCGTTCGAACCCGCTGCTAGCTTCGATTCATTGGAGTCAACAATGGAAGATGGATTGTATGCAATGGCATCAGGATCTGATGGCGACGCTTTGTATATGATGTCGTCGTAAAAGTGCTTTGTGTCGAAGGTATGCTCTGGGGTGGATATTGGGAACAGTTCTATAATCACACCGAGGTCGTACAAATCCTTAGCTCTGACTGTTGCTTGGGCTCGTGTCTCCTTATTGACAGCATGAGGATCATCGTTGTCTGTGACAATGAACAATCGCCTGGAGGTGAAATTGGCCGCTTTCTGTTGAAAGACTTGGTTTGCACAGAAGAGAACATTATGCATAGACACTGGCTCTTTCGAGGGCCGGAAGATGTCATTAGATTCAGGGAAATCTGCTTCGGTAAGCTCCTTCAACGCCTTGACATCTGAAGCCTCGGGAACATCCAGATCAGTCAAGAGGTAGCAATGAGGAAATGACCAGCCGCCGCCGGAGTTTTCGTCTTCATTGTAGAACTTTGTTGCTTGGGTACCATAAAGCAAGATGCCCATCAAGTCGCGAGGGGTGGAAATGATGCGTTGCTGCATCAGATGGTAGGCACATTTCAGAGCGGCGAGAAGAGGAGAAGTGGCGTCTGATTTCTTTGACCCTGATGTCTGTGGTTTCTTCAACATTGAATCGCTGACTTCGATGGCGAAGAGGACGGCATCTTTGACCGTCTTGTACCCGCTCTCATCGATCTCCTCCTCCTCATCGTCCTCTCCATCCTCTCTGGCCGCATCATCCTCTGCCTTTGATCGATAGGGTAGATCAGCCATCCTGGAAGCGTGGCAATGTCGACAAGAAATCCATGAGTTGGTGGGGCAGAAATTCCATGTCAATTGCCTCAGGTGGGAAACAGGCAGCTCGCGTTCATGCAGTCATAAGTCACCCGCAAAAGACGCGTCGACACGTGATCTGACGTCTAGATGCTCGGAGAACAATGCAATTACACTCAAGCTGAGTGGCGGAACGACGCATCATGAAACCAGAATTCCGCCTTTCGCACTTTTCAACCTGAACGGTCGGGCACTTCGGTCTATATCTTTCTCTTTATCCAACTGACTGTTTCTATCTTCGTCCGACACTTATGGCCCCGTAGCAACGATATATCGACCATCCGGACGCTCACAATGTCGATACGCCATTCGGCCACCCACCTCACCCGATCGCTGGCGACCCGCAGTCCTCGGCCAGCAGCTGGCTTACTTGGGACGAATGGCTTTCAGAAGTCATGCATGGCCACTGTGACCCCTCCTGTGACACAAAATGAAGTTGGCAAGCAAGGTCCTACAGCCATGGTTTTCATGAATATGGGCGGTCCATCTACAACCGATGAAGTGGGAGACTTTTTGAGCAGGTTATTTGCCGACGGCGACCTGATACCTCTCGGTCCCCTCCAGTCGTACCTGGGACCACTTATATCAAGACGGAGGACCCCAAAGATACAGAAACAATATGCTGCTATCGGTGGAGGCTCTCCCATTCGCAAATGGTCGGAACATCAGTGCGAAGAGATGTGCAAACTGTTAGACGAGATGTCTCCCGAGACGGCACCCCATAAACCTTACGTCGCTTTCCGATATGCGAACCCACTGACCGAGCACATGTATGAGCAACTTCTCAAGGATGGCTTCGGGAAAGGCAGAGGTGGTCGCGCAGTTGCATTCACGCAGTACCCACAGTACAGCTGTTCTACCACAGGCAGCTCTCTGAACGAGTTGTGGAAATGGCGAAACAGATTGGAAGGAAAAAGAGCTACAGGCGAAACAAACCCGGATGGCGCCATCACATGGAGTGTAATCGATCGCTGGCCGACGCACCCTGGGTTAGTGGAAGCGTTTGCACAAAACATCGAAGCCAAATTGGCAGAATATCCCGAGGAGCGAAGAAAGGATGTGGTTATCCTATTCTCAGCGCACAGTTTGCCAATGAGCGTGGTCAACAGAGGCGACCCTTACCCTTCTGAGGTGGCAGCTACGGTCCACGCTGTTATGCACAGACTAGGGCATTCACAGCCGTACCGTTTGTGCTGGCAGTCTCAAGTTGGACCGTCTGCATGGCTGGGTGCGCAAACGAGCGATACCGTCAAGCAATATGTGGCTCGAGGTCATACGGATCTGATTCTGGTTCCGATTGCCTTCACAAGTGACCACATTGAAACCTTGTACGAACTGGACTTGGAAGTGATAGAGGAGGATGCGAAGGGACATCCAGGTGTCAAGAGAGCGGAAAGCTTGAATGGAAGCCCTGCGTTCATCAAGGCTTTGGCTGACATTGCACATGCGCACTTGAAAAGCGGCGAGAGTTCTTCACGGCAGATGCACTTGAGATGTCAAGGTTGCAATAGTGAGAGATGTCTGGAGCAAAAGAAGTTCTTTGCGGGAGAGCAAGCGAAGATACTTCCCACGGTGAAGTAATGGCAAAACAATGTATATGTAGAATGTCTTGACCTACAGTGTTTTTACTACGAGTACTAATTTCAAAAGTCACTGCTCTCATACTATTCCTATCATTCTATGGAGTAACTGATCTAGGAAATTTGTGCCCTGCTCAGACCCAGTACGAGCTTTGTACGAGAATTAAATGGGAGAAATGGATTCGTGCCGGGCCTGTGAAGTTCTAAGCGAGCGAACAAGCATCTTTTGGGCGGCCATTTGCCCCTAAATCGTATTCCGTAGGTGGGTTTTAACGGGCTATCAAGCTCAAGTCCGCTGCCAGATCCAGAGATCGTTCCAGCCCCAAGCGACGAACCGGACCTCAGAACCACCCAAAATGCTCCCTTGCTCAGACCCCCAAGACGTGGATGGAACTCGTATCGTCGGAATGTACCCATCCCGGATGCCGGTCCTTCAACAAGGACAACAAGTATTCCGTACCCAGTGCGCCCAATGCCATCTTTCTCCTCTGGATACAAACACCAATTACGTCAAGACTAAACCGGTTATCTACACTCCTCTATCATTATTATCAATCAATTGTGCTGCCTGCGGTGTCTGGGAATATTCGAAAGTCCTTGTCTGTTATCTGTATTCCATCTCAGTCGCCCAGATGCGGTAAACGGGCGCCCATACCGTGTTTCGCACCTCCACCTTCATCCACCTCCCAACCTCGTATTTCAGCACAAGTTGCGACGCAGGCAGTTGATTGCTGTACTAGCGTGTGCTATCTTCCTCAACCGGCATGATGGACCCTGAAGAAGTATTTGCTGAAGAGGCACAAGAGGAGGCAGGTCTGTCGGATAATAGCGCCCCTGGTCCCGCCGTCGAGACACAATTCCACGTCGGGGATGGGGACGACGAGAGCACCGAAGGAGACGACGAGAATAGCCCTTTGGTGAGCCCGCGTCGACGCCGTAATGCCTCTCGAAAGACACCATATTCTCGCGCACGAACAAGCTATGAACGTGCCATCAATGAGCCATGGAACGGCGCACATGGCTCTCATGCGCTCCCATGGTACAAGAAACCGTCAATATTCTGGCTTCTTCCAGCTTTCTTCCCTTTCTGTATCGCCTTTGGTGGGATCATCGTCCCAAAGACATATCTGGTCTTGGATCTGATATGTCAAGACTACCTCTCCGATCAAGCTCGCAGGGATCCGACGTTTCACTTCCTTCCCGTGGTTCTAGGTGACGAAAATCCTCAATGCCGGGATCCAAAGGTTCAATCTCGTGTTGCGACCTTCAACCTCGAGGCCAGTCTCCTCGCTGGCGTTTTCTCTGCCATAATTTCGCCTCACTTAGGCTCACTATCGGATCGGTATGGCCGCAAAGGCATCATTGTGTTTGCATCATTAGGTGCTTTCATGGCCGAAATCATCACCATCATCGTCGGTAGCAACCCTGGCAGCGTTTCCGTTTACTGGATGTTGGTCGGCTTCCTTCTCGACGGTCTCTCCGGATCCTTTACCACAGCCATGGCCCTCTCATTTGCGTACGCCAGTGATTGTTCCGCTCCGGAACGCCGGAATGTCGCTTTTGGGTACTTCCACGGTACATTATTCTCCGGTATCGCTCTGGGCCCAATTCTGGCAGGCTACTTGATCAAAGTGACAGGCACGGTGATGGTAGTCTTCTATTTCGCCTTAGGCTGTCACGTATTCTACATACTTTTCATCACTCTCTTTGTTCCAGAGTCCCTGTCCAAAGAGCGGCAGATGCTTGCCAGAGAGAAGCGGCGTGACAAACGCGCAAGTACTCCCAGGAAAGACCTCGTCACAAAGCTTCGCAACTATAATCTCTTCAAACCTCTCTGGGTGCTCCGACCCACTGGCGAGGGCACGTCACCCGCCCTGCGCAAGAACCTTTTTGTTCTTGCTGCTATCGATACGATGATGTTCGGTGTGGCAATGGGTACGATGCAGATTATCATCATATACGCCGAGTACCGCTTCGGCTGGACGGCTGTGGACTCGTCAATGTTCCTGTCCGCGGTGAACGTTTGTCGGGTGCTTTGTTTAGTGCTCCTTCTCCCCCTTCTGACCCGAATCTTCCGCGGCCCTGCTCCCGGCGGCGCCAGCAGTGCAGGCCACAAGGGTGCGGACATGCTCGACATCAATATTATTCGCGGTTCGATACTGTTCGATTTGATTGGCTATTTAGGCTACGCGCTCACGCCGAGTGGCGCTATCATGGTGCTCGGTGGCATGATCGCTAGTCTTGGTGGGATTGGGAGTCCGACATTACAGTCCGCCCTGACAAAGCATATTCCTGCTGACCGGACGGGGCAGGTATTGGGTGCAAGTGGACTGCTGCACGCGCTGGCTCGCGTGGTAGCTCCTACAGTATTTAACTTGATCTATCGCCAAACAGTGGGCGTTTATGCTGGCATAGTTTTCCTATGTCTTGCCAGTATTTTTGTTGTGGTTTTCATTCTGAGCTGGCTGCTTAAGCCAAATGGTACGTTCTCTGTCCTGACTCGATCGAGATGTTCAAAGCCTTCCGCTAACGCGAAACAGTATACTTGCATGACCACACTGCTTTTGAAGCTGATCATGAACAAGATAGCCACGATGGGTGAAACCCATGAGCTGAGACATGGTCTTGGTGTACAGTCATCGATTTGATGTATTATATCAGTACATGTATGTAAGATGGAGGATTTACTTTTGTTGTTCTGAGATCTTTAGATGCATTTCCTTACCGTAATTTGAGCGATCTTGCTAGATATAGATTTCTTTAATTTCTATGCTATTTAGAAAGATGGAAACGAAAGTTCAAAGCAGCTTAAGGTCCTTTTTATGGCTCTCCATCGGCCAATATACCTTAGGGCAGCTCATCTCTTTTGGGGCAAATATTTGACAAGAGACGACTTGACTTTCGTTGGTGCACGCATCTACGGAATCTCATCAATCCATGCTCGCAATGAGGTTTAAAATTCGGCAACAATAGAGAGCACTCCTAGTTGTGTTGTGGTTGAACCGAAGAATCTTTTGGTGTACGATGTGGCGTGACGAGGCTGCGCTTAAGTAAGAAGTTCAAGCACCACTTTAACTTTCGGATTTTTAGTGGAGATCGATTCATCGAGCCTGCGACCTTCTGCGACCTGTTGTACTTGTATAGTTTGCCAACTCGATCATCACCACGCCGCCCTGTGAAGTTTCGGAAATGTGGTATTCTACTGGACTATTCTCCCGTTGACATTTGGGCTCTTGGGCTCGTTGAGCCTTATCCAAATGTGTGAATGATGTTACCACCATGATCTCTCCGACCCCAATTGTTCCCTCGAAGAACGCCTTGCGAGCTCTCCGCCGACTGGCTTTATCACCTCCTGCGGTTGTAGTCGTTGGAGCCGTGGGCAGTCTCTGTGGTGCTGCAGTAGTGCACTGTGAGATTCGACGTCAACTCATTCTAGCCGAGCGCATCATCGAAACGAAGAAGGTCTTACGGTCCTTGACGAATGGGTCCCCCGCCGACCGTCTGAAAGAAATGTTTGAAGCAGCAGAAAGAGGCGAAGATGTCACATCTCCAGAATGGCGCGCAAAGAGGAGGCGGAGAGAGATTGGACGTAGATCGTTTTCTACCATCAGCAGGACCACTACATTCTGCGGGAATGATGACGGTGGAGGAAAGGAAGATTCCATACCTCGAGAGGAAGACCACAAAATTTCTTGCACACAGAAACGAATAGTACCACGATATCACCCTGTCCCACGGATCAAGGAATCCATCTCAAATCCTAAGACACATTTCACCACGTCTGGCTCGAGGATCCATCGTGGGAAGCATGTCTGGCAATCAAGAGATAAACGCGAGCCATCCTTCGCAGAGTTCCGATTTTCCTCGCAAAGCACGAATATCGGATCACTTTCGAACCGCAGGCTTCCTGCACATCACCACTATAACACGAGCAGACAGAAGCAGACGAACGACGCTTACATTCCACATGGGTCATCTGACCAGAATTTCACGGATCGATCCATCCAGGGACGTGCGATGCGAACGACGTTGATGGAAGAAGATCCTGTGATCTTATCCGAAAGAGCTCACGACGACGAGTCTACGATGCCATTGCTGGACGCAGGACTCAAAACTCGCACTTCATTAGCCGAAGACAACATTGTGACCAGTCTTCCATTCAGGCCCCTCTCCACCTCGCCTCATCAGTCCAGCACTAAAGCAGGAGGACGCTCGATTTTCAGGGAACTCCTTGTTGCCCCCGAGCCTACTTCATCTAATCAGTCATATAAACAGTCAACTAGCAAAGACTTAAAAGACTATGCCAGAAAGGACCTTCCATGGCCCAACAGCCGTCCCTCGTGGTCTTCTTGGATGATGAACAAGTCGACTACGGAACAAACGCACACAGCTCTGGATAACGAATTCTGCTCTTACCGTAGAAATGCGCAGCAATACGGTCCCCATTGGCCAAAGCGAAGTCGCGTGTTTGAATCACCGAGGCTAGAGACAGGCATTGATGAACTGGAATTCATTCCGTATTCCATTCGCAGTCACTTTACCAAAAATGTCAACCCGAGAATATATCTCGAACTACAGAATTTCATACGCCCTAAAAAGCTCACTTTGACGTACGAAGAAAGACTACGTCGATGGTCTGCTGCTATGAGATATTACACCCAACACAATGCTCCGAACTGGGCCATGGCTGAAGCTATCTTCTACAGCTGGAGGTTTTCGTTTCGACCTGACGACCTGATCTGTGCACCTGTGATGAAGCTCATAAGCTATCTGCTTGCCACTGCCCCGACTTCCGAAAGGCTTCAAGAGATATTTTTCCCCAGCTCTGTTCCTGGGAGGCACAAAGATCATCTTTATTCCCTTGCCCCTCGATACCTGGCAATCTTCTGCGAGGATCACGACGAGAAATCTTGTGTGGCTGAGCTCGCAAAGATACATAGACTTGCTCAACGAAGCAAACTGTCACACAAAGACCAGGCATTCGTACCAGTCCTGCGAAAGGCGCTTCGGAAGCAAGATCCTGGGCAGAGAGACGACCTCATAGATGCTGTCATTGCGGTCTATGGAGAAAATGTAAGGCCATACATCTTGAGCCAATGTGCGCTGTTGTATACAAGCAGCGGTGATTGGATCGACGTTGAAGAGATGCTCAGTCAGATACACACGACTGGCCACAGTAGAACAAGGGTGTACCAGTTCTCGTCACTTTTCAACGACATACTCCGGCGATACCTTGAAACGAATAGTGCTTCACAAGGCTTTGAATTTTTGATCGGTGGAATCAAAGACGCAGGTTTGGTTCCGCTCCACGGAATATCTACCACGATCATATGTGCATTGGTCAAAGAGAAGCGGTTTAGTCTGGTCGGCGAATGGGTGCGGATAGTCCGTGAAACCTTTCCTAGGTGCAAATTGGGCTTTGATATGGACACAGATGCCTGGAAACTTGGGCAAGCTTTGAGGACAACAGGTGCCACATGTCAACAGGTTGCAGAAGTTTGCCGCGGAATTTCTCTGGGGTGTCGTGACGATCCATTCTCTCCAGTCCTGAAGGATTTTGTGAAAGAAATCATGAAACGCGATGTCACCGAAAGGTTCCAAACACTGGCTGAGCATCGTCCATCGCTCGCTGCTCTCGACAATTATCTACAATCGGTGCCATTGAGTCAACTCATCGATGTTGCCTCCCGAATCTGCACCTCACAGAGACTGTTGGTGGGTGATGGCGATGTTTTCGATGGCTTGATACAAGATCTTGCTTCTCAGCTGAATGGCATCGATGAAATAAAGTCCATTTTCGCAGGAGATTTCAGCCTAGCTCAACTGAAGCCACCTGGTGCCTATCAACCAGACATGTCCTCATCTGGGCCGCTTCTCTCGAAGGACTCCTGGAGTTCGTCGTCCACCCCGGAAACTCAGACGATGGTCTCAGAATTGGTCGAGAGGGCCGAGCTGAGTGACATTGTTTACATCCAGGAAATAGTCGCTGAGCACTACGACCTGCAAAAGGACGACAACCATCCTGTCAACCATTTGTTGCTGGAACGGCTCCTTGTAAGGCTCTCCTCCAACAGACCATGCGATGCACTCGGACTTGTTGAGTCGGTTTACGCTCGCAATTATATACAATGTGTCTCTGGCAAAGGACTTGGCAACGACATCTTTTTGAAATGGTTGGAATTGGTGGAGGAAGTCGGCGATACAAGTTCGGCATCGGAGGTTCTCTGGGCTATACTTGACTCTAGCAGCCAACTTGAATGGTCGTTTGACTTTACAACTCTGGTCGACATTGTGGGAAGGAAATTCATGGGATCCTGTCCACCCAAAGGGGAACCTCAAGATGTGACCTATTTGGTGGATCGGATTCAGCGACTAAAGGAAACTTTGCAGGACTCAAAACCTGTCCATGACGACTTTAGGTTTCCTCCATGGCGTGAATGGGAAGAGAATTTCAGAGACAATTTCAGTCTCACGAAGAGAGTGAGTTCGGAGATGGACAAGGAGGAAATGTTGGAAGAGCAGTTGTCATGAGTGACACGTATATCTATATGTCTTCAAGATTCTGTAGATGACGACAATAATGAATCAAGCTTGGATATATAATCTGAGATTGAGATGGACATTCGGATTCTCTTTATCTTTTCTGTCAGCATTGGATTCATCAGTATCAATTGATTGATTAAAAATGAGATGCGGTGTTTGCGGCCGCATCGTTGTATCCATCTGAACCCTTTGTAAAGAATATGTGGGCAATAACCTTCTGAGCATTTTCATCACATCGGGGTATATGAGTAGTAGGTAATATACAGCTATTAAACTGTCAATATGATTAGGAGGAGTTTGTTTTGCTCTTACGAAGATTAAAAACAATCTCATTTTTTATTCTCACTGTTTTGATCATTCTAGCAGATCAGAATACTTATCGGCCGAAACATTCCCGCACCAACTCTCGGTACACCGAGCAGACCTCGTTCGGAACGGACTCGTCGACGACTACACCGGCTACAGCACTACTCGTCGAAGACTTGAAGACTCCTTCAAGACGAGCGACCGTCGACAGCGTGTCCAAGGTGTTTCCCAGTGGCTTTCTTTTTGTATCTTTGCACTTGAAGTATCTATCACGGAATCAAAGACCAAAGTACCGAGAGAGGCATCATCAACCATTACAAACCATCCAATTATGGCGTCAGATTTACCGGCACAGACACTCGAGGGGAAAGTCGCCATTGTGACTGGTTCGACGAGGGGATTAGGAGGTGAGTAAGGAGTGTGCGTTTTCATGTCCTGCGAGACGAGTCACACTTGAAACTTGTAGACGATTGCGTCTTCTCCCGAGAGACATCTCCTCCGCTTGAATGTCAAACAGGATACTAATACCTGACCCGGAAAAAAAACAGCTGATATGGCGCTGGACCTGGCAAAACGTGGTGCAAAGGTATTGCCTATTCGCTCAACCCCTTGCTCCCTCTCATCGACTCCCTGGTAATTACCGGAGTCGGAGTCTTTGTCGATACTGTACAGATACATCTGATGTGTTGACCTGAAATTCTTCAGGTCGTAATAACATACACATCCTCATCTTCCGAACCGAAAGCGAACGACCTAATCTCTCAGATCGACAACCTACCCAACGCGTCCCAGGCGGTCAGCGTCCGTGCCGACATGGGAGACACGGGGTCTCCCTCTCGGATAGTAGAGACTTGCGTGTCTACGTTTGGACCCGAGATCCACATATTGGTCAACAACGCCGGGGTGTCCGTCACCAAACCGTTGTCCGATCTCACGGTCCGGGACTACGACTATGTCTATGGTGTCAACGTCCGAGGTGTAATACTCTTGACCCAAGCCGTCTTGCCGTACCTGCAACCGCACGGGCGGGTGGTCAACATTTCCAGTGTTGGTGCGAGAGCCGGGTTCGCGGACTTGAGTCTCTACACGAGTTCAAAAGCGGCCATGGAAGGACTGACGAGGTCTTGGGCGGCAGAGTTGGGTGGTAATGGAACCACGGTGAACTCGGTGGCTCCCGGTCCGGTCAAGAGTGAATTGTTGGACAGTATCCCACAGGAAATCGTCAAGATGCAACGAGACGGCACGCCCGTGGAAAAAAGGGTCGGTGAACCTTACGAGGTCAGTAGGGTCGTCGGTTGGTTGTGCTCCGAAGAGTCTGGCTGGGTCAGTGGTCAGGTCATCAACGTAAGTGGTGGTTGGAGTATGTATTGAAGCACCTCAGAAGGGGGGAAGGTTATATCTGATCCAGTGTGAGTCCGTACATGTCCTTTGTGTGATAGAATGGGCAGGAAATCAGTTAGCAGGTTCAAGAGATGTCTCGTGTGTCTTTGTAGGATCCCATCGAATGGACCGTGTACATCGTTTGATACCCATAATACTAAATTCATAATCTGGAAGTCTACTCTCTCTACCTTGGACAAATTCAATACCGTCGTGATGCGGTGTAATTTTCATTCGCTTCAATCCGCCTCAATCCTTTGCTTTGCCTCGTTGTGTTCATTTCAGCGTACGAGTATATGTTTGTTTTATTCTTCATACGAATCATCTAGTTTAATAATTCTCATCCGCACCGACCCCGTACTTTCCTCCACCGGCGTACCAAGCCGCCATGATCAAATCACAAAGGTCCTTGGCCTCGACGTCCTTGAGTGGCAAATGGTGACCACCTTCGAAATCCATGGTGAAACAAACGTCACTCTCACACATTTTGGCCAGAGCTTCACAGCCCGGTTTGACGTGGTCATCCTTGCCCCAAGCGTGGACCGTCGGTATCCCCTTGAGTAGAGGGTAATCTGCCGCGTTGACCTGTTGTGAAAGACCTATGGGGGGATAAGGTCCGCCTATCATGATGCCGAAGGCGAACTTTGTCTTGCTCTCCCCAGAATCTCTTTCTTGAATCTTTTGTCTCAGCAGTAACCCCGCGGTCAATCTGGCACCCTGACTGAAACCTATGACGCCTTTGAAAGAATCGACACCCCCGTTGGCGTCCATGGTGTCGAGGATGAGTTTGTCGATGGCGTCGATTTCTTCCTGCGGTGTCGGTTCCACCTCACTCTCTCCGGCCTTGAAACGTCGATTGACCCAACGGTAGAACGGGGCGCAAGAGGCGAAGACCGGCAACATGCCGTGACCGGGAGTACCTTCTATGGGGGCCTGGACAAACACGAATCGAAACTGTTTTTCAAGGGTCCAGATCAATCGACGGGTTTGGATCTTGAAGACCGTGGAATTGGAACCTCCTCCGTGAAGACACAAAATCGCGGGGAGGAGGCCGCCTTCACTGTCGTGGGTGGGTCGGGAACTCATTGTGCTGGTTGTTTGGTCGGTGGTGGCGTCGAGTTTTTATTGATGTGTGATTGTGATCAAGTCGGATGATATTCTCTGTGCTTTTATCATGGAAGTGGGTGTTGGATGGAAATTGGCTGATATGTGAGATTGGTGGTCAAAAAGAGCCCAGGTAACCTGGACGTGGTGGGTGATTGAAATGTGTAGGTAAATAAAGACCTCGAATCTTGCTACTCGTGTCCGATCTTTCGTTGAAGTTGTGAATGAAAGCGATGTTACTTTGTTTTGTTTTATTTCTCGATCTGAATCAATTGGAATAATGTATTTGTCGTCTTCAAGATCACAGTGACTACTTGCTCAATTTCAATTTTACCAAACATGGAACAAAAGTATCACGGTAGTGCTGTCAAACATGTAGCGATAGACTAATGCCGAAGAATAGAATAAGATACGGAAAATGTAGGGGTGGAGTCGGCGATTTAAATAGATACAATACCAAAACGAGGCTGTGGACAAGTCATCAGCCTCGCCAGCCTCGTCCCTAGTTATTAACCCACTACTGCTCATTTATCCAGAGGAGTGTCATTCAAGCGGACAGAATCCGGGATGAACCTGCATATCTTGTGCTTAACAAATACTCCGTACAAGCCATGTCCGATCGTTCATCATTACTTCATGCCATCTCACTTTCGTCATTGACCAACGACCGCCGTTCCACTTCCTGACATCGATACCTCGATAGCTCGTCCTACTACATCAAAAACGTTCCACTGTTGGAATGTACCACGATTCCCGTCGCATTGGTATCCTTCAAACAATAGAGGTAAGCTTCTGCCAGATCTTCGGGCTGTCCAACTTTTCCAGTAGGGATTCTACTCTCATGACCCTGAAAAAAGGCCTTCTTCCCTTCCTCGCCCATCCCCTGCCACAGATCCGTCTCGATCACTCCCGGAGCCACAGCGTTCACTCGGATCGGAGCGAGGTCGAATGCGAGCTGCCTCGCTAGTCCATTCACCCCGGCACCGATGAGCGCCAACATGGACCAACCCCCGGCGATTGGTTTTTCAGAGATGCTTCCACCGGTAAAGACGATGGACGAATGTCGGTCCTTTTTCAAATATCTCGACCCGATCTTGGCGACCAAGATTGAAGAGATGGTCCGGACTTGATTGCACTTTTGCCACTTCTCCAGCGTGACTTCCTCGAGGGGGATCATCGGTAGTCGATCACCGGCCATGTAGACGATGTGGTCAATCTCGCCGACTTTACCGAAGAGGTCTCGGATGTTGGCTTCGACATTGGCACTGGCGAGGTCACAGGCGTACCCAGAGATCCGGTCTTTGGCTTGAGGGTAGTCGTTGGCCAAGGCGGTACAGACGTCCTTGACCTTTTGTTCTCGTGACGAAGAGAGAATGACGACGGCGCCGGACTCGACGAGGGCCTGGGCGACGCTGATGCCGACACCTCCCGTTCCGCCGACGAGCAGCACTCGCTGGCCGACGAGCTTGTTGACGAAGCGTGTTGTTGACATTGTGCAGATGGATTTTTGTAGGGGCAGGGGTTGTGAAGTTTCGATCGACTGAGATTGTACAGAGAAGATGACGAGAGGGAGAGAGAGACACACAAGTAGAGAGTTCTGTCATCTACTTATAAGTCTTCCATACACGTTTGAAAACCACTCACACATCCTCTTGCCATGCCTCTAGGTATTCGCATTCTTTTTAACTCCGTATCGAACCGCTCTTGCCTCTACGGAATGTACATGCGAGGTTATCTCCATCAGGTCCATGAGCATATGTGGATTGACCTCAAATAACCTAACTCTTTAAGACAAGACCAAAAAGTCATTGACTGGCATAGTTGTAATCTCCAGACCGAGAGATTGTTTGGAATCAGAGAACTCTCCTGGCGCCAATGATAGAACCATAATGTGCACCATGATACAAGGCTAATTGTGCGCATATTCCTAAAACGGACATTGCGAAAACTTGTCAACGACGTCATTGTGAGCCTCGACACCACGATACAAAATACATGGTTACAACACGGTATCATCTGGCTCGAGCAAACGACGAGCGCTATTGGGTGATGAAGGGAGTAACTTGGGGGGAGGAAAATTTTGGTGCTTTTTCCATTCCAGTTCTAATGTTCATGCTATGTCCGCTTTGAAAACCAATGCAACACCATCATCACCCGCCGTCACGATTCTATTTCCTCCGCCGCCCTGGACGAACCCAAGCACACCACCGCCCTCTCCTTCTCCGCGGTGACCTCTCCATTCCTGGATGAATCCCTGTCCAGCTGCAGTGGTGCCTCCTCTTGCGTCCCATCTTCTCACCACTCCATCCATACCGCAACTCGTCAGGATCCAACCGCCACGCGTCGGGTTCCTCACAAAGTCGACCTTGACCACCGCATACTCTTCGTGGGCTTCCTTGATATGCCGCCGCACGGCGAATCGGTGGGCAGTGTCAAACAGCGCGATGCTTCCATCGACGCTACCCGCAGCGAGGAGATTGAGCGGTGGACTTGAAAACGACAACGTCTCGACACCGTCACTCTGTGCCTGTAACGAGGCGAGGATCTGGCCTGCTGACGCCGCGGTCGCTGCTTGTCCTGCACCAGCACCAGCACCCGCTCCTTTGCCTCCCTTGGCCTTGCCGGCGGTCTTCTTCGCTTGATCCGCCATCTGCGGCAGACCGACAACTTTAATGTTTCCTCCAGCACCACCCACGGCACACAAGGACGCAGTGCACGCGACACTGTACAGACCACCTTCGACCTCGAACCGTTGATCCGCAGCCGTGAGACTGACGACTGTCGAACCGGTACCAAACACGTCCCACACGTAGAGGCTCCCGTCTTCCGATACCGTAGCCAAATGATTCCCGTCCGGCGTCCATGCGCCAGCCGTACACGATGCGGTGTGTAGATAGAAAGCCTGAACGATCGTGAGAGGAGACGCTTTATCTGCTGCATTGATCTGGTAGACCCACACGGACCCGTCGTTGGCGCCGAGCGCGACCACGTTCTCGTGCTGCGGGTTCGGCGACGGCGACACCCAGTTGATCTCTTCGACTTCCGACGTCTCGGACAAGAACGACCAGTGTTTGTGGCTGGAGTCCGTCGACGCATACGCGCGCAATTTGCCGTCCAGGCCGGCCGTCACGACGTAGTCGCCGCGCGGGTATGTGAATGTCACCGCGTTGACCGAGTCGGTGTGACCGTCTAGTTTCGCAAGTGCGGCCAAAGACGCACGTTCAACTGGTTGTTGTGGCTGTCCCGTGGCCGTGGGCGCAGGAGAGTCGGACGAAGAGGAGACTGCGGAGGTAGAGGCGTCAAAGATGTACGCGACGTCGTCACCACCTCCCGTCACTATTATGCTGGGCCGCGAGGGGTGTTGGGCGATGCAAAAGATGCTGTCTGAGTGGGCGTCAAAGTGTGCGGCCGAGTCGTTCTGTAGTTGGATTTCTTCCTGTGGTTCCCCCATGTCCTCCTCCTCGTCCATGTCTTCGTCCATAGGGTGGTCTTCATCTTCGGGGATCTCTTCGTCTGCGTCCTCGGCGGCCAGGAGGTCATCTTCTTCCATTTCTTCCGAGGGGTTGTGATGCGGATCGGAAGACGACATATCGAGCGTAGAGGAGGGATTAATTGAAGGCGGGGAGTGTAGAGAGAGAGAGATCGAGTAGGGCCAGGGAGGCGGGAAAGAGAGACAGAGAGAGACCCTTTTATGGGAGTCAAGTAGCACTCCGTACTCCGTACTCGAGGTGTCAATTTATAAGATGGCGAGCGTCGTTGTCTATGGGAATCGACATCATACCCTGGCTTAGAAATCTTTTTTCCAACGGGCTTGGAGGGGTTCGACCACATTTTGCCTGCGAAATCGCGGCATGACATAATTAAAAGGCCCGGTTCATTCAGCCTTGCATGACTCGCCCTCAGCCTTGTGATTGTCTCTGCGGCCTCGCGAAGATAAAGAAAACACCCTCGAAAGCACATCTAATATGCTGTAATAAGACACGACATTTGACATCGCATCGCATTGCATTAATCCATCAATTGCTCATCGTCAAGCTGAAATGCATTTTGTTCATCTTTCGTTATCCAGCTGATCTTCACTTTCGTCTCTCATGGCTTGTAATGTGCAAAGTCCCTATCTATCGAAGACGAAATTGCACAAAAAGCTGACCACTCTCTCCTTCTAAAGCCTGCTCTCCGAGATCCCCTGGTTTTGTATTTGCTGCTGCACGCGCCGGAATGTTCTCGCCGCAAGTCACGCCATCTCTGTCGAGACGCGAATACTACACATGTTGATCATTTCAACAGGGCCAGCACTTCTCTCTGTTCTATGACACATGCTGTCCCACCCCATTGAAAATCCAACTCGATCACATATCCAAGTTGGTAATTGGAACGGCTTCGAGTATGCACAGGTCTTCGTAACAATATCCTCGTCGTTCGTCATTATCTTGAGATCATTGTGCCGCCGGACATGAACACATCCTCCTGCTAATTGCAATTATTGTCGTCCTTTTTCTCTCCATTTCAATAGTTCGCTCAGACTCGCTAGACTGCAACCCATGCGCATAAAGTCATTCCGTAGTAGTTCGTCTGCACTGGCCCTGCTTCTAACATCGACGCAGAGACAGACACTCAGGAATGCTTTGAGTTCACGTGAAAGCTTGTTAGGATTCTTGAGTCTTGGGGTACCATTAGTTGCAATTAAGAAAAGAGCTTTCAGTGGCTCTTCATTGAGATAAGGGGGTTCCGATTCGATCATTTCGATGGCCATGATACCAAGGGACCAGATGTCGACCTTGGGTCCATATTCCTTCTGTTTGACAACCTCAGGTGCCATCCAGTATGGTGTGCCTACCATGGTTGCACGCTTACTCTTGGATTCGGTAAGTTTTGCACAAAATCCGAAATCGGCTGGGAGCCATGTTAGCATGAAAAACATCGTCGTTGACAGGGAAGTACTTACTGATTTTGACGTTACCGACACGGTCGAGCAACACATTGTCGCTCTTAATGTCTCGGTGGATAATGTCCTGAGAATGCAGATGAGCCAGACCTTTGCAAGTTTCGAAACAGATCGTAGCAATCTGATCTTCGGTGATAACTGGGTTGTTGTCAATGATATCGGTGAGAGCGCCTCCCTCCATAAACTCCATAACCACCCACAACTCATTGTTTTGTTCTTGCAAGAATGAATCTAGGAAATTGACAATGTTGGGGTGCTTCGAGTCTTTCATGACGATGATCTCGTTGACAATTAGTTCTTTTCGAGGCTGGTTTCGTAAATCCATCTGTTTAATGGCGACTTGGCCCTTTGGCCCATGCGTGCGGTACAGCTCTCTAGCCACGGCTGACGTCGCACTTTCTCGTACTCTTGCAACATAGACCGAGCCAGACGCACCTTGACCGATTTTCTTCTGTTTGCTGTAAGAATCGTTAGGGTTGTCTTTAGAAACTACCTGCTTGAGCTTCGCCATAACTTCGTTCTCGCTCATGCTCGACATTCGAACCTCCTTTGCACGCTCTTCGACGGGCTTCTTGGCTGTCAGGGCAATCTCGGCTTCCTTACGTGGATCTGCAGCAGGTTTTGCTTGCGGCTGTTTCGCAACGTTCAGGGGCTTAGGTTGTTGTACAGATCCTGGTGTTCGGCTGGGAGATTGAGCATTGACCCCGTTGGCTTGTGGCTTAGACACTGCTTCTTTCCGTGGAGCATCACGCTCGGCTTGATAACGCGCACTAGGTGATGCTTGTCGGTCTGGCTCCCTGCTGCCAGGAGTGCGTAGAGACCCCTGACCGGCAGATGTTGACTGTGGGATTGATTTCTGAGAAGCGCTGGTTGTAGGGGCAGAAGGGGCAGGTCGATGGGCTACTGGCTGCTGCCTCAAGGAAGACACTTGCTGTGGAGCACTCGGAGCAGCTCTCGCTGGGTTGAATCTGGGATCTTGTCGGTTGGGTTGGGTACTACCGCCAAAACCTCCAATTTCTTGTTGAGCAATGGTTGGACGAGTCTTCGGGAGAGACGCATTGTACACTTCCTGGTCTCGGCGCTCACGTTCAGCCGTTTCTCGTTCTTGATCTCGAGCTCGTTTGGCTTCGGCCTCCATTTGGCGTCGCTTTTGTTCTTGGTTTGCAATTTCTTTGATCCGGGCGGCATCAGCTTCCATATCATAAGCCCCTTTGTCGGTCTGCGAGCGCTGTAGTGGTGGCTTTATGGGAGGGGTGCCAGATCGTGACTGGCTATCTTGATACTTATGCATAAACTGGTTCGCATTGTACCGTTGCGCATCAGTTGGGGGTGCCGGTCTCGGGGGAGCGACCGAATTGCCACCAGTAGGATAGCCAAGTTGCTTATTTGGTTGCGTTGCTGGAGGAGTTACCATGCCGGGAGTGTACATCTCTGGATGCTGGTCACGCATCTTCTGGTCGGACACAAATTGAAGTACCTCAATCACTGCCTGAGGGTTCTTCTTGTAATCATCCCGGGTAATGGCAGAACTATTCAGCAGCTTCTCCCATTCTTGGGGTAGACCTACAAATCCACCAGTCTGAGGGTCAAAGCCAACGTGGATACGATGGCTGAAGTTAGTCGGGTTACTGACGCCGCCCATGCCAGGACATCGCTCATATATTTTGTCGATCCACTCGTAGATTTCGTCGTCATTCCGTACTTCGCAAGTGATCGTCCGAGTGGGCAGATCTCGACTCACGATGACTTTTCCACCAGTGTCCTTGGGATTGGCAATTCGAGTGATCTCGAAAGCCATTCGAGTGTCCTCGGATCGTGTCACTCCAGTCACGGTGTTTAGTTGAATAGACTGCATACATTTTCCCGTCTCGCTCTTCATAAAATCCAGTCTGTATTCGCGCAGGATAAGGTATCTCTGGTTCCATTGCGCGAGGAACTTGTCTTCTTTACATCGGACATGTCCTTCCTTGATGATGGTGACCGCTGAAGAGGACTTTCCACTCCCTGCTAGCGATATCGAACTGCCATTCGAGAAAAAGGGAGCGTTTGGGGTATTGATGGCGGGTGAACTTGGACCATTGAGATTCATGGCATCAAAGGAGGACACAGGGAGCGCGGTGTTGGAACGCTGCAGTTGAAGATCTCGAGGACGGTCTGTAGGAGGGCGCGGAGCAGGGCCAGGGTTCATGAACTGGCCTGCGCTGTAAAAGCTTGGTATCGTCAGTAGGCATGCCAGCAGGATTGAGGCCGGCAGTTGACCGTCGTAGCAGTGTGGGTAAAGAAAGGCTTGGAGTTCTGGCTTACGCATGTTCCTGGCCGGAAGCCATCATCTAAAACCGAGTGCGAAAGACTCGGTTACACTTCTTGTCGAGAATTTTTGATGGTGAGACAGGAGATGGAGGGGCTGCGGCTGAACGTTTGCTCAATGAAGAGTTGTTCCGGCCGAGGTCAGGCGATGCAGTGGCAGCATGCGTGCGATGGTATTTTCTGAGTTGATCTGAGGCAATGAAGGACAAGTGAGGTTGGGAAGCAGACGCCGGCAAACGAGGTGCACGGGATGACTTGGTCTCTGCTCGGTGTCACTCTGTTCAATGACGGCGGTGAACGTCAAGTGCGGGACACGTGAATCTCGCAGTCTCTTCAGCCGAAATATTGAAAACAGGCGACTTGGAACGGTATGGGAGTGGATGTGGTCGAGAAAGGGTGAACATTCGTAGGGCGGCGGTTGGGAGGTTTGCTGACGAGAAACCCAAGTCAACAAGAGGACCAGGATGGTGGGTGCTAAGAGCAGGGATACGGGCAAATGAACCTGATCAGGCTGAAACGACAGCGGGAGGAGGAAGCATTGATGGTGGGTGGTTGTCGAGGGGAAGAAAAGCCAGTGGTTGGTTGAGAATGAACGTACTACTGAGATGGAGTTGGAGGGTGAACGAGGAGTTTCGCTGGTGGTGTTGGTGGAGGTGACAATACGGAGAAGCCGGTGCCCTTTACTGTACTGTACGTACCTCGTCTAACGCCTCCAGTTATTTAGTACTCTCTAGTACCTCCCTAGGTGCCTACAAGATATAGGGAACGAGTCTTGACGAGTTGCAACTTATAGGGGGAGGCGAACATGGATAGGCACCGTCTAGGTACCTAACACAACTGAAATATCACCTGGTATCTGACCTATACGAAATAATTTCAGCAGGATACTCCGTACCGTGAGAGGTCTCGTCGTTGACACTCTGTATTGCGTACTGTACTCCGTACTCCTAGGTAAGTCCTCTCTCTCTCATACCATGTATACACCACTAACCGCCACACGATCCTCCGTGTTCGATCCTCCACGGGCCCGTGTCGACAGGGATCTTCAAGTCCATGCTCCTCGCACGAGTCCCTACTGTACACAACTCTCTCCTTTCTCCTCCGTACTCCGTGTTCCATAAAAGATCAAAACTCACCGGCTTGTTTCAGAAATACGGCACAATAGCCCATTGAGGAAACCCATGGCTTTGTGTGTCCATTACGAATCTCAATACCGTTTTGTTTCTACAGAGTACCGAAGCCTTGATAGTCGACTTAGCAATTTGTCAATACCCGTGCTTTTACAATGGCATCTGACATGACAAGAGACAGGCTGTACGATCCACGGGCAACGAGCGCACAAGACAGCTCGACACGTACTCATGCTCAGACCTGAGAGCCAAGCATGGCCCTTTTCCGTCGATGCTGATGATGAAACAGGAGTGACGATCCAGCGGACCGTGCCTAGCCAGTATAGCTATGACCAGGCACACAGTTCTTTTGTGTCGTGCGAGAAGTTCAAATGGTTTTTCTGTACACATCTAACACTATTAGCCCTCACTAATTGGCCACCATATTCCCAACCATTCCAGCAAGCTCCGAGAACAAAATGCCTTTCAGCACGCTCTCACCCTGCTTTTCAGCCCATTGTCCTGTCTCAATGAGTTTCCGCTTCCAGTTCCGCTTCTGATGCTCACTGAGCTCCTCCCACTTCTTGAGTGTCTCGTCTTTGATCAGATCCGCATCGTGTTCAAGGACCTCTGTTGACAGTTCACCTGCCTCGGCCCCGTCACGAACGATGATGGCTTTGGGGGTCTCAAGCCGAGAGTTCTCCTTGACAAAATCCTCCAGTGTTTTCTCCAAGTCCGACACCACCTGAGCAATCTCAGACTGCACGTCCTCGGCAGCATCCTTGACTCTTTCGGTGGCGCTATGTGCGGCGATTGGAATATCTGATGGTTTAATGGTTGGGATACCGTCAGCAAAGATGTATGGGCGAGCTATCACATCCCGCATTCGAGGTGATAACCAGTCTGTTGCGCCGAGCAAGGGAGGCACAGCTCCTCGAATCTCGCAGAAAGCCTGCATCAGAACCGCTACGATACCAACCACCACGAGTGCGAAAAATACGCTGAATGTAGTTTGCATCGTCTCAGAGCGGCCAGGAGGGATGAGAACGTAACGAGGAGTCTTGGTATAAAGTGTCGGAAAAGGTCTTAGTGGTAGATACTGCACTTTTACCATCATGTCAACACCGACAGAAGCCAGCCGAATAGACTGCGGCGGCGTCTCTTTGGTAACGGGTAGTGACGGACCCTGGAAATTCGAGAAGACTAGTCGCGTCAACGGCCCACTGTGAACATTGCGCAAGAGCGTATAAGATCGAAACGTCCCTAGCAGCCCAGAAGCGCCAGAGTAGTCGATCGTAAGCAGCTCGATAGAGCTAGCATCCCCGCTCTGACCAGCAACGGCGATGACTGTTTGCTGATCACCTTGCTCAGATGTACTCAGCGCGCAGACGTCGAGTCCCACGGCAGCTTTGGTGGATCTATCCAACCGTTTGCGTAGAGTTATTCGTGATTGGGAGAAGTCTTGGGAGATCCTCAAGACAAGGAGGTCGGCACCAGTTCTCCCTGGTCTGTTTTGGAGGAGTAAAAGATGGTGAGGTGTGATGAAGCGAATGGCGCGGAACCTTGGTCTCTTAGAGGGTGGAAGGGAAGTCGTCGATTCTGTCGTGCGGTATAATGATATAGGGCTGCTCTTCTTCGCGGCGGTAGGTATCTTCTGAATAAAGACTTCATCGTCTGTGCAGTATGCTAGGATATGCCCTGCCTTCTCATCGTCGTCCACACAAAGATCCAAATCTCCTGCTTCACTATTCTTCAGATTGATGCGTGAGATTTCGTCCTTTGATGTTGGAGTGGGCGTGGCCCTGAAGACAACAATCTCGTTCTCGGGAGCTAGTCCTGATGCAATGACTGCGAGTCGAGGTTGTCCTGGCTTCTGTGCCGGTGAGAAGCGCAACACTCTTTGATATGTCTCATTCTTGGTGCCTGTCGCCGACTTGAACAGCGCTGTCCGTCCCAGCGCCTGTGAATCCTGCGGTGGCTTCTCCTTCTCCACCGTTGTCCCATCCGCCCTCCTCTTCTTTGCGGGTAGCCCTATGCGAAAAGACCTCAAGTGTTCATTCTTGCCTGCATTCTGATCCGTGACTGAACTGTTGATGCCGGCGAAAGCAACCAAGGAAGCATCTGAGGAATCCGACACCGCTAGACTAGTCACCGAGTCTTCGTCTTTTGCGAGTTCAACATCGACCACCTCTGCTAGTTGCTCTCGGCGAGTCGTATCGATCAATGAGATTTTGTTAGGAACTCCTGTCGAGGATGAACCGCCGCCGCCGCCAACGAGCAAAAAATCCAGGTTGTAAGGATCAAAGTCGGCCGCGTAGAGAGGATAGGAAAGCTTGACCTGCGACGAGACCACGTTGGGCGCCATGATGTGTCGGAAAGAGGGTGTTTTGTGCTGTAAGAATGCTAGGAGATCATTTAGGTGGTGTAGACATGGTATAAGAAATAAAATCGAGGTTTTACGGAGTATAAGTATTAGAAGATTACAAGAATAAGGAAACCTGGACGGAGGTCAATGGGGTTGAAACCAAAGAAAAAAGAGGCGACGTCAGTCACTTCAATGATGTGGACACTTTTTTGTTTATCGATAATTGTCGTAAGTGGTTCGGCATCAACTTCTAACCAATACCGAAGACCGCTTCTCACAACCTCAACCTGACGGTATCCCATGATCAAACAATTCTTGACCTCGATCTGTGTTGCCATTCTCGACTCATTGATTCATTCAAAATGCGCAGACGTGCGACATTCATCACTCACCCAAGTCGAGCAGTGAACCCGGCAGACATTCAAGTCTCCGAGAATCAACTCCTACTCGGTGGCCTGAAAGCAGCTCGAGAAGAACGACTCACACTTGGTCTCAACGAACTCCCGGAGGAAGTAGTAGAGGTTCTCCGAGAAGCTCACGAGCTTCATATACGATGGACCGGAGAACATATCTACCATACCACACCGCCATTCTTATCCAGGACATCTCCCGGTATACACGTCCAGTATACTCCCTTGAAAGAAGATCAACCCGACCACCTATGCAGCCTCCTTCACAAGGTCTTTGGTGACGAGCTACGTTGCGCCTCAGCCAAAGAGACCTTTATCAGCCCGCCCTTGATTTCCGAACGTTTCGCCCAGACGGCTTCATCACAATACTACAGTCTCCTCCCAAATGTCAGACACCTGGCAAACTACCTCCAACGGACCATCTGCACACCCTCAGATGTCTCATGTATCCATACAGCTTCTCTCCTAAACTTGGCGGACGCCGTCGACTTTGACTATGACAGCATCTCCCACGCTCTCATATTGACCGTGCTCTGGTCGAAACAACCAGAAGTCATCTTCGATCCCATAGGGGAGTTCACGACCTTTGACGCCTGGAATCTTGACATCCAGTCCTCTCCAAACGACAAAGTCGAGGTTGGCATACTCAGTCCATCTCCCGCAACCGAACCTTCAGATCTCCAGCTCTCTGGTTTTCTCACCGTGGTCGGAACCGATGACCATCCCAAAGCCACGCTCTTCAGTTTTCCATCACGCCATCACTCCTTAGACTTGGCACAGCGACGCGACCAGCAATACACGGTGTCGTTCGACCAGCCGACTGGTCTCCATCCGATCCTGAAGATATCTTTCCCTTACGCCCGTGCTCTCGTCGAACCGCAGTCGAAACCACCAGGGAGCGTCTGCGCGCTCCAGACATATCTGACCCTCCCTTCGCACCTCTTCGCCGACAAATATGCTTTTCTGAGCAACGACCCTCTGTTTCAAAAGTCCCACAACCTAGGACAGTTACATTCCATCGCGGGAGAGACGGACCTCGAAGCCCCCGATTACGTCGTCGACAAATGGGGCTCGAACATGTTGCTCGACATCCTTACGCCAGATGTGGACGAGGCGGAGGAGGGCGGAGGAGCAAGAAACTCTTCGCCTGGCCAGTGGAACGTCACGATTCCTCTCCATCTACGGTACCTTGAGCCTACCCCGGGAGGACAGTCTCAAGTCGAAATTCCGTGGCCGATTGTCTTTTGGGCATGCACCGCCGAAGACGGCACAAAGTTCCCCGTCAACCCTTTTGACAGGATCCATCTCGGGTACGATGGATTGTTTGGGCCAAGGACGATGTTCTATCACCTTGATCCTGCCGCCCCTGAAGTCGGACCAGACGGCGGGAGACTCATCGAACGCATCTCCGTGCCCGTCTTGGACACGGAGACTGCAACTTCAAAAATTATCGAGTCGGTGACGTTGGCCACTATAGCATTGGGGTTTGTGTGGGTTTTGCTCAAGCTGAGGATTCCACAGTTGTTGTCCTCGAGGTCTCAATCGGAAAAACCGGCAATCAAGAAGAGGCAGTAAACCTAAAGCTCCCAGGTTGTAAAGATAGGTAGATTATTATTTTTGGGTACCCAGTAAATATATTGTACAGTAATGGTATATATACGGTAACACTAGATGAGAAACCGACGCTTGAACTTGGACCTTTGATCCGTCGACTATGTACAAACTACCTGACTTGGCTGATCAGCAGTATGCCCCATTATCGATTGCGTGAGGCGTTGTTGGGCTGGAACCTGTCTTTCCATCTCCATGCCCTCGGACACTTACTGCGGTCTGCTTGAGTGTTCTTTTTTTTTGAGACCCGTTGAACAGAGACAAGTCCTTTTCCAAGGAGTTTTGCGGATGCGACTTGTGTATCTTATTGAATTCGTGAGTTTCGTAGAGGAATTTTTCTTCTTCTTCAAACTGGAAGCTTTGTAGAGTTTTCCCCCCAGGCCTCTGTTCTCCCAATCTCTTCGTGCCCGTCTTGACTACTACCAGAGTAAGAGACCCAGGGTAAAGTCTGATTTGTCATTCTTTGGCTCGAGAGAAGTTTTTCTTGGAGCAAAACCGTGAATCATCGGTCCACGTAGATTGGGACAGGCACCAATATACAGTACCACAAACGCCTCTTGTGGTAGGGGAAGAATTATAGAGGGTTGGACAGCGACTCGCGTACAGGAGTGACACCGTCCAAGAAATACTGTGTGTAAAAAAAGCCCAAAATCTTCAGAAACAGGACCAGGCTTCGAACGGGACCTTCCTCCTCCTCCTCCTCCTCCTCTCCCAGCACTCACATCTGCCTCTCTCTCTTTCAACCTACCTGCTAACCCAGTCAATGTTGTGGTCAATTGTTTACCCATCTCGCTCACAATCATACAGGGACACGGTTCGCGAGCAATGCCCTCTCACCACGTACACAAGTGAGTGCCTGACCTCTACCTCCACCTCCTCCTCTTCCGAAAAAGTTTGCCTTCTTGTCCCCCTTTTAGTGTCGTGCATTGATTGACAGGTTAGCCACGTCGTCATACAATCAGCATGACTCGTTCAGACAATGATGTGATATTCCCACTGGATTGCATTGCAATCAAAATCCGATCCAATCTCAACTGCCACAAAACACGGTCGGGTAAGGCTGGTGGCTGGGGCTGCTTGGCCGGGCTGGAATGTGACGAGTTCCCTCCCGACACATTTGGACCGACATGTTTGTTGTCTCAACCACATGACAAGTGTCACATTTTTGCAACCTGCACATGCACCTGCACCTGCACTTTGTCCGGCACACACGTAGTCAACATGGCTAACTAGTGGTGCCTCGAAAATTAAGAGCATTGGCTCACCGGTGAATTTTTCTAGTGTTCAGTCCGAGTCTTGAAGTATACTCACGTAAGGTTGTTCTCCAGGGACGTGATGTAACATGTCTGCATGCGAATTGCGGCTCGCGTGGGGTGGGAAAAAGTTGTTGCCCTTTCTCTGCCAGAGGTAGTTAGTAGGTCCAGAGACGCCCACATGAAGACAATTGTTGGACCCATTGTATTCTCACCTACCGGGTCGCGACACATGATGCCCTTTGAAGAGTGTGATGCTGGTCCTTGAAGGGCCTTGGTTTCTTTCTTGACCGAAAACATGCAGCTCGGGGTTTGAGGCTGAAGGAGACATTGAAAGACTGGGTCCGTACGCCTTGACGCTGTGGTCGTTTGGGCAACGATCGAGTCCCGATGAGGATAACACTTTGATGAGACTTACTAACACTTTCTTTCAAGGGTGAAGGTTAGCCATTCGTAGAGCAATTTTGTGATTGTCCAGAACGCGGCGCATCCGGGACCAAGAGATATGATGTTGATTGAAAGGAAAATGCGAGAAGCGGCTGCTCCAAGGAGGCGCCTGACGCACAACGGGAAAAGGCAAATGTCCCCATTGATCGCGAAATTAAAACATGCCAAACCCCAAAGATATCCTTACCTCGTATGTATGGAGTAGAGGGGGGAAGAAGAGAAACAAAAAGGCCGGCTGGGCAAGGAAGACCATCAGCAAAAGTTTGCCTTGTCTCGGATCATGAGGTCTTTAAACGAAGCAAAAATGGTCGGATGGGGGCTAAAACAGTTCGGTTACCAAATTGGATACTTTGGACGCCTTTTATTTAAATCAACTACTGCACCGAATACTGCTTGACCGGTTCCGGTTGCAGCATCCATCCATTCGTTTTCGACGTAATTCTTTCTGTCATCAGGCTGGCTAGTACGCGAGTGTTTTCTTGTTTGGAGTTTGCCCGGTGGTAGACAGGGAGGTTCAGAGTGGAAAAGGAAATGCCTCGAAGCGAATACGAATAGGTCAAGCTTCGAAGCTCTGCCCAAGGCTTCCGATTGGGTTCACGTGAAGCATTTTGACTGCAGGGGCTCGTGAAGAATGGAAAGGAGGATCCATCATGGAACATTCTGTAAGGTAATTACTCCAGATTTACGCTGTGGACCATCTTCGGGAGACTCCGAGCGTGGTCTGCGGCCCTTTGTGAGTGGGCAACGAAATAGTCTAGAACCTCCCACTACTGTGTCAGCCCCAGGTGACCTCAGTAAGGCTGAATGTTCACCGGTTAGGACAAGGATTGATAAATATGTCTTGATATGGTAAATCTAAGGTAGAAGGGAGAGGCCGTTCGCCGAAGCAAGATCGTAGGATATTCGGCCGCTAAATGGTCGCAGGATCTCGAGACAGCGCTCGGGGACGTGATCGATGGATGGCGACCAGGCTGATGGCCACCACCGTCAACTCGGGAATACGCCTTCGCTGAACGCCTGGGTTGAGAGGTAATATCATTATATCAAACACATCGGTATTACAAAGATCTGCCCACCAAGGGCTAGCCTTCGTAGCCTTCTCGTGCCGCGTACTGAGCGGTTCCGGCAGCATACGAGGGAGAGAAGGGCTTCGAGGAGGGCCATGCCATGCGAGATCTCACCTCACCTCACCTCGCTATTCTCGCAACCTGTTCAGCCGCACCGAGCTTATAAAGTTGCTCGCCCTTATCTCGACGAATTCGGTGCTAACGTATACGAGCTATTTGTGAGAGAATTTCTGTTCGAAAGGCAGCCAGGCGGAAGATGATCGAGCCAATATGAGCACCGAAAAGATCTTGCGGATCGCCGCTTACCAACGGGCAGCGCCCGTGTCTGAATATAACGTCGCGTGCAGCAAAGTTGATATGCATGTATATAGGTTGGTTCTTTTCCCGTTGCACTGTAAAGCTGACGTTAGTAGCGAGAGAACAACACTAGAAAGGACGGGACGCTGCCTTTTCTTACAAAGGTATGAAGGTCGCCTGAGGTATGAACAAGGTCAAAAGGGGGGGTTCAAATGCGGAAGTTGCAACAGCCCAACCCCATTAACCACCGAGTATCGCAACAGAAAGGTTCTTCGTGTGTCCTCGAAGATTATGATCTGTTTGTAGCGTCGAGGATGATTTGGGTCCGATCCGACCCGAAAACGCTGCTGCGGGAACATCAGATGCAGGAACGGAGTCAAGCAACGTTGCAGCTCAAAGGTGCGTGGTAGTCACGGTAGCCAGATCACATCGGCTCATGCCATATGGTGAGCTGGCACGAGGTACGGAACGTAGACATGCTGAGGAGTCAAGATGCTGGTCTGGAATGGTGTTTGCTTCCACCTACTCGTTCTCTAGAACCTTGAAAGATGGGTACATAGTCGGTTCTCAGCTGTCGGTCGAAGAATTTGCCGCTATGGTGCGTGTTCATTCTTCGTAGTTTCAGCAGCCTACTTCTGCCAATTACCATGTGTACATGTGCAATGAACGCTGGCATCTAGGGAATGACCCTAGTTTATCACACAAATCAGGGTCCTTTTTATCCTTGCTACATGGACGCCTCTTCAGTGTTCCCGAAATCACTTCTTCAACTTTCTCGAAGCACGAAAACCGGCTGACCATATGAACCTGTGTTGTTATCGTCAACGTGTCGTCCGGTCGCAGGGGTTGAAAGCGATTATGTTCAACGAAGATGCGAAGGGCGTCACCATCGTTGGCGTTACAGAGCGATCCCTGGTGGTTGTTCGCGGTCAGCCTCAGTGTGAGGCTGGCCTCATGAAGGATGCCACCATCATAAAGAAAAGTACCGGCTAGCATCGGCATAATCTTGACGGGAACGAGGTCTGCCTAATAAATAATGTCCTGTGATGCCATTACGCCCTTTGTGGTGTACAGACTCTGGGGGCGAGAATCCCTTCACTTGCTGTGGATCAGTTTGACAGCAAATGTGTTACTTGCCTCTTCAACTTCATTACCTGATCCTTGATGTACAAAGCCCTTTGGGAGGTGAATCGAATCCAGGTGTTGGATTTCGACGGGGGAATTTCGATATGGGGAGGTTGATTCGTGATCTGGTCCCAGTCTGCTGACTACCTGGTTCATTGTGTAACACGCCCGGCATAAGGAGTAACCCCTGTCCTATAGGCAACGGTCTGGTTTCAGGGAAAAATTCCAGGAAGAGGGCGATAGGAAGGCAGGAAGTACCCCGCGTTCGACGATATGAGTCGTAGCATTTTTTTGGGCACCCTTGCGCTATTTGATGCTGTTGGGATGGGTGGTTTGGATACCTACCTACGTAGTAGGTACATGAGGCACTTGAAGCCTCATGCAACCTAACCAAGCCTACCAACCTAGAGGTACCTATCAAGGATAACACTAACAGCAATCATGAGGCTCAAGACCTACCTACATTGCTATTGAGGAACACACCGTATGGCGATCCGATCTTGCATACGGAGTACAGCTTCGAAGATGGCTGTGGGAGGCGGTGCTTGACTAGCCCGTGGACATCGGGATGTTGGTTTAGAGACATATAAAGAGTGCCAAATCCCTCAGAGATGACAGTAAGAACTTTGTTTCTTTTCTAACCATTCCGCAGTAGGCACCACAATATCTGATGTACATCTTCTCGTTACGAGGAGAGCAAGGTACTCGTGTTGTTGTTATGTCTTGGCATGATGACGTCTGCGGAAGCCGCGAATCAAGCTCCCGCAGAGCCGCAATCCGAAGAGGAATAGTGGCTGCCTTTTTGGTTCGCGCGACGTTTCCAACACACCTTTATGCGCGTTGAACATTATCTTCAATCCGAGCCGAGTGGCATGCCTTTCGCGCCCGCTTAATGTGACACAACCATTTAGTGCGCGGACGTCTCGATGCCCTGCAAATCCGTAGGCGAATGCTGGGATTATCGTTCTGCCTCACTTACGGAGTACATTTAAAAGATATCGGCAGTCCTTCACCTTGAACGAGGTCTCTTTGAGTCCTTTCCTAGAACGCACATGTGTCTGCTATTGAGGTCCATTGACAACTCGGGGCGAGGGACAATCTCAACTACCAAGGTTGTTTGCGTAACACCAGCATCAAGCCATAATTCCTGTTGAATTCACATCTCCTTGACTTCCGGTTCTTCTGGCCCTCGGACAACCTCGCCTCGAAGCTCCACGGTTTCCACCTTGCAGAAGGACCTCTTCACAATCTACAAAGTCGTACGTACCGGATTCCCACAATGTGATTCTAGCCCGGCCTCTCCATTTCGTGCTGTTGGAAAATGGCTCACGGGTCAATCACGTGGCAAAAATGTATTAACGGGTGATAAGCACAGTAGAGCCTTGGCAGATGATTTATCCATCTCAGCATACAACGCCCTCAACAACATCCAGGACATCCAGATCTCCCGTCGCAACCGTTCCTATGTCATGGTTTAGACGGAAATCAGGCTTGCCAGAAGTCACTCAGCCGCCAGGACCGAATGACCCTATTTCGGCGTCGCCAAATAAATCACCGAACAACAAAAGTCCCAGGTACGCCTTCATGGTTCGCGGTCTGCCCGACCTCAACACTGTCTAATTGTGATGTTGGTGCATAGGCTTGAGGGTAATTTCCAGGTCCAGGGAAGGCAGCAGCAACCGCAACAACAACGGCGGCCTTGGAGTGACTCGTTAGCCCATGACTCTTCACAGCAGAGACCACTGCAGTCGCAGCCGTCAAATGCGAGGGAGGAGCCCAGTAGTGAATTCAATCAATTGACCCTGGCGGATCAATATCGAACCAGCAATCAGATTTCGGACTCTATGAGGCGATCCAAACGCCCCGCCGTTGACCAGGACTCCTGTTATCCAAACAAAAAAGACGATCGCGGCTCCGGCTCACCCTTCTCAGTCCGACACGAACAGGCCCTGTCTCATGCAACCTCACCCCCACCTGCTCTCACGCGGACACCAACCCCATCGCAAGGCTATCGATCTACCCAGAGAACCCCATTATCTTCTCCCAAATTGCCCCCACCGGCTCCTGCCTCGGGTCCAAGGCCACACTCCCGTCAGCCATCCCACCTCCATTCCGGTGGCCTACCACAGGATGGTCCGTTGGAAGGAGACACCAAGATGCTACTGCAACCTGAAACAAGGCCTATCTCACAGGAACAACTCGTCAACGAAGTGAAAGGAATTTACGCTGGCCTCGTTATGGTCGAGAAGAAGTGTGTCGAGATCTGCCAGCAGCAGTCCCAGACTACAAACAAGCTCTCCAATGAGCAGTGGCAGGCATTGATTGCCTTACACCGGACCCTGTTGCACGAGCATCATGATTTCTTCTTGGCCAGTCAACATCCCACAGCGTCACCAGCGCTTCGACGGCTACCAACAAAGTATGCCATGCCCGCCCGGATGTGGAGACATGGGATTCACTCTTTCCTTGAGTTACTCCGCCATCGACTGCCGTTCTCACTGGAGCATATGCTCAGCTTCGTTTATCTTGCTTATCAAATGATGGGTCTGTTGATGGAATCAGTGCCTGCCTTTCATGAAACATGGATAGAATGCCTAGGAGACCTGGCTCGATACCGGATGGCCATCGAAGAATCCGATATGCGGGACCGGGAGAACTGGTCTAATGTTGCCCGGATGTGGTATAATCGTGCTGCCGATCGCTCGGCTACGACCGGTCGTATACAGCATCACTTGGCCGTTTTAGCGAGACCGAATGTGGTTCGTCAGCTATTTTATTATTCCAAGGCACTCATTAGCGGTATCCCATTTGTGAACGCTCGGGACTCAATCATGCTCTTATTCTCTCCTTTCCTCGATAAGTATGAGACAACAAGTCAGAAGTACCTCAAGGTAGAAACTAGCCTGGTCACCGCGGCAGGCGTCCTCTTCACTCGTGGATTTGTCCATGATTATTGTTTACACATCAGTCGATTTGCATCCGAGTTAGACGGCACTATCAACAGGACAGGATCGAACTTCAAGATTCAAGGAGCAGAAATGGCATCGTCCCTTATTGCCATGATCCTCGACTTCGGATCCGACGAGAATTTCCTGTGGAAAGCCCTTTGTGCTGACTCAGAGAACAACAAGCAAAGGCAAATGGAAGGACAATCGGACCAGCCCTCCGGCACAAACCCCTCTGAGGATCCTGTGGCCAAATCTCAAATGCGCCGCAAATTCTGGGAACAAAAAGACCCTATCAATTTACAAGACTTTGTCCAGGCTACCGCGCCACTTGGTGACAGACCGGGGGTCAAATTCTCTTCTTCAGACGAAGTAACGTCATACGTTCTGCCTGTCTGGTACCAATGCATCTCTATCGTTGCCGCCAAAGTCGGAGACAGGAACATCCTCCCGTTCCTGCACTTCACTCTGTCATTTCTATGGGGTCTATCGGATGTTCCAGAAGCCCTCATCTACCTCGAAAACTACGTTCCATGGGACAAATTGGTTTTATCGTTGAACTCGATGAGTAGGTCTGGTGTGGTTGACAATGAAGTTGAGGCCCCAGGTTTTCCTCAACAACAGTCAGGTACAGGTCGTCAATTACCAGAGGACTTCTTGATGCGGGGGTTCAAATGGTCTCATTGCCACTATTATGACCCGGAGTTTTTCGAGGGACAAGTGACGGACGAGGATGACCGTACACTGGAGCTTCCAAGTCATGCAGCACCACGTGCAGAGAGGTGTCTCTGGCTTGGTGTGAGGCTTGCTTCGGTAAGCAGAAACCCCAAACGCGTGCTCTAACGACTCACTAACTTTTTGTTCAGTTGAAACGCTATATCACTTATGACAGCAGCTCGAAACAGTTCTCTTGCACGGAATTCACGCAAGCTTTGCCACCTGTTTCTCTTACCAATACGTTCCAGGTCCCTGCCAGTCTTGAGAATGGAGAAGATACTTCCATGATAGACGTGGTATGAGATCCCTGTCCGATGGTGGACGCTATATACGTTAACTGAGTATCCACATGATCGATATTTCGGCTATCAATGACCTCAGGGACGGAGCACATCCAAGTCGACCAAGGATAGGAAGGAGCGCAGTATTGCAGTACCGGGAAACACATGACATGGTCAACGCTTCATTCGACAGCCCTTCATGTTAAATATTTCTCTCGGTTCAACCCGTCAGATATTTCTTCATTCGCATGATGATATGTTTCTGACGAGTAGAGCACAAGCGCACAATCAGTACATCAACTGTACGTCGTAAGATGCGACGGAGGTGCTAGTCAGATAGGTCCTGCACAACTATGATGGACAGTGATTGCCGAAAGGGTGACCAATGCTGCAGACCTTTATTCCAGGAAAGCAGAGATTTTTGAAGACCGATCTGTAGGTACATCTATCTGCGTGGTGGGTGGCTATCGTTGAAAAGGATATGATAGCCAGTAAGGGGATAATGGAGATTGGAGACCATCGGCTAACGAAGACGAACAGTCGGGTATTTTTATTTGCACACACGATATTCTATCTTTGACAAAAGCAACGGGTGATCCAGAGTAATTCTGTCGAGCTATTGTACGGCTTTGGTGCTGCATCTTGTAGAGTGCATGCATCTTGTCTAGAAGAATAATTCTTAATCGACATAGAACATTGTGTGCTAAGAGTTAACTTCTGGAATTCTTGAAGCAGTTGCTGTGAATGTGCTATTTTTCCGTTCGATGATTGCTATTTCATAAAGCCAGTTTCCTTTTTTTTTGTGGCACTAGGTGGCCCTTGAATGAGGTTACTCTGCATGATCTGCACATCTACATCAAATTCACCGGCACAAGGCTAAAGGTCGAAAGGAGTTTCTTCTTTCAGGTACGAATTTGTTTTGTTAAAAGTCTGCTTACCATCACGGAAGAATCGTCATGGTATTCGGAACTGTAGTATCGAAACAGGTTTGGGATGATTGACCAACATCTTCCCCCCCCCCCCCCCAAATCTCCCTTCTCCCTTTATGGAATTGGAAATCCACTATTGTTGCAAAGTCGTGAGGTGAGGTGTGAGAGAGACACTACGTACAATTCCAAAATACAAGTTGACAAGTGAGTGTGCGGTCGCCTTTGTAAAAAGGACAGATGAGGTACTCACGAGGTGGAAAGCCCCCGAGTCGCGTGTTACGATCATCGGGCACCCGTGCATTACCACCACCACCTTCCACATCACAAGTCATCAATGAAAGAAAAGTGCATTCACCACAGAAGTCCCATACTTTGTCCCCCTTTGCGCACGTACCATCAAGACCAGAACACTCAATCTGCCCCCTTTTGCGTGTGATTGAGAAAAAGGGGGGTCGGAGGGGAGAGAGATCTAGATGTACAACCGATTTGACCGTTACCCCGATTGTGGCTTCTTCTGGTCTGCCTCTAGCAAATTGCTCTCGAGCTTCAGACTCGCCCATGTTAGGTTTCGACATGGACGCTTAGCCTGTGTGGGGGCAATCTCGACGTCTTGTTCGTCCCATTCACACACCTGAAAAAGGTTGGGCCGATTCAAGCGGCCGAGCGGCAAGAACAAAGCATGGAAGATTTTGACCTGGCGATGGTTTTGATGACAGCGTCCGGAGAGTCGGACGCGGTGATCGAGCCCATGAACTTGTCGAGGTCGAGTTCCAGCCGTGCAACGGCGTCACCCTCCCTGGGCCGAGACACATCATCGTGGGAAGATGATTGACTGTCTGGCGGTGACGGGAGCGAGTCTTCTGCGGGCCGGACGGGCCAAGCCTTGCCTTCGGACCGGAGAGACCTCTCCATCATGCTGACATCGATGGTGTCGACCTTCTTGAGGTAGTGTGACAGCATGGAATCCTCGGGCACTGTCAACAGAGTGAAGGACGTCAACGGAATCTGCCGTCGCCTTTGTTGTCAACATCGTCAGCAACAGCAACAAACCCCTTGTGCATTGGGATGGAAGACGGACTGTTCTCTGCTCACTCTGGCCAGGGTTGTCGTATGAGAGCCCAGAGACATGATGAGATATGTGACTCGGTCTCCTGATGTGACAGGAGGATTGATACCGGGTAGTCGGGGGGAAGAGACTTGTAATGATGGGCTGCCGAGCGTCTGGGAATTCGAACCGTGATGAAACCTCGAGTGTGGTAGATGTGGGAAAGAAAGGGCAATATAGTGGTGATATCAGAACATAATATCTGCTTGGTAGACGATGGAGAAGGAGAAGGGGGGAGGGAGGTGGGCGATGGGAATACCCTGAAATCAGACGGCCAGGCAATACTCAAGGCCCGATCGACCAATGGCGTGCAATTGCCGATGCCGCTAGAAGACGCGGAGCCAATCATGTAGGGAGCTAAATCCCAGTCACGTGTAATGCTGCTCTCTGATTGAAGAGGAGTACATCACACGTGATGGAGCTAGCACCTTTTCGGGGCTGCTGCGTCCTTGGTGTTCCGTTTTCCGATCCCTGTGCCTCCATTTGCTCGTAAGAATGGCCATGTGCCGTCACATGAGGGATTTTGGGACAGAGCAGCTGTACAGCTATTGCAAGGAAGCTGGCCGTGGAGTCTGAAGGTGATCCCCGTTGCGCATTGATGCCTTTCGTCATCTAGGGATTGCTCGTTAGCTGGAAGGTATGGACGGAGACCGAAGCGTCGAATGGTATGTAACAAGGCTGAAGGAGTTGGAAGAAAGTGTCCTGGACACTATCAGATGACAGGGCGTATCGGTCGAGTCAGGCAGCATGGTCGAGTGCCGAAGTTCTCGTCCATTGGGGTTTGTTTCCATCCCGATGGGACATCAGAGTCCGTTGATGATAAGACGTCTGGTGCTGTCATGTGACCGAGACCTACCATATCGGAAGGAGAATACTCATCCAGATGGTCGTCCAAAAATTGGCGGTGTTGCATCCCCGCAGCGGCGTGAAATGATACCGAGAAGAAAGAAATGATCGGCTCGGCAATCGCTGGCGGCGGAGAAATAATGTCGGTTGGTATGTGGTCAAATGTGGTATGAGCGACTCTGCAGACGCCGGTGATATGTTCCTATCGTGGAGTATATGCTTTTAGGCTCATTCTTGACAGCCGTCTCAGGAAGAGTGCACTGCTGCGAGAGTGAGAGGGCTGGTCCCCAACACGAAACCCGAACGCCATGAAGCTGCAATTAACTCTTAGCGATCAGGTTAAAAGCCCAACTCACGTGACACTTCATCAGAACCTAACTTCCAGAAGTCAACAAACATAGAGCAGCCTCGGTACATAAGGATGGTTTTCCATTGACAGAGTCCCTCTTCACATGGGCCCGTGGAAAGAGTGGAAAGAAAAGCTTTGTAGCTGGGACCATGATGTTCCGGCCGACATGACTTGTCTTCTTGAGGCAACGCCAAGATCAGAAATCAAGCAAGTCTTATGAATGTGAAGGCTGTTGTGGCTGTTGCGACAAAGGTGTCAATCGCAGAAAGCAGTCTCTGTGCGATAGTTGAGGGCAACGGGCAATGGCTAGGCAAAGTGCGACTGTACCCGCTGATGTAGACCGCAGGCTTCTGGGTATATTTGGACAGGTTACCGATGAAGGTTCATAGCAATAGGCTGCATTATTTAGTATAGATACAGAAGAGATGAGGCATCGTGGTATGGTCTAATTTCTGTTGATATGATCATGGACTGAGGTTGACTTGAAGTTGAAATTGAGAGCACTGAAGCGCCACAAACGGCGTTGTGGCGCTAAAGTGTGGCTCGTGCCGCTTTGCCGCTTCCGTGCCGGATCGTTACATCGGTTTGTGGTGTGGCGGATTATCAGTTTATCCTTGCCGACTGCGCATGCGGTGATTGCCATATTAGACCTGGATGCATTTCAGGCTGTGCGAAGATCTCTTTCTTGACTACGAATTACTGCTGCAAGTTTGTTGAGAAGGCTACTTTCATATTTCAGACGTATGTCATTCATTGCTTGGTGTTCTCCAAAGCCCCAGACACGAAATGACTAGATCGCAGAAGATGTCCACGGCGAGACCGAAGCGCCACCCTTGCCACTATTTCAGCCGCACGATGCTGTTCAGCTGTCCAAGTTCAATTCGAGATCGTCTCATACCCTCGATGAGTTTACAATGTTTCTGATACCGTACATCTCGGCTTTCAGACGAGGATCGCAGCATTACCATTGATCTCGGCATTGCAGTCTGCCACAAGCCAGCGAATCTCCTTTGGCTTAGTCATGTCTAGTTGAAGATCATACTGTATGTCAATCCACTACGTATCTTAAGGGAACCAGCGCCCTTCAGCCAGCCCATGGCGAGCCAACAACTGAAATGGAGTTGTGGCGTAGACCGCCTTTGGGGGTACTCATTGGTGGCTCAGATCTTGCCACCTTTACGTTCATTGCCACAAGCATTGACAACTGCTGCGTGGCGAGCCAGCCAAGTTGTTTATGAGCAAGAACTCAGAAATTATGGATCGGATTTGAATGCACGGGATAATAGCACATTCATATGTCTTTTTGTGATAACTTCGGGACCACCAGAAGGCGATTGAGCAATACGGATGTTAGTTTTCCTTTGAGTCTTGTTGGACCTGACTGGGGATGTTTTACGACGATAAGCTTACCCTGTGCCAGCTTATCTTCAGCAGAGATCCTTCTTGATCAACTTTCTCATGCCGAAGAAACATCTCTGGCTTTGGCAAAGGGGTCTTATTGGCAGTGGGCGCCACTTGTCCTTGTCACATGTGACCATACTCGTATGAGTACGGGTATCACTTGATTGTTGAGAGTGGCGAGAAGCAAAACCATTCGACAACCATTGTCAACTCAAACTTCGCAATCAGCGGTCATATCCCACGCCACCCACTCGTACTGGACCCAAATCAATGCCGCCACCAATTTCAAGTGGTCGCCGAACCTGTCGAGGTTGCCTCGAGCCCGAAGATTAGTTGACTTGTGGCACCTCGTTCCAAGACTATCGGGCATCCAATACTTTGGGCAAATGAAGTGATCAGACTTCATCGACAACTTTACGCGAAGGCAACGGCACTAATCATTGAAAACAATTGTGGGAACGCTTGTCAAAGGTATTGCAAACAGCCACGTCCGAAGTCTGGTGGGCAAAAAGTGGTTCTCATCGGAACATTTGAAGCGGTAAGCCTCGTATGCAGCCTCAAAGACAAGTACCGACGGTGATGCGAAGTTGCCTTCCACCATGATTGGAAAAGGGCCTTGCGAAGACGCCTCACCGCTCACAAAATGGAGCAGACTTCATCCAACTTTTATACACTCCCATCGCAGCATGGCTTAGGCAATTTCGATATGCTAACCTTGATAGGCACTGGTCAACTTGTTCCGGTAGTACGGTGTCTGCCTCACTTTATCTTCCAATGTTGTTGGCACGGAGTTTCTCAAAGCGAGTGTGGAGAGGTCGTCGGACCAACTTATCAAGGTAAGGATTTTTAGTTGACTTTAGTGGACCCAATTCCCGTACGTTCCCCGGCGAAACAAAACCGCAAACCGGCTCTTTACCCATGCAGAATGCCTTCCTTGAAGATTACTGAAGCCTGTTTCATCTCCATTCTCACGATCCATCGATTGGAAGAGTTTGACGATGTTGCTGGCTCGATACGGGCATTGTAACATATGCAAGAGTTTGCCTTTTTTTTCTTTGTATCACAGGGAACTGAGTGGTCCTACGGCGTTTTACAAACTTTCTCGGAATCTACATGTCACTTTTTTGTCCGGTGCGCATAGTTTCCTTTCCACTTCTGACCGCCCACTTGGGCACTTCAGGCATCGGTCGCAAGTCTCACATACCCTGTTTGGACCCCTTGGACGCCTACAGAGTAGTGTAAGCGTCATCGTCGGGTCGAAGTTCACCGTGCACTTTACTAGGTACAGCCGCGCCCAACTCTGTCTGTTGGCAATTCTGCCTCGGCCTCGTATCCTCTCGGCCTTTCCCCTTGACTTCATTGTGCTCCTGCAAAGACAGAATGTCGAGTTGTTCGACTCGAAAAGGCAACACCAACATTGCGAATCATTAACCTGCATCCAACGCGTGCTGTATGGCACACACGGAGCCTTTCCTCTCATTCGTGACCCCCCCTATTCCACCATGGTGTCGAAAGGCGGTTGAGTTTTTGCAATGCACTACCACCTAACATGAATTTTCTCACTGTTGAGATTTGCAGAACAAAGGAGTCTGGTTAGTTCGGCCGCCGCCTCTCTTTTCTTTCCGCTGCTCACTCAGAGGCGATTGCTTCACCGGCTCGAACCATTCCTTCAATGAGTTGCAGTTACAAGGCTCGATCAGATACTGCCGATGCAAGACACAAAGGATATCAGTCTGAACGTGCTTGAGAGCCCATATCATACTCCCACATTGTCGTGTGTTACAACACGTACAGCTTCATACTAGAGCCAAGCGGTCTACACTTCCAAAACAAAATCATCCGAGGCAGGATGCGAAAAGGAGATCATCCGTATGCTTATCCAACAAATGGCGGTATGCTTATTGTTTTGGTTTGCAACTGTCTATGGCTTTAATCACTGAACAATTTTGCAAACTTTGCATCCGCAAACATAACCGAATTCAACAGACTTCCTGACCAATACGTAGTTCACATCAGTGGGAGGTTCCTTGTTGATCAAAGACAACGTGGAACTTGGTTCGTTGTAACTCATAGAGCCATCACTGCATCCTCGTTCGCGTTCGACTCACGCTTCTCTTTTGAGTCCTCGTTGTCTTTTGGCTCTTTCGGAGCGTCTTGCTCATCCTGCCCATGTTTCTCACTGGTGATTAGAAACACCTTTCTGCACCTACGAACCTTGGCTCTACAGATAGGACATCGCCAGCCGACGCCTGGTCTGCGGCTCATCTCGCGGCTCAGGTCGGAGCACCAATGGCAAATGGCCAGATGCATACATGGTTCCAGAAGAGTGTCCATCTTCTGCTCTTTGCAAATTTGACACGCAATGTTGACATCCAAGTCCTCAAGACTAACGACATCACCTCGTTGTTGCTGATCAATCGGATTTGGACTAGAGTCGCTAGCTTCGTCATCTGTAGCATCCAGATGTATCGAAGTCAGGTCATTTGCAGTTGTGTTTTGATTAGTTGTGCGGGTGTGAAACCACTCCTGGAACTGGTCAGAGGTCCAAAGTCCTCCAGAAGTTGGCCCGCTATTCGACGACTGACGCGGTAGTCTTCTCCTCCTACGAGGCTCCGAGCGGACATGAATTGGTCTTTGACCGGAGGCAGTCAAAACGGATGTATCAGTTGAGCCGCCATTTTGCCTCTGTGATTGCGCAGCATGCTGAGCTTCACGAGCCTCTCGTATCCTCTCAAAACGGCCGAACATGGCTGTCAATGGGCTTTGATAATCGTCGGCCTCGAGCTCCTCCCTCGTCCCAAACGGGTTAGTCATATGCTGTTGAGACTGTCGATGAGAGGGTGCTGATTGATTATGCCCAGTATAGAGCGGTTGATGTCGAGAGGTGATTTCACTGTTGAAGTGCCGGTTTGTAGGCAAACCCGGGTGAGTATTTTCAGTTGTTGCTGGGGTCAAGCCAAGATGAGCCAGGGAATTTTGAAAAATCTGCGGGATGGTCCCTTGGATGCTTCTTTGACTGGTTATACCAACCTGGGCTGCGGCATTTTGACCTTGGAGGGGCATATCTGACTGCCCTGGAAGATTGCCATATGCATTCTGAGCATAGTTGGCGTTCCAATGATAAAGCTGATCTGTCCCCGTGTTGATATCGTAATGTGAAGATCCTGGTAGCATTGCAAGATAGCTAGTAGCTCTGGTGCCTGTGTCTTGATGATTGGGGTTTGCCCGGTCCGGATGCCCGTGGAAGTTGCTTCTGTAGGCATGTCGGTTTCTGGTGCGTCTATTTGAGTGCTCATTATGGTCTCCAGACGGGTTCTGACTCATGTTGTTTGTATTGGAAGTGCTAAATTCAGTATGCACGTGTAATTCCGAAATATCGGAAGTGCCAAGTAGCGAGCGAGGCGATGAACTTTCTGATATAAAATTCCAATAATCTGATGCCAAATTAACAATATGTCAATCAGCGAGTGACTAATAGTTAAGAGAGCGAGTGACTTAGAGTGGGATGGAATAAAGAAATGGAAACACAAGAGAGTAAAGGTAAGGAATTCATGCCTACCACGGCACTTCCAGCAGTAACGTTGCCAGCGCTTTCCCTGGAGTTTCATGCCTTTGCCATCGACGTAAATAGGATAAGCAGTTGCGACGGGTCTCTTGTCGGCGCAAGAGCAGCATCTCGGCAACGCTGTCAAGGCACAACCAATCTGCTCCTTGTGTTCGCAAATGCTATTCATTTCGATGATTCCCGGCTCGAACGGATCAGTGTGGATCGAGGTTGGCTTATATCGACTTGAAGTATCTAGCACAGAAGTTCCGCATTTGGTCTCAGATATTCAAGCCATTCATGAGTCACACAGCGGTCACATCCACACGGCAAAGAAGTGCATATGATATTCGTGGTCAAAGAAGATAAGAGACGATGTTGGTATGAATGTAGGGAAGATGTGATCTGAGGTGTGTGGGGGACCTGCAAGGCTGACAATGACGAGGCTGAATGGATACGCGACGCAATCACTTCTGCAGTAGAACAAATGTTGGCCCCTTCAAATCCACAGACGTCGACTTCATTATCATACACCATGTTGGAGTGGTAGTCATCACCATAAATACACTCGCGCAATGATATTCGTCTGAAGCTGGTCTTCATCATGCCTGTTCTTCCAAAACTCAGTCCTCTTCAATCGAGATTCGCAGCCTCGCTTACAGCATCCGCCGTCCTCTTACTCCTCCTCTATCTCACTCTCTCAAAGCCACAATTTGCATATGCCCTAGAGCTCGACTCTAGAACACACTTCGAAGACCATAACCACTATGTGATATCAAAGGACGGGGACGAGTTGTATGAGGACGACGACACGGAAGAGAAGGTTCATATTTCTGGTCGTGCCGAAGCAGGAGTGTCAGCCCTTGCAAATAATGCGCCCCAGAACAGTAACATCAACCTGGGTCAGACTCAAAACTGGGTCTTCCCTAGCGATGCTGTCAATGGCCCTCACGGTGCGGTGGGAACGGGTCTTCCTGGAGACGACTTGGAAAAGAGGGACCTCGAAGTCGATGTGCCTGAACTCAAGGAACGTCAAACTGGAAACAGGATATACGTGTCCCTGAACACTTGCCTGCAGCCTTCATCAAACAACACCAACAATACCTCTGCCGATGTCATATCTCCACAATTGACCATGTACATATCCTTATCTGCGTCAAATCAAAAGCCGGGCCCAGATGTAAATGATCCGGACCAACATACCATCGATGCGGACGAAGGTTATGCTCTGTTCGAGGGCGATGCTGACAGTGACGTCTACATCGGAGTCTCCGCTCCAAACAGTACAGATTTTGAAGGTATCTGGAATTACGAAGTGGCTGCTTCCAATGATGCGCCATTCCACAATTACAGAGATACGACCAATCTATACTTCGTCGATGGAGACAATCATGCAGCGCTTCTGATCACAAACGACACCACGGAAGCCGACTCGAATTCTACCATATATCAGGACTGGATGAAACTTAACCCACCGTGGGGAGTCTTTGCCGCAAACCAAAACGAGACCACCATCCTGGGACTGAGGAACTCGTACTGTGGCCTCAAGAACAATGCCCGAATCGCTGCAAATATCCAAGGCATCTCGAATCAAAATGTTGCCCAGATGACCAACAGAGGCCTGGGAGGAAAGCCAAAGGAACAATTCTACCTGAACGGGCTGAACGCAACTTCGAAATACTGGGGCATGCTGGCGATGGTCGGCAACTCTACAGCCTCGGGCAACGGCGTGGTCGGCGGCGGCGGGACTGTCTGGAAAGCCATTGACTTTCAGACAAAGACGGAAAACAATTGTGCTCTGATGTATAACCTCACATTTTGTTCTGAAGTCGCATACGCAGTCCCCTCGAACCCCGACAAGTACCCTCCCTCTACCGGTCTTCCGGACCTCGCGGCTCTGTACGACTCGTACGCCGCCCAGATGTACCAATACTTCAATTACTCTCTCCAACAAATCCCCTGCAACACCTCCTCGAGCGCGCAGTACTCTCTCGCACGCAACTGCGACGACTGCGCGCGGGCGTACAAGCAATGGCTCTGCGCCGTCACCATCCCCCGGTGTGCCGACTACTCGAACAACGACGCGTGGTTGATGCCTCGGAATCTAGGCCAGCCGTTTGTGAACGGATCCAGCATCTCCACCGCCCAACTGAACGGCAACCAACAGCTGTTGACGTCCGTGGCGACCAACTCGTCGAGAAACGCCATCATCGATGAGACCATCCGACCCGGCCCTTACAAGGAGGTTTTGCCCTGCCAGGATCTGTGCTACGACCTGGTGCAGAGCTGCCCGGCGAGCTTGAGCTTCGCTTGTCCTTCGAAGGGCGAAGGTCTAGAAAACAGTTACGGGGTCCGAAGCAACAACTCGGGCATCATCACGTGCAGTTACCTCGGCGCTGCCTATTATCTGAGCGACGCACGGTCCCTTGCGCCGTCGTTTATCAACACCGTGGTGTTGCTGACAATGTCACTTTTAGTCATGCATGCGTTCTAGCCAAATTTTTATCGTCGAGGGAGGCAATTATGAAGACGAAAAAAAATCACCATTGAATCAAAAAAGCGAACACTCGATCTTGAAAGGTGGTCCTGTCGTGGGACTTGCGTGGAGGGTGTTTGCTGGACTTTTTGAAATATTAATATCATATGAGGGCGAAGGCGTTCGTTCGGGACGACGGTGGATCGTCATGCGTGATACGGAGTACCGTGTTTATAGATGTGTAACAACAGGCAAATTGATAGATCTCTGTGTCATCCTAACAGGTGCTTCTTAATATAAAACCTATAGGAGTTCTCCCTAGTTCATGCCGGGACTGAGCAGACAACCAGTGTAGTTGATCCAGTAAGGACCACACCGCTTGCTTCAGCGTTTCAAGTCACTTCTTCGCGGCGTCCTCAATGGCGTCCACATCTCCTTGGACTCTGGCGTGCTCGAACTCGTACCGGATGCGCCGCCACGCACCGGCGCCCGCCCTCCCAATTTTTCCATCAACCGTCTGGCAGCGGGCGTCATGTTGCCCGACGATTTGCCCCCACTCGTCCCTTCCCCTGGACGTACGGTGGTCTGTCTGTCCTTGTCCCTCTTCCGTCGTGCCACCCTCTCCACCATGCGATAATGGAGGTCCTCTCGTCTCCGTATCTCGTTGATCTTGAACGGGTTCGGGGTCGGGTCCGCGACCTGTCCGGCCAGGAGATCTCGATAACTCGGCCCCGCCGCGGGCGTGGATGCAATGTTTTCGGGTTCGTCCTCGTCGACGAAGGCGTATCCGTTGACACGAGGCGTCTCACCCCCCGCGTACTCGGTGCCGCCGCCGGCGTTCGTGTCGGTATCGGCCAGGCGACCACGTCTGTCGACAATGTCCGTGTTCAGACTCGGACTGGCAGGGACGGGGCCCGGGTCGTCCGCGTACTGTACCGGTGGGAACCGTGTATTCGTATACACCACCTGTTTGGGCCCGGCTTTGGAATTCTGTTCGCGGACTTCCTGGACCGTCTGGAGTCCGTCTTCGTCGACCGAAGAGGCGTGGAACATGAATGTATTGTCGGGTCGTTTTATAGTCCATGAATCGGGTTTGGCCGGTCGTGCGTCGGTGGCTCCGGTGTGCAATGCCAATTCCTTGCCCGTGGAGGCAGAGGATTTGTCATGGGCAGTCACAAGACGCTGTTCTCGTGCCCGGTGCTCGAGGAGTCGCGTCGACGGCATCCGTTGGTCTTGTGTCCACAGGTATGCGTGTTTCTGTCTCTGTTTCAAATTCTGTTTGTCCAACAGAGCGTTGAAGGACTCGTTGTCCTCCGACGTGTATTTCGCCTGGAACGAAGAGAGAGACAGACTCGACGTGTCGAGACCATTCTGAGATCCTGCCGTGTCGTCGACGGAGCCTCCTGCGACAGACGCCGCCGACGGCGTTTGGCCGCCTGTGTATCCCAGGGGTGTGTCTGCTGCGACAGGCTGTCCTCGAAGTGGTGTCGCCGACGGGGTATCAAATCTTGTATTTCGTGCGCTCCTCCTCTTGCTGCCGCTGGACGAGGGCACGGCCGCTTCCCGTAGTTTCTGCGCCGCCTCTGCGACCCAAGAGTCGTTGCCTGATTCGAGAGCTGCAAGGTACTCGTGCTGTGCTTGGGATTCGAGAAGACCTGGAAAGTAGTCGCGCGCAATGATGTCCGAGAGCGCCGAGGTATACTCGTCTTCGTCTAGGATTTTGGGCGGCCTTTTGATCCGCTTGAAGGGTGGTGGCGGCATTGCGACAACATCTTGGGCGGAGGAGCGCCTCACAAGCGCCGTCGATGAATCTGCAGACGCCATTATGGCGATGTGAAGGAATTGCGAGGACTCTGTGTTGGCTTCGAAGGATAACTTTCCAGAAGCACGAATGTAGCAGGCAACAAAAGTGATAAATGACTCGCGTGGCATCAGAAAGTGGCGGATGCCGAGTCAAAAGCCTCAGCCTTGCTAGTCAAGACTACAAGTAATGTGCAAAGGCTGGGAACTTCAATTTTGGCTCTGACTTGGTTGAAGATTTGATGCTAATATTTTCATTCGCAATGAGTTTATTGCTATCCTAAGATGCTTTCGAGCTACTCAGTAGATATAATTCTTGTTATACAGGCCAAGAATTACCGTAGCTATATGTTGTCAAATGCATAAAGAGAACGCACCTCGCCAGCAATATGCATACCCGAGTCTCTCTAAATTGTTCCCCAGCCAGGAACCACCACCCATGATAGTACTTTTCCAACTGACCACTTCAAAACCCTTTGTGCTCTTCGCTATGAGCATTACTCGTTGCAACAGGTCTTCAGGATTCAGCATGACCATTCATCGCTTCCTCATCCTCGTCCTCATCGTCATCATCGTCGGCGATCGTTCGAAGTTGTTTCCGCTGTCTGGGAGGCTGTGCGCTGACCTCTTCTTCTTCGTCTCTGGTGTCGGCCATTTCCTCGTCCCTGTCTGAAGCAGGGGATGCCGGAGTGTCAGGGTCCACATCGGGGGTAGGGACAGCTTCAGGCTCATCTTCCAGCTCCGAGTCCGAGTCCACAACCACCGCGGCAGACTTGTATTTGTCGTTCTTGCGAGGCTCCTTTGCTTTGCTCTTTCTCTCCAACTTCCTCTTCTTCTTCTTTGGCTTCTCGGTTGATGCTTCATTGTCGGAGCCACTGAGGGGAGTTCTCGAAACACTTTTTTCGCTTCTTCCATCAGACACATCGCCGTCGTTGTCGATGAAGCCGTCTTCATCATCTCTCTTCTTGCGCTTGGTGCTAGTTTTCTTCGACTTGCGCTTGACACGCTCTCCAGTTTCCTCATCGTCAGTATACTCGGCAGCTTCTCTCGCAGCAGCTTCAGCCCGGAGTTGTTCGGCGAGCTTCTCTGTCTCTTCGACAATCTTCCTCCGTTCATCTGCAATCTTTTTAGCCCGTTCCTCTTCCTCCTCTCTGCGACGTTTGGAGGCTTCTTCGCGTCTCCGCAATTCCTCCTGGCGTTTCTCGATTGCCTCTTGGAGTCTTGTAGCATTCTCGGCCTCATAAGTCGCCTGCCTGGCGCGTTGTCGCTCAAGCTGATTGCGCATAGTATTCTTACCCATAGCTGCACGTTGTTCAAGTGCACTACGGGGGTATGGGGGTTGCTTATGCTGGGCCACTTGTTCAAACGTTTCAATGGCCTGTTCCAGCCCGGTGATCGCGGCATCCACATCAGACAGAGTCCGATCAGTCTCTTTAGCTTGATTGACATGCTGTGCGATCTGGAACTGAATGAAGGCGACGTTGAACTGCAGATGCGGCGAATCTTCCTGCGTAGCCAGTGCTCGTTTCATGTAATCCAGTGCCGTATTCAACGATGCGATCGATCTGTCTGCCTTGCCTTTCAACAGCCATGCTCTTGCTAGACAAGCAAGTAATTGAGCATTTTCGCCTTTGGTTTCTTTTCTCAAAGCAATCTCGTAGTTGTCAATTCCACGCTGATATTGGCGTAACTCTGTCATAACGTGACCTAAATTGATATTGACAGAAGCATCGCGAAGGGTGTCCTTGACTTTAGTGAATATCTGAAGAGCATCTGAATAGGACTTCTTGTCATCACAAAGGGCAATCGCGATACCCTGAGCGGAATATGCATTCTTTGGGTCGAGTTGTAGAGCTTTGTCGAAGAACTCGTAGGCCTTGGCGTACATTTTGCTTCGCTTCTCTTTTTCCTGATCAGTGTTTCGGGGCATATCTCTGGCAATGGTGAGATGAACGTTGCCCATTCCAGTCAGCGAATACAAATCGTGCTTATCATAGCCTTGAAGAGTGTGCTTATAGTGTCGATTCTCTGCATCCTCGGCGATGTTGTTGGTCTTCTTCTTCGCGCTATGGTGATACCAGCCCATCAAAGCTCTGACTTCTGTATTGCCATAATCACTCTGATATACAGCATTGATCTTGCGAGGACCCTCGTCACGTGGAGAAGTTTCAAGCGCAATGTAGGCCAGGCGTGCCAATGCATCCGTGTAGTCAGCGTGTCTTCCAAGGAGACCTTCGTAAACCTTTTGTGCTTCAGCTACCAAGCCTAGTGCTTCGTAGGTTCTGGCAAGGTTATAAGAGATTGTCGTAACAAGAGCATCGGTGTCGCTATTGTCCACGTCTTCGGAACTCATCTTATCCTCTTCCGCCGCTTTCTTTTCGGCCTCTTGCTTTTCAGTCAACTTTACGCACGCGTTCAGTGCAATCTGGAATGTCTCTCGAGCGAGGGAGAATGACTCTTGTCCGTACAAGAAACAAGCCATGTTATTGAGTAGCTGAGGAGGCAAGTTCTCCCGCATTTGAGCGATATAGGCAGCTTCGTCTTCGTTGGGTTCTGGACGGTCCTCATCAGGAAACTTTTCAAGCTGCATCGCTTCAACTTGTTGTAGACATTTGAGGCTCTCGATTGGGTTCTCCTGTTCGTAGAGCCGTGCGAGATACAGCAAAACGGACTCGTCCGCCTTGGCTCGAGATTTTTCGTCCTTCCAAGTCTTTCTCACGTTCTCAAACAACGTGATGGCCTTTCTTGCCGAAGCTGCTCTGTCCTCTTTTGTAATGGCCGTCTGTGTCGAGAAGGCCTCTTCGGCATATATACACCCTAACAATGTCATCGCCTCGACATGCTTGTTGAGTTGGCCAAGGGACTCTAGGCGGAACTTGGCCCCCTGGGTGTCTTGACTCTGGACCATTATTTGAATGAGACCAAATTTGGCCGGGAAGTAGCCCTTATCCAAACCGCCTCGGGCTTGATCTGCTCGTGTGTAGCACTCATTTGCCTTGGCGAGGTCGCCTTTATTATGCTCTTTTCTGGCCAACAAATACCAACCATCACTCGCAATAGCATTGATGTCTGTTTGTTCGATTGCTTTTCGGGCAAGCGGCTCGACAGTGTCATACCTTCCAGTCAACAGGAAATAGCTCGCAAAGGTCGCGCAGCTGAGCGGGAAGTTTTTGTCGATGGTGTAAGCTTTCTTTGTATGCTCGGAGATTGCTTTCTTATAGAGGATGTTGAATTGAGGATCCGACGCAGGATATTTGGCACTTTCATGAAGATAGTACACTCCGAGGAGGGCGTGAGCGACCTTGGACTCGGGAGTCAATGCCAGAGATCTTTCCCACGCGGCTTTGGCACGATCGGGGAACCCCAGCTGCCACAGACAGCACCCGATGCCTATCCTCGGATCTGGGTCAGTGAGACCGGGCATTTTGGCTAGGACATCTTGATAGGTTTGAAGAGCCGGAGCGAACTGTCTTTGAAGGTATAGAGTCCTAGCTTTTCCCATTGCAGCCATCATGTTACGCCCGTCGGAGGATCTGAGTGCATCATCAAAACACTTCAAGGCTTGCTTGAGGGACTCGGCTCTTTCCGCATCAGCGCCCGCTCTTGTGGACGATTGCAGCGAAGCTCGAAGGAGGAAAAGAACGCCTCGTGTGAGGTAGAGGGGTGGGAAGGCAGGATTGATGCGCAGAGCGTCGTTGATGGTCGTAGTGGCTTCTCGAAGATAGTGATCCTTGGTTTTCATATCGCTGTTCACTTGTGTCTCAGACAACACGCGAGGAGCCTGTCGACTTTTGAAGAGGTCGAGCCACGCGACGCAGGCAAGGAGACTCAGCCGTTCTTTGGGACCACTACGTGCGAGCGACCCAAGACCCTTGTCCAAGATCTCGAGAGCATGGTCTATTTGAGTCTGCTTCGCGTAGGCCAAGGCGATTGTTATCCATAAATTCTTTGCTGCCTTCTCATTTTCCAGCAATTGGCACAATTCGGTTGGATCGTCCAGGTGGTCTTCGAGGTTGACCTCGACGGCTTCGTCTGCATCAAGGCCACCAGACACAGGAATGTCGATGGCTGTTGGGATATCGACGAAGCGGGAGTCTGGGGTGATGCCACCCATGAGGCCATTAGAGGTGCTCGTCGTGCCATTTCTGGCCACTGCTGCCGCCATTATGAATGTTTAGAATATGATGAGGGATTCTTGTGGTTTTGCGACTCAAGACATTTTGAAGGAGGATCGAGGTCAGAGACGGGTATGAGGAGCGGAGACTTCAATGAGCCTTACTATTGTCGATGAACGCGCATGAATTTTTCTCAATATGCGACCACAGCGCGCCAGCTGGTGTTGACAGTGAAAGAGGAATTCACTGAGGGTGAAGATGTACCCAAAAGTTTCTCCGCTCCGCGGCCACGAAGCCGGGATGCAAACATTCACTGAAGAGTTTTACGCCACCGTAGTATGGTACTTTGGAGCATACGGGTCTAAGCGACGGAGTACCCAATATGAGTTGGCCCCAGCAGCCTTCCTACTCGTACGTCCTCGGGACGAATTTGCTGATATCGGGCCTTGTACCTTGCATAGCACGCGTGTCTATTTACTTGAAAATACTTGCTAGAACATAAAGAAAGTCCATTATACTCGATCGCAGGGAAAAAAAGTGGAGGCGTGTAGAGGGGGAAAAAGGATGCCAAGTATGAGATTTTAACCCAACTTCTTTTGAATCAATCCATGTTTGATATGGGGGTATAGGCCGTGACAAAGATGTGTTCTAGCTGAGATCGCCGATGTATTGTTACTCTGGGGTAACTAAGGATGGGCTTGGACAATAATTAGCACGGAAAGATTCAGAAGGTAACGCTGTGGGCAGCGACACCAGACCTGCCCTCATGTCCTAGAATAGATCTCGCTATCGAGGCCAGATCACCTATCCAAATGGTATTTATGCTCGACTCTTGTGCCGCGAAAGGAGTCTCTATGCACGTATAGTGCTCTACAGTTACTTCTAAAGACTGACCTGTGCTCTCTAATGCTGGGGATGCAGGGTCAGGTGGACTTGATGTAAACTCGAGCTTCGGTATGCAAAGTGTTATGTGATTTATGTCCTTTTCTTTGCCAAACGAGCTCCTATGATCATGGAGAGCTAATAGTCGACTACACCGAAAAGAAAGCATGACTTCTGAGAGTGCAAAGAGAGTCGGAACGACCCACGGGATACCAATGTGCGCGTTGACCGCAGCCCCGTGCATAAACCCTCTTGTCGAGTGATATGAGGCCTCCAGCTTGTGATGGGAAGAGGTGGCAAGCTGTTACTCTGAAATCCGAGGCTGTCCGAATTGCTCAAGTGTCCGAGTGCTGAAGGCATGAGAAGAACTCGTTACTGGGGGAAGTGGAGATATTTCAGACGCCAATTCCTGCAGGAAATCCGCGTACCGATGAATGCATGTTCCACTCTTCCAGAGATCTGCCAAGGCACGACTGACACCATTGTGGCCGTCTCGAACCCGTACTGCTTGAAGGAAATCTGCTGAGTCGTTGAGGTTGATCTGTCCACGCTTGATCCTACGGGTTGATCCATGTCGTCTGAAATCCTCGATGGTTGCGACATGAGGGCGATTATCGTTCAGAACGAGGACGAAGGTGTTACAACATGTAGCCCTCGCAGTGGCGATTTCAAATTGGAGAAACCCTGTGCATCGTGTTAGCAAATCCGTGGCCTTTCGATTGCATCTAATCAACACTTGCCATCTAGTGCTGTCGAAGTGACGACGTCCAGGTAGAGTACCACGTCCCGTGGATGCCGCTTGGCGTCTGATGCGGCCTGATTCACTCTCGCCCAGTGAGACGATCGCATCCATTCGTCATTGTCCTCGGTCGACCACTTTTCTTTCCGATAGAGCAAACGAACCGTAGCCACAGTCTTTCTTGGTTCCCCTTTTAAATTTGGCGTCTGAAGCCCGGCAGTTGTGAAGTAGACTTTGCCTTCCCCAAGAGCGTGTCCAGCCTCCTTCAGGGCCAACAGTGTCTTTACCTCCAGGGAAAGTGGTCGGCCCTTTCTGATGTCGTCAATGTCGTTACGCCATCGAACGGAGCCGTCTGGCAAAGGCGTCAAGTTCCAGCGCTCAGTCTTCGCAATATCGTTTAGAAGAACCATTTTGGAGCAGTTGAGGGGAAGAGACTTGTGTAGGTAGGAAGCAAGGGCTGGGGTTGAACATTGAATCTGCATTTGTATGCACAAAGGGATAAGTGTTTCCACGGCAGTCACTGCTTCACATTCAAGCTAATGCAAGCACCCTAGTCCAATGAGCCAGACTTCGGGTTTTGGCTCGCCAGTTCAATGTCAAATTGCAGGGAGTAGAGCTGGACTTCCTTCCCACCAGCTGGGACCTCAACAACCCTTCAAGCGCCATCTCCTACCAGAGCTTTGTGGAAAACTTCTATGATGCCATGATACGCCCTGCAAATGCGACAGCTCAACAAATGGAAGAATTCTTGGCTCTCATCACTTTCAACAACCACTTCTTCCGAATCGCTGCCATGGAGATAGTTGAACTTCGACACGACCAGTCTCATGTAGAGGATCCATCTTGGTCGGCACAATTGAAAATGCTTTGTTCCGAAACAAAAACATATCGGCCACTCCCTCCTCAAGTTACACGCGTCCACGATGAGCATGACTTGGTGAAGAAGTCGTTTGCCGGTAGATTTCAGGGTGTCTTGCATCCGTTCCGAAAAGATTCTGTCGATCCTGACACCGCCATGTTGGCAACATTCGCCGGAGACTTAGTCGCCGTTCTGTATACTGGCTCCTTCCGCATCCGCAGAGACGAAGCATTCATGAACTTCATCCGGACCAATCATGCCAGGGGAAAAAGACCAGTCGCTGAGACTCTGTCGAACCAGGATGAAGGTATCCCATCATCACGCGAAGTGGCTATGTCAGATGCTCAGGACGAGGCTCAACAAAGCCCAGAATCAGACAGCAGCTATGATAGTCCACTGGTTGGCCCCAACAAACGCCGCAAGCTTTCCTCAAACAGACATTGAAGACATTGTTCTTAAAAGGGCGGAAGAAACTGCAACCAGTGGAGATGACACCGGGGGCTCTCCTTTCAACTGATTCAACTTCGAGACTGAGCCATGCAACGGATGTTTAGCGATGAGATAGGCCGTGGTTTGATTGGAGCACGCTACTCTCACGGTGCTGCAGGGATGGTTACCAGTTTTGGTGTTGATTTGAATGCAAAGGTGTCCCGGCCAGAGGGTGAAAAGAGTATTCAAATCTTCTATCATTAACTTCTCAATATGTGTGTCCAATAACATCTCAATGCCTCAATCCCTTGTCGTAGACTTCTTATGTATGTTGCTGGTGCAGATCGCGTACGAGGCGGGTCTTGGCATCCCTTCTTGCAAATTCCACTGGTCATGGCATTTGGACTTTTTCAGTTTCATCACTGATTTATAGACTTTTAGATCTCAGTGGCAATAAAAACTAGGTATGTATGAGATAGGACTGCTTGGTGAGAAAGCTATGGTATGTGTTTCAGTTGACCTAGAAAAGCTCACTACCTCAGAGCCATCTCGTATGGAGTACTTGTTAGCCGAGTCCAGCAAATCACCGTGGGAGGTGGAGCCACTTGGGGCAACGTTGAGAAATTATAACAATATAGTTGGGACCGTGAAAAAAGCTACCACAATCCGCCTTGCGGTCTGTTAGCTCAGGTTAGTTCACATTTGCTACAATGTGATATTGTACAATCACTAATTCTCAACAGTTGGTTAGAGCGTAAGCATTTCGCCTACTATTGACGCGATCACCCTTATACTCACATATCTCCAGGTGGTGCTAATAACTTCAATGTTATGTATACGCCAAGGTCATGGGTTCGACGTAAGCTCTCATTACTCCTGCACAATATACAACATCTAACATTCCATGTTCAGCCCCATATGGACCATCTTGTTCAAGATTTTCTCTTCCTGTCTGGGTTCAATTCCCAGCGTGATATTTTTTTTTCCAGTTTTTGTTTGTTGTGGGTTCCTTTCAGGTGGGTCAGCGATGCAAAGAGAATGCACAATACTGCTGTGTATATGGCTCAAGGCTTCACAGAGCTCTGAATACTTCTCAATCCACTGAAGCCTCGACTCATCATCACGAAATAAGATATCGTCTTTCTGATCCGAGACCGGTTATACTTTCAGTCACGAAGACCATCCGTGATCGTTTTCATTCGCGCAGTTCTAGAGGAATCTACATACAGTCTGTCAGCGTCCCATTGAATCGGCCTTTGATGACCTATCGATGCTGACGAGCACTATTCTACTCGCGGGGTTTCCACCCCACAACCCTCTCTCTGACTTGCTTCCACTCCAAAGACTGTGCGCGAATTGAAGTCTACCCGTTTTCGAGGCATGTCTTACTTCGCTACAGAGGAGCTGAAACCACATTTTAGTAGGAAGTGGTATCGTAAGTAAGCAGCGACGATCTTGGGAGCCTGAAACAAGCTCCTTTCCAAAAGGTATATAAACCGATCAACCGATCAACCCATAACCCCAAGCTTCGTTCCTGAGCAAGGAACTCCTCGTGTTTTGTTATAACCGCATCGTGCGCGCACATCGCCCGTCTTGGACCCCGGCCTAATCAAAACCACAATCTCATTTTTCAACAGTCATTGTATGTACGCTGTCAGGGTAACATACAGAGTACTTCAGCAAGCCTTCAGTCATGGCGCCGGTCACTGAGGTTGTTCTTGCTCCCATGTCAGACGAAAAGATACCCGACGACTACGATAGCGAACTGGGCAAGACGTTCAAAGAACTCCTCATGACCATCGTGGCTCAGGATGGCTGCCAGCGACTTCTCTGGGGTCAACAAGTGGAAAACCCTGCGATTATGACCCTCTTTATCGACTGGGACAGTGTGGACCATCACAAGAAATTCATTGCTTCAGAGTGAGTAATTTACCATGGTGTACCATTTTCTCACCCATTAGTTATGCTCAAGCACTCGCAAGTTGCATGCAGCCAAAAAGCAAAAAAAAGGCAAAAAAGCACAAAGCTAATAACTACTGTAAAACCCCGGCAGAACTTATAAGCCATTCATGGACAAGGTTGCAGGGATTCTGAAAGGTTCCATGACCATGTACCACGTCGGTATCGAGCCACACCCACCGACGGCCGCGCTTGTGGGAAGCACACCCCAGGTGACGGAGTTCATCATGGCGTACTTTCCCAAGGACTACTCCGCCGAGGACCGAAAGACCTTTGACGAAGGAATGCGCGCCTTTGGAGAAGCCGTTTCCAAGACGTCCCAAGGGTACAAGACATCAGTGGGTGGCTTCATCGAGGAAGAAGTCGTCGACCCTAAAACCTCGGAACCCTGTTTGGGCTATGTGGCCCTTGTTGGCTGGGAAAGTGTGCAAGCTCACTTGAGCTACAGAGAGACCCAGGCCTTCAAGGACAACATCCACTATCTGAGGGGAGCAAAGGATTTGAAGAATGTCGTCGTCTTCCATGTTGACGCGAAGCCGATCTGAGCGACCAGCAAGCAGGGGATGAGATGGGATTTGGGATAAGCGGAGTGTAATCATTCCAGTTCACGCTCCTAACATGAAATACATATCCAAGAACAACAATTAGACAATCTTTGGTCCATAAATTCCTTCCTTCTCGCCCCACGTACATTGAGAACGCTCCGGTACATTTCCCAGACCTACGCATACCTGAGCTTTTCCACTCCCACCATTTCCGCCTCCTTGTTCAAGTTCGCAATCTCGGCTTCGGTGAAGGGTATGCCCTCTCGCTCTCGCTTCTCCTTGTTCAGCAATTCGATCTCGCCGGGGAAGTAGATGCGGTCGACGCCCGCCATCTTCTCGCTCCCGACGACGCGGTCGTACAGGCACTGCATGCGCTCCTTGAACTCGTCCAGGGACATGAACAGGTCCGGCTTGATGGCCACGATGAAGTGGCCCACGTCGGCGGTCTTTGTGAAATCGTAGGGCCCGCCGACGTCGCCGGCGAACGCGGAACCCGAGAGCACCCCGGAGAAGACGTCCATCATGATGGCCAGGCCCGACCCCTTGGGCCCGCCCATGGGCAGCATGACGCCCTCGAGCGCGCGGGCGGGGTCGTCGGTCGGCGCCCCGTCCCCGTCCAGCGCCCAGTCCGTGGGGATCTTCTCCCCTCGCCGCAGGGCCTTGTAGACCTTGCCGCGCGCCGCGACCGAGGGCGCCATGTCCAGGATGAACGGGCGCCCGGCGGGACCGCCGCCGGGGGCGCCGCACGCCAGCGGCGACACCCCCATGGACTTGCTCCGGCCCCCCCAGACCGGCAGCGCGGGCGACGAGTTGGTGAACACCAGCGACATCATGTCGGCGTCGACGGCCCGCTGGACGACCCACGCCGCCATGCCGTAGTGGTTGGAGTGCTTCACCGACACCATCCCGATGCCGAACTGGCGGGCCATGCTGATGGCGCGGGTGATGGCCACGTCGGCCGCCACGAAACCGAATGCGTTCTTGCCGTCCACGGAGGCGACGACCGGGGTGGCTTCGGTCACCTCGGGCACGGCGGTCGGGTCGAGGATCTTGCGTCGGATGCGCTCCATGTACGACGGGATGCGGTTGGCTCCGTGGGTGTCGACGCCCCGTAGGTCCGCTTGCACGAGGCCGCTGGCGATGATTTCGGCATGTTCGGACGATACCCCGTTAGCCGTGAGGATGGATTCGACAAACCTTTGGAGGTCGTTTGGTTGGACCTGGTGCACTTGCTGTGAGGTAGACATTTTGAAAGGTGCCCCGTGGTGTCAAAGAAACAGATCAGGCTGTGCGAAGGCTCTTAGGAACCGGTGGGGTGTTTTCCTACGAGGAGACGACTGGCTTGAGATGTTCTCAGTTTCGTTCTCTTCGTCATTTTATATTACATCAACGTGAAAAGTATAGACGATGGCTCTGCTCGGTATTGTTCCGTAAGAACGGACAGGACCGAGCAAGTGACAGCGCGAGAAATATATTTACCGTGTAAAAAATGTGGTTACCGCGACTTTCTCCGCGTACGGCACCAACCAAAGACTAGAACGAATCAACGCTACACAGGTCCACACCTCATATTGATATATCAACCGTAGGCACTCGAACTAGGTCTATGCATGCGACGTTGACTAAGAACAACGATGGCAAAGACTTTCTGGATCGCGTTTTTGACCCAAATAGAGTCGTAATTAGATGAGCCAAAGATCAATTACCATTACTGCCACCACCAAGTAGAGTCGTAAACCTCATTCAAATCTTTGAACAAAATCGCACAATCCCATGACAATGGCCCTATCTCTACCAAGGCCAACTGTCCTACCGTACATCACTTTCACGTTTCTCAATTGGAACGGTTTATGAGGTTGACGCAGATCGTCTGCAGCTTTCGATGCGATGAACTCAGTCTGAGAGCTTGATAAAACTTCACTAAGGCTTGCCGAACGCATCGTCGAAATCTTCTGCTTTCGATACAGGAGAGCCGAGCAGTAAGTGAGCAAGGGCATTGCTAACAGGATGATACCAACCGGCAGAAGAAGGAGCCAGATTCTATCCTTTGCGAGTCTGACTGTGAGAGTGTTCGACCTGATCAATCGGGTATTTGCTGGGCGGTTCACAACAAGCTCCTGAGCAACAGTACCGACAGAGACGTTGACGAATTTTCCCACCTCTTCCAGAGTCCAGTCGTTGCGCCATCCGGATGTCGTCGTATACACAAGGGGAAGTTCGGCCTGGTTGTAATGGTAGAACATGGGCTGGACGCCACCTACGCTGACCCCCACTACAATCGGTGCCATTGTCATCCAAAACACTACTTCAGTAGCTGCTCCTGTGATTCCTTGTGTCGAGGTCAATTCCTGCGTGGCAAGTTCTTTGTCTCTGCACTCGTTGGCCCCAATGCAGAGAATGTCGTCCACCAGCTCGATGTCAATGTTGCATGCTATCCCTTGAAAGGGAGTGTATTTATCCAGCGAGTAGAAACTCGCCCCATCTTCAATCGTTCCATTTACAGCAGCGAAAATGATGGTAGAGCGCGTCCGAGTCGGGCTTGGTAGCTCACGAACGTAAGCCCAGACTGCTAGATGAGGCCACCATAGTATTTCAATATATCCCACACCCCGTCAGTGTTGTCCGTCACCACCTGTGACATAACGACGGTATAGCTGACTTTCCACAGTACTGTTGGATGCAAAAGTGACTTCATGAGCGTGGCAGTCAATGCCTTTCTCTAGCCTGATCGCGCGAGCTGTAAGGTTGCCTTTCTCTGTCAGCGTGAACCTGTCTACGAACCACTCCCGATACTCAGTCATTGGCTCTTGTGATAGTGGCTCGGCCCAGGAAACATATCTGCTTATTGCAGGGGCAAGAAGGGTTTCGGGTGGGTTCTGCTGTCTGAAATGCCGTGAAGTTCCGCCTCCACCCGTGTAGGGCTCCAGAAAATGCGTTGTTTTGCAGATGAAATACGGAACCCACAAGAGGAGCTGCCGTAAGGGGTGCGAGGGTTATGAGTGCTGTGAATATTATGACAAGTGTCGCTTCAATGGTGGCACACCCATGAAAGGCTAATGCTGTCGAAGGTACAGAGCCGCGACTGGCAGACAAAAATGTGTCAATTTGGCTAATACTGTAGGGGTGCTGAGCAAGTAGTGGCCAAATCGAAGCTTCTGACCATGCATGTGCTGCGTATGCCATAGCCGCCAGGCTTGTAGAGAATACAAACGTGACGAGACCTTGTACAACCTCGAGATTGTCTCTGAACAGCGCAACTGTAGGGGTTACCGAGCAGTTCGTGGCCCAGTCAGGGCATTTGAGCTGTTGTCCACTGAGCCACAAGGTGAAACTAATCGCAATTCCGGCGACCAGTAACCTAGTGCAGAATGAGATCGGAATGCTTGGATTGTGTCGTATGAATGACCGCAGGCCAGCATTCTCTCTGCTGTCTGCAGTTCTTGTCGACGCTCCGTCGGCTTTGTTGACAGCCAACTTCAAAGGCTGCATTTGCATAGCGTCTTTTGTCATAGCAATGTTAGAATCAATCTCTGACACCATGTTTGGGGCTGGTTAGTATCAAATGAGAGCATCGCAAAAGTGAGAACAACAGTCCTTTCCGGGGGGAAGTGAATCGACATATAAAGCACTTTGACGATGTATAACCATGCAAGGCTGTAAGGCATACTTGGTCTGTCTTTCCTGGCTCCAAATAAGATTGTAACACAGCAATGCCTAGCCTAAGCGAGCTGAAAAATGTGGACTCACATTCACAGCACCAAACAGCGCATGCCTGTAGCTTGCCTTTTTCCTAAAGAATTCCATGGCAGATATACTCTGTCCTTTCCCAGAAATGATAGTAGCACAGAAAAGGCCGTACCAAGCCGGCCTAGAGAGGCCAAACTGACACATGTACTACACGGCCACGCAGCATCATCATATGGGTGAAGACCGCGGGCCCCATTTGGCGTTTCCTTTGTCGTCGTTAGTCGTCTAGATATCTTTACGAAACCGACTCCAAGACATCCATAGAAATTCGGAATTCTCGAGAGGCAACCATAGGCGATAATTAACAACAACAGCATGGTCAAGGACGCAAGAGACGGATAGTGATCTGACAATTACCCGAGCTTCCCATGTGTCTAATCCACATCAGCTTGCTTCCCTTTGACTATTGGCCCCTTTTTCGCAGCAGAGTCGTGTCGTATGATCGGGCTGATGCATCTAGACCATACAGATGCCAGTTGCCAGTTTTGGGGAGTCGACAAACCGACATTTGACATTGTCAAAATCTGCCAAATGGCCATCAGGACTCACATCGTAGCAGATATCCGAAAGGAGTAGAGAGCCAGAAGATTTATCACAGGGCTTCGTCCTATACTCGTAGTATCTGATTGATTCACAATATTTCACAGGGGCTGGATGACACATAGGGCTCGGCTGAGAATGAAGGCAGATCCAACAATTCGAAGTTAATGCATACATTCTCTGAGAGTGCAAGGAAGGATATTTGTACTGCGTAGAAGATGTTGAGATACCAGAATTAAGAGAGAAGGTTAAGCGGGAAGAACGTCATTTACTCAAGCCTCGTTTTTTGAAGCCCGGAATTTCTGTAACCAAAAGGCTTTTCCTGTACATACTTATATCTGAGTCTTTACTTGACTAACTTCACCTTCTCCAGCATATCAGTATGGCTACCGATGTAGTATTGGAGACCACCATGGTACGGCCAACTCTACCGGGTATATTCTCGTAACTTGACGCGCTAACAATGTGTTGCAGGGTGCAATCACCGTCGAGCTCTACAATGACCACGCTCCCAAAACGTGCAAAAATTTCTCCACGCTTGCAGAGAGAGGCTACTACAACAATGGAATTTTCCATCGTATTATTCCGAACTTCATGATCCAGGGCGGCGACCCCACAGGCACAGGACGTGGTGGTTCAAGCATCTATGGAGAGAAATTCGCCGATGAGATCAGTCCTTCGCTGAAACACACGGGCGCAGGTATTCTGAGTATGGCGAATAGCGGGAAAGATACAAATGGAAGCCAATTCTTCATTACCTTAGCTCCGACCCCGTGGCTAGACGGTAAACACACAATCTTCGGCCGTGTCAAGAGTGGGATGAAGGTGGTGCAAAGAATGGGGTTGGTTAAGACGAATGGCGAGGACAGACCTCTGGAGGAGGTCAAGATCATCCGGGCAAAGGTTGCGGATTCCTCGAACGGTGACTAGAAAGGCATACTCAACACGACACAAATTTTATTTCAGCAGCCTACCCGGGTCAGCCAGTATCACCCTCGAACCGATCCTCTGTGCAGCTCAGCACAGAAAGGCGCATCTCGTTGCGGTGAGCTGAAGCTGCCGCGCACCCCCGTGCTCATGATCAGCTCTTTCTCGATCTGGCTTGATATTCATGCCGACAACTGTGGTCTGGCCGACGACCAATGGGAAGCGGCCGCAAAGAAGAATGAGACCGCAAACTCTGTGAATGTTTTTACAATACTGTTGTGGCAGAGGTGAATCTGCAGGGAGAAGTCATGACCTCAAGGCCTTCCAAAGCGTAGGCGAGTTAGCGAGTCAGCAAGTCGGCGATGCGTGATAGACTTTGATGCGCTGAAAGTCCAGGACGAACATTCCAGGCGGTCGAATTTGCAGCGACACTGTGCAGGAGTCAGGCTTACAAAGGCAGCTGGAGTCAGCCGCGGCTGTGATATCACGGTTTGTGCGGTACAGTAATGCAGCCTCCAGGACTTTGCGATAGCGAGTTGGGCTAGAAGAATCTTTGCAGAAAGAATAGTTAGCATCGCTCCACGCGCCGTTACATTCCTATCTGTACGTAGATACCTACTATGTTTGGGTAGTATCTATATAACGAGACAAGCTTACGAGAACATATGATGGAGCGTGCGAACTTCAACGTCCTTCGGGCGATTAATGTCAGCATACGCACTGCTTTGCTGTCATTGAATAGAATCGCCGCTGATCGACGCCGGACTGAATTTCGTGCATATCGAGCCTCATTTCACCGTGGGCCTGATCGACGATGCTGGGAGTTGTAATCATCCGAGGTGATGGCACGAGTACTCCATATGTCTCGTCTTATTCCTTACGAAAGCTTCTTTTGCGTGGTTGTATATATCCTCGTGGCAAAATCAGAACCCGGTGGCATAGAGGTGCGGAACAACAGGGAGAGCCAGGATCTCTTCCACTCTTCCCATTTCCACTTCCCGGGCACACTGGGAGACCCTTGAAGTGCTTGAGTGCGATATGGCATCTGGTTCGTGGACGGCGTTGCAGCTAAAGATGCACGACGATTGAGGGTCGGCGGTTACGCGAGGCTGCGATTGGCCTCATTCTCCCCTTCGGCTGCTAAACTCGTTCTCCAGCGTTTCTTCCTCTGTCTCTTCCATCCTTTATCACATTCCTTCATCCAATCAGCTCGTGGTGTTTCTGCATTTTCATCGTCCCTCGGCGTCCATTTCGTTGTCCAACTGTTGCCCTGCATTTTGCGTGACTTTCAAGCCATTTCTCGGTCCGCTCCAGGTCCACTCGCCCTTCATGCAGTCGATCGTCCACAAACCAATGCAAGCTCTCTTCGAAGCGCTGACTCTACCGCTGACTCTGCCGGCATGTCCTCGAGATGTGTGTTACCATTGCTTCCAAACTTGCATCCTCACCTCGTCAAGTCAATATCACGGTGGGTAGCGGGGTGAATCAATTCCTCCACGCGCGGCCTCAATCTTCGTCACCTCGTCTGCTACTGCGTACTGTTCACTGTTTTGAATGCAGCTCTATATCGCCTTCCTTCGCCTCCCTCCTCCCTCTCATTGCTGTCCCAGAGGCATAAGGTCCTTCGGTTCGCGTTCATTACATTCGCTTTTCAGTCATTCTCCCCGAGAAAGCAGGCTTTCTCTGTTGTAACAATACAAAATCAGCGTTTCTCACCCACGAGCCATTGACTGGCCGGCCCATTGCGACCACTTCCACAGGAACTCAGATCCAATAGACTTGGCCCTCTCGACCACCAAGCCTCGGTGCGACCATACACTCGGCCGCATCCTGAATATCGATCAGCTGGCTGACTCTCGCTCATACAACCTCCTCACAATCCACACGCTTCCGGCATTTCATGCGACATGCCTACAATAGCGACTGAAGCTCTAGCGCAGTTGGCGAAAAGAGAAGACGACGCATGGCAGTCGATAGCAGAAGACTTGGTCAAGAGAGTCAACATTCCGATCAACAGTTCGACACCACCTGCACTGGTGGCTGCCATTCAAGAGGACCCGTTCAAGAATGCTGCAAAGTATGGCTTACTGTTTGTCTATATCGGGATCATTCTCTTACTCAGTGCGACATTGATGCGACTATACTACTACTGGGGTGACAAGATCCGGACGGCGCTGTACAAGGAAGAAGTCATCAACTCTGCCATCTCCGCATCTGCGACGAGTCCCATGAACTTCTCGCCAATGCATGGCTATGCCGATTATGAACTACCGAGTGCCATAAGTGCACAAACAGACGGCTCAACGAGGCACTTCTTTCCAAGCAAAGGTCCGCTCATCCCAGAGAAACCCAGACAACAAGCAGCTGTTTCCGCCATTGCACCGTTGAACAACACGATTGCTCTCTGTAGATGGATCTTCTACCGGCCCATTCCGGCGTTGAATGTTGGCAAGCACAGATTTACCTTTCCATCTTTGAGTGTCCTTGTGATCGTGACAATCTCGTTGCTGGCTTCGATGCTCTACTGCTTCCTCCCTCGGCCGTTGTTCTATGCCTCGATGTCCTACGGTTCACCACCTATGGCGGTCCGAGCGGGCATGATGTCGGTGTCTCTGATACCCTGGTGTGTCGTACTGGCAACAAAGACGAACCCAGTTTCATTCATGACCGGCATCGGTCATGATCGACTCATCGTCCTGCATCGCTGGGTCGCCTATCTTTGTATCATCTTCGCCATCATCCACGCCGTCCCTTACTGGTATCAGTCCGTCAATGACCCAGATGGATTTGCAACATTCAAGCTCTACTTCAACCAGCAGTATTATATCTTCACCACGGGAATTGCAGCCATCGCCCCGCTCATATTCCTCGCACTGCACTCTCTACCAATCTTCCGAGCCAAGATGTACGAGTTGTTCGTCATCCTGCATATCCCCGTAGCCTGGGCTTTCATTGGACTCCTGTTCTGGCATTGCAACAACTACCTCCGATCTTGGGCCTACCTCTACTCAACAATTGCATTGATGATCGCGTCCTTGTTGGCTCGACTATTCTTCCTCAACTGGATGAACCCATTTCGGTCCTCTTGGCTCATTGGTGAAGAATCCGCTGTGACAATCTTACCTGAAAACGCCGTCAAAGTCACCATTCCCACGCAAAAGCGATGGCGTCCCGGCCAATACGCATACCTGAGAATGCCTGGCGTCTCTATCCTGGAAAATCACCCATTCACAATCGCATCCCTCTGCAGCGAAGATTTCCCTTCCCAATACGGAGAACAATACCGCGACATGACACTAGTGTTCAGACCCTTCTCTGGTTTTACTCGCAAAGTCCTCGACACCGCCGTCAAGAAGGGACCATACAAGACATACAGGGCGTTCGTCGACGGACCCTATGGGGGCATGCAACGCCAAATGGCATCTTTCGACCAGGTCGTCTTCTTCGCCGGCGGAAGCGGCATCACCGCCATCGCCAGTCAGCTCCTCGACCTGATCAAACGCATGCGCGACGGCAAGGCAACGACGTCCAAGGTCAACGTCATCTGGGCCATGAAGCGGCCCGACATCATGGAATGGTTCAAGGAGGAACTCCGCATCTGCCGAGAATGCGCGCCTCCCGGTTCCGTCCAGTGCCACTTCTACATCACCGCGGCCAAGCGGAACGACCCTGGCCTCCCGGAGATCAAGGAGCACCGTCTCAGTGGCATAAGAGACAAGATCTCCGACGCCATCCACAACGCCGGGAGCAAGCGCAACTCGGCCATGATGATGGACGCCGAACCCGAACTCAAGAAGGAGTTTGAGGATCAGATCACCGCCCTCCCGCAAGCCTACCTCACCGCTCCACGACACTTGTCACCAGGTGGGGTGGAGCAGCAACAGCAACAACAGCAACAACCACACCAGACATATTTCCCTCCTCCCCCCAAAGAGGCACGCATGTCCACCATCTCCCAAGCGCAGATCGAAGCCACGCGCACCTTTGACTTTGGGTTTCCCCAGACGCCCACAAAGTTCCAAAAGAACCTCATGAGGTTTGCCTTTTTGCCGACCGGCGTCTCCAACCGCCGCGACGGCTGGCGCACCGAGTACGGCCGCCCGGACATCCCGTACATGCTCAAAGGTCTGAGCAAGGACTTTGGACGCCGGACGTGCGTGTACGTGTGCGGACCTCCCGAGATGAGGACCGACGTGGCCAACACGGTCGCCCGACTACAGCGAGACGTCTGGAACGACAGCGGCAAGGACGAGATATTCCTCCACGCCGAGAACTATGCTCTCTGAGAGAACACACCGCTGTCTCTCTCTCTCTCCAGGATTTGGTCCGTCGTCGTTCAGTATCGTACAGTTGTGCCGTATGTCGTTTGTTCCTCTCTTTCTCTCTTCCCGGTGTGTACAAGTGTGTGCAAAGCGTGGAGTTGGCAGAACCGGGGAAATCTTAATACTATATCTACCAAACCCTCGACAACTCACATAAAAATTTATTACCAGGGTCATGATGAGTACGGCGTGGACCGTGACGGTGACGACGAGGTGTTCGATGGGGAGGATGATGACGAGGACCTTTTCTCTCCGGGTTTCGGGATATTTTCATATGACTCTCCAAGGGGAGGGCACAAGTCGCCCGCCCCCTTTATGCACGCACGATACCCCCTCCTTGTTTCAATCCAAGACTTTTTTTTTTCTTTGTTTCCATACTGAACACCGACGTCTCCTTTTCTTCTTCATGGCAGCCTCGATCGTCGGTCGAGTGGTACCATCAACTTTTCACGTTAGTGGTGATGGCGGAGGGAGTGTGGGAGAGAAAAGACACGACAAATAGCTCTAGCTAAAGCTCAAGATTAAGATCAAGCTCATGGCTTCTTTGTAGGGCTACGAGTACATAGCTTGCTTAGGAACAAGTCAATGAGAGATGTGTGATGATGAGATACGCTGAGCTACTTTATACTTCCGACTGAAACGACATACGGATATCGTGCTCCCGTACGGGAATCCTCAGTTCTTATCATCTAGCCAACCCTTTTTGAATAGTACTTGGGTAATGATGCGTCTGGATTCAAGTAGGGTGGGACCGATTTTTGCCAGATTTATCACAGGAATCATCCACAAATCTCCCATATGCCCAACCGTCCAATACTCTCACCAGCATTACGCACAATGCACAATCTTGCCCGTCTCTCTTGTTCCTTTGTCTTGACCACCAGGTCATCGTCATGTTTCCATCCTTCGACGAGTCGCTGCGCCCAGATCGATCCCACGGCCGTACCGCGACCCTCGGCGAGATTGTACCCTCCGGAAGTCACAAAGCCGATCAAATCATGCGCATCCGGACAGGGCGGGTGTTTCGACCATTCGTCCTCCAAGGGTGGCGTATCGATCAGGTCTTGGAATGCTTCGAGAGGCGCAGATATTCCTGCATCATCGTCTGCGTCGAGGTAAACACTCTCAACTTGCTTCTTGTCACCCCGTGTCTGTGTTTGTGCTTGTGCGCCGGCCTTGGCCGTGCCTCTTCCTTTCTGGGTCGGCACGGCTTTTGCCTGGACTTGTGGCCCTTTCGGGATTTCACCGTCCCCACGGCCAAAAGCACTGTTTGGACCAAATTGGTCTATGATCTCTTGTGATGCATTCTTCGGCAACACATTGATATGGGCCAGTGATTCGCGATCGTACACTCGGTGAGCTCGCGGGAGTCCGAATTTATTGGTCTTTTGTTTGGGCAAGCGTACATTTGTGTGGGACACGTCATCCTTGACATCGAGGGCGATCCAGAGCGCGCGTAGGTCTCGCACGGCATTAGCATGCACTGAAGAATCTGTCGTGCTCGTGGCAGGCGGAGGCTGGGCTGGAGGTGGTTCGGATGACCACGATTGCGGTTGGTCCTGTCCCTGCGATTCAGGATCCGTGTTGGTGATCTTGGGTCCTTCGGTACTGTTCGCCGGCCTTGGAATCGATGGCAAGCGGTATATCCGCGCTGCGGGTGTCGGACTTCCTTTGTGAAGGAGCATTATGCGAACAGTCATCAATCCTGGGACGGAGGGGAAAGCGGCCGAATGTGGTTTCTTACATAGCGAGATACTCGCGCTCAGGCTGAGCTGTGTATATCCGCGCTCGACGAGGGGAGGGGTCATCTCACTTTCATCTTGGCTTTGCGGTCCTGCGTCTCTATTTGCTTTGACTTCTGCTATTGCTTCGGCAGCTTTGCGTTGCCGTTGTGTCAGAAGTAAAGGCTCATCGATGCTTTCATGGACGTGCTGTTCGACTTGATTCGGCACCTTCTGTACCTCGGGTACTTCAAGGTTCTGAAACAAAAATTCCCAATCACAAGCCCAGCCACACCCAATCTCCCCGCGCCGACCAAGTCCCAAATCCAGCCGGTCCCAAGCAACCCTGTGCTTTGGTGGCCTCCGAATCCATTGATCGAAGCGCTTCTCGCTCTCCGTTCTTTCCCATGCCTTGCCTGCTTCAGTGCCAGGGAAATCACCGGGGAACCAAGGCGCTTGAAGTTCGAAGGCCAATTGCTGTTTTTGATATAAGCCACCAAAGCGTGGTGTTCCGCCGGTAGAAAGGGGATAATACATGAGCGATCGCCAAAGGGGATCTACACACTTCCATGGCAGTAGAACAGTCCACGTGCCTTGCGGGTTGCCGCAGTTCGAGCCGAACCCTTTCTCCGCTCTTGATGCAAGAAGTATAACGGGGATCTGAGGGTCTTTTGGGGTAAGAGCTGGGCTTTGGCCTGGAGGCGCAAGCGCCTTTCGACGGTTAATAGCACCTTGTGATGGTAGTGCATCACAGACTCGCCATCGGTCGCGATGTGATGTTAGCGTTGAAGGCGTCCAAGACTTGTCCACAGGCCAGGAAACGAGAAGTTCATCTAGTTGAGTATTATCAGGATTAATTTGAGTTCTCTTGGGTGGGTAGTTGAGCCTTGGATCGATGACATCGAACGAAAGAGCGGCATTTTGCGGTAAAGAAGCAGGGTTGTTCAACCCAGCCAGAGATTTCCATGTCGACGCGGCTTGGTTTTCTGTGCCGACGAATGGTCGAAGAACGCCTAGCAAGGCTTCTGTTGACCCAGGGCCTTGGACATCAATGCTTCCAATCTCAAAGCGCAGATCCTCTACCAGGACCTGCGGTTTCTGCATCTTTGCTACCTTGAGTAATTCCTCCCATAGTTGGTGGAACGCCGCGGGATGTAGTCGCATCAGAATGTGATGATCAAGTTTGCTCTTACAGTTCGTCTGACCCATTGAACCTCCTGCCTGTCCATTTTGCTCGTCAACGTCCATGGCGTCTAGAGAGCTGGTATTGTCGTTGCTAGTAGACTTGTAATTTGGGCGCATGACCCAAATGATTTGTACAGGGGAAACTGGCTTTTTGATGCCATCTCGCTCATAAACCCACCCTTCAGCAAACCTTGTGCCCGACTTCCATTTCTTGTGCAGGCTAGGCGAAAGGTTTTTGGGAGAGAAGCCAAGAGCATTGAGCATACTGTCCAATGCAGGTTGGGTACCATGGCAGGAAACGGTCGACATATAGCTCACATCCCACGCTACACATCCGTGAGCACCGGCCGCACGGTGGCTAGGACGATAGCTCTTCTCTGTTGGACGCAGTGGGATTGCGAGTTTCCATAATGGCTCTATAGGCCGAGTCATATGCGCTCTCTTCGCGTGCCAAAGGTGAGTAGGTAACCATGTCTTGTTTACCTGCCTTCTTTGAAACTTCACGGTGGCTTTGGGCGGCTTTGCCAATGTATTCTTCTTCACTCTCGGTATTCTCTCAATGGAAACATGCTTTTCTGGATCTGTCTGCTTTGCATTTGCTTTGGCCTCCTTCTTTTTTCGACGAACAGTCTTTCTCTGTTGAGTTAACTGCTGTATACGTTTTGCTGTGCCGAGTCGAAGTCTCAATCGTTTGGATGGAGTCCGCGTTCTCTTGGTGACCGTTGGAGTGTTATCGTCCTTCATCTACTCAGCCTGGTCAGCCCTGTCAGTCTCAACGTCCCCTGATGAGAATATTCCCACCCACCTCACGTTCTGCCCGCCCCCGTAGCCGCTTTGGCACCTTCTTAGCATTGTGACTAGCTGTCCGTCGTCGCATGTGCCTCGGGACTTGCTGGAAAGCTCTTTGACTCAGGGCATCTCTAGTCCTTTGCATGCTCCTTTCAAGGGCACCAATCTCGAACTCTCGGGCTCTCAAGAAGGAAGCGACGTTGAGTTCTCCATTGGCCGGCAAGACAGCGTTGGTGGGCTCGACAGAAATGGCCCTGGAATCAAAGTATTTCTGGCGTTTACGGGACTTTGACGCTTGAGGCTGTTTGGCAGACGCCGCCTTGCGTTTCTGACCAGCCGATTGCATCTGACCAGACACTGTCACTTCATTATATTATGTTGGGTCTAGCGACTGTTCAACGCGCAGGCGCGTTTTCTTAAATCTCAAAACCCCAGATTATGGATTATGGATTATGTCATCCTTGGCGTTTGACCACCACCAAGTCGGTCTCTAGGTTTTCGTATTCGTATTTCACTTCAGGCTTCATGCCTCGGTAATTTTTCTTCTCGACGGTCTCTGGTATCTCAGTTGCCTTGCAAAGGCTCTGACGATTGCCCGAAACTTCTTGACGGACTCAAATTATACCTAAAAATAGGCAGGCAAGAAACAAAGTGGCTGCCTGTCAAGCACTTGGAGCCGCGGCACAACCAGCTCCATGTGCTACAGACAGACTCAGGCTTGACTTTTTTCAGCAGGTCTTGAGCTATCGATTCGACATACTAGCACACCCATGTAATAGCCGACGCATGTCGGGAGATGCGTATACTCCAATCGACCCCGGTACTATCGAGAGCTAAGACTGCGTGCCGCAATGATCGCTCCGCAAGTTCCCCTCCCTACAATGTCCATGACGAGGTATACGAGACACGAGTACCACCCAACCCGAGGAAGATCGCGGTAGGTCTCGTGAAGAATACTAGATTCGGTCGCAGCACCTCAGGTTCCTAAAAGTATACAAACTTGCTTCCCAGTCACAGGTGAACTCTTATATTCATTCCCACACTTTTCCCTCCATTCTTGGGTGTTACTTGCATCTTGAAACAGAGGTGGGCAATATGATGCACTTTAACCTCAACCTAGCGGCCTTGTGCTCTTTGATTTTGATACTTGAACTTTCTCTTGCTCAGAAACTTCCTCAGGTTGACCTCGGATACGAAGTTCACCAAGCAATCGCTTTCAACGTACAGTACATCCCCATCTACTTCCACTGAATCCTGCATGTTAACACCATTCCAGGAATCAGGCCAGTTGTACAACTTCAGCAATATCAGATACGCACAGCCTCCAGTAGGCAAGTTGCGCTTTGCCGCTCCTGTACCTCCTCAAGGACGTAACCCGAACGTACAGAATGGCAACTCTACGCCTATCTGTCCGGTCGCATGGCCAACATGGGAACTGATTTCGGCGGGGTTTGTTGCATCCTTCATAGAGGGAAACGCCACTAGCTTCAACTACACCGAAGCAGAGCAGGAACTTCAACTGTATCTAGCAGCAAATGGCAACTCGAGTTACACCCCTACCCCCCGAGAGACCGAGGATTGCCTGTTCCTTGATGTCATTGTGCCCAAGGCCGTCTTTGACGGTGCCCACGGTGCTCGGCGACGACGCCAGAATGGTGGTGCCAGCGTACTGGTCTGGTAAGAAAATATCCCTCCCCTCCTTTCCTTTACTTTTCCACCGTCACATCCTGACTTTGACCCAATACAGGATCTATGGCGGAGGCTACGTAGGAGGCGACAAGTCCTCATCCAACCCGTCTGGTCTGATAAAGTCGAGCCAAGCGAACGGAGACCCGGGGCTCATCTTCGTCGCCATGAACTACCGCCTTGGAGCACTCGGATGGCTCTCGGGGCCGACCTTCCAGTCCGCCGGCGGCGTCTCCAACGCGGGCCTGTACGACCAGCGCCTCGCCCTCGAATGGGTGCAGAAATACATCCACCTGTTCGGCGGTGACCCTTCCAAAGTCACGGTGATGGGTGAGTCGGCGGGTGGCGGCAGCATCGAGCACCAAATGACGGCGTACGGAGGTCAAAGGCCCGTTCCATTCTCCCGGGCGATCCTACAGTCGCCCGGGTTTCTCCCGACGACGTCCCAGTTCGTGCAGGAAAACACGACGAACCTGTTCCTCAAGTACCTCAACGTCTCGTCGATCGAGGAAGCCCGGAACGCGTCCTCCCTCGCCGTGATGACCGCCAACTACAACCTCATCACCAACGCGCAGTACGCCTCGTACGCCGTCGGGCCCGTCGTGGACGGGACCTTTGCGCCCAACCTGCCGGGGATCGCGTTCCTGAACGGGGCGTACACCAAGAACCTCACCGTCATGGCGGGCCACAACACGAACGAGGCACCCGCCTTCACCCCCCCGTTCATCGGGACCGACGCCGAGCTCGCGGGGTACCTCAGGACCGCCTTCCCCACGATCGCCACCCCGGTGGTCGACTACATCGTCCACACGCTGTACCCGTTGTCCAGCTACCCGGCCCCGATCGACCGCACCATGGCCTTGATCAACGAACTCCTCTTCCAGTGCAACACCGACTACGTGGCCCGCGCGTACGGCAACAGGACGTACAACTACCAGTTCGAGGTCTTCCCGGCCCTGCACGGCTACGACGTCCCTTACTCGTTCTACAACGGCCAGGCCACCAACGTCAGTGCCGACATGGTCGCCCCCGTCGCCCGCGCCATGCAGTCCTACCTCGTCAACTTCGCCATGACGGGGGACCCCAACGGCCCCGGGCTGCCGTACTTCCCCGTGCAGGGCAACAACGCGACCGAGATGGGATTGAACGCCACCCTCCTCTCCGCGACGGCCGGGGCCACGCCGGACGTCATGGTCCAGCGTGACCCCACCGTCGGCGCGAGGTGTGCCTGGCTACAAAAGGCCTTGTACTCGTGACGACAAGGCATTGAGAAAGTGTGACAACGACAACTCGCGGGACCGGTAATGGTCAAGAATCGGAAAGAGTGATTAGAAAACAGAAAGGCCTTTGTGCGCGTGTGAAATGAGGAAACGACAACGATACTCTGGAAAGAGAACGATACGAGTAGTAATTCGAAATCTGGGCAGAGACTAATGTGAGATGATTTGCGTGAGCAAGAATGCTCGAGGCAGTAGAGCCAGCTAGATAACTTGTGTGACCTGTTGGACTCACGACCAGAGCGTTTTTACAGTAGTATATCGTGAGGTTACTCGCTATCATACAATTGAAAATGAAAATGACATCTTTTTGGGGGGAGGTCTCATCATGTCGGTTAGAGGTCATTGCTCTCGGAGGATATGTCCGGTATAATTTCATTCATCGTCCCAGAAACCAGGAAAAAAGACAAAAGAACAGAAAAGAAAAAAATCCGTCTCCGTTCTTCAAAATCTCAGTCAAAAAAAATGTGTGTCAATGACGGTGTACTCTCCGAGGCCACCATACCGGGGCCATGAGAATGTAGATGTAAATGCCATGATATGCTGAATGCCTTGCGATTATAGGGCGAACAAAAAGCTTTTTCAGCTCCGCAAGGGTAGAAAGATGGCAAAAATTGGGGGTGTGCGTCATTTGGTAACAGTGCAATGCCTTTTTGTGTGTCCTGATGACACAGGTCTGTTGGTGGTCCTCGATATTGACTTGACCTTGGGTGGTCTGTAGCACATGTGAGACAGAATGTTCGCCTATCCAGGGGGTGCATGACATAATAAAGGACGATGCGGATTTGATCAGACCCCCTTAGGAGTTCGGGAAATCTCTGTGGGCCTCTCCGGCGAGCGAAAAGTTGTAACACAGGATTTCAAGACGTGATGTTTTCGGGCTGGACATTTCTTGGTCTAGTACAGATATATCTCTCGGCATCAGGCGGTGTCGTACTCTTCATTGGATTTCCCCCAGGTACGTCTCAAGGGTAAACATTGGTGGCAAGGGAACATTCGTCCTCGGTGGTCCTGGAGTGCCGTCTTCGGCTGCGTTGTTGTGGTCTGTTGCCTGACTGGTCCCTCGTGTTCTGGTCGGTAAGCTTCTCGGCCGGGCCCAGTCCTCACCAAAGCCACCGGAGCTTGCCGATGCAGGTGTCGACTCTCGGGTGGAATGTTTCGTGCCGGACGAGCTCAACGGGCTACGTTGGATTTCTTCACCAGTTTCCATAAAGCGAGGGTTTTGCTGCATCTGCTGATGATCGCTCAGTGCTTCTCGCCAACTGGTCCGCCACGCTTGCTTCAAGGGTTCATACCATAGGAATTGCTGCATGGCATGGCTGATTGCGGACCACGACCTAGCTTCTGGGAATTTCTCGAAGAAGGTCTGGCACAGCCACAGGCTCTCGTGACTCAAGTCGTGGTCCAATTTCCACGATGCGATCACGATCATCCAGATCCATATCAGGCAAGCCCTCTCGGCAGCGTTCCGGCAAGGCGTAAATCGGAGGGATCTGGTCAGCTCCTGTCGGGCTCCGCGGTAAGGCGTTATCTTCGCCGATATGCCGGCCGGACTGTGTATATCGAAGCAGAAAAGGATGATGGCAAGGCAGATGTTCTTCTCCAGACTGTGCACCGTGGAAGCTGACGCGTGGAGGCATGAGCACGTGTCGAAGATGTCTTGATAGTCTTGTCCATCTGGGATGGGATCATTGATTAACGGAAGGTGTAGGTTGTTTTCCTTGGCCAGAGCGAAACGGTTCACTCTAGACAGTATCTCGACCACGTCCACGCCAAGGGTTCCTTGATATGCCAGTGACTTGAATCCATCGGGAAGGGTGCCAATAAGTTCCAGCATGTCTGAGTCAAACGGATGTTGAGGATATATCCTGTTTTGTTTCCGTTTAGCCAACGGGAATATAGACTGTGCACCCGTTTCCAGCATCCAGAAATAATCGAATTGGATCAGATAGGCCTTGACCAATCCACGGCAACCAAGTTTGTCCAAACCGCCCTTTCTGGCCACCACTAGGGCCAAGCCCTTCCGGTGTGCAATATTGTCGCTTCCATCAAGGACGTCAAGCGCCGCCAGTGCCAGTACTGTCATCAATGTAGCATCATCTGGTCGTTCATCTGGACGTTTATCCTGCTTGGAGAGATGCTCGCTTAAGACGGCAATGGCCTTGCGCCTATGAAAATCAACTTCTCGAGAAAATGGCATGATTGGATTCTGGCGCTTCTCCAGATAGGCTTGAGACAGTGCAACAGCGCCATGGAATGCACTTTCATGATTGAGAATTAATGGGTACACCCACGTCATCATCGGGTTGACAGTGTTCATGGCCATCAATAGTGGTTCGTGTAATGGACTCAAAACCTGCGTATAGTAGTCGAGCGCCGTTCTGACGCAAGGGGTGCGTTGGCCCGGCAAGACGTCAAAGGGATCGGTGCGAATGCCATTGAAATTCATCTCCAAGGGAGAGGGTGTTTGTAGGAATGAAAGGGTCTGCGGTGTTGCTGGAGATTGCGTTTGTGACCTCTTTAGCCGCCGCCGGTCCACGGAGGAAACTTCACTGCCCTCGCTGCCTCGTCCGGCGGCTTCGTTGGCAGCCAAAGGGGATCTTTGCGGTAGTGCATAGCGAGGCTGTTTTTGCTGACGAACCGATGTTCTGTATTTGCTAGAGATATGAGATTTCACAGCGCGTCGGTGGGACGCACTGTGGTTCGGAGTGTTTTGATAATCTACAAATGTGAAGCTGTTGGCAGCATTGTCGTTTGAGTTCGCCATTGAATGAAGCCGGTAGTTGTGATCATGCTTTCGCTGAATTGCCGAGTCATTGACGAAAGTTCCAAGGCCCTCGCAGACGATGGGAGAGTGATTGGGGGGATGGCGAGTAGTGGCGACAAGATGAGAAACGTGATGTGGTGTGACCAATTGAAAGTTCAAGTCAAGCGCGACGGCGTCCTCTACGGTCCAGCTATCAATCCGTCCGAGTCAGGGAACAACGTGGTATTGGATATTCCGTGAACAAGAAGATAACGTTTGGTGGCCGCTTAACATGTCGTCTGTGGTGCCATTGCGGGATGCACAGGGTTCAGATGTCACTGGTAAGCGGCTGACAGGTCCCCCGCAGTTGTCGAGTCGACAGAAGAGAGTTTGCGTTGTTGAGGTTGAACAGAAAACAGAGAATGATTGGCGAGAGGTGAGCCGAGTTCGCCGGTAAGCTGGGATGCAGCAGTGGCCCTGCAGATGGAAGAACAGGGTGGAGGTTGAAACAATGCGACAGGGTCGCTGAGGAGGTGAAAGTTAACTCGTCAATAGCTGATTTCAGTTAGAGCCCGCCAAGACACTAGGCACCGGCTATCTGGAAAGCCATTCGAATACGGAATAGTCCCATACTAGGAAGCATTCCTTGGTTGCTGCCAACACAGCATGTCTTGGGTGTTTCCAGGATCCGGGGTCTAGCAGCAAGGCCTGAGTCTTCGTGTTTCTCTCTCCCCTCCTCTTCTGTTGTTTTTGGACATCAAGTCCAGCCCATATCGGCCGCCATACAGTGCGAGGTGTGGTTGACGGCTGCGAGCTGAGGCCATGTAAAACTAAGCCGGCGATAGTGTAGTTCGTCCGAAAACTCCGATTTGGTTTCTGCCCCTGAGGGTGAGTACGGAGTGTCCACGGAGCACGCGATATCTGGTTGACTTTGCAAAAATATCATGTAGAACTGAGGTGAAACAATTTTACGGTGTTGCTTTTATTCATCGATGCTGCCATCCCTAGAGCCAAGGCTTGGACATTCCATTTCCATCTTTTGAGTTGCAAAAGGACGGGCTCCAACGCACAAGCTTCGTTTGCCTCACAGCCAACCCATGGAATGCCGAATTTGGTAAGCAGTGGCCTAACTTGATTGGGGTAATACGAAGCATATTACCGATTGGATGATGGGTGTTGAAGTCGCACCGTGGCTCTTGCTTGAGCCTACCAATTGATGAGCTAAGCTGTATGTCCTCTGGCTTGCAGTTGCAGTGGCCATTCGATTACGGAAGAAGATTTTGATGGCGAAGAACATGGGTTGTGAAAGCTTATGTAAAAATTCATCAGTTGCCGTTTCCGCCTGAATAGGATTCCCCAAGCAGCCCTCTGAACCGTAGGGAGTCAACATGTGAAAACATCTTAGGTTCAAAAAGGTTCTGTAGGCCCTAGTCGTGTATTATGATGTCTTCTCCGAGCGCACGTTCTCAAAAAGCCAGATCTCTTTTTTCGTAGATCCCTCGCAATAATTCAGGAAGCGACTTTCAAGGTACAACACAGCGGCGATGGAATTCTCTTTCACTCTCGACCAAACAAAGGCAACAGGCCCGGAAGGATCGTATCTTGGTCTCAAGCCACCATCGGATTCATCATCAAGCTCACCTGATGTATGTACCATGCCAAATCCCCTCCGACGCCTGGTCACACTGTGGCTGACCTTATGCCATTTAGAGCCTCGACAATCCCTTGTTGACCATGAATACCCTGTCCCCTGGACTTGACCCTATGCGCCAGACATGGGATGCTGTCGACTTTGACCTCTTCGATTCATTTGCAGACTGCGGCAGTCTATGTTTGAGTCCGAGAGAGCAGCTGCCGTCCACAACCTCAAAGAATGGACCGGTGCCACCTTCGAAAGCCAAGCGGCGAGCGCAGAATCGAGCGTCCCAACGGGCATTCCGTGAACGCAAAGACCGACATGTCAAGGGTTTGGAGTATCAGCTCGAAACTCTGAATGAAAAGCACCAAGACCTCCTCACTTCTTACTCCAAACAAGCCGAAATCATCACGCTGCTCTACAAGCGCATCAAGGATCTTCAAACGGAGATTAGAACGATCAAACTGACTAATGATCCAAGTGGAGGCAGCCAGTCCATGAACTACAAGCACACACCAGACTGCTTCGACGCCTTCGCCTTTGGTGGAAATCCGGGCTCGATGTTGTTCAGTGCCGACGGTTTCAACTTGGACGAGGTCGGTCAGGGCTCTCTGGACCAGAAGCCGGCTGAAAGTGAGAGTCTGCCGTTGTTCGAGGATCTGCTGCGATAGTCACGATGAACGATCTCGGTTTTGCTATGTTTTGGGGCACTAAGTTCCATTGTTTCACGCAAAATATCTGTAATGCAACACGTCACTTTCACAAGGTAGCGGAGCATCTTGGCCCAGGTGCTGTGAACATACAGTAGTGTCCAGGTGAATTGGGTCGCCTTTGATCGATATGGGAGTTTGACGATGCTCTGGACATTAGCTTGATTGATTTGATAACCAATGCACGTTCATTAGTCACGCCAGATATCAAGGCAGATTGCTGAATGTTGACAATTGTTGGTTTCTATGATCTTATTTATGACAAAGTATGCATATGTTCAAGGGGTCAGCTGAAGCGCGGATCTATCCACTTCAGAGTTTTTAGTCGATTGATGATCATACCCGTATGCACATGGAGCTCTTGGGCACTACGGAGGCAGATGGACAGCAATGCCCTTTCTGCTATCACAGCTTAGCAAGAACGGCCTGGGCGCTGGAGACCTGTTGATTGAGTACGGTCAGCATATCATACTTGACAACGCACGGTGTTTCCGATGAAGAAGCTAAGGTGGTGCAACAGCATCCACTATATGCCAGTAGCTTGGCCGTATGCAACCTGACCTTGTGGACAGTACACAAGCCATCACGTTCCGGGAAAACGGGGACGTTATGGTTACATTCCATAAGGCTTGCAAAGGACGGTTCTGGGCAGGCAAACTCACTGTAACATCACGACCAGGCTCCTTTTCCGCATAGACGACCTTGCCATGGTCAATGACGATAGCATATCTGGCGGTGCGCTCGCCGAGGTTCCAGCCTATCGATTTCGAGAACTTGGCTTCGGGGTCGCTTAGGAAGAGCTATACAGATTTTATCAAGTCAGCCATCTGCAATCTCTTTTTTCGCACTCTTCGATTCTTTTACAGTGTGCAGAGCGTAGTATATCTGTCTGCCAGTAGGGGTGTGTGTGTGTGTGTGTGTGTGTGTGTGTGTATGCTTGTACTCACAATATCCTCCTCGCGGTTCTTGATACCATTAGCCTTGCTCCACGCGTCCATGACAAATGCATCATTGAAAGCCAGCACCGCCACGATGTCGACTTTCTTGCCCTTGATCTTGTCCAAATTCTCAATGTATCCGGGAAGGTGCCGCACGGAACAGCCGGGAGTGAAGGCACCGGGGACGGAGAAGAGGACGACCTTCTTGTCTTTCCATTCTTTTGAGGCAGCGTAATTCTGGGGGATACCACAGGCAGTTATGGCGGCGCTCTCATCTGTGTAAGGCACGTATCTATACAGATCTTTCAGTACTGTCCTTCGGCGAGGGGAGGGCAATGGGCGTCGGTGCTTACGAGAAGACGACGTCGTCGGGGAAGCTATCCCCTGGCTTGAGACCGGACATGGTGAGGGCAAAGGGTACTGTTTTGAATGTGATGGGGTTTGTACAGGTACAAAAGAGAGATCGCACTTGGAGGGTTTCTAAAGGACACCGAGTGAATACCTATCTCTGGTATGTACTCGGAACAGGAGTCGGAACGAAAATGTCGGAATCTACAGGCTTCTTGGTTCAGGTACGAGTACGCGCGAATTCGACTGCGACTCTTTGACCCCACGTTTGTTTACTAAAAGGAGGGGCAGCACCTCTCTTGTATTGTACGACGTTCGATCTTATCTGATCCGAGGTCTTCGCATCTCTCTCTATGATCACGCTGCTTTTTTTCACCTTGTGCCGCCTCTTTTACAACCCTGTTTCTATTCGGGAATGTCTTCGTTTCCGCTTTTCATTGTATAACCGTCCACTAGCCACCCAAAATAGTACGGGAATCACGGCTGGTCTCCTCATCAAGCGTCTAGTCTACTTTTTCCTCATGAAACCCCCCGAATACAGGCAAGACATTCACTTATTGTGGCTACTCAAGGTACGTTCATGCTGGCCGACCACCAAATGACAAGCGACTGTTCGACTCGTGCGACCTGGACGAGCCAGTCTTGCCGCTTTTCCCCCGGTCGAACAGCGAGTGGCGAAGGTGGATGAGACCGTGTACAGTACGTAGAAGCAACCTTTTGGAAATGGGCCAACGTTGGTCACGGTGGATCTGATCGGCTACAAGGGGTACGGAAACCTTCCAAAATGAGTACTATAGATCAGAAAGAGAGAGAGAGCGCGAGAGAGGCACACACATGCAAAGGCTTGTGACGTATAAAAAGATGAACCGTACGTCGCTTGTAAGCAAGGGTCTCTTCTTTCTCATCTTACCACACAACCCATCATCTCCATACATACATATATACATACCTACCTACCTCCTTTTAGCTAGGGAACTAGCCTCAGCCCAATTGTCACACAACACTCACACACACACACATTACACATTGTATATTGCAAGTTCCGTTCATCGTAAGCGTCTCCTGGACCACGGTTCCGACCCCCAAAAAAAGAGATGGCCTCTCTCAAACCTCCCTTCACCCTCGCGACGGCCAAGGAGAAGGTCAAGTTCGCCCAGAACATGTGGAACACCTGTAACCCGAGACAGGTCTCCAACGGCTACACGCCCAACTCGATCTGGCGCAACCGGGACCAGTTCCTCGTGGGGACCGAGAAGATCGTCGAGTTCCTCACCAAGAAGTGGGAAAAGGAGGCCAACTACCGTCTTCGCAAGGAGCTGTTCGCCTTCACCGACGACAAGATCGCCGTCCAGTTCTGGTACGAGTACCAGGACCGGCACGACGGCATGAAGTGGAAGAGGACGTACGGTCTGGAGGACTGGACCTTTGACCGGGACACGGACAAGATGAGGAAGCGACAGATGAGCGCCAACGACATCGTCCTGGGCCGGGGCGGCGACGGGGTGGCCGTGCCCGAGGAAGGAATCCAGGGACGATGGTACGTCGACGGCGTCGACGTGGACGACGAGAGTGTGACGCAAAAGATTACAGAGGCTCACTGGTGATCGCAAAACCGATTCGGTGCAACAAATGTACGTAGTTGCTACTTGGTGAAACGGACTGGAAAAATTCGATGACAAATGGCATATTTTCATTTTGTATTAATCAACCATTGACACCAAGGCCATAAGCATAAAAACATCAGTAAGGATCGTCAGGTCGTCATAACACATCGCTAAATACAAAGTTTCTCATATGCGCCCTACTGGGCACACTTCAATTTGTGCAGGCTGCGGTGGCCCTTTTATAGCTCGGGGTCTTCAGCGATAAAGAATGAAGTGTGTCTCGGCTCCTCATCCTCGACAAAAGGTGCCAGTCTGGCCTTGAACTCTTCCAGATCCATGTTGTCCTCGGCAACGGATGGAGCACCAGGAGTTTTCGGAGGAATCAGCACCACAGGCACCACATGCATGACACCGTCAGCGGCAATGCCATCAAGGACGCTTACTCGAGTGAATCCATTGATCTTCATGGTGATGAGTCGGCCGTAACGTGCAATGTCGATGCTCAAGCTCTTATCCTCGAGACCAGTGGGCAGGTCAACATGAATGAATCCTTTTGGAACCTTGTGATGTGGAGGGTGTGACTCGGAACCAAGCTTATAGATCGCATCAGAATATAAAGTAATGTCATCGGCTGCATGGTACAGCAACAGAGCCTTAAGATACTTCAGACCGAACCTGCTGAACAGGAAAGCATTGATCTTTGGTCCGAGTCTCTTGAAAGCGAAATTAGATGGGGCGAACAAGGTACCACCCTTATGGCTTGAAGTGTCATTGAAGGCAGGATATAGGCCGGTCTTCTCAAGAGCTAGATCCAAGGTGCTGAACTCGCCAGGAAGTGCAGACAGGATATCGACAACTTTTGGCGGCGGGAAAAGGAAGCTGTCGAGGCCATGGATAACACCATTAGTACCAAAAATATCAATCGCCACAACTCGGGCATAGAAGTTGAGGGTCAAGCCTCTCAGTGATACTTGGCTAGAAATCCGCTGCGGGACGTCGCCAATGTATTCAGCCTGGAGAGCGGTTGGAATGGTGCGGCTGACCAAAACACGACCTGCAGGGTAGAACTCTTCGGAGATGTGGTATGTCAAAAGCTTCCTGAGGAACTCCTTCGGTGGCTTCGGTGCATGTTTCGGGATCTTTTCAAAGGCATGGTCCGTAGGTGCAAAGAGAGTATAGTTTGCCTTGGTTCCGTTGAGAAGCTCAACCAAGTCCGGGAACTCATCGATAGCTGCAGCAAGCTTGGTGGTATATTTGCTCTTGGAGATCAACTGATAGACAGTCTCGTTGGGTGGTCCATGGTGAGGATGGTCTGGCTTCTTGGGCTTCTTGCCCGGCTTGCCGGGACGGTGATGGGGGGGCCCATGATGAGGAGGATGCTCAAGCAGGTCGAGATCATGCTCGGCACTGTCTAACCATGCATCGCCTGCAAAGGCATTTTGAAACTGTTCGCCATATTTGATGGCAGCTTCTTCTGTGGATTCCACCACCTCTTCAAACTTGTGCTTTGCACAATGTGCAGCTTTCAAGAACTCTCCCTCGAGGTCCTCCCAAAACGACTCGGCTTTGTGAACCTTGTACCAAAAGGGGTGCTCAGGGGGTTGTTCAACTTCCTGATTCTCTAAGGACAGTGATTCGAGAGTCGCTTGGTCTGGGATGACAAAGGCCGAGGCCAAGGCGGCCGTCGAGAGTATCGAAAGAACTCTCATTGCGGATCAGGTGGATCGGCCAGCAGGGAGATGTTCTAGGGAGATGTTCTTGATGAAGGGAGGTAGGATGGTAGGAGAGGAAGAGGGAAATGGTAGCAGAGGATAAGTCTTGAGCAGGCAGAAGCCAAACAGGTGATGCTTATGTACAATGAGTAGTGACGGCAGAGAAAGTGAGTCTATGACATACTCCGTACAGAGAGATGCATTACGCGGCGGCGGATGGAAGTGCCCAGTGCAGTAGTTGTGACGGTGCTCCGTGAAGTGGGGGAACCACTAGTGGCTTGTCTTGTAGCTACGACAACTTCCTCACCACAGCTACCAGCACTTATCACAGCTTATCGCGACTTATCGGTTGGTCTGTACTCCGGACTCCGACAAGTCGATCCATTGTACAAGTACATAATTTTGTCTGGGGATCGGAAACCCGTACACAATACCATGGATGTTACTACATGTCCATGTTCTGTCTCAGGTAGTGGTCCCTTTCATCATCAAGTACTTTCATTTGGATTTCCAAGGGGAAAATGCCCTTCTGTTTAAGTGGATGTCAAAATACCTTGACCGTCGCTTAATTATACTCTCTTCCCTCCAAAGCAGCCACCTCGTCCTGCATGATATTTCCATGCATATTTCCCTAGCCATGCCATTGTCTCTAACTAGTTAGTCGAATTGATTGCGACTTTATTGCGAGGAAGCTTGAAATTGAGGTCGAAGAAGCATATTCGCAAGATACAGTCGCATCTCCAATATGGCAAGGCTTTTCCATCACTCCAGGTAGAGACGCCAGAGCCTCCACTGTCTGATCATTGATATCGCCCAGGCCGCTAAAGCTTCCTCAAGGCGCCAAGTGGAAAACTCAGAGACTTTCCTCTCTAAAGCCCGTTCGGTGTGGGAGGAGGAAGATATGATCAAGTGGTGGTTTCACTGCGATATGGATGCTCGACCCTCAACAGGGTAAAATGAGCTCTACCTAGCCATCTCGGAACCTATGGCAGTTATCTTCCCCACGCCAACGTTAAAGAGCTTACATCTCGCTTACTGGAATCATGGTTCCCTTCCTTCCGTTCATCATCTTCATCCAGTCGTCACCATTCATGGCCCATTTGCAATACTGCTGCAGTTTTTCTGGGATGAGTTTCTCTCGGCCGATTTCTGTCATACGCGCAATGAATGGGACTAGGCGAGCATCTAGAGCAGTGGGATTCTCTCCAAATATCCGTCTCTGCGGGTCTGCGACTCGGTCATGTAGTGCTTCAAGCAGCTCACGTACCTTCGTTTCGTTCTTAGCTATCTCCGAGGGCATCAATCCCTTGACCTTGTCATTCTCGAATCTGTAAGTTGCTTAGCACTCACGCTACCTCAGAGTAGCACCGGCCGCCTACAATGTTTTCTTGAATTCCATGGCTGTTCGATGCCGGTCCGAGATGGAGGGGTCATCAAGACGCCTCTGTACTGCTTCCACAAGTTTCTGCGCGATCTGCGGGCGACCAGGAAACGACAAGGAGAAGTAGTTGAGTGCGTGGAGGTCGGTAAGAAAGTTTTCAATCTCCTCTTTGTACTGGCTAGGAATGAGGCTTGGGTATCTCGAAGCCATATACAAGGTCATTTCCAGGCTGTCTGTAATCGGACCTTCCTGGCCAGCCGGAGTCAGCAGCACAGGAACCTAGAGTTGGCTCGTCATACATTAAATCTGATATTTTGCAGAGACATTTTCGTACCTGGCCTAACTTGTTGACGTTACAAAGAAAATGTTCAGCAAGCTGTTCTTCGTGGTAAATATCAATGACCTGCATAGCCACGTTCATCTCAGAATCGCCGTTCTTCGGCTGTCCGTAGAATGACATTGTGTACAAGGCCATTAATGAGCAGATAGAGTATGGGTGGTAGTACAACTGAAAGTCTGTCATGAGGCTTGCCGCTGCCATGATGATTGCACTGGAAGAGGCGTTTGCTGGATCTCAGGACGATGGCTGATATGTGACAATGTGCTGTCAGAGAGAACGGCGAGTCTTGTGCAGCCAAAATAGCAAGATGTATATAGCGTAAGAATTCTGGAAAGTATTCACTCATTGACGCCCCTTGTCAGTGTTACTGATATTATACCAACCAGTTCCAGCAGGATACGGCGGGGAAGAAAAGGAAACGAGGATGGTCCAAATTAGTCCCAGGCCTCTCCAGCTGGAGAGCCCTGTCCTTTGGCACTAAGTTCTCTTGTCAGCTTTTTGTATCGTGCCATGGAGGCTACCGAGTCATTGAATCAATGCAGCCGGCTGGAGAAGACACAAAGGCTCCGTCTGAAGAGGGTGACCATGGCGGTTTCACATGCCGGGATTTCGCGAACGCACATCAGAATCTCTCCTGGATAACACGCGATTCTCTCTGATGGTCAAATTCCGGATATGGTGGTCAGAATTTCACATGTGAGATCTCGCCAGGAGAATAAGCGGACCGGCAGATGGAGAGGTTGTGGCAACGAAATCGACACTTGGAAGCGTGGAAATGCCCGATCATGATCATGAAGGAATCCGACAGATGCGTTCACGGAGTTCTTCCATTGCTAAAACATGAAGATAGCTCCCGAGGAGAACAGGCGTCATGAGGCAAGACCACTAAAGTTGCATTGTATCGGATACTGTTCCATACTCACAGCCACAACTTGGTGTTTCATAGTGTTGAGTTTAGAAAGATCATTCGGGCGAGCATGAACTTGTCTCATAAGGGTTAGAACGGAATTGTCGAAGCTCTGATCTCGACATCGATTTGCGGATAAATAACAAATCATCCGCCGAGGCACGAATGCTCAAACAACATACGGACGAGAAACACCTCGTCCATAGCCGCTTAAGCGTAACACAGCTGTATAATGATTGTGACAATAGATCTGGGCCTCCTTTTTGTTTGGTGTCTTTTTCTTGTTTTGAAGACGTTTGGATATCCTGGCCAAAGGCTCAAAGAGGGATCCAGGAGCGTTGTGAGCGATGACCAGCTATTGCCAACAGCCTTCTCTTTCTCTGCGCACTGCAGTTCGCACCTTCATGATTGTATCAAATATCATGGCGCAAGACTGGGGGCGCCGAGAATAGTGCCTGCCACACATGAAGATCTGTGTGTCTCAACATCCTCGCACCTGGCACCTTGCAACATCTCTGCTTCTTTGCCCTACTCAAGATACGTGCAAATGACAGAAGGGTGAGACGTTTTTTGCTGCCCAGAGTCGTTCTTTTTGGATTCCCATGCTTCTTTTTGGTTGTGATTGATTCTTGGACTTACCTCACGCAGCATTCCTCATTGTCAAACGCCCAATGCGCCAGCATTCCTCAGTTCACCAACTATAGTTGGAACCAAGATACCAATATCTGAATTGGGGAACAACAAATATACACCAGACATTGTTCGGTGCAGATTTTAGCAACACATGTCATATGAAGCAAAGGAGGTGGGCATGGGAAGGGCACAACGACCAGTGTGGTGAAGGTGAAGCACACGACTTGAGTGCAGTTACGGTGCAAAAATTCATAACACTACTGTCGCGTTACTTGCACAGGATCTTTCAAACTGACTACTGTTCTCCCCCATCGCAGCCTCCAGCCTGGACGTGTCCAAAGGTATTCTTTCTTTGATGGAAACGCTGTTTGTGCTTGTCATTAACGTCGACACAGCTATTCTATGGCAACTCCGATTGTTGCCAGTGCAGCGCTACCAAGACGGTGACCTCAGCGATGTCTACTCACAACGTCTCCAGTCGCGCGACGGATATCGACACAGCAAAGCACGTCAAAGACAACAAGACAGTAACAAAAAGAGATGTTCTTGGGGAGATTCAAGGCAAAGGAGTCTCTTCGACGCATGCTTCTCGACCTAGGAATATGACTCCTCATTGCGGATCATCACCTCGACTGCCTCATCATGAATCCCTGAAACCCGAAGCCAACCTGTCGGTTCGCGAAAATGTCGCCGGAAAGATTCCCACCATTGAGAACAAACGAATCTCGACTGTTGCCGATGAGGTCGTTGGCGATGCCAAGAGAGATTCTCAGGCTTCTTCCAGTTCAAATCCTACTACGAAAAATAAGAGGAAAACACATGTCGGGCCATGGCAATTGGGCAGGACACTTGGCAAAGGAGCTACTGGCAGGGTTCGACTTGCAAAACACTCCATGACAGGCCAAGTTGCAGCGGTGAAAATCGTTTCCAAAAAATCTGCTGCTCTCGTTCAGAGCGCAAGTATGGCTCGCATGGACAAAGAAGACACAACCGCAATGATTGCAGCAGGCCCGCGTACCATGCCGTTTGGAATCGAACGCGAGGTCGTTATCATGAAGCTCATCGCGCATCCAAATATTATCAACCTTTACGATATCTGGGAAAATCGTGGAGAACTCTATCTTGTCCTTGAACATGTTGCCGGTGGTGAGCTATTCGACTACGTCTCAAGTAATGGAGCCTTGCCTGAAGGCGAGGCAGTCAGACTATTCCGTCAAATTATTGCAGGCTTGTCGTACTGCCATCGCTTCAACATCTGCCATCGAGACCTAAAACCAGAAAATATTCTTCTCGACAGTCAGCGGAACATCAAACTGGCAGATTTTGGAATGGCAGCTCTTCAGCCAAATGGCACTTGGCTTAATACTTCCTGCGGAAGTCCACACTATGCAGCCCCCGAGATCATTCTGGGCCAGCAATATCGTGGTGATCTTGCAGATATCTGGAGTGTTGGCATTATTCTCTTCGCCATGTTGAACGGGTTCCTGCCGTTCGACGGAGGCACTGTCCAAAACACCCTTCGCCTTGTAAAGAAAGGCGAATATTTTCTCCCGCCAATGCTAAGCGTTGAGGCATCTGACCTAATTCAACGGATATTGCAAAAGAGACCAGAAAAGAGGATCACCATGGCTAATATTTGGGCACATCCACTCCTGCGCAAGTACGAGAAATACCATGCCAGTTTGGTTTCTCCTGATGAGCTCATCGGTCCTGCTCCGCCTTTGAGTCTTGAAACTCAAGCGAAACGTGTCAATAAGAGGTCCGACATTGATTCTGAAATTCTCAGCAACCTCTCAACTTTGTGGCACGGTCTCAAGGTCGAAGAACTGACAAAGAGATTGCTGAATGACGAACCCAACCACGAAAAGCTTTTCTATTGGGCATTGATCAAGTTCAGGGAGGACCAGCTGGAGAACTATCCGGGTGAGCCTATTCAATACTCTGCCAGCGACCATCATCATGTCAGCAAGCCCGCGCTCAAGCCGAGCAATCGATCTACCACTGCTCGTGGCCATTATCGTCGCACTTCCCAATATTCTATTGTCAGTGATGAGACAAGTCATCGTGATGGGTACTACAAGAATGCGGCTACAGCAACTAGCAAAGTGACCAACAGCAGTTATGATCCATATCGGGCTTCCAGAAACCCTATCTCTGAACCTCGTCCTGAATTGGGGACAGTCGTCGTACGCCGCCCAGCTGTGGCTGCTGGTCATGCGGTAGGACCAAGTAGTGTTCGACACAAAGTCCTGGAGCGGCTCCAGGACGACGTTCCCGCAATGCCTAGCTTCACATCCGAAGAGCTTAAGCGTCTCATCCAGAAGAAGAGAGCCTCATATTCAACTGCAACGTCCAAGAGCTCACTCTCTAGTACAAGACGTCGTCCCGGTATTCGAAAATCTGTGAGCTATAAACGCCAAATCAGTTTCCCTCATCGCCGCCAAACACCTTCTGGATGTATCAACGGCAATGGTCGAGCCATGTACGACAGTAGCTCCAGCGACCGACCACACACTCGCAGTACAAGTAACCCCAGAACCGAATCACAGAGCACACCGAGCCTGGCGACACCTTCACAAGCATATCAACCCCGTAAATCAAGTTCAGAAATGGACATTAAAAAATCTCGTGCTGCCAGCTACTATTGGAAGGATGAAACAAGAAAGGTCAGCGCCGAGCTGGGCAAAATTTGCGAGGAAGCTTTCAACAGATCCTCTGTGTCTACTACGATGAGCGAGGCTAGCCCTCATGCTCTATTTGAATCATCTGCGACATCGATGTCAGTACATCAGCAACGCATACCAGAGAGCATTCGTAACAGACCTCTGCCTGCCACGCCAATACTGCAAGAGCTGATTGAATATCGTCACAAGATCGTCGAGACCTGGGGCGATGGTGACAGAGCGGTCCTAGCAGATGTACTCGCGACGATTGACAAACGCATTGATGCCGAGGTTGACAAACAGCTGAATCTCGACAAGCGAGCAGCTTCTGATCCAACACGGGGTTTCCTCACGCCCCCGAAACAGAAAGTCGCCTCTACCGACCCGGAGGAGGACGTGAGACGAGATCGTGAGCGAGCTCGAGCTGCTTCCGAACCTCTCAAGTATAAGACTCCTCGTGGTCGACAGGATAATACGATTCGCCTTGTAACGCCTGATCAGACATCGCCCTTGGCTCGGCTCGAGCCACTGAAAGTGCGCAAAAATAAAGCGATGCCGATCAATTCTTTGCGTGGAGGCCCTCTGAATGCGGCAAGAACCCAGCATGATCGCGTGGGGTATGACAAGCGTCTCTATGAACGAACAGGTTTGGACACCATCGAGGAGAACCCTGGTTCACCGAGGAAGCCTGTTTCGCGCAAATGGTCATGGCTCGGTAGGCGTGGATCAGGTGGTCACGACCTGCTAGAAGCCATGCAAGCTACCGAACAGACCAAGCACAGCATCGACACTCATTCTTCTTCTCAAGTTGTGCAGCCTAGCGAGTCGACCAATTCATCTATCCTTACAAGAGGCAAAGACAGCGATCCCGAACCTGGTGACATCGAGTTGAATGTCGAAAAGAAGAGGAGGTGGTTTCAGAAGATGTTCGGAAAGACGAAAGTTAAGGGCGGCTTGTCGAACACTGGTGGTGAAAATCGCACTGCCCGTGATCCTTGCAACGGCCTAGACCAGGAAGATGGAACGTCTGTCGACGTCAGTGAGGAGAATGTCCTGGCTCGAAGATGTTTCCCTCCAGTAACAAGCGTCGATGCTGCTTCTGCAGCGGCAGCCCTTGGTCCAATTGAGATCAGTCAGAACTGGTTTGCCAAATTCTTCCATATCAAGCCGGCGAGCCGTGTCATTTGTCTTCAAGTTGGCAAACACAAAGCCAGGAAGGAGCTGGTTAAGATTTTGAAAGAGTGGCGTAAGTATGGCATTAAAGACGTGGTCTCCGAGCGCAGAACCGGTGGCGACGTGGTCCGAGGTCGCGTAGACATGTCGAATTGTGAGTCTTCTCTGCTTTTGGTACGGGTGGTGCTAACACGAAGACAGATCTTCAGTTGAAGCCAGTGCATTTCCATGCATACGTTTACTCAGTGCTCGAACATGGTCGAAAAGCAAACTTGAGTGTCCTGAAATTCACACAGGAGAAAGGTGCCGCCAGCAGCTTCTACAAGGTCGTCGACACCTTGGAAGCAGTCTTGAAAGAGCGTGAGTTGCTTGTGCTTGACGCTCAAACTACGAGATGCATTGAGAAAACATTGAAAACCTCGAAGGGGAATTGAATTGGTACTGGGGACATATTCTTGGACTTGTGCAAGGTGCCCAAGGTCTTTTGTACATTCGCTTGAAACGGTTCTTGGACAAGATTGTTGTGAGTAAGATACATATGGGATATGGGATGACAGCGCGGCTTTTTCATCCATTACGAAGACCATCGCAGTATGCTGGTATTGGCAGCGAAATGGGATACTGGAGAGTTAGTGCTCAAGAACCTGAATACATAGGAATGACGTTCTTGTAATAGTAATTCAGCTTCGTCTAATCAAAAGTGCACTTTATGATTCTGGAGATTGTTATTACTTTGTAACGTTTCTTGTTGATATGCTGGTCCGATATCGCGAAGCTTGCGGGAGGGTAGATTTCCTAGTTGGTCGAAGCCGATAATGACAGCATCGTAGCCGGTCTGGGCAGAGGATGTATATACGTATGTATGTACATATATATATATTCTCTACCTTTGTTTCTGGCAAGGACGACATCATTTGCATCGATTTACGACTTGACAAACTTTTACACAGAGGAAGCTCGAAGCCATGGCGGCCACCGAGAAAGACCAGGAGGTCATTCGAATCGCTCGAGGTCTCGAGCACGTCCCTTGGTGCGATGACTATGAGAGAATGATATCGGGGATGTTGTGAGTGTTTATTGATCATGTTCCTCCGTCTACCCAAATTTTGAAGGCAGCACACCAACGATTCGTCTTTCCTCTACAACAGGTACGACGCTTTCATCCCCGAACTTGAAACTTCCCGATGGAGGGCCCGAAAGTGGTATCATCGGTACAACACCCAGTTTCCGGGTTTGGACGACCCCGACTCGACCATGCAGCAAGGGGCACAGGCGAGGTTCGAGATGCTCAAGGACATTTTGGGCCGAGTGGGAGAGGACGCCTTCATCGAACCGCCATTCTACTTGGATTACGGTTGTAATGTTTTGCTTGGGGAGAGGTTTTATGCCGGTGTCAAGTGAGTTCCTGCTTGGAGCCTTTTATTCTCGCCCTTGGAGATTCCGTTTCCATTTCTGAACGACGTCGGTGACGGTGATGGTGTTGGCTAACGAGTTCCCTTATTCGGCAACGCAAAGTCTCACAATCCTCGACTGTTCAATCGTCACCATCGGCGACCGTGTCATGGTCGGTCCGTTCGTCAGCATATTTGCCGCCACGCACGAGACCGAGGTCGCCTCGCGCCGGGACAATGTCGAGTTTGCTCGCAGGGTCACGATCGGCGACGACTGTTGGATCGGTGGGCAGACGGTCATCCTGCCGGGAGTGACCATCGGTAAAGGATGCACGATCGGCGCCGGGAGCGTGGTCAGTCGAGACATCCCGGACTGGAGCGTCGCCATGGGGTCTCCGGCCAAAGTGGTCAAGACGGTCACGGCGTTGGAGGACATGAAAAATGAGAGGGCGAGTTTCGTGGCAAGAGAGAGGCAGGGATGATTTTTCGACGGGCACAGAAAAACATATGTTGTTGATGAAGGCAACAGGGTCATGCAGTGCACGAACGACATGTTCGGGAACGAGCTATATGGGCAAAGGCATATATCAGAAAGGAATAGATAGATACATGTAGTTGGAAAAAAAGAATATAGGTTATGCCGGTGTGTGTCTAGCATGTTTTAGAACTACCATCGTCGGTCGACATGAGTTCCAGGATTTACTTGTTGCGTGAGTTGTCTGCTGGTTGATTCATCGTTTAAGAATTAATCTGTATGTTCATGGTTGATTCAATAATATGAAACAGTGTCAAGTCGTATTGAATCAAGTCATCTGGAAAGGATCATGACCATTTTGTTGGAAACAAGAAGCATAGAAGTGAATAACCCTACAAATGTGTGTAGCGGGAAACTCGTGTTGTAATGCTTTGCCGTAATACAAGTTCCCGCTAGTGCGAAGCATACAACCAAGATCAACATTCCGCGATTCAGCCGCAAAACAAAAAGCATTCGGGAGCTCTGGGTTCGGCGTAGTGGTAGAGGAAACCAGAAGACGATTCAACGACGCCACAACCCAGACCTTCCTGCTATAACGACCTCACGCGAGCTTCTTTTTCTTTCCGGGACATGTCATAAGAGCCACGATCCGAACCCTACAAAATTCAGAGTCGCAACCATGGGCGCAGGACAGTCCAAGCAGGACGACTCGGCCAAGCATGTCTTCACCAGCGACACCCCGATCCAATTTTCGCAAGAGTGAGTCGCACGCTACGGACAGCATGGGTGACTGTTCTAAGGGTGGAAAAATGAATCGTTGTTGGGGGGTTCACGGGCCGGGCTGACTTTTTGTCTTGTTTGTTAGGCTCATCGACTCTCTCCAAGCTTCATCAGAAGTAAGGACCTCCAGTTCCCGGGCCGTTGTGCTTGAAGGCGCAAACATGTAACATGTATACTAAACTTATTCCCTCACAGACAAACTCGACACGAGCAAAGACGTTAGAACTGCACATCGCACAACGAGTCGCGGCCGAGCTCGAAAAGATCAAACAACACGAATCTTCGGCGGTGGAGGAAGCGCGCAAGAGGATCGCCGCGGCCGGGGAAGCCCTCGGTTCGTCATCGTCGTCTGACTCCTCATCCTCGGGCAACTCCCTACTTCAGATGCCGTCCTTGTCGCCCAAGGATCTGTTGGAGAGCGGCGAGGAGAAGGAGCGCAAGGCGCAGACGTCGGCCAAGGTGCAACAGGAGATTGAAAAGTTAAAACAGACGCTCAGTCAGAGAAAGATCCTCAAGGACTTGCCGGGCGAGGTGGAATCAGCGTACGTTTTCTTCTTTGGGGTTTCCATTTCCACCCTTTCAAAACGTGTTGCGAGTCAAGAGGGAAACAGAAGTTTGCGAAAGCTAACCATGACTACCCCCCAAAACAGGAGACAAGATGTCATTTCTTGCCTACGGATAAACGACCGGAAGCCACTCGACTGCTGGAAAGAGGTGGAGATATTCAAGCGGGCCGTACGGAAAATGGAAGAGAGTTATGTTTCGTCTGTACTATGATGTGGTTCTTCTTGTGTGTGTGCCATGTCGCGAGAGCAGGAGGACTGTGGGAGAAGGTCGAACCCCTTCCAAAAAAAACCGATTGTATATACCTAGAGAAAGCCATGCGTGGATATGGATACGATTATTGCTTCCTTTGAACCATCTTCTGGTTCGGTTTTACGAGCCGAGTTTTGCCGAATCTATAGCGGTGATAGACGTCGTGAAGAAGCTATAATGACTTAAGAGCATCAGCTGGCGTACAACGTCGGCTTGAAGTCTCTTACTGCTTCCTTTCCAGAATGCCTGACCACGACCTGGAGCTGGGTTGTGTCTATGTGGAAAGGAACTCGATGGCCATAGTGGCTCGCCGAGAACGGTCACTGGAATCCTCGGCCCTTCTTGGTGTGAAAGCTTCGATGTACTTCGCGAGGGCGATAGTTCTCGAGCTGTTTTTGCTCTCTAATCATCCCAGACCATCACATCTTGAATTGGTGGTAACTGCTTCAAGGCCAATTCAATTCTCTCCTTACGATCCATGCCCCTGCAGGCCTGAGTTTTCGGTAGTACATGTCGACCAGCATAACACGCTTGAAGTCACGTTTGGCGTACCAGTCCAACGCATCTTCGTTCCTTTCCCACACATGAGCGTAGATGCACACCGTCCCTGATGATTTGGCGATTGACGATGACAGGACGGTTTCCAGAAGAGAGGTGGCAAGTCCGAGACTCCGATAGGGTGCTAGAAGAGCCAGGGCCTGGATATAGATCTGCGACGGCGCGTTCTTACTCAGACCTGTGTTGGTGGTCGGCGAGCAAGATTCAAGTCGGCATCTGATCCAACCCACCGGTTCGGAGTGATACAGCACGGTTCTAGACAACTGAGATGCAACTGGGTCTGTCAGTGTTGAAGTGAAGAATGACTGATTATAGTGGACTGGCAATGTCGTGCTGGTCAGGCGTTGAATAGCTGGGAGATGGGCTTGCTGAACGGGAACGATGACGGCCTCTGGACGGTGTGGAACTACCACAATTTGAGCGAATTTATCGGCATTGCTGAACCCTTCAATTGCCCCCAGAGAGACGTTGGTGATAGAGTCGTGTGAGGTGCCGTTGATATTGGCGTCTTTCGTGTTATCAGGAGTGGGTTCTGACGAGGTTGTCTTGGCCGCCCTGGATGCAGAAGCCTGGTCGAGAAGCGAGCTTACAATACTCGGTTCGTTCGACTGACTTTCTGTCTTGCTGGATGAATTGTTGTGTGCTGTATTGACGCGAAGGTGTTCGTCTGCACCCACGACGTTGTGCGCACCAGCGGAGGTTGACGTCGGCTTAGAGAAGTACGACAGAAGAGTCGGCTGTGGCATCCTTCACTAACACCACCACGAGTAGCATCTGGCAGACACCATGATCTCGTCGGGAATGGTCTCGTGTTACTCTTCGCATTCGAGACACTGCAAGGCTGTGGAAAGAATATGTCGTGGCCACTTTATTACGCGACGATGGAGGAAATGCAGGGGCGGCTGTTGCCGGCGCTAGAAGGAGCTTATCGATGGCTTGGATCTGCCCTTTCAAGCCCCAAAACGCTCGTGAGCCACCAGCCTTTGACAATCTTTTGCCTGCGCCTTGACGACAGCTTCCTGTTGGTACTTCCCCTCCACGCCGCAAGGCTCGCTTGTCTTCCTGTAAGGGCTCGCTATACTGTGAGGTCTTTGTATAGAGAACTCCCCGACTCCGAAGCCGTTCCGCCGCATCAGTTCCCTGGCGTCCGACCATTCATCCGACCAACCGCCGAGGCCACAAACACGGCCCTCACGAGCCTCGCTCTCGAACACCTCCTACGAGTGCTATAGATATACATACGACTTATAATTATTTGTGATCTGGTAGCGACAAAGAGGAAGAAACCTATCAGCCTTGTATTCAGGCACATGGCTGGCTAGGGTGAAGAAAAAAAACTTATAGGGTGCGGGTACAAATTGACGCCGATTGAGGTGTGCATGGGACAATACTTATCTATTCACAAGACCGAAATAGTAAGTGAATAAGCTTGTCCTGAATATGCTATTGTTCAACACCTGCGTTCGTCAATGGGAGGTCTACGAAGTATTCAACCCAACAACATCATGGCTATGTTTATGTTTGAGCGTTTCCTTTCATTTTGGTATACCTGTTCGCGAGAAACCTGCGCAGTTTCGCACTGGGCTTTCAGAAATCCGGCAAGATGGGTCCCCCAAGAGCAGATTCTAGTCTTTCTACCAATAGTGTTCTCGACGTGGACTTGTGGAAACGTTTCTACAAAGATGAAGACATCACGGCTGACGCACCGCCCCCAGAACGAAAACCACCCGCAATGGCAACCTCGAAGACTATGACGGTGTCTCCCTCTGAAACAGAGCAGGCGGTTTGTGCACCAATACCGCAGTCGATACTAGTACTGATTCCTTCAGATATCCTACCTCTTGGAGCAATCCATAGAGAGCATTTTGCATGATATTCTTCTGGATATCCACCAAGAAGAAAAGATTGCTAGGATGCAAACGGCTGTTGTTGAAGTTGAGCAGCGCGCCGAAAAGTTAGGAAAGAAACCTTTTGAGGACGATCCAAATGGACAAGTCGATGATTCTAGTGATCCCGTCGAAACAGATGCCGCCGTGCTACAAGGTTCACAGGTCCAATTCAAGGGCAACCCGATGAAGACAGTCAAACACATCAGATGTCCAAATTGTCGTTTGCGGAGACTTCTCTATCCAAGGGTGGGCTTCAATTCTCGGCCGGTCCCAGATGCGAATGAACAGTATTGCAAGACCGAGCCCATGATCATCATCGACAAGCACGATGTCCATGGCCAACGTAAGAAAGGCGTCAAAATGAAAGGACAAGCCAAGGGCAAAGGCAAGGGAAAGAAGAATGATCCGGCGTCACCAGCCTCGGAAAACTCGGACCCTCTTACGCCTTCGTCAGGCCAACCCAACGACTCTTTCGAATTCAAAGAAATCGACTATCCCGCCGCCAAGTGTCCCAACAGAGAATCCCACCTGGGTGACCACTGGAAGTCGGTCAATGTATTTGCCACACATCTCAACGGAAGCTGCTTCCTGAAGAAAGACCGCGCTGCTGGCCGAGAGGCAAATGCCAAAATCGGTGGTACTCCACGAGACAGTCGTGCCAACTCGCCCAAGCCAACCGCCAACGGCACCAAACGTAAGGCGGACGACGATAATACTGGCAGCACCAAGAAGAAGCAAAAGACCGCAGCCGAGATCAAGAGGGACAAGAAAGCCGGCACTGGTCCCAGTAAATTGCGGGAAACGAACAATGTGGACGACCAGGACGACGAGAGTCCGTCGAAAGATACAAACGGGGACACGATTCAAGTTACGCCGACGAAGAATGCACGGGACGCCAGTAACGAACCTACACTGAAGCTCAAGATAAAAACTGGGGCCGGAGATGGGACAGAGAAGAAAAAGCCGGGCAAACAGGCGAATTCGGGGAAAAAGGGATAAAACTCCCCCGCCATGAGTAGGTCTGCCTTGCGACAGTTGGCAAACGGGATGAAGGGCAGCATGTCAAAAACGGAATCTACTTACGCATTTTCTCACGGATTTGTGATGGAGGAAGGCGTGTCATTCGTACGGGAGTGTACAATAAATATCAGGTACTGGGGTACTTTGTGGGATTGGACTTTGCATAGCATTCGGCGTTCAGACAGGCTCAGATCCGAATGGGAGAGAAACGTTTCACGGTATGGTATGGGCCTGGCCGACAGCAAAGGTCTGTCTGTACTGGCCCAAAAGACAGACCACAGGTTTACAGATCAATGATAATCTAGTTGACCTTCGAAGAAATTTTCTCCGTCTGCCCATGCAGGACTTCAACAGTTTCAGAATTTTAATTTAGCTTCGACGATGTTTCCAGCCGCACCGCCTTCCCTGCTCTGCCAGATCTTTTCCAATTTCAAACCGGCGTCGTCCAGGATTTTCTCGAACCCCTCGGCCGTACGTTCCTTCCCACCCATGACCATGACGCAATTGTCCATCGCGGCGGCGGGCAAATCTGCCTCGTGGACACGTTTCGGCATGACCATGTCGGCGATGAGCACTTTGGAGTCGGGGGCCATGGCGTCGCGGACGTGCGACAGAATCTTGGAACAGTTCTCGTCCGAGTAGTCGTGCATGATGCGTCGGAAGAAGTACGCCTTGGCGCCTTTGACGGGCTGGGGGGTCCAAAAGTCGTGGACCATGGCCTTGACCCCTTTGGGCAGTGAGGAAGTGCCGGCCGACTCTTCTGCTTGGGCGATGGGCTCGGGGAGGTCCTGGAGCACCATGCGGTCCGGCTTGAGGCTGGGGAACGCCTTGAGCATCTGGGCGATCGACTGGCCCTGTCCGCCGCCGAGATCGACGAGCGTGACCCGGTCGCCGTCATTTTCGGCATCGTAGAGACCGGCAAAGTCGTAGAAGCCGATGACGGGCACGGAATCTTCTTGAGACATGAAGCCGAGCTGGAAGGCCTTGAGGCGGTCGGGGTACTGAGCCATGATCTGCCAGACGGGCACGCCGTCCTGGCCGTGCCGGTGGGTGTAGGGGTTGCGGAGAGGATCGTCGGGTTCGTGGACGGGGACATCGCCTCTGTCCTTGATGTATTGGTGAAAATGTACGAGAGTAGATAAACATTCGTCGTTCCTTTTTGACTTGTGGTTAAAATTGAACGGCTCGGTTCATGAAGAATGACACAAAATTAGTGGAAAAACAGACTTACATGAATTGGAAAAAGTTGCCAGGTCCCGGTACCTGAATGTAGGCTTTGGAGAATTTGGTGTGCACGTACTCGTAGTCTGGCGTCTGGTCGAGGAAGCCCGTGCCGACGAGCATTCGAAGTTGTCTTTCCAGAAACGAGTCCTGGACATTGGTGGCGGCCGAGAGATCTGCCAGTGATATCGAACCTGTTTGGGGGATCTTTTCGAACACGCCCAGTGACAGCATGGTGCGTACCGCCACGATCTCGAGCATCTAAAGGGGGGGGTTGCGACCTGGATGAGCTCGCGTGTAACTCCGTACCGGTTTTATGGAAGTATACAATTTTCACACTTACATTGGCAGCATGATGCATGGACATGTCGGACGGTGCCATCATCAGTCGAACGATTTCCTTTGCAACTTGCGATACACTCGTCCGCGAGATGTAGCCCGCAGCTCCGGGACTCGCATCGTAGCCTTTGGCGGCTTCGGAGAGCTGCTCGACCAGATCTTGCAGTTTCTCACCGTCGTCTTGGGTAGTCGGGGACATTTTTTTGGGGGTTTCAGGTTAATTGATACAATCTAGTGAGCAAGGAAAATGGTAAAGAGAAGCGCCGTTTTGATCATCATCTTCTTCACTTCTTACAACCGCCTATCCTAGGAGGTGCGAAAGATTTAGCCTACCTAATGGCTCAACGGGGATCGCGGCAGTTGATGGCATTGGACACGCAGAGGTTCGCCTCGGTTGGCACCGATACTGGAAGGCAGGGATGCACCTAGTTTGTACGGAGTAAGGTGTGTGGTGATTCGCATTGTGCCTGGGAAGCGAACACTTGTCAGGTGTAACAGTGAAGATTCATAACCAATGATCTCGGTGGGACGTGGCAGGAACAGGTGGGTTTCCAACAGCCTAGAGATGCAACTAAAATACTTGAGATGAGTTGAGTAGCGTTGCAAAGGGAAGAGAAGACGGAAGAGCGGGAGTGCTCGATTTGAGGGCGAAGGGTGAACTGTATGACTTTTGTGACTTATATCATTCATATGGTTAATGAAGACGTCTTCGACCTTGGGGAGAAATGAAGTTGCAACCTCGCCGACTTCCCTTTTCTACTTTGAAGACAGTCCTTGATCCTCTCGCATGTTGTAGTGTTGACTCGTATCCACACTCCACGGTATTTATGCATCTACTACGGAGTCAGAATCCTCACATCATATCTGTAACTACCAGGTAAGAAGACGATAAGGACTGTACAGTGCGTGATGAGCGCCGAGGTCCGTACGGAGTGCAAACATTTCGATCTAGATGGCTTTTCCAGACCATCAATTGATTACTCAATCACCACCCCTCGCTTACAGCCAACTACCGTGAACTGCAACACCTTTACGGAGTACTGTACTGTACAGCATCAGGGCCTCCGGTGGCGTCCTTGGCTATTTCTAGTCCTGCGACCTCACACCTCTGCGGCTCGGTCTTTTGCAACCACCAGCCGAAGGATCGAGGGTGTACAACACTTGTTACAGCCAATCTGGTCATCTGAGGCGGAACAATCCCCATCACTAGCCGTCAATCATGGTGTCCCATTGATCACTCAACGGTCCCAGCGCGAGATTACCACGTGGTATTTTTCAGACGCCACCGTCGATCTTATCCCCCATACCGTGTTCTTTTGGCAAGGCCTCCGCGACCGAAACGATTAGATTCGTCCGCGCAGAGCGACCGGCAGAAATTCCCTCCCTCAGCGTCGGCATAAGCTCCAACTATCACTTGCAGCATAATCCCGGTATCAGCCGGCAGCATGGGGTGTGATACAGTCACCTTAGCCCTTGGACATGCAGCCGACACGGCGACTTCTGGAGCTTCGCAGAAGCTTGTGGGCCTCGACACAGGAATTTTCCTTCTCGATCGAGCTCCCGCTCCCGGTCAGTGGAGTTGAGCACGTGTTGCATGCATCCTAGAGGGAACCCCAGGACAATACAAGGGTGGAAACATACCGTGAGTGTTCGATTTACGTGAACCAGTTGTAGGTACTTTGTTCCTCCCCCCCGCCTCCCGGCTCTTTTCTCCTCTTGTCGGGATCTACAGATACCATAGAGAGACAGAGGCCTCCAGATGTTATGAGAAACACTCAGCAAACATGTCAGAGATGGAGGCAGATGATGCTTTCTCGGACGAAGGCTTCGATGCCCAGACAACAGCTACCAGCTATGTGACAAGGTGGGTACCAAGTTGCCCTTCGAGAAGAATCAGAGTATGCTGACGTTGTCATAGCATTGCCACTGAGATTCGCGAAGGTATTGAAGAATATGGTCGCAGATATGCTGCATATGGACGACATTTCTACGGACTGCCTATTGACGAAGAAGAGCAAGAACGGAATGATCTTCAACATGAAAAAATCAGATTGCTTTACGAGAGCCGGCTTCATCTTTCACCCATGTGTCTGGATCCACAGAATATCCTGGACCTAGGCACAGGAAATGGAACGTGGGCAATTGAAATGGCCGACCACTACCCTACGGCTTCAGTCATTGGAGTCGACCTGGCAGCTGTTCAACCTAAATGGGTGCCACCGAATCTAACTTTCGAGATCCTCGACGTTGAACAGGAGTGGTTGTACCCCAAAAACAGCTATAACCTCATCCATGGAAGGGAGCTGATCTTTGCGATCCGCGATTGGCCTGCTTTGATAGCCCAGGCCTACGAACACCTCAATCCCGGCGGCTACCTGGAGTTGGCCGTGACGGTGCCCGAGGTTGGCTGCGATGATGGCACCTGCCCCGAAGGTTCGTGCTATCGTGCAATGGGAAGGATGCATTTCCAGATAGCTGAAGCTATGGGGATCGATGGCTTTGCGGCAAAGAAATGGAAAGCCCAATTGGAATCGCAAGGGTTTGAAGATGTACATGAAAGGGTGTTCAAGATACCGACGAACCGATGGCCCAAGGATAAAAGATTGAAAACGATCGGTGCTCTCGAAGTCGCCAATTTCCTGCAGTACTCGTCGGCTGGATTCGAAAGAGGTGCGGTTGGCCTGTTGGGTAAAGATCCAGCTGCATTACAGGTCATGCTCGCTGCCACGAGGAAGGAGATATTGGATCGAAGTGTTCATTCTTATGTCTACTTGTAAGTAGAAAGATCAGCGAGTAAAGAAGTCTACTAACTATGAACAGTATCAATGTCTATGGGCGTCGACCTCTTGCACATACCCGGAACCAGACAACTCGCACGCAAGTCACATCTAATAATACACAGCGGCATGGAAGGTGAGATTTTGTGGTACACCTTTCGCTACTTCTGCCGGCGGTAAGAGGGAGTACCTTTCCTCCTCACGATTCGACCAGGCACTCCACTTCGACCACGAGACGCGGTCGACAGGGTGTCCTTGATGTCTAATAACGCCACGAGGCTCCTCCCGACCCTCACATGTGGATCTTTCACAGATATGCTACCTCCTTCCATGGCAGGCCCCTGCAGCGTCAAGGGGATCTTCGCACGTGTGTCTTTATCGTATTACAATGATAAGACGGCTACCGACAGTAATGTACCTCGACACACTCTATTCCTCCCTTTGTGAAGTGATGAGGAGCCTTCGCAATGGCAGCAAAGACTCTCCGGACGATGACACCTGGGAATAAGCACAACGCACCAGGAATCTTGCTTTGAGAGTTTGAAATCCGCGGGAGCTGTCAAGTGTTCAAGGCCTAACCGCAGCCTTCAGCGGGGATACCACACTGCGAAGTTGTCTTATAGTTTATGAGATGGGCGACCAAGTTTCCCCATACTTATATGTCGTTGAGGCTCGCAAAATTTGCTGGTACACTGCTGAATCTTCCCGAGGCTGGACCAAGCTCTCGGACACGCATTCGAAGCAGGATGCTTCTAACAGCTTCTCGGCGGGGGATCGCTATGCTACAACGAGCCCAAAATCCTCCAAAAATGGTTTGGAGGCGATACGAACAGTCCTTCATGCTTCGTATCGAGACTAGACGTAAACCCGCGCCCAAAGTCGGCGCATGGTAGCTCAAAGTGGCAAATGAGTCTGTGTATGGTGTATCAAGGCTGTTCAATATCCTGAAATGAATATTCTTGTTCTTGTTATTGAGGTAAACACTATTACATGTATGGCATGCCTCTGTTTGTCCAGGTGAAGACATTGTAGTGTTGGTGGACATGGCGGGGTTGATGAATGCCACGGACAAGGCTGAAGCAATACGTCAACACAAGGCTGAGTGATTGGTGGGTCATATGGAATAGTCACAACGAGATCACAATCGCCTCTCCTAGTCCTCACTTTCTACACATTCTCTCCCCAACAACTTGTTTTTCATGCATCTCGCCATTACAATACGACAGAATGAGTGGTGGTCCGGCAGAGTTCAAACTGAGTGCGACGCTCGAGGGGCATAAGAGTGATGTACTTGCGCATCTATATCCTTCACATTCCGACGACTGACCGTTGAATAGGTGCGCGCTGTCCTCCTTCCGGACCCTTCATTTGCAGTCACAGCTTCTCGCGATGGTACAACCAAAGTGTGGAAACGAACCTCAACGAGCCCTCCTGCTTATGATGCGACCGAATCCTCCCACGGCGCACAATTCAAAACATGCTTAGCCTACGTCCCTCCGTCAAAAGAATTTCAAGATGGCCTTGTGCTGTCCTCTGGGCAAGACACAATCATTGAAGCCAGACAGCCCACATCGACAGCAGAAGTCAGTGCCGATGCACTCATGGTCGGCCATAGTCACCAAGTGTGTTCGTTAGACGTCTGCGCCGAGGCAAATTACTTTGTCAGCGGTAGCTGGGACAGCACCGCAAAAGTATGGGAGATTGGCAAATGGGAAGCTGCGGTCGACTTACCAGGCCATACGGCGACGGTATGGACGGTATTGGCGTATGACCGGGAAACCATCATCACGGGTTGTGCAGACCGGGCGATAAGAATATTCGATGTGCGAGGAAAGATGCTGGTCTCTTGGGACGGAAAGGACATTGTTCGAGCTTTGGCGAGGCTTCCCAAAGGTCACTACACTGGCGCAGAGTTCGCCTCCGCTTCGAACGACGGCGTCATTCGATTATGGACCCTAAAGGGCGACTTGATTGCGGAATTGTTTGGCCACGAAGCCTTCATCTATTCACTGGCGGTCCTACCTTCTGGCGAGATTGTCAGCTCCGGAGAGGATCGATCGGTCCGGATATGGCAAGGCACCGAATGTGTCCAGGTCATCAGAATCCCCGCCATCTCTGTCTGGTCCGTCTCAGTCTGTCCGAATGGTGACATTATAGTCGGCTCGAGTGACAAGCTGGCACGCATATTCAGCCGCGATCCCTCCAGGATAGCGGATGCAGAAAGTTTACAAGAGTTTGAGGCATCCCTCCAGAGCTCGAGCGTACCACAGCAGCAGATGGGCGAGGTTAACATGACTGACTTGCCTGGGTCAGACTTTCTGCAGCGAAAGGCAGGGACAAAAGAGGGGCAGAGTCAAATTATCAAAGAGGATGACGGAAGTGCATCTCTATATCAATGGTCCATGTCTCAGCAAACATGGGTCAAGATCGGCCAGGTGGTCGATTCCGCGGCCTCAAGCGGAAAGAAGGCCTACAACGGAAAGGAGTACGACTACGTCTTTGATATCGACATTGAAGATGGCAAACCACCACTGAAACTACCCTACAACGTCACTCAGAACCCCTACGAAGCCGCCACGAAGTTCCTTCAAGACCATGAACTACCACTAAGCTATCTGGAGGAGACGGCCAATTTCATCATCAAGAACACCCAGGGGGCTACCCTCGGACAGTCACAACCTGCTGGTGCTGATCCCTGGGGTACTGAGTCTAGGTATAGACCTGGAGAAGTTTCAAGCTATCAGGCGCCTCCGGCTCCCGTCAAACAAACCTTGCCACAGAAAGATTATCTGCCGGTTGTTATTGGAAAGCCTGGAGCAGCAATGGGACAGATCGCAAAGAAGAATGCTGAATACGGTGGAAGTGACGTTGCGCTCTCGCAGGGAGATGTGCAGACGTTGACCACGGTCGCGCAACAACTCGACAAGTACAATTTCCAAAGCAAGCCATCCTTGTCCGCTCCAGAACTGCCGACAGCTGTGTCCTTGCTCATGAAGGTCGGGACCCAATGGCAACCACCTGCAAACCGACTGGCTGGTCTTGATCTGCTACGATTCATCGCCGCGGCCACGAAGGATTTCCCTGCAGCCGATGCTGATGGTCTCGACGCTGTCGCTGCAATTCTGGCAAGCGGCATCTTCGATACTGACTTCCTGCGCACGAACAACAAGCTGGCTATGATTGCGCTCCGGTTCTTTTCAAATTTGCTGTACGGTTCTCCTTCAGGACGGGAACTGGTCAAAGAACATCTCGACAGCATCCTTGACACTCTGAAGCCAGTGTCAGCCATCATTTCGACAGACGTCTCGGTTGCTGTTGCCCTCACAACTCTCTATCTGAATATTGCCGTTCTCGTTACTAGCGACAAGAGCATAGATGGCGAGACCAAGGCCAATTATGGATTGTCCCTTGTAGAAGAGTTGTCAAAGATCCTCGATGGGTTTCCCGCAGTCAATCATACCGGGTCCGCAATTCCAGCTGCACAGTCCACCGAACCAGCATATCGAACGGTCGTTGCACTGGGAACGGTGGTGGTCGGGCTGGGACGAGAAGACCTGACATCAGCAGCCAAGGACATTTTTGACGTTCCCAAGGCCTTGTCGCAACTGAGAAGCAAGAAGTACATGGATGAGCCAAGATTCAAGAATGTGGCTGGAGAGATTCAAGCAGTCTTGCGATGATTGTCAGTTTTGCACAATCATTGCGGAGTAACGAGTGAAATCACCTCATGGGCGGCTTTTTGCAACACCAACGGATCATCTCAAAAGAATGCATAGCAATGGGGCCATAGATGTGAATGTAAACATGATACCATGACACATGTGAATATGGTCAAGATGGGAAGTTGCTCAATCGATCAATGATTGAGTGATTGGTAGACCCAGCGACAGACAGACAGCTCTGGACTTGCGTGCAAGTAAACAATGTGACAATGCTGTACACCTCCTTTATTCATTTTGGGTTCTTGTTTTCACGTTTTGTAAAAAGTGACATTGTTGAAGTGTTGTATTCATTTGCCAATTCTTTGTACAAGAACAAGTGATGTGTCTTCCATCTTTAAACCTTCATGGTCTTCTCCCTAGATCTTCTCCTGCGATTGACTGAGGAGCCCAAAACGCCAGCGCTATGCTATGTATGATGTACAGAAATTTTGGGAGGAGAGGCCGATTGTTATTGCTTTTGTTTCTCGCTCATGCTGTCGCAGTCGTCGCGGGTTTCTGTTGCTGTTGTGTTGGGATAGATTCTGTAGATGGGGATGAGGATGGCATCGTTCTCGATGGTGACGACGACGATGCCGATGATGGTTTAGGTTCGATCAAGCCAATCTAATTTTTTGCCGTTTGGAGTCGTCAGCCACTTTCATCTTTTCTGTGCCGTACTGGCGCACTCTGGTCGCGATCGATCGAGATCAAAACGTCAGGCGTCTCTCGTATGACCGAAAAGACTTACCATGCTCAACAACTTGACCACGGGTTCCGTGGGTTGCGCACCGACGCCCAACCAGTACTTTGTCCGGCTCGCGTCGAGCTTGATGTCCTTGTACCGTCGGGGAACGAACTTGGTCGACCCGTCGGCGAGGTACTCGGGGGTGTCGGGGGTGGCGAGGGGTAGGCGAGGGATGGGGTCGTACGTCCCCAGAACCTCGATGGGTTTTTTGCCTCGGGCAGACTTTGCCTGGGCCAACACGATGTTGTAGACGGGTGCGCGTTTGGTGCCGAAGCGGGCTAGACGGATCCTCAGAACCATTCTTGCGGTTGTGTCTGTATGTTCCGGGCGTGGTTTCCCAATGACAGACAGAGAGGTAGGATAGGAAAAAGGAGGGGGTACAGTTCAGTTGCGGGTTGTGTTTGACCGAAAAAAAAAGGTCCGATGTTACAGTAGGTATGTAGTCGAGAGGTGGGATTGACTGTAGAGAAAGGGTAATTAGTTGTTGGACCAGCAAAGAAGTGCAAAAGCGACAGCCTCGTCGAAAATTCTTGGAGTTCACCGATTGGTTGCCGATGTTGGAAGAGTATGATTGGCGGGAGATGAGAGGACGAGGCTACGGAATCCTTTTGTGCTTGTGCGGGACAATGACGACCGGATGACATCGACAAGTCCGGAGTCAAGTATCCGAATATACCATTTACAACTTCAAAAACTGACAATGTTATAAATTACCAGCTAACATTGTCCTCGAGAATATTTCAGGTTCACTACCAAAACATCACTTTCGTGTCGTTGTAAAAAAAAAGAGAACTCAAAAGGAGAAAGGGCCTCGTTTCCTACTCGTACACAAGTACTCGTATCCAAATCAGACCACATTCTCCATATCTCCATCAAGAGACACAAATATTCTTGCACACACGAACTTCTTGACGACTCCGGTAGAGATTGGATATTTTGTAAAGGATTCACACCTTTATGCTTCGAACTCTTCTTCTACCCGGAAGGACCATCAAACCAATTCTTACCGCGAGAAAGTTGTTTACCAAGATGTCATTAAAGGTGAGTTGATGGTCTCTAAATATGCTCTCAAAGACATTTTGAAGTTGTATGGTGTATCATGGCACGACCAAAGTCTTGGGCACATCAACCGTCACACACTCCTTTCTCTTGTGCATGTGTGTTCAAAAGTACCAAGAACAATTTTCACAAGAAATACAACACGTACTACTATGATCTACCATTGGTGACAAACAGGACTAACATTCTCTCGACACGATTTTACAGACGCTCGGACCGAAACCGGCCGCCGAGCTGGACAAAGAACTCATGAGTGAAGAAGGAGGATTCTCAATCGATCAATTGATGGAACTTGCTGGTCTCAGTGTATCACAGGCAGGTGAGTATACGTTCCTCTGCCCCTCGACCTCGTCCCACGTCCTTGATCGCCAAATCCTGTCCCTATTCTAGGTCTTCAATCGCCATCTCCAGTATGAACATCACTGACAACTTTTGAACCGGGAAAAATAAAACAGTATACAAGGTTCATCCTCCATCTCAAGGCAAAAACATCCTTGTAGCATGTGGTCCTGGTAATAATGGTACGTTTGGACATGACCCAAAACTTCCCTCCCCATACACACATATACATAGGCCTCCTTCCTTCTTTCAACCCCCCTTCCCCCCCCCTCTGTCAGATTTCTTTCCTTTACATTTTGTTCTCCCCCAACACAGACACGGTCTACTTTCCTTCTTACTCACCTTCTAAACGTGTTTCATTCATTCAGGCGGCGACGGCCTAGTCTGTGCCCGACACCTCTACCACTACGGTTACACCCCCAAGGTTTACTATCCGAAACCGACCGACGCTCCCATCTTTGTCGGTCTCCAGAGACAACTTGGTCACCTACACATTCCATTCCTCACCACGCCGGAAGAATTTGCTTCGACTTTGGGAACCACGGACCTGATCGTCGACGCACTTTTCGGGTTCAGTTTCCACCCTCCGGTCCGAGCTCCGTTCGACGCCGTCCTCACCTCCATCATCGACTCGTCTCGTCCGGTCTTGTCGGTCGACATCCCTTCCAGTTGGGACGTCGCCGGAGGTCCACCGTCCGGCGGCGACCAAGTGGGTCACAACTTCATGCCCGAGTACCTCGTCAGTTTGACGGCCGCCAAACCTTGCGTGAGACACTACAAGGGCCGGAGACACTTTGTCGGTGGACGTTTCCTGAGTCGGGACGTCGCGACCAAGTACGGCCTCGACGTGCCAGACTACAAAGGGGTGGATCAGATCGCGGAAGTCCCCGTCGACGTCAAGGTCGAGGAAAGATTGTGAAACCAAAAAAAAAACAAAGAGGGTTTTACCATGGAAACAGAGAAAATGTCAAAGTCGTGACTAGTTCGTGCTTGTATGGAGACCGGATCGGAAAGGAATTAAATAGTCGGTGAATCACACACATATACATCGTGTCACTCGTGGTGGACGCCAGCGTCGACAACACACTCACCTCCTCGTTTCGAATCTCGTCATGGTTTTCTCATGCATACCGTACAAGTACTTAGTGAGGGAGTACACGCAAATATGTCATGTCAAGAATAGTAAAAAATACTAACAACACACAAACAAGATAAATTACTACTATCACAATCTGTATAACCTAGTTCACATCTACCCAATACACCACGCTTGCCCCGGCTCAACGGGTGTTGCCGACACAGTCCTGCATGTGTGAGTGCCTAAGCCCTCTGTCTCGTCGTTTCTCCATCCTCTCAGCGTCTCCCACCGGTCATGCTGTTCGAGCATTACGTTGACAGTGGCGAGGAATCGGGCTGTATATGTGACGCTTTCCTGAAAGGTCTCTGCAACATCGGAGCTTATGTCGACCAAGATGCCCAAGGCAAACCTCCTCGTGTCCAAATCTTTATTCACGACAACTCCTATCCTCTTGCAGCGCTGCAGTTCCTTCGTGAGCTCGGGCCAAGGCATCTGTCCGTCATCTTGAACCATCCTGTGGGCCACCAGGTACCACTTTTGCGTGACATTGTCCAGGAGCCAGAACGCTGGATACCCATCCCAGAACCTGGCGCGGGGAGGGTCAAACGCGTATCCTCGCGAGTTCACCATGAACCCGTGTGGTGTAGCTTCGCCGGTGTCATCCTGCAGTGGCAAGGTGGCGGTTGTGGTTGCCGGACGACCTATGAATTTCCGAGGAGCCCACCGATATCCAGCTTGTTCGACACGAGGACCGCTGCTGAAGAGTAAGTCCTTGGGAAAGATTCTCTGTTGGAGCAAGAATATCCTCCACCTGTCTTCTCTTGGAGCGTCCAAGATCGGACGAGTATCACCGAATCCGAGAATGGTGGCGAGGCAAAATGCTTCGTCTTTACCTTCGCTTGTGTTTCGAAACTGACATGCGTTCCACATGGCGGTGATGCGAGGAGTTTCTTCAGGGTTCCTGACTAGGACAATACGCCACATGAAATCTGTCAATTCGGTCAAGACGGTCTGCGATAGGGCATAGAAGCCATTATGATCCCTCAACCGATGAAAAATGTCTGTCATCATATCGACTGGTCCGTCAGCAAATTGCAACATGACTTTCGGCCCGTTCACCGCTTCCGAGAGTGTCCAAAGGCGTCGAATCCAGCTGCAGCACGCAAAACGCACTAGCTGTTCTTCAAATGGGGAAGTGCTGTTGGTCGAGAGCAATTCCGAGTCCAGGACAAGAACGCACGCAGAACCACCGTACACTTTATCCATGTCTCGGATTGCTCGAAGTCTCAAAGGACGGAGATGACGCCGGTTAAAATTATCCTGAGGTACACAAAGGGTGTCGATCCAGAAAGAGGTTTCCTTGCTCCCGGATACTGCTGTAACCATACTCTGTATACGTCGCAGCTGGCATGTAGGCATGGAATTGTCTCGAGTGTTTCCAAGTCTCTCTGCCCAGACATGAGAGATGGCAACATAGTCACCGTCCTTTCCGATAGTTTTGGCTGACAAGTTTAGTTGAACCTGGCCGTCTACCGTTGCTTCCACCTTCACCACAGGTAGTCCACCCTCTCGTTCGAGGAATCCCTTCAGCTGTGCCTCTGACACGTGTTGCCATTCGCAGGATCCAGGGCATTCTCGGGTGTGTGCTGTCTGGTATTCGGCCTTTTCTTCCTCGCTTATGTTCATCACATTACATTTGTCCTGGTTGCATTCTGCTCCTACATGATTGTGCTGGGCCATACGTGGCCGAAGCAAGCTGGCAAAATACATACCACTTGGGGTCATGAGCTTCTCGAGCATTGAAATGTCGCTCGGACACCACCTAGCCTCCGTCATCCGTGACAGAATCAGCTCGCTGTGCTGCCAGGAGAAGAGTCTGGTGTCTGGCCAGATGCGCAACTTAGCCCGGGTCAAAGTCACTCCCAAAGCCATTATGGACAGCGAAATGTCAGGATGTTCTCTCATTTGGTGGTTCACACTTCCGTCTCCACCACGACACATGTATCGTGCAACATGTCGTTGAGCTTCGTCGAGGATAGCGTCAAGAGTGGCCACATAGGCTCCAGTTTCTGACAGTTGCTCGGGGTCCAAAGAGCCTCGCCACTGCACGAGATATTGCTCCAGGCGGCCAGTGTAGATGACTCTTGTTCCACTCTCTGGTGAAATCCTCGTGAAATCACGCACGAGGTCTGCCATGGGAAACATATGGCCAGTCGAAGCTGATAACAGGCCAAAGAAGAGCCATTGCTGGACAAAGGCTGCCACAGTCCTGGCTGGCTGGCCTTCTAGAGTGGCATTGATTAGGTTTGTCTTGTCCCAACCAGCTCTGGAAGGAAATCCGGTAAATCCTTGATTATCATATTCCAATACCTGTACATCTTCTGCTCGGAGGTATGGGATCTGGAGTGGGGGGAAAGCAGGGGCAGATACGGTTGGAAGATGGTCCATTGTCTGAGGCTGAGAAGAGGTGGAACAGCTTCAGAGAATCGAGCGTCAAGAGCGACCAGCAGATACTTATTGACGAAGAGATTGCCGGGTGTTTCTTCGAGGCAACATGTGCCATCTCTGCAGGCAGCCTCCATGCTGTCGATCGCTTGCAGATGTCCATTCCGACCTCGTGAATTCGTCGAATTCCAGACTAGGAGTATTGGAAATGCACGTCGGCTGGAGATGCAACTGGGCCAGAAACGCGCGTCAGGAGGTCCTTTTGCCTGTGTAGCCACAGGCGAACTTTCGTGGTGGTTGGCTGGTAGGGAAGACGGTGATTCGTCTCGATGTGTGACTTTCCTTGACGCTTATGCAAAGAAACAAGTCTGGGCCTTAGGGGGAGGTGTGGGATGCAGTGCAGGGTGGCTGAGTCTAGATCCGGCGAGGCGAAAAGTCCCTGCGCGTTGGTGAGGCTGAGAGAGCACATTTTGTACCATAGTCTCGCCCACGATGTGGTGGTAACACGGTTGAATAGCCCTCCCAAAAAGATCCCAGCCTCCTTGAAAGAGACAGCATGACGGCGATGATTCATACAATATACCAATCTCGCACGATAGAGTTGTTGGTAGAAGTTTGAAGGTTTTGTGAGTATTTACGAGTCAAAAGTAGTACAAAATCAAACGTAGAGGAATATACCAAATATAAATACGACAGGAGCGATAGACTTGGGCTTTTCACAGCATCTGGTAAGATTGTGATTTTATTAACTAATTAATTACACGCAACAAGTACGAAATGTAGACTACGCAAATCGTAATTCTTTTTTTTTCATCTCAACATTCAGTCATTGCTTGCTGCTTATGGCAATGGGAATAAATAGCAGCAGCGTCGATTGTCTCCCTGTGCAGAATTGACGATCTCATGACCTATAACAAAAGCTCCATTCGCTTCAATTGCTGGCATTTTCATGGCATATTTGAGATCCAAACGCCAGTGCTCCTTCACACGTTCTTGAAAAAAGTCGCATAACAATGCAACCCTGAAATTGCTCGTCTTCTGCAAATCATTGTTGAGTCCATGACGTTCGACAAAATTCTGGGTTGTCCGGACCACATGCCCATGAAGGCATCTTTCTTCAATGAGACAAGATCGGGCTCCTTAAAAGTTTGTGCATCTAAACACACCATCTCGTGGCGACTGATGTCGTCTATGGTAGTGCTTCCTTGATCTTTGCCTTTTGTGCCGCCGTCAGAGACCGAGGGAAATTGACCTTGACTTGGACCACAAAATCGCCTCTCTCGCCTGGCTTCTTGCTGATAGGCATGCCTAGGCCGGGAAATCTTTCTTCATATCCAGGCTGAGTAGGTCCGGCACCCGAGACACTCAACTGTTTTCCATCGATCGTCGTTACAGTCCGTTTCCAACCTGTGAGGGCCTCCTTCAAGTCCAACTCGATCGTTGTCCTTAGATCGTCGCCGTCTCGCGTCAGTGTTGCATGTGGTTTCTCCGTGACAATGAAGTGTAGATCTTGCGTCCCGCCTTCCTCTTGATCTCCGACTCCAGAGAACTTAATTTTCGACCCAGCCTTCAGGCCAGGCTTGATATCCATTTCGAGTATTTTATCCTCTGTCACACGTTGTCCTTGAGAGTTAAATGTCTTCCTCTTGATCTTCATCTTCTTGTGAGCTCCTTTGGACAACTCCTCGAGCGTGACAGGTAGCTGTCGTTCTACCACCGAGACTTCGGGCGTCTGAGGTCGGGGTTGTCGTCCACCGAACGAGCCTGAAAATCCTCCCGTGCTCCTCCTAGGACCGCCACGTCCACCGCCGAAGGCACCACCGCTGAATAAGTTGAAAATGTCTTCATCGTCTGCACCGGCAGCTCCACCCCCACCTGCACCACCACGAGCAAAGCTGGAGAAAATGTCGTTGGGGTCTGAAAAGCTGAAACCTTGCCCGCCATTGGTACTGAAGTGGAATGAGCGAGTACCACCGCCAGGCATTCCACCGAAACTGAAGCCGCCAGGCATACCTCCTGCGAATCCACCTCCAGGCATGCCATCCATACCCTCCGCACCTGGAGGGGGAGCCTGCCCTCCTCTTAATAAGAACTCCAAGCCATATTGATCGTACACCTTCCGCTTCTCTGGATCTGACAACACCTCATAGGCCTGTGACACTTCTTTGAATTTTTCTGCTGCATTTGGGTTGTCTTTGTTTTTGTCCGGGTGGAACTTCAGGGCAGCTTTCCGGTATGCTTTCTTGATTTCATCTTGTGTGGCAGTAGGAGAGATTGAAAGGGCATCGTAGAGTTTGGTTTCTGCTACCATATTGTAGGTCTAGTTATGGGCGAGTAAATTTGGGTTTATGTGAAACTTTCTTTTGTGTCGTGAATGATTGAAGAAGAAGAAGGATGCAGGAATAAAACATCAAAGAGAGAGAAGAGCAAGGCTGAATGACGGCAGAGAGAAGCCGGCTGGCTGCGTGATTTAGGTGTGTGGAGCAATAGAAGACTAAAGAGTCCAGATGAAGGATTCTCACAACCTGCAGATCAGGATTTCAACTGGTACGAGAGTCCGTGTACTGTGACTTTGCATGGAAAAGTGAGCAGACGTAAAGAAAGTGCTAAGGTGACTTGAAGTGCTTGAAAGCGCAACCGGAAACTGGTGACATGCCCGCCTATAGCACGATCGTCATGGCCCATTGTATTTGGAACCTTCGAGATGCTTCTATACCCTTCGCGGTTAGACTCGACCTGTGCGTCTTGGCCTTGTACTCGTACTCGTATAGCCTTGCAAGACCTATGTATGTACAACATCAATGTCGACTTCACTTCGCCTGCTTAGCGTCTCAGTGCCTGCTACTGCACCTGAATCTCTATCAGTGAATATATGCCAGACCCACCTACCGATAATTCAGATGTCATGTGTTTTAAAAGTGAAATTTCTCTCAACAAAGAATCGCCTTGATGGCCCACTACCAAAGACTCACCACGTCGAATAGCGACTTTGTCCTAATGGTTTGGAGGTTGGGCTTATCCTTGGAAACTTCGCCTAGTGGGATTAAAACTGGGAGTCTGGCAGGTTTCCATGACTACTGTAGCATCTCTTCTTCAAAAGGAGGTGTGAAAGGTCATAGTCGGGATAAGTAACAGCAGAGCCGGGGGTTCGACCATCCAAACTTTTTGTTTCTCTTTTTGGACCTGTGCTCGCAGAACTGAAGTGAATGGTGAATTGGGGTACAGGAGAAAAGAAAGGAAACCGCCAGATCCAGGGTCTCTATTAACCCATGTCTATCTCTTTTGTGCCTACTACAGAATGTATTCAAGTCCCGTGCCGCTGATAGTACATTTCCCCCTACTTCCATCGTCCATCTACTGTCTTCTTTCTCACCAGTGGCCTGACCGCCATCACTCCGGCGGCCAGAGCAACCACCGTCAAAACAAGCTGTGGCTTGTTGAAGCCCTTCCCGAGTATATCAAAAGCCATACTGGGGGTTATTTGCGTTCCGAACACGTCGTGTCCAAATGCAAACACCACACTGGTGCTTTCAAGAAGGCTTGGCGATGCCGTAACCTTCTTGATGCCCATAACCTCTCGTGAGTGTGTCAGGAACCATCTCGGGTCGAATTCGAGCACCGGGGAATACCGCATCAACCCTTCTTCGCGCTCTGTACTTGTAGGATCGCGATCCACCGGCCTTCGAGCATCAAGAATCTCCCGTGGAATACCAACTACAGCGTTCGACTCTGGTAGCGTCGCAAGTAGCTGTCGGCTGGTGATGCCCTGGCTGGTCTGAGACACAGCAAGATGTGAGATTGGTTGGCCGATGGTAAAAGCTTGGGAAATAACGTGAGGTTCGACCCCAGCATCAGGGCCAAAGGTTGAATAATTCGACCTAGCAGCCAATGCACCACGGTCATTGGCCGTGGATGACTCGTAGAGCTCAGAGATGATGATTTGGCTAGACAGGGCGGATGTAGCAGGGTCTTGGCTTGTGAATGAATAGGCATACCAGTTCTCCGAAATGACTGCAGGCGTTTCAGTTTGAGGCAGAACTCCCTGGTGAGTCGAGGTGTGGAGGACGGCGCCGGTCACGGCGTTGATCAAGTACACCGTCAATGAAGACTCTGATTGGGCAATCAAAAGTGCAATATTGGGGGACAGATACTTGTAGAGAACAGACCTGTCGCCCAGAACCTTCCCAATCGACGCTACTGGGTCATGTTCTGCTCTCGCAACAGCCCTGCTGATTTTGAACCCTGCCTGTGGTTGCAAGGTCCAGGTCTTCTTGACAGTCGAGCCAATGGTCCAGCCAAATGCCTTTCCATCTCCGTCAATTGTAACCACGACATTTCCTTCGATGGGATGACTTGGGGCAAAGTCTGTGGCTGGATGAGGAATGCCATGAGAGTCAATCTTGATCACTGCGCCTGCTGTGCTCCCGGGAACTTGGACAAGGTCGACGATGGGGATAGACCCACGCTGATGCTCTATCAGGGTACCTTCTGTAGCATTGAGTACCATCAAAGAACCATCCGAGAAATACGCCGAAACTCGCCCCTCAGTTACTGTGATCGATTTCATTTCGATGCCATCAGCCATCTGTGCAGTCAAATCTTGTTGCCATTTGACCACACCACCGTTGGATGCATCCAAAGCGATTAATTCCTTGCGGCTTGTGCCCACCACAACAGTCTTTGTTCCCACGAGACTCTTCCGCGCGCTCGATTCGGCATCCGGAGACGGCGTGAGGATTGCAGCTGGGAGTGCTTGCAGATATTCTGGGAGGTGTTGCAGATCGAGCAGGTGCCTCTTCAGTCGATGAATATACGCTGTCAAAGGGTTGACGGATAGTTCCAAATCGAGCTCCTCGGCTAAAGCATCCGGACCTTCATCTTCAGCCCATGCAGCAATATTTACATATGCAAGCATTTCCGGTCGAGCCCATTGTGCCTCTCCGTTACGTATCAAAGACCAAACTCCTTTTGTCGACAACTCTGCAACTCGAACAGCATGGCTAGCTTTCCCTCGGCTCACAACTTCAGCAATGGCATACGCAGGATAGCCATCGCGGGGTATAAGCACGCTTGATCGTTGCCATCGACCCAATTGTCCATGTGATTCTGAGGAATAGAGAAGAACTTCAGTCTCAGTTGAGCGCACAAAGTACACAGATGCGTCATTGTTGGTCGCAGCAAATGTACTGTGTTCTTCGGTTGTCGGTAAGGAATATGCTTTCTTCACATCGCCAGACTTTGTGTTGACATGGTAGACCTCTGCCCAGTGGCGTTTCTTTCCTTGCACGTGCAACAAGAAATGTGCCGCAGCTGCTGGATGGCATGGATAATGAACGCTCACGCGTTCAATTTCATCCCCTTTATCCTCTAGTGCCAGTGTCACGGGCTTCGAGTTTCCCAGCAGACTGAACTTAATCGACTTGTAGGGCTTTTCGGATGTTAGCAGAAAGGGAAAGCTCGAGCCCGAGCCTGCAGCAAGTTGTCCATTGGTGCCCAATGCTTCCGAGTCCACAGCAACACTGCTGGAGTCGACTTCGTGACCAGAAACACTGTCCAAGGTGACGACCCTCGCTTTGCTACCAGCTAGGAGGCCATGAGACTTCGAAATATAATAGACATGTTTTCCTGACGTGACGATCGACGCGGATGCGCCTTCGGTGTGGCTTGAGTCTGTGTGTTGCCATTTGATACCACTTCCGTCACCAGCCAAACGGATAACGGTCGCGTGTCCCGTTGAAGTTGTTGGCACCGTCAAAACCACGACATCTTGCGAAGCGCCGCTGGGGGTCGATTCGAGGGCAGGAGCAGACTGCACGCCTGCGATCTCTGCTCCAGCTGCAAATGTATGTTCCCACGCAAGCTTGCCATCTAAAGCATTCCAACATGCAACTGTTCGCTCGTGGCCGCTTATAACCTGGCCGTCATTTTCTGATAAAATCAAAAAAGAGCTTGAAGCACTTTCCACGGGCTGTCCTGCCAATGCTTGTCGCCAGAGTAGAGATCCATCTTTCGGGTTCACAGCACCTAGCACTGCCTTGTCGGAGACCGTGTACAGAAGAGATGCGTTTGTAGAGGGATGAGGTTTGCGGAAAAAGGTGGCATGTGGTTGCGGCTTGCCTAGGAGGCTATACTGGTAGTCTATGTGGAAGGCTTCGTCGGCGAAGATCGCTGTTGTTGTCACAACCAGGGATGCAAATATGGAGAGGACTCCATGCAGCCTCATCCTGTGATTATGGCGTAGATGTCGTGGACATCCGTTGCTGAGTTGAGTGAGTCTCAATTGACTGGCCGCAGTGTTAGTGTACACAGTAAGTAGAAGATCAAATGACAGCGCCCGGGTGTCTTTTGAAGTTGATAGAGGATGCTGGACACGTATTGGCGCTACTAAGTAGGAGTCCAGATCGTATCCGCAATCAGTGACAGCTTCAAGTTCACTCTCCAGAGCTATTGGCGTATCTCCAGATAAATCTCATCTTGGATATATCACCTCAGCGTCGATCAACATGGGAGAATCACACCAGAGCTCATCTCGTGATGGCTATCGCCCCGAATGGCTGGCTGTAAGTTTATCCTGACTGATATCCCCGCCCGGCACCATACAGATGTGCGTGATCTTGCAGATTGACAGGTAGTCCAGCTTGAAGATGCTTCAGGTGGCAGGTATGTTATGACTGGAAACTTTGCCGTGGATGTCCCTACCTACGATGCTGTTTTCGCTGCCATGTCGAAACAGTGGCCCGAACTACCTGAAGAAATGACAGTGTGTGAGTGAGTTTCGACATTGCCACCTTACACTGGCCAGGTTTAACTTCTAGTGATCGGACTCCTGACCAACCTAATATCTAGGGGACGAGAAAACCGACAGTGAACATGGCGGACTTGACGTGCGGATCTACAAGCCAGCGTCCGACAAACCTTTGCCTCTCATGATTTATTTTCCTGGCGGGGGCTACATTGCTGGCAATTTGGACACTGAAGATGCCCACTGCAGAATCTTTGCTGCGAAGACCCCATGCTTGGTTATTAGTGTCAACTACCCCAAGGTTCCTTCTGTCAAACTCGACGACATCATCAACCTTGGGTGCCTGGCAGTGCCCTGGGTCAGTATCATGCCAACCGTATATGTCCGTTTGCTAATCCGTCTAGTGTCGGGAGAAAGCTAAAGAATTGAATGATGATCAATCGAAAACTATTCTATGCGGAGGCTCAGCTGGTGCCTTTTTATCGGCACAGATTGCCTATCGATTCATGGCTGACGGTGACCATACCAGCATCACCGGCTGCGTGTTGATTTTTGCAGTTGCCCTGCATTGGGAATACGATGGCAAATACAAGCACATGTATACATCATGGGTGGAGAATGGCAATTCCGGTCCCCCTGTCTTTGACCTAGAGCTTGCCAAATTCATTTGGTGTAAGTAATTGTATGTCAGCGTTTGGTTTGATTTGTGGTTGACCCCGGTAGCGCACTACAACATCGACTTTGACAGTCCACGTCACTTTCCACTCCTTGCAGATGACCTTTCCAAGTTTCCTCCATGCTACATTGTCACGGCTGAGAAGGACTGCTTTCGAGACGATGGCACTGTTCTAGACTATCGTCTGCGGGAGAGTGGCGTACGAAGCAAGCTTGACTACTACGAAGGTCTTCCACACTATTTCCACGCCTTCCCCCAGCTTGGAGTTGCACACGAAGCCATGGCAAAAGCGGTCGAAGGGGTACGGTTTGTCCTGGAATAGTAGACAAGGACACTCCCCTCCACATATCCTATCGGCAGACTGAGGATTTGACCCTTGCCACATCGAACACTTGAAAGCTGATGATCTTGACAAACATGCTGCTTTCGAGCCAACTGTCTGCCGCCAACTGTCTGCCGCCAGCTGTCTGTTGTATAACTGGGTCTTTCAACGATTGAACTGGTCAATGGTGTCCAATTAACACTTCGAACCATGGCGAGATATAGCTAAACAGCAGCCAAGTCTGGATGCCTAAGCCATATAGTTCCGCCAATCTCAACAACTCCACTAGATGATTCTGCATGATTTGTCGGGACGCGAGTTACCTACAGCGTATATAGCTTCGAATCAAGATATGGCACAATAACTGATTGGTGAACCAAGGCATAGTATACTGAAGATGGTGGACTTTTGGCTCAAACCTTCCCGCATTCCCGCCCGTAGTTTGAAGTCAAATAAGGGCCATTGAGACCCAACAGACTCTCACTTTAGGCGCATCCCGGTGCCCCCAAAGTGCCTCACTCCGTCTGTCACAGTCCCTGTGATCACCCGGCAAGCCCCGCCAGCCCTCAGCCGCGAAAGGCCTAAAACAGGGACTTCCCGCTATCCAGAAGGGCTAATACGTCCTTTCCGTTCCGCCTCAAGAGCTTTCACTCCCACGGCATTGTGTTCTTCTCAATGTCCTTTCACCAGAATCACCACTACATCCTACCTTTTATTATCACCGATATCGAATAAGGAAACAGTCTGTCGCCCACTCCCGTCGTATAACATATCTAAATCTTTGTGGACGCGAGGGGATTTCGACAAGGCTCATTTTCTTCCTCATCCTTGTTCACCCAAGTGGAACGCGTGCACGTCCACTGGTAGCGGGTAGCCGAGACGTGCAAGGTATAGCTTCGTTTCCTACCGCGAGGCTTAACGACGCAATGTGTCCGGAGATCCAAGAGACCGGCGAAGGTGAAGACTCGAGAGACATCGCTCCTGATCCTGTTCGTTGAGCTCTCCCTTTATGCTCATTCGAGGCGCTGATGAATTGCCACTAGCATGTTGACGACGATCCCGACTCTACGTACGGCGGCGATGCGTAAGTGTAGTATCTGGAAGGCCGGCGTAGAACTTCAATACTAACAGCATAAAGCGTATCAGAAACAACATCCATATCATCGTGGATACGTGATTATCGCGTCGAGAATGGCCGCACATACCACGCATACATGGACGGCAAATACTGGTACGGTTGTTCCCTGTCCATTTTGTTCCTTTTTCTTGCCATCTTGACTCGTCGTCTATCGGAGAAAAAGATTTACTCGATGACACTTCGGGGTCCTCGGATCGACACTGACGCTCGCTTGCGCCAGGGGTTCAAACGATGAAGCTGCCAACGAACACCTCGATATAGGTCATGAGCTTTACACCAAGACTCTCGGCAACAAACTCTTCCTCGCCCCAATTGATCCCAACCCTTCTAAGATCCTCGACCTCGGCACCGGCACAGGTACCTGGGCAATCGACGTCGCCGACGCCTACCCGTCCGCCGTCGTCACCGGCACCGATCTATCGCCCACCCAGCCGACTTGGATACCTCCAAATGTGCGTTTCGAAGTCGACGACGTGGAAGCCGAATGGACGTTCCCACCAAACTCGTTTGACCTCATCCACATCCGAGGCTTACACGGCTCCATCACCGACTGGCCGGCGCTGTACGCGCAGTGCATGACGGCCCTCAAGCCGGGCGGCTGGCTCGAACAGGCCGAGTACTCGGCGCAGTTCACCAGCGACGACGACACCATCCCGCCCAACGGCGGCATCGAGGCCTGGAACCGCGTCGGCCCCGAGTGCCACAGGGTACTGAACCGCGAACTGCAGGTGCTCGACGGCATGCGCTCACACATGCTCGACGCCGGCTTCCGGTCCGTCGCCGAGTTTCCCTACAAATGGCCAATCGGGCCGTGGCCACAGAACCCCGAGTTCAAGACCCTGGGCGCATGGTGTCGCGCCCACGTCGACTCGGGCCTGGAGAACTGGACCCTGCGCCTCCTCACGAGCGTCCTGGGATGGTCGGTGGAGGAGGTCCTCGTCCTCTGCGCCAACGTCAGGAGGGACATCCGAAACCCCAAAGTCCATGCGATTCACAGGATGAAGGTGGTCTACGGGCAGAAACCAACCGGATAGCCGGCCGCCGAGTCACCCTTGATGATAATTATGATGATGTCCCACGATCGGTTTGGCCTTCTGCCAGCTATAATGACGTTGAATTGTTTGTTGGGCTGCTCCTACCTCTTTTTTTTCCCCCCACCACGAGCATTGAACAAGCGTTTAGGGAGCGGAGCCTTTGTTGCATGGCGTTATCCTTCCATAAGATGCACACGTTAGGGAGTATCATTTACGATATTTTCAGCGGCGTATCGATAGGACGGATCCCTCACTTTTTGGTCTGGCCAGCGACACGATATATATATTTGGCTATGACTGGCCGTCATGATTCTGTTGAGAGGGCTGTCTGTCATATTGTTGTTATTATGAGGCGAGTTAACAGTGCCAACTTATTTATAGCCCTGCCGTGACAGTCGGCACGGTGAGATTGGTATATATATTGATTACACAGAAGGTATTAACATATCTTTTAGAATCTTATCATGTCTCAGCGTGTCATGCACATATCACTTGTACCTGAAAGGAGAGGAAACGACAATTCATCAATCTCGAAACGCATCTGCTCGTCCATGATCATGATGCTCCTCCTTCGCCGTCGCGAAGGAGACCTGTTCTTCACCCTCGTCCTGCGTCTTGATCGGTTTAGGCGACTTGATTAGGTCCAATGGAGGTTCCTGCCTCTGGTGGTCTTTGGCTGGTTTGGGCATGTAAAGTCTTCCAAACTCGAACCGAAGCGGAACGTCAGTCTCCCCGACTTGTTCCCGTCGCCATACAGCGAGGGGACCGGACCAAAGAAACAGGGCTCGGTCAGGCGCGTCGTCTGACTCTGACTCTGCTGATGCTGTTGTTGCGGCGGTGGTGGGCCTGTCGTGGGTGGCCATTTTGTTTCCCGAGTCCAATATAGGAAGAGGAATCACGGTACCATCATCCTTCCAGCATTCAAGGAAGAGCGCGTGCGGATCACGCCGCGCTTGAAACCTGAAACCCTTGGTGAGAACTTTGTGAACTCGAGCCGCCTGTTCCGCCCCACCGAGTTCCATGACCAGGAGCCTGGCGCCGACGGCGTCGAAGATCTGTGCGAGGGGCCAGTAGAACAAATCTCCCGAGTGTACAGAGGGGCCGTTCTCAGGCACGAGGGCAATCTTGGGTTCGAATTTGCGGACGCTGCGTTCGGTGGTTCCGCCGGGGGCATAGTCTTTCTCGGAGATGTAGGGGGGATTACTTATGACGACGTCCCAGGGTGAGTCGGGGTCGACGTCACCCTCCACACCTCCATGCTCATGATCAGCAGTAGGAGCAGGAGCAGCTTTGGCAGATCCATCTTCAGTGTTGAGATTGAATGTTCTTCGAATGTGTGGATCACGTCGAGTCTTGGTGTCTAGGGTCAACCTGAGAAGATCCTGACGCATGAAAGAAATGTCGGTCGCCGCCTCAGGGTGCAAAAGGCCCTTGTAGATGTTGTGGTGAAGGTTTCTATTGGCGACTTCGAGTGCAGTGGGGTGATAGTCGACACCGAGGATCTCCAGGTCGATTGTCGATGGCCAGTGGTGGTCGCTGGATGTGGACGATAAAGAATTTGGTGGTGGTTTGAGGATCGAGTGGAGGAGGAGTGCTATGCAACCGCTTCCTGTGCAGAGGTCTAAGATCCTGAGTTTGCGGCGGTTTCGCGGTTCATGGTCACCTGCTCTTTGATCTGTCTCTTGAACGGCAGATGCAAGCATATTTGCAACATTTTCGGTGTATGCTTCTGTTTCAGGCCGGGGGATCAGGACTGTGTTGGGAGTTAGGATTTCTAGATTGCCGAAAGGTTGGTTTCCGAGGATATGCTGCAGTGGCTTCCCCCGCGATCTGTCGTGGACAGCTTTCGTTAAGAACTTCCGGATCAGCTGGTCGCTGCCATTCCTCATGCCGTCTGAAACGGCTTTGCGAGCCAAAGAACCATCTTCTGCCGTGGCATTGTCTCTGGTATTTGACAGGTTTCTGCGTGCGGCTCTTCTCTGAACGCCTTTGCTTATCTTCCTTCCTGGTGACGCTTGATCTTTCTTGTTGCCTTTAGAGGAGTATATGTGCCTTCTAACAGTCTTTCCCTCTGAGTTCCTAGAGCTTCCAGTGGGTTGTGCTGCCAGAGGGCTATGAGTTGTACAGAAATTCCGCTCCGTCACACTTCCTCTGTTCGCAAGCACTCTACACCGATTGTGCCCGGTGAAGGTGCTCCGTGAGATCCTAGCTATCCTAGCTCCATGATGACCTATTGGGACTTGTTCTCCCAGATCGCCAGACCGCTCTCTCATGTCATAAAGCCTCCGTCGTCTGGAAGCAACTGTCTCTTGAACATATTCTTCGAGCCATCGAAGCTCGTTTCGAGCCGAGGGGAGATCTCGGCACACTCGAAGCAGGAGAGGTAGGAACGGGTTCTCGTGAGCAGCCCGTCGAATAAGAGCAGGAGGAAGACGTGTCATCTGTTTGCGAAAATCTTTGTGCAGGACGGGATGTCCTCCGTGCTCGTGTAGATTGAAATAAATATAGAGTCGGATGGGAGTTGGAGAACATCTGTATACCTATTATGTAAAGCGTCTTGTCAGACAGTTTCTGGCTCCTCTTCAAGCCGACATCGATTCTGTCAGACGAAATATCTTGATCACAGTCAACAAAACACGGACATTTGGGGTACGACGACCATCAATGACAAGGAACGAAATGGACCATTGTCAGGGACGTTGAAATCATTTTCTGAACGCAATTAGCCCATCTCCTCGCGCTGATATCGCTAACTAAATGCGTCTCCCCTTAACGGGCTTGTTGACGTTCTCCTTTGCGGATTATCCAATGACTCTGCATGTAGAGGCGTACAAGATGGTGGGTAGTGGACTACCAAGAACACGAACCTACCAGTCTGGACTGCAATGATGCTTGAAGCCGGCATACTCTTTCAAAACTAGGATGCTGACAATGTTTGAGAGCTGCTCCTGGCGAATGGGAAGAACAATGCTAGCGTCGAGTGTCTGTCCCAGTCTCCCATGCCGTACCAGACAAAATACACATCGGATTGACGCACGATTCTAGGTAGAAACTGTCTTGGTATTTCCATCTAGCTCCGCTCATCAGATGGGTAGAGCCCTTTGACTACTTTGGCCTGGCGACAGCCTGAAATTGACCACAACACCATCGTGACAGACATTGGCTCCTGCTATTGTCTACCTAATCGTTACGAAATCCGGGATCACAATATGGCTAGCTTCGTGTGCATCACTAGTCGCAACTGAACCGTCAGGTTACCTGATGGAATCATCGCAGGAGACTGGATCATCCTGGCGTCCTTCTTACGGAGGGCTATCATCCCATCCATCTTCAATGCTCCCCATACATCCGATATTGGCGATTGGTTGGTACTATAGAAGCTAAAGGGATACAGCTCACCAGGATCCGTTGACTCACCGGATCGTACGGTTCTCGCAAGAGAAAACTTGAGGTCTACTACGGAGGATAGAACCTCTGCGTGTTTTCCATCACGCCTCCTTCCTACATCAGTGGCCTCCTGCAGAATCTCATGATGCACGAGAGCCTGATCAAGTGGATCGACGGGTATGGAGAAGTCGAGGACGTGGCCAGTAGGTCCAAGGAAGGGCGAATCGAGGGAGCCGCTGTTTGGTGGACATCGTCCTGTGATGCCGGAAATGTTGAAAGCTCTGGCTGCCCCAAGGCAAAGTCGTATTGTCCTACACGGAGATAGTACATGAGAGTTGGGAAAACCCAGGACATGTCACGGCTCGTTTTTCCTGGCCAAGGGACGGATGGCATAGAGCAATGTTGGGGCACATGTCACGAAGGCCAGACATGCACTAGATAATGGACGTCAAGATCCGTAACAGGGAAGGTTCGAGGTTTGGGCTGTACCTTGTAAGATAGTCAACACGGAATCGTCTTCGTACCTGGCATGGGAGATGCATTCGATAGTGCGTCCCCGCTTGAAGTGGCTTCTTCTTGTCGACTGTTTCTCTTCCCTCCGGATTCCCGATGTCCGCTTGCCCTTGTCGATGGGGGGATCAGCAGTTTTCGGCGCTGGTGGACGATTTCTTTCTCGAGACCAGAAAAAGGGCACCGAGAAATGCTCACATCTTTGGGTCACTTATCCTGTCGTGTCACACACCCCACAGCCCAGAGACATGGTACGACAGGATCGCCGTGGAACGAGTGGCAGTGACGGTAATGATGGCGGGCATCCTCTTCTTCGCTGACGACTCAAGGGCCCATGTCGGTGCGTGGCCGTGCAGGATTAGATCGTATGCAGGCTGTGCGCGTGGAAGTGGGAGGCGGAGGAGAAAACGGCGAAACCGGAAAAAGGGGCGGGATCAGCGCAGTCAGCCTAGCGAGTCCTTCACCGCTTCTTCTCGACCTCATTCTCGATTTCCCTTCTCTACAAGACATTCTAGAGACCAGCTACACCGATAGTCTCCCCAGTCTTGCCCTCTCCACCGTCCGTGGTCGTGGGATTCAGGTACGAAGCCGGGGTCCAGGGTGAGCCGGATGCACCATTTCTCTTGCCTGCATGACCTAGTCGGTAGTTGCACCATCAGGCCAGAACCCAGTGCGACACCGATATTCTGGTTCGGTCTGGTCAATCTGGTCGGTCGATGGCCTCGCACTGGGGAGGGGGCTTTGCATCCGACTTGTGCAGCACAGTGCAGCGAAAAAAAAAAGAAAACCACAACGCACTAAAATCCTCTGGTATACGCTTGAGGCCGCATCTGATGGAATGGCATCGCAACGCCACCAGAGTCACCGCATTTTTGACGGCTGACACTTTGTTGAGTCAAAGGAGACACAAAAGCTGATCTCCATAGCCGATAACTGTTTAGGGGTCAGCCATGTGTGAGACGGTATGATTTGTTTCATGTGATTCGACGGGTAGTCGCTACACGTCTGCACGCTTCACTTCTGGCTTTGTATACTTTTGCCAGGGAGAAAGACCTGGTCTTGAGTATCGTTTGGTGTTGCTTGGTTATATATCTCCCGTCCTTTGCCTATTGACTTCTTCTTCCATTTTCTGTTTGACTCTTTTCTCATAGGGATAGCTTTTACTCCCGACCAGGTTCATTCACCTTTGACAGCAAATCAAACCACGAATCTCGATACAGAAAAAACATCATGGAATTACCTGTCGACATGGGACGCGGCCACTACGACGTCACCGGAATCCTCAAACCCATGGGTCCCCAAAAGCCATCATCGCCAAAGTAACAAAAACCCAAGACATCTGACCTCCATATCGGTGACTGGCTGCCTGCACTCAAAGTTCTGATCCTCCTCGTTACTGTCTATCGGTGACCTGTATCTTGTTACTCGGATACGCTCCTCGGACAGTAGTGCTTGGGACGAACTGGCTGTGGATGTGCACAAAGGATGGAATACCGAACCTCGATCGAGACCACCACGGGTACTGCAACAAAAAAAACCCCAATACCTTAGGTCATACATCCGTTGTCTAACTCGACTTGAATCTCACTCAACTTCTGACCACCTCCTTCTGTTCTCTCATGCCGTCCTCCGCGACAAACGATCAAAAGCAACAACTCTCCTTCTTCTATTTCAGCAGAACTCGAGCTCTTCACCGCATCGAATCCTACCTTGTTTTCAACCTCCAGTCGGCCTGACGCTGTTTTTGATCGACACCGTCAAACCACTTTCTGGTCAAAAGGTCAGCAAGGGAATCCCCCCCCAGGCCTTGTGACCGGGCGTGTAAGATGGACAAAATACCACCTCGTATGACTTGTTGCTGCAACGAGCAAAGCGGCCGCCAACTTTTAGCAACCGACAGGATGACTGCATGTAATGTACAACGCACTCGTTGCTTCAGTTTTGACGGCGTGTGTGGGGAGGGAGGAAATGACCAAAGGTAGTCCTTCGTAAGAGTTTACATGCAGTAATACACTCATCTGCAATCAAAAGTTCTATATACCTTACCTAGGTAGCTTCACCTTTGAGGGGAAGAACAAACAGTCAATGGTACTTGACTATCCGTTTGATTGTTGTTTTGTTTTTTTCCTTCCCCCTTAGCTCAACCAGCTGAAACCCCGTGATGATGCTCATGATTTGAGAAAACTGCACTGCCCCGTCCGAGTGTTGGAGCTGATCAGGTCAGGTCAGGCCCATGTCAGGTCAATTACCTACCCAAGTAGTAACTAGGTTGTTAAACAAGGGTTAAGCTGGAGTTAGGGTGTGTGTGGTACCCATGTACCTATGTATGTATCTTTTACCTACCTACCCAAAGGACTGACGACTCCCCACCGTGAGAGTCATGTACGGCACTCCGTAAACCTCAGCCTCAAAATCCTCCAAGATACTAGCTACCGTAGAGACATGGCCCTCTCTATTTCCCACCAAAGAATATCATGTAAAGAAAGAACAGCTGTGGGGAATCTCTTTTGAGCCGCTCCCACCCAACACTTGACATTGAACGGACTTGGCTGTATGTGACCGGATTGGTTCAAAATTCCCATCTCACAGAAGATCGATCTGGGGGGAGGGTCCCACTGGTGAGTAACTTGAGTAAGTTGATGCGCTTTGGAATGATTCTGTTTTGAAAGAAGAAAAATCGAATTGAATTCGCTATATGGGGTATCTTTTGGTCTATTTCTACACTTTTTTCATAACTTGGAAAAGAAAGAAAAAATGAAGAAGCAGAGAAGCAGTCAAAGGATGTTTTTGTGTTCGACAAATGGGCGAGTCGTGAGTCGTGGCAAATCACGACCTTTCCAACCTCGAAATCTCACTCCTCAAGACCGCAATCACACTCTCGGCGGCGGCCTCGATCTTGCCTCGTTCGAGGTTCGTCAGTTGTCCCAGTACCCAAGCACTCACGTCGTCCTTCTCGCGGGACCGAGGTCGCCCGATGCCGACGCCGAGTTTTATGAATCTGTCGCCCATGGACGGCAAGAGACCTGCCGACTTGAAAGACGACTGTATCGATTTGATCCCGTTGTGGCCCTTGGCACTGGTTTCGCCTCGACGGAGTTTGATGGTCCCGATGGAAGATTCGAGCTCGTCGTGCAACACCACGAGTGCGGTGAGGATGTCGGGCGACGCGCCTGCATTCAGGCCGTTGAATTGTTTCCATGCCTTGAGTGTGCCGGTCCCCGAAACATTCATCATGCTTGCGCTCTGCCATAGTGTATATTCTGGAACGCCCCGGTCGGAACCCAGACTGACACTGCCCGTCCCCAAAACCTTGCTCCGTGACAAAGGTGGCAGGGACATGTGTGTGGACAGGCTCTTGAGGACGAGGTGCCCGGCCGAGTGTCGGGTGGTGTGGTACGGTGGGGGGTTGCCGATGGATGCGATCAGCAATCGAACCTGTCGAGCTGGTGGCGGGGCCATTGTGGAATGGATGTCTTTCGGGCGGCGGATGCGTAGAGGAGGCGGGATGATCGGCGAGTCACCGATGGCGGCGGCGTGGTCTGCCTTTGGAGCGCTCGAGGAGGGAGGAGTGGGGGTTGTGTTGGTGGTGACGGTAGCAATCGACGTTATCGGTGTTTCGACCGGTCTACGTTTGACATGTTGGCGTTGCGGTTGGGGGTTTGCGATGAGCACGGGAGCAGGTTTGGGGACAAAGTGATCGTGATCGTCAACTGGCTCGGCCCAGGTAAGATCGTCGTCGGCGTCGTGGTATTGTACAAAGGTATCGCGGGAGATGACTTCGCTCCGACTGCGCTGGTGCGATTTCGCTGGATGGGAGTTAGTCATGGCTGCGGGAAAGCCGACGCCGAGTAGTGAAACTGTCGTGAGTGCCACTTACCTCTCGAAAAGTATAAAAAGAGTGACAAGGAGTTGGGCCTTTTGTATCTGGATAGAAAATGACCGTCTTTGGGCTGAACAATGGAATTCGTCAAAAAGTTGACAAAGCCCGAGTGCTGAACAATCCAAAAGCCCTTCGAGTCATTTTCTGACCTGCGTCACTATGCCGTTTTCGGTGGGGGTGCTGCCACGTGACCCGATGAGTACCAGTCATTCCGAATAAGACAATGGATGGCCTTGCTTTTCCCCGGGTATGCTGTCGATCGAACAGGTTACATCTGTCTTCTGAAAAAGAACCTCACAGCTATCCTCAGCCATCGTATCGCCGTTGCGTCACATCCAACTTGGCGATTTCACCGTCAATTTCATCGTCGTCCAGAGGATATAAACGATCCAAGGCCCAATCAGTTCCCGGATCGCGAGTCGATTTCGTGTTTGGTTGAATGATACCATCGCTACTGGATGGAGCCGACTTTTCGGCATCCACCTCTTTGTCTCTCGCAGATGCGTCACTCTCCGAGGCTCTGGTTGTTGTCGTTGTAGTCGCATCTCGGTTGCTGTGGGCAGCATGTTTCTTTTGAAAGAGCGACGGCGTCCAGGAGATCTTTCTCGAACTTACTTCCTGAGCGTTGGACTGTCTTGAGCGAAGCTGAGTCGTCAAGGGAATTCCTCCCAAACTCTGTCCGTCCAACCTCGACGGTGCACCCTCTTGCATGCGATTTGCGGTGGAGTCGCCCAAGAACGACCTGAGATGGAACACCCTCCGAATCAACGCCCAGCTGTAAGGCATGTTGCTGACAATCATGGCCGTGCTCGCCTCCCGACAGTACCAATAAACCCACTCGGAGCTGTAGGGGTGTTTGAAGCTGGCCACTTTGCTCAAGATGGCGCAGATCATGGTGAAGATGCCCAAACTGAACGGGAAAACCAGGAGGAGTTTGCGCTTGGATTCGAGGTGTGAAGTCAAGAACAGAGGTAGAGGGATGGAGAGGATCAGGATGTCGCTGGTCAAATTGAACGTCAGGTTCATGATGAGGTGGTGCAGCGCGGTCGTGCATTGGGTGTTGTCGGTCGGGGTTTTCCAGTAATCGTGAAACGGTCGACACCAGACGCCAAAGTAGCAGACTTCCATGACGATGTAAGTCAGGACAACATATGCGGCGGCGCACTTGACGACGAGAGCTTGCTTCAAGTTCTGCGTGATTCTCCAGTACAGAAGCAACAGACAGATCTTGGTGCCCCACTGGACGGCGCACATGCATTGCTCCACGAGAAGGACCGTCTTTGCGCCCCATGTCCTCGTGTGTATCTCGTGAGGGGTCAGTTCAACTGGATGAGCGGGATCGATTAGATTAGTCGAGACTGTCAGGTCGATGTTGAGGAACACAATGAGAACGGTGTAGAGGCATGTCAAAAACACCATCAAAAAGTCCTCGATTTGAAGGCGAAGGACCGACTTGAAATGTAATAACCTCGCGACACTATTTAGTGACAACGAAAAGTCAGCGATCAGATTACCCATACAGTAGGTGACGGGAAGTTGATCGAGAAGGACACAGAGAGAGAGGGAGAGGGAGACACATACAGTCGCGCAATGATGGTACAGATCGTGAACGAGTACCATATCCATGATTCGACGCGAAAAGCCGTCATGGTAATTCTTGATCTGGAGGGGACCCTGTCGTCGTCGTCGTCGCGAAGAGTTTTGGTTTAATGATGATCAATAAGTGAACGCCGCCGAGTCAGCAATCGTATCTGTTGGTGACGTAGGAGGGTGTTTTGTCGCAAAGATATCGCTCTGTGTGGCATGACTAGGTAGATATCTAGGTTCGCTCGAGGCACGTAACGAGTAGTAGTAAGGCGGTCAAGGTCGAGTCGGCGAGTTATTGTGTGTCTGTATGGTGACACTCGTTTGACACCAGGGTTTATGTTGGTCGGTGTGTTAATAACTACTCCTCAGGTGTGGAAAAAGGCTTGCTTGAGTGTGAAGTGAGAATCAAGAAAATAATGTAGTTACAAGATCTCAACCCATGGTAATAAAAGGAATTAACCGAAATCTCGAAGAGGGAAGGAATAAGTAAGGGTAAGTAAAGGTGTAGTGATGTTTACGGCTCTCATTCTTCTCTCGTCAGTGCGCCCTTCTCTTGGGGGGGACGGCAGAGGTGGGAGTGGGTGCGTTGTTGGTGGGTTTATCGCTTAAATCACTAGCCTCGAAGAGACCGAGGAATGAGGGTTGCATGAAATCGCGATGATCACTTGGTATTATTAGTGAAAGTAACTCTGGTAGAACGGCGGAACCCGAGCTGATACCATGGAGTCCTGTACTGTAGGAGATCTTCTTCATTATCAGTAATACCCTGGTCACGGTCACTGTGCTTTGGCATCATTGCAATCTTGCTTATTCTTACCAGGTACTCCCTGCCCGTATGCTGAGTTGCTTTCCGAGGCCGCAATGGCGACGAGTATGATCGAGGCATTCATTAGGGTGGCCTAGAAGACGCCACGAAACTTCCATTAGATCGAATCTTAGGTGAAGGCATCGCACTTCACGGATGAGGCGCCTGGGCTGTTTTTCACAGTCGAGTTATTCTACAAAGGTGCGTTTGGAATAGTACATTGTTACCTATGTAAGAATCCCTCACGACAATGGACATTGTGATAAGAGAGACTTCTCAGTCAGCTTGAACACAGTAGTGCTACGTACTCGTACAAAGTGACCTACTCCGTAGGTAAATCCCCTAGATACCTAGACACTGTAGGGATCCAGGTAGTAAACCTGCCTAGACGTGATTGGCACCCATTGCCCCGGGTCTTCAGCGAGGTGTTGGCTTTGATTAGCTCCAACTCACTTACCTCTAGCCCTCCGTAATAGGGAACACCCAATTGACGAAACGTATTCTCTGGTAGACACGCCTCAAGGTATACTCTATATAAACGGATACTTAGTACCTGATGTGTAGGAACCTGAGGTAGTAAGCCCCGTTGTTGAACATCTCGATTCAACGACAGTCAGCTTACTTGCTCATTCAGTCACGTTCTCATGACTGCTTTTTCGTTATACCATGTTTTTGTTATCATGTATATATATATATATATATGCCTATTATGTAGCCATAATTACCTACCTCAATATATCCAGCCGTATTCGCATTTCCAAATGAATGGAAGGGTATCGTAAAGAATCCAAAATAGTTGTGTCTCTGTGTGTGTTCATCAAATCCCGGGCCATGTCGTAAAACTTTTGGCCTGCCCAAATATATTTCCCAGCTTTTGCTCAATGCAACCATCATCATACCAGACAGAGAATGGTCTGGTGGAAATCCTTGGTCTTGGTGTTGCCGCGAATGAATGTCCCGTCATGTCCCAAAGATCGGGTATGAAAACGTGCCGTGCGCCTGTGTAGAAATGCCAAAAAATAATTGCAATTTTGTTTTTCTTTTGTTCCTTCAACCGGTCGAACTTCTCAGCTTCTTATTCGCACTCCCTTGCATCTTGCGCATCGCCTCACGATGGAGGTCCTGCATCTCGGGACGCCTCATCATCTGGTCCATCGCCAACTGTCTCCGTTGCTCCTCGCTGCGTTGGTACTCCTCGAATCGCCGTTGGTTCTCTAACTGCGATCTCAACCGTGCCCGGCCGTGTTCCGCCACAGAAGCCTCGAGACCGTCACGAGATGCATGTTGCTGTTGCGTCAATCGCCAGTCTGCGAGCAGCGATTCTCGTTTCTGGGCTTCTTTCCTGACGTCCCGCTGTGAAGGCTGGTGGGAATCGTAGCTGTCCATTCGGGTACCGGAAGGACGTTCAGCCCTTTGGTACTGTTGACTCTGTAGTCTCTGGAGTTGTGCCACATCGTATGGAGTTCCGCCCTGTGGGCGCGGTGTATCGTGGGCCGAATACGGCGTGCGATTGCCCGAACCAAAACTGGTCGCAGAATCTCGGCGTGTGGGCATCATGTACGGTGATCCTGCACTTGAGCGACGGCCGGTAGGCGCCGGTACACCAAATTCGCTCGGAATGTTTTCCATGATGGGCATGGTGGCGAGAGAGGTAGACGCAGTAGGGTTGAAACTACCTCGACTTACTCGTTTGCTGGGAGCTTTGAGCGATTGCATCGAGGTTGTCCGCGAGGGTGCCTTCGTGGCACTTGGTCGCCATTGTTGATCGGAAAGGGCTCTTTGAGGAGTCGGTGGGTGAGACGCAACACCTACACCGGCGCGACTGGTACGAACTGTCTCTACTTGCGCCGTATGAACTGGACCTTGTGTAACCAGGGCTTGTGTCTGTGGATCAGTCGCCACTCGTGCAATATATGTCGGGGAATCCTCTGGCCCATCGTCCCCTTTGATCGATTCTGGCTCGTCGTAGATAGGTGCTTCTGCAGACGTAATATGCTTTGCCCATTCGTTCGTTCGGTGTGACAAGACCACCGTCGACGTTTGGCTTGGTACTTGAGCCAAAGCAACCCTGGTAAGTGACTCAGCGGTTGAATCGGTTCCTTCAGACGCTTGGGATTCTGGGACTCTATCATCGCCTCTGGTGTCCCCAACTACTGCCGTCGCACTGGCAGCAATGGTGCGTATTTGGGCAGCAGTGGGCCTTGATGTGTGGTTCAAAGCTCCATCTTTACCGTCTGACGATGTGCTTTCTGCGTGGCCAAAGCCCGTGGTCGAGCCTGACAGCATGTCCGAGAACTCAGCGCCCTCAGTAAAGACCGGTGAGATGATAATCTGTGGGCATCCCCCTGTCTTATTCCTTGCATCAGCATCAAGCGAGTCCACGTCAAGCTCCTCGTTGTCTCCGTCCAAAGTCGCTGCGGCCGAAGATGCTCTGCTTTGCGGCCTTTCAAGGTCGACAAGATGGTCCTTGGAATGCGCAGCGAGCGGCACATATCCCGAAGTCAAACGTTTTGTAAGCCCGGAACTCGGTCGTCTCTTGGGCTTCGAGAGCTCAATACCACTGTCTGATTTACTAAGGGCCAAGCTATCGTCGTCGCCTGCGGTCAGTGGGCTTAAGGTGCTAGAGGATGCAGACAGATCGCCACTCTGTTTGTGTTCATCCGCAGCCTGGCCGTCTTCGAGAGCTTGAAGAGCCTTCTGGCGTTCATTCAACGCCACCTCCTCGTCGTTTTCATCCGCCTCTGGTATCACCTCCACAGTAACAGAGCTTTGACGTTTATTTTTTGAGCCGTAACAAGATTGAATCCTTCGAGAGCCGTATGTATCCATTTCGAGCTCTTCTGTAGAAGCCGACGGGGTTGGAGGCTGAAATGCAACAACAGAAACCGTAGAGTAGCGTTTGTGGGTATGTGCATCCTGCCATAGAACCGTATTGCGCTTGCTGTTGAGTCTGTCGCCATACTGTTTCTCCCAAGCTGACTTTTCCCGTTCGTTCCGACGTTCGAGATGTCGTCCCAATGCGGCTTCAATGGCCTGCTTCTGTCCTTCGTCTTCCTGCTGCACTGCATCTTCCTTGCGCTGCTTTGACCTGATGATTTTCCACAATTTTATCTGTGATAGCAGACCGATGATGGTGCCGATGACGATGATTGCAATCTCGACTTTCATGCCTCGTGTCAGTGGGTAAGTGTCGGTGTTGAGTGGGAAGAGTTCGTCATTGAGATCCCATATGTAGAACCAGAACTCCTTCATTCCAGCCCTGATGAAGCAGTCAAGCCCGAGTACGAATGCGGTTGCGCCGCCAAAAGCTGTCGACCCGATCAAAGCATAAGGTCTAGTGTAGCTTGTCCAAGACAGTGACCATGCTACCAAACTGAAAACGCCAATGAATGCACCTTTCCCGCCAGGGCTGGTGACGAGCCCTCCTGGTTTGAGGACGAGCAGCCACATACTAAAGCAGAAGCCGCCCAAGAGACAGCCAAATCCTTCTGTGAATTCCTTGAATATTAGTGCCCCGCCACCAAAGACTGCGCCGGTCATGAAGATCGCCACGAAAAAACCCCCTTGAACCGCATCACTGACAGGAGTACTCATGACAAAGTCGACCAAGGCCGTAGTCGCTATACTGGCCAGGAACCCGCATGACAGGAAAATCTGAATCGATCTGCTCTTGACTCCGATGAGCGCATATATGCCACCCAATACGATCAGAAAGACGCCGGCAATGCCGAATGCGGGTGTGATTCTAGGCCGAAGGGGCAGGTCATCGTTCGCTTTGGTTTTGGAACTGGCCGTAGAATTCGCCGGGGACGTAGCAGCTGTGGGTATGGCAGAAATTGTTGTGGACGTATGGCTCGCGACTGTTGAGTTGGAAGTGAAGCCGGTCATTAAGGGTTGTGTTGAGGTAGTGTTCGAGCTCCCCTCGGTCGTTAAGGCGAGCGATGCTGGAAGGCTGCTCTGCGAGGCTGAAGCAACTGTAGGGGAGCTCGGAGCATCTGTGGTCAGAGTTGGCAATGCCCCATTTGCTGTGTCTTGTCGCTCTTGCAGACCTGAGTGATCTAGACCTGCAGTGACCAGCGGTAACGTCCAGCTCAACAGTGTGAGGATGAGGATGTGAAAAGACCGCATATTGGCCTTGACCCTGTAGTCGAAGAGACGAAGCTGGCACTCTGATTATGCAGGTGTCCAGCGAGATCCCAGCTGCATTAAAAAGATGTCCGATGGTTACACCTCCACGTCAGCATGTGCCGTTTCCCTAAAACCACTGTGCATTAACGGACGGCAGGCATGCGAGGCGCGGCAGGAGGGCAGAACTGAATACGAAGCTCAACTAAACAAAGATAGAAAAGACGCTCAACAAGCTTGTGTAGCTAAACCAAAAACCATTCTACCTCTCCATTCTGAGCAGTCGCACACAAATGCGACAGTGGTCTAGAGGGGAGTGTGTAAGTCGAGGAAACTCAATCTGGGACCAGAGCCTTAAAGCCAGAAACCCCAGCAGCAAGGAGCATAATGAAAGTGTGATGCGGCAAGCCACCAGCTCCATGGAGGCTCCTTTTTGGGACATGACGAGCTCGAAAACGCAAGCGAGGACAAGCGGAAAGGAAACGTGCGAGCTTAGTGTCCGGAGAAGAGGCCCGCTCACGATAGGATGCTGGCAAGGGTTCGGATGAGCGCCAGGCATGGGGGGAAATTTGGTTTCAATCAGGACTGTGGCCGGATCATCAGTAGGTGGTTGGAGGTGATTGATGCGCCAGGTCCGACGGTGAAGGTACAAGCTATTTTTGTCCAACCTGATGAGGTCGACCTGCATTTGTGATGCAGGGAGGCGACGTAAAACGCGGGCATCGGCGGTGGATTTTTCCATGACTTGTAGCCAACGAATGCCCTGGACTCCTTTGTAGGACGAGGGCGAGTACCGTAGCGTAGGCGTGCTTCGAGGTTGCTGGCACTCTCGCCCATCACGGCCAAAGACTCGCAAGGGGATCTGGTCTTCGGTTGCCGCCCAGTTGACTGGAGCCCGGGATCCTGGCCAACGAGACTGATGTTCATTTGTACGGGGTACTGTAGATTGGACTGCTGTACGGAGTATTTCCAAGGACTCTCATGCTGAAGGCGAGATTGGATGATGATTAGTTCAACAGCTCAATAAAAAAAAAGAGGGCTACAGCGTGATGAGCTTGGGCCATTGGCTGATGATTTTCCGGGGAGACGTGGAAATTGAGCCTCGTTCAAAGCTACGCAGGAACTAGGCAATTGCCGCACCCATTTCAAGCCAAAGCGCTTCACTGATCACAGGCTTGTGAAGGCCGAGTGAAAGACTACGGACGAGCTATCCGTAGCTACGGGTGTTTCTCACTGTCACTCTACAGTACGAGTAGCCCCTACCCTCCTATCTTCTTAGGATTTTCTTCTAGCACCACAATTGTATTGAATGGAAGCACCGGGAGGTGTCCTCGAAGACCCTTCGACCCAAAGGCCTCGCGGCTCCCAAAAAGTTGGCGAGATACAGGGATATTGTTCAACATCCAGGGATCTTCCTGGGCACAATCCCTGCCTCACATTTTCCGCCCCACTGTCAAAATCACGTACTCCACGTTGACCAGGTTCTCGAGGACTGACCAACAAGGACATCTTCCTTCATTTTGACCGTGAACCAACTCGATTCAAGCATGTTATCTCCCAATGTAACCTCTATCGATTGTTACGTCAAAATTACATCCGGAATGAGAGCATTTGACACTGCGTCCCCCAACAGCATTTCGAGCTAAACAATGTGTCTCATACTCTGTCCAGTTCTGGGATTTGGGGCGAATTGAATAGGTATTCTAAGCATGAACAGATGTCCAGTTAGCAGATCAAATTTTCAGGTTCTGACTATCGTCAGAGTGAGAGCCGCCCGCTCCATACTAGCATGATCTTCCCGTCTTCTGCGGATTCATAGAAGACACCTTCATTGTTTAATTATGCAGTCCGTATTCGTATCCGTATTTACTAGTCCGACGGCGGTTCGAGAGATGAAATCATACTCCGTGGTTGGTTGGTATCTTGATCAACAAGATCTTCATCGAGTGATTTACCTGAATCTCGTCCATGTACGGAGTATGACTATCTCAATGCCAGGATCCATTGTCGACATCTTTTTTCAAAACCTCGGGTTCAGCCACAACCTCATCAGGACACAGCCATCCTCACGGGCATCATTGGTGATCGTCAGTCTGGAAACGAAAACCTTGATACTCACGAACCTCAGGTGCTACGTGCTGTGCACTTTTCTCGCTATGCCTGTTTCTTTGAAAGCTACATTTCAGCGAGTTTCGAGCTTTGGTCATGACTCCTAGATAGGAATCGCCCCCCTTCTCTTCGAGGGTACCGCTAAGCTTGCTGAGGAGGGGTATTCTTTCAACAACAGGATGACATCTGATCCCCTGCAGCTGCAGAATTGATTGAAGACTTCAACGAGTAAGATTTTCTCGCTTCTGGTTATAGCCTACGAGTACAAGTAGGCGCCAATTCGAGTTTCAGCAGCGAGAAGCGCTTCGCCATTCGCCCACTGATCTTCTGCCACGCGCGGTCACAGATATCCCCGCTCGAGCAAGGCGCATTCAGCTGTACATACCAGGCAACTATCAGCCTGACAAACCCTCTCGCCACTTGTCCCTTTTCCCGGCATCTTCATTCATTGATCCGTTCCTCTATTCGACCTCAGTTCTTGAATCTCGTCAGTCGGTGAGCTTATGGCGCTGCCAAATCCAGGAGTGCGAACAACGGACTACCTTCCTAAGCCCGACGATGACACAGGGCTCTGTTTGCTGTCGCTCGATGGCGGTGGAGTCCGGGGTTTGTCGACCCTACATATTCTCAAGGGCATCATGACACGGCTGAATAAACAGCGCTCAGACAATGGAGAACCCCCGCTAAAACCGTGTGAACTGTTTGACCTCATCGGAGGAACAAGTACAGGAGGGCACGTACAATGGCCTATCTTGTTGGCTGCGCATAGCGTACTAACACATTATTCTACACAGCCTTATTGCCATTATGCTCGGCCGGCTCGAGATGGATGTTGAAGAATGTATCGTGGCCTACAACAGTTTGCTCAAACAAATATTTGAGAAAAAGGCCCATCGAATACCATTTGGCCGATCAGGACGCCTTCATTCAAGATTTGACAGTGCAAAACTCAAGACTGCGATCGAAGAGGTGATTGTCACACAAGGCTACTCCACAACAGAACCATTCAACGATGGGAAGTGTCGGGGATGCAGAGTGTTCGTGCAGAATCAATCGTTGTCGATTCATTATCTAATGCATGATCTAGATTTGTGTGCAGTGCCGAGAAACACATATACGGAATCACACGCCTGCGAAGTTATGACCATCCCCACGAATCAAAGATTGCTGCCACGATTAGCGAAGCTGCCCTCGCCACGGCGGCTGCCACCGGCTTTTTCGACCCTGTCTCGATCGGAGCGCGTTGTTTTATAGATGGGGCGTTGGGGGCAAATAACCCTGTCGTAGAGGTAGAGAGAGAAGCATCTGACATTTGGTGTACGGACACTGGCGACTTAAAACCCCTGGTAAAATGCTTCGTCTCTATCGGAACCGGAAACCCTGGCAAGAGAGCCGTTGAAGATAATCTGCTGAAGTTCTTGACTAAGACCTTGGCCAAAATCACCACAGACACGGAACGAGTGGCCGAAGAGTTCGCGTCGAGATGGAGACATCATTACGACCAGAAGAGGTACTTTCGTCTCAGCGTCGAGCAAGGACTCCAGGACGTCGGCTTGGCTGAGTATAAAGAACAGGGTCGCATCGAAGCGGCGACTGATCAATATCTACGCAAACAGCAGCAATCCTTTGGAATTCGAGATTGTGTTGAAAGCCTTAGGACCAGGCAAAGTGTGTACCTTGGATGCTCTACCTAGGAAAGCATATTCTGGTGGCTAACCTTATAACTAAGTGACAATAGATGCTGCACCAACTGATCAAAGTCATGTGAGCTAAACACCTTGTCGAAAGAAGGCTTAAACTCACATCGCACAGGAATGCAATGTTGCTGTAATGCAAGCCCGCACGATTACAGAAGCTTCAGAACCGTTGGAAAGACGCCAACTGACGTCTACCGTACCTCACTCATCTTGTGTCTGTCACTCCATTCCACCTGTAAATAAACGGTTTATCCCACGAGAAGATATCTTCGAAACCCTCCACCAAAAGCTGTTCAAGCCAAACGAGACCCAGAGAGTTACATTGTTCGGACTCGGAGGCATTGGGAAGACCCAGGTAGCATTACATTTGGCGCACTGGACGAAAGTGAACGAGCCGACATTTTCAGTCTTCTGGGTCTCTGCGATCAACAACGCGGCTTTTGTCCAAACATACACAGACATTCGACGAAAGCTTGCTGTCCAGGAGACTACCGCCGACGGGGATGCCCGGGAATGTGTCCAGCGCTTCCTGGACTCCCCAGATGCTGGTAAGTGGTTGATTGTGGTAGACAATGCTGACGATATGCAAGTCTTGTCTGGCTCGTCCAAGAATTCGGACGGAATTCAGCAGTATTTGCCCGAAAGCGACAATGGTGTAATCTTGTTTACCTCCCGCTCAAGGGAAGTGGCTTTGGCCTTGAACAGCGAGCTGGTCGAGCTCAAAGAAATGACGACAAACGAGGCGGAACGATTGCTGGAGAAGTCTTTGGTTGAAAAGGACCTGCTTAAAGATCGAGATGTAGTGAAGACTTTGCTGCAAGAGCTGACATATTTGCCACTGGCAATCACCCAGGCGGCGGGTTACCTCAACAGGAACCGAATAACAATAAGCAAGTATATGGACCTCCTGGGAGGAACGGAGACGGAGCTGGTGGCGTTGATGAGTCGAGAATTCCCCGATACGACTCGGCAATCAGAATCACGACACGCCGTCGCCACTACGTGGGTTGTATCTTTTGACCAGATCCAAGTCCTGAACCCTCCTGCCGCCGAATTACTGACATATCTATCGTTGATCGAGCCGAAAGCCATCCCGTTGTCGATTCTGCCACCGCTCAATTCAATGGAGGCGATAGTACACGCTATTGGGACCCTCACAGGCTATGCATTCTTGGTGCAGCGTGGGGACACTGAAATTTATGACATGCATAGTCTGGTCCATCTGGCCTCAAGAATCTGGGTGAGTAGGACAGAGCACGGCGCACGAGTGGAAAAGGAGTTCGTTGAGCACCTTACCCGAGTGTTTCCCAGAGGTCTGTGGGAGAATCGGGAACAGCGGCGATTATACCTACCGCATGCACTTCGTCTTCTCCGAGGAGAGAGAACAATGGAGTTGAGGGAGCGTTATTCTCTCCTTGGTGACGTAGGCGAATGTTTGAGGTCGGAGAGTTGAATCAGAGAGGCTGAGATGTGCTTAGAAGAGTCCTTCTTCTGGGGCCAGCAGCATCTCCCTCCAGATGACCCGCACCACCAGTATTCACAGTGCGCATTGGGATTGTTATACCACATAGATGGACAAGTCAAGAAGGCAGTTCAGCTACTCGAGTCACTGGTTCAGATCCAGGCGCTAACACTACCGGAGAATCATTCTCAGCTACTGTTGTCACAAGAGCTATTAGCATTGGCATATGTCGACGATGGGCAAGTCAAGAAGGCAATTCAGATACTGGAGACAGTGGTTCAGATCCAGACGCAAACGTTAGAGGAGTCTCATGATATTCCGCTGATGTCGCAATCAAGCTTAGCAACAGCATATCAGGCCGATGGTCAAATTAAGAAAGCAGTTCAGCTACTAGAGACAGTGGTTCAGATCGAGGCGCAAACGCTACCGGAGACTCATTTTCATCGACTGACATCACAATTCAATCTGGCCACCCTGTTATGGCGTCTGGGTCAACACGGCAGAGCGATGCGGATGATGACGACTGTCGTGGAAATGCGCCAACGCTCTCTTCGTGAGAACAATCCGTGTCGCAGAAGAGCCGAGGGGTGGTTGGATCACATGAAAGTGTCTTTGGAGGAAGGATAGTCATTTGCTTTGACACTATCACCATCAAACCCAAGGCATCATCACGCAAGATATCCTTGCCCGATGAAATCTTCCTTACCTAGGCAAACGCCCTCTCAACCGCTTCAGCCATCTCACCCAGAGTCTCATACGCCGCGCCCAGGTCAATCAGGCCTTTGGCTTCCAGTTCCTCCCTGTCTCCGCCCATGGCCGCATTTCCAGCATACCTCGCGATCCACACAGCCGGTCTGAAACCAAGAGCCTTGGCAGAGGCATGATCAATGTCCAGGTTCTGTGCGACCATCAAGGTCTCGTCCTTGGAAATGCCAAAGTCCGTCTTGAGCTTGTTGACCACGTACTCATAGTTGCGCGGGTTCGGCTTGTACGATCCGATTTGCTCGGCGGTGTAGATGCCATCCCAATGCACGCCCTTCAGGGGTCCGGCGAGGGTTCGCCCAAAGGATTCGTTGTCGACGTTACTCAGCACGAACAACTTGTAGTGCTTCGCGAGCACCTTCATCGCCTCCACCGTGTCGGGAAATGCAGGCCACTCTCCTATACTCTTGCCGAATGCGACCCGGTCGGCGTCGTCGGCGGCGTCGGGGACACCCAACGCAGCTGCGATTCTGTCGTATACGGACTCCAAGATCTTGGGGTATGCAAGGGTCGGGTTATCGTGCTCTACGATCTTCTCGTTGGCGGCGTACATTTGGAGTAATGTCTTGCGGGTTTCCGGGGTGTCGTCTCGTCGAGGGTCACCGGCCGGCAACTTTTGACTGAGTTTGAGAAGTTGAGGGTAGATGCCGGATTCCCAGTCGATCAAGGTGGCGTAGATGTCGAAGAAGATACCTTTGAAAGAGCGAAGATCGAAGGGCGCCATTGTCCTTTTTTGTTACTTTGGCAGGTCAGTAGGTATTACTTCGAATGCTCAATGATCACAATCTGAGATGGAAATATTGTACTGCAACGTGTGAGTAGAGATAGAAGATGCCCACGTCTCCCTTTTCCGGGACCGAGCTCAAAGTGTTTCTTATATTACAGAGTATCAATTACCTTCACATGTGAGTCTTGGGCTGCGCACGCCCAATGACCACGCTGATCATCCTCATCCCATAACAAAATGTACCCTAACACGGAGGTAGTTGGACGTTTGGGGAACAAATGGCAGTCCATAGCGATGATGCTGACTAGGTTCGTTCGGGCCATAGCTTTGTCAAAGGGTGTACGAAGAGCATGCCCCACACAATCTGGCTTCACTTTTGTTTCCTGGGAAAAACTACATAGGAGATTCTGTACTCCGTGGGTAATAAGCGAGGATTGAATGATATATCTCGCGAACATTGTAAGTACCGGGGTATGTAGCTACTCGTATCATGCATACTTCAAAATGAAATGAGCCTCTACTCTGTACATACGGAGTACTCTTACTCGTATCCGTACCTAGAAGTCTTCTATTTACGCGGCGACGTCATTGGCGCCCGCATTTCGCGCCATCACGTGGCGGCGGCGCTTCCTGCCCGCATTGCACGTTAGAAAACATAGTGAAGACAAAAGATTCACAAGAAAGCACAGTATTAACGTTGAGTAAATTTGGGGGTTTTTGCTATGGCGTTGGCTATGATACTCACTCTTTTTCGTTCCCTCCTGAACTGAGTCGTGCAATGAAGAGTTCTTGCTGTGCTTATGGCCCAACATCATTCCTTCGACTATGAGCCTGTGAGCCGATTCGCAGGTGCGAGCGCGGCGATACGGCGACCAAGAGTAAGTTAATTCCCAGAGGAAGAACCCCGTTCGTTCACTTGGCTGAATGGCATTTTCAAGGAAATCGCATACTTCTCCTACGATGAGGACCACAAATTCAGACTCGACGCATCCAGCCTGCGCTATTACTACCCTCCAACCTTACCGTGCGATCTCAACAAAGGGTTCGATACGTTCAGACAGTTAGATGACACCGCCGATGACCATCTTGCTGGACTGCTAGAGGCTATCATTGCTTATGAAAAAGAAAAGTCGGCCAAGACGGAGATTGACATTGTGACATGGCGCGGCATGATGACCAAGGTTAGGGAAAATCTTTCGCATACAATCACACCAACCATGTCTTTGCTCACACAGTATCTAGATCATGGTGGTACCATACTCCAAGCTTGACAATTGGGAAATGAACGCCACGCTCTTCCAGGGCACCATTTTCCTCGAAGAGAACCACACAAAGAAGCTTTCTTCGCGACAAGAACAGTTCACCGCGGGAGCCCGGCCGAACAACATCATGTCCCAAGATGTTATGAGTTTCTGGGGCTACAAGTTTGAAACCGTGTCTCTTCTCCCGGAGCCTTGGTCCGCCGTGACACGAGAGGACATCGAGTCACGCGAAGACCAAGTCGTGAGTAACTACGCCCAGTACTGCTCGATTGTCCGCACCGGCCTCGGCAAGGTGAAAATCATCATCGGTGGAGAAGTCGATGCCGTGATGGACTACAAGCCAGAAGACAAGTCTCAGCCCATCAATTGGGTTGAGTTGAAGACCACTGCCGCGGTCATCAATGAACGTGAGCAGGTCAAGTTTGAGAGGAAGCTCTTGAAGTTTTGGGCTCAATCGTTTCTGCTGGGTGTACCCAAGATTGTGGTGGGATATCGGTCGCCGCAAGGTGTCTTGGAGCGACTCGAGGAGCTTGAGACACAGACCATCCCGGACAAGGTTCGACAGAAGGGCAAGTATCTCTGGGATGGGCAGATCTGTATCAACTTTGCCGCGAACTTTTTGGAATGTAGGTGATCTCGTCGCAGATGGGTTCAGCACCACTGACAGAGTGCACAGGGCTGAAGAGCGTCATCACCGAAGATGGGGTATGGCGCATACGTAAGCGCGAAAAGGTTCCAGCAATAGAAGTCTTTAAGGTCGAAGAGACTGGCCACGGAGACATTCTGTCACCTGCCTTTGTAGAATGGCGAACAACCGGCCTCGCGGTTCACCAGAGCAAGTCTTCAGACGCTGCTAATACCACAAATGGGCAAGTCGAAACCCACGAGCCTCAATGATATCTTGTCGCCAGTTTGCTTCGCCTTTGGTCCTCTGATCGTTGGGCAAACAACTCGATTTGCACCATTACCAGTATCAAGCAGGTTCTGAGCCAGAGATGTCAGGAACTCCGGTGGATACCTGGCCTGATGCTGCGTCTCGCTTGCGTTGGGCCGCGACAACCTTCTTATGACCACGACTTGAGACATGACGGTTCCACTCATCGATCGTCATCAATATCTTGTCGCACGTCTCGCATTTCTGGGCCACTCGAGAGTTTGTCGCAGCTTGCTCATCGGGAGCAGAGAGCATCTTGTTCGCAAGCTCTGATAAACTTTTGTTCTCTGGAAGGGATCCACCGTCGAGAAACGATTCCACAAGCCTCTGGGCGTGTTCGAAAACATCGGTGTCCCAATTCTCGAGATTCGTCCCATCAAGAAGAAACATCATACTGAATTCACCCGCCTGTTGCAGTGCATTAGCCAGTCGGATTCGAATATAGCGATTCTGGCGCTTTGCATAGCGTCTGGTCCCTCCCTTTACAGCTTCCACGGCTTGCGCCAAAGCGCGAGATGTCTGGGGAGAGTTGACCCCCGAGATTTGCTGCTCCTGGATGTAAGGCTCCATCTCTTTGTAACCAATCGAAACCCAAATTCCCTTGGATTTGTCCACTGGCACACCTCGCTCAGCCAGATCTTTATCGAGGGCTGTTAGGGCGACTGCTTCATCCACAAGCCCACTTTCCACCATGGAATCCACACGTGCATCGAGTCGCTTTTTCAGTACGGCATCTTCAGCTTCCAACCACAGAAGCAAGGTAGGATATCGTAGAGCAGAGTCTTCACCACCATCGATCATGCTTTCGAGATCTTCGGAGGTGACACCAGAACTAATGTTTCGACCCATTGCATCTTTTCGTTCTTGTTGCTCAGCATACACTTCCGAAGCCTTCTTGCCAGTCTTTAGCCAGATCTCGAGCGACCGCTGGATCTTTCGTCTGTCTCTTGGATGCCATCGGACTGCCATTTGAGGGTCTACTTCTTGCAATTTTGCGAGTATTTCCTCCGTTGGTCGTGACAGGATCGCGAAGTCCACGATTACTCTCCCTTCAGTATCTTCTGCGTTACCTTCTTCCTCGTCTGCCGAAAGAGTCTCGTCTTTGAATAGAAGAGCATGCGTGTAGTAATGCGTGCCACCCACGAGAATCGGTAGCTTTCCTCGGGACCTGATCTCATCTACGACCTTGGTACTCTCCTTGACGAACCTGTGGACAGTCCATGGCTGCTCTTCCAGTCCAATGAAATCCAGCAGGTGGTGCTGAATGCCGTTGCGTTCACCATGTGGGATCTTGTTTGTTATGATCGGCAGTCCCTTGTACATCTGCATGGCATCGCCATTGATGATTTCACCATTGAACCGTGTGGCTAAATCAACGGCCAACTATCTGTAGCGATTAGAACATTGGGGTATGATCAGTGATTTCATTGTGCGCACCTTTGACTTTCCCGTACCAGTAGCACCCATAACAACCACAATTGGGTTATCTGGTCGATGTGATAACATTTTCAAGGCTCTTCTTACTATTGAGGACATGGCACAACTTTCTGCATTTCAAGATAGTACTTTTGAAGCATCATTCCGGGCTGACAGCACCAATCTGAGCGAAGATTAAAGATGATTTTGTAGTAGATGAAGAGAAAACCGCTTCAGAATAGGCTGACAGCCATTGACAATCATAGTACCCTCTGATACTCCGTAGTAACTTGTAACAGTCACACTCGTCCCGTCTTGGAGACCAAAATCTTTTGGTGTTAAAAAGGATGCAATACTCCACCGTACAAGTAGTTTTACGGCCGACTGAATGACAAACGATGTGCAATTCTATAATCATTCTCCAAAACTGCGATCAAGTTTCCTAAATTTCACTCCCAACCAACACATTACAACAAACTCGCCCGAGGCGACTACTGGTCGGTCACGATTCCATACAACTCACCATGGCCGAAGTAGTTCAAGCGCGGACATCGTTCGCCCCTTCCTCTCCCTCGCGCAAGCGGTCGGCATCCCCAGCTGCAGAAGATTCAGCCGCCACCACCACAGCCCTCACAACGACGACCAACAATGACACCACACTCGCCTCGTCAGAACCACCCGCGAAGAAGACCAAGTTGATCCGGCGCAAACGACGGCCCGCGCGCCCGCAGGTCGACCCTTCGACCGTCAAGTCCGAACCCCCGCCGCAGACCGGCACAATTTTCAACATCTGGTACAACAAGTGGTCCGGCGGCGACCGTGAAGATGCGTACCTCTCAAAGACCGCGGCCCCCTCGCGGTGCAACATCCGCAACGACAGCGGCTGGACCGCGGCGGACAAGACCCCCGGCAGTTATTTCTGCCTGTTCTTCGCCCGCGGCCTGTGCCCCAAGGGCCACGAGTGCCAGTACCTCCACCGCCTGCCGACCATCTACGACGTCTTCAACCCCAACGTGGACTGCTTCGGGCGCGACAAGCACAGCGACTACCGCGACGACATGGGCGGCGTGGGCAGCTTCCTCCGGCAGAACCGCACGCTCTACGTGGGCCGGATCCACGTCACGGACGACATCGAGGAGATCGTGGCGCGGCATTTCCAAGAGTGGGGTGAAGTCGAGCGCACCCGGGTCCTGACGGGGCGCGGTGTGGCCTTCGTGACGTACGTGAACGAGGCGAACAGTCAGTTTGCCAAGGAAGCGATGGCGCATCAGGCTCTGGACAACAATGAGGTCCTCAACGTGCGGTGGGCCACGGTTGACCCCAACCCTCTCAGTCAGAAGCGCGAAGCTGCGAGGATCGAAGAGCAGGCCGCCGAGGCCGTCCGGAGGGCTTTGGGCGAGAGGGCGGTGCGCGAGATCGAAGGACGAGAGACACAGGAAGAACGAGAACAGAGGCGGATCGAGAGTGGGTTCGGACTTGACGGGTACGAGGCCCCAGAGGAGATTTGGTACAACCAGCAAAAACAACTCGAGGATACGGGCAGCAAAGGGTTGCTGGATGCACCCGCGCAGGATCAGGCTGACCAGGCGGCTGGTTCTTCGACGACGACGCAATATCAAGCCGGAGGTGATGGCGGCGACGGCAGCAGTGGTGTTGATGGTGGAATCTTCTCGGGTTCGACACTGGCGGCGCTGCAGAGGAACAAGACTACGGCGAGATCGCTACCTGCGCAAGCCGCCAAGTCAGCCGCCCCTGCTGGGCCGTTGGTCGGGTATGGCAGTGATGACGAAAGTGATTGATTGCGTATCATCCTACCGAGTACATGGGCAGAACAGTCAATTGGCTGAATTATTGAAATCCAATCGAATCATGCTCTGCACCAGATTTTTCATTTTATTGCTAGCGAAATATTCAATTGATGCCAGTTTTATTCTTTTCGGTTTGAACACTCCCTCCTCTGTTGTCTTGATGTACTCTTATGTCACATGGCGAGTATCTCACATTCAGGCTGAGCAGATCTATCCTTTTATACGGGAGTTGCAGGCTACATATTTCTTCTCCATGTTCTTTTCCGTCGGAAAAAACCACTACTACAATTCGCCGTGCTTGATACCCACCTCGCCACTGAGATCCGGCATCCTCATGATGACCACGACCAAGCTGGTCCAGCCGGTGAAATGCTGCGTCCTCTGACCCGCCCCGGTCTCGGGGTTGTACTGCTCCCACGCGAAGCCCGTGGCCCTCCACTGGTCAAAGACGTTCTTGACCAGGTTCGCCCGGAGCTCCGTGTAGATCTTGGTCGCCTGGGTCTTGACCTTGCGGGGCGCGTCGGGGGACCGCGCGACGTCCAAAAGGTTCTTCACGATGAGGTAGTTCATGTTCACCCAGATCGGGGACCGCCAGTAGTTCTCGTCCGTGCCGTAGAACTCGTCGGACCTGGACAGGGATCGGATCCCGTAGGGAGACCACAGTTCGCTCTCGGACGAGATCAGGTCTAGGATGTGCGGCAGGTTAGGGTGCGTGGGGGGGATAAGGCCCGTCATGAACGGGAAGAGGGAAATGTATCCCTTGTGGCAGACGTGGGTGGAGTCTTCGTAGTCATCGATCGTGGCGTCGCAGTAGGCCTTGTTCTCGGAAGACCAGTGCAGGTCGTCGATGTTGCGCAGGATCGCCGTGTATTGGGCCTTGAAGTCGCCGGTGTCGTCCGTCTCGGACAGGAGCGTGGATAGGCGGAGCAGGGTCTTGCTCATTAGTCCCACCCACGATATCAGATCGGCGTGTAGTTCGCCCGGGTGAGGAGGTTGAGGACGGGGGTAGTCGTCCAGACCTGACGTCAAGATGTGTTGAGGGGTGCGGCCACGCCAACGGTACGCTTCTTTCGTGGAGAAGGCTTCGCGGTCGTAGGACTTGACGTCGCCGAACTGGGTGCGGCGGAACCAGTAGTACTGTCGTTTCAGCAGGGGGTATAGAGATCGAAGTTCGGATTCGATGTGAGGCTTCCGGGCAGAATACTCAGGGTCGGATGCCTTGTCCATGAGAACGTCGATGATGAAAAATAGTGTGGGTGGATTGGCATAGTGAGGATATTGGACTTGGAATTCGGCAGGGACTTTGCTCCGAGCTTCGGGGCCCAGGATCTGTTCCCGCGCGATCCAGCCATCCTGGTCCATGAGGTTGAACCACGATTTGACAATTTCCATGGTAGTGTCGAGGTCCCATTCCGCAATGGGAAGGAGATGGAAGCCCTCATCCCATAAGAACCCGCGGGGAAAGAAAGGTCTGGAGGGCACGGAGGTGAATAGTTCGTGCGCTGGATCTTTGACAATCTCTGCACGGGCTCGAGCTTCGGCCGTCTCTTCCCAGAAACCCTCGTTGTCTTCGTCGTACTCTGGAGCATACGACCTATCGACAAGCGAATCGCCATAAAAGTATCCTATGCCACCGAAGAGATTGGAGAACATTGACTCGGAGAACGCGGTGTAAGCAGGCCTGGTGAAAGGTGGCCGGGGTTCAAAAATTTCCTTGAATTTAGCCTTGAAGCCTTTAGAGGCTTCAGAGATAGCTTTAGTCAAGGTCTCAGATGACATGGCAGGGCCTGACGCCGATTCAAAAAGGACGTCGAACTGGAACTCTCCGACGAAGGTCTTCTGAATCATGTGGAAGTTCCCTGGGCCTGGATGCTCAGAGATGGAAAAGGCTGCCCATGGAGGGGGCATGTTTTCCTGGCCATACTCTTTGATATATCTGTCGATGTCCTGCTTCATGCTGGCAAAAACAACATTCTTGGCTTGCCAAATGGCCTCGGGCGGTATCTGCAAGCTGGAAACCAATGGCCTGTCCAAAGGCTTCTCATCCCACGAGGGGTGAGTCTTATAGGGCATTCGATTCTCTGCCGAATCCGAAAATATAAAGTTGAAATCACCGAGTTCTACGGTCGAGCCATGTAGGATCACTTTCTGGTCTGCACTAGTGTCCGTCTCTTGGAATGCCAGCTCGCCCAATCCTTCCATGCCAGCATAGAATATGAACGCCGTGACCAGGTTCGGGTGGGCGTCTTCTCGAGGTGTGCCTTTGATCCTTGCTGCCCAGCTACCTCCATTTTGGCCACCAGGTACTTTGACAAAATCAATTGTAAGGTCGAGCTTGTTCCCAGTATCGTGTATCGTTTGCCGACCTCCGTTCTGAGCGTCGTACTCTTCCCAGCCATAACCAGCCATTCCCTCATTCTGCTCACACGTGTGACGGAAATTGGTTTGGCTGGTGGTGAAGTCCTCAGTGTTTGCCCATAGCAGGCCTGTCAGCAAGCTGTTCGGCAAGCGAGGTCGAACTCCAAAGTAGAGGTTGGGTCTGAAGGGTCCCCATAGCAGAGTATCATTTGTAGTCGCAGTCACTTGTTGTGCGCAGGAGAGAAAGGAGAGGAAGGTGACAAGGACCGGGAGGAGGTGTCGAGATGGCACAGAGCCTCTCGAGAAGCTTGACATGATACTCTGTGCCGATTGAATAGGTCTATGTTGTCGAGGTCGCCAGCAACTTCGTGTTCGGTGATTTGGCGTGTCAAAACATTTTCTGTGTATGTGGTTGATCTGGCCTCAGCCGACGTCACCGATCGCGGATTCAGGAACGCGCCAATTGTTGTTCACACTAAGAAGCGTTCACGGAACTGGACTTACATTGCAACAAGTAGTAGATGAAGCTATCTAACATACTCCATTTCTAGGATACTCTATGCGACTTCAGCCACAGACCCTGCCTGTGATGCTCCAGACGTTATTTCAGGAGATTCTACTATTGAGAAGAACCTCATAATGTGCAACTTGGGGAGCTTTTTCGGTCCAGAGCATCAACTATTCTGAGAGATAGAAAAGAGATACGTTCTCAAGACCTCTGTCCAAGTCCTCACGCTCCGCACGACTGAAAACACAACATGAGAGCATTTGCTGTCTTGGCCCTTTCGAACGCCTTGTTTTCCCGTAAGAATCAGGGATCAATTTACGACCATCGTGACTCCTTTCCTCAGTAGCAGCATGTTCGATGAGGCTGTCCACGATAGATTGACAAACAACACGCGACTCCAACTCGAGATGGTAGGGAAAACCATCTCCCGATCTTCACTTAGGTGAGTGTTCGTTCTCATTTAGCGCAGCGGTTCAGCCTGTCTGCTGGAGGGTCACGTGAGAGAACTACCCTCAAGCACCAAAGGTAATACATACATCGTGTCTCAGCCAAGAAGCGCCAAAGACATCGACTCTGCTACTAAGAGATCTGGACAAAGATAGCTTGTAACATGGTGCCTCGACCGTGCCCCATCGAAGAGTTGTTGGCCCCCATGCGGCGCTTAAGTCGGCGCCAACAAGGTCTCAGGAGTCCATGATAGCGGTTTTCAGTCTCTGCAACTAAGCCAAGCTGCAGAAACAGCAATTCGAAGTCAAGTACATCCTCAAACTCTATGTGTCTGATGGTGGTGAGATTTCAGTAACTTCGCTCGGCCACAGTGGACATGGGACGTTGTCAGTATGGCCGCAGCCAGCAGCACTGGTGTCTGGTGGGCCATACTTGATACTCGTCAACCGTGGCGGCTAGTTCCTAGCAGCCATAAGCATCACGTCAATAACGGCTGCTACAATTTTGCTTCATGCACTATCATCTACTCCTAAACCCACTTCAGGGAACATTTCTACAACTCCTCACAGTTGCGGTGAAAGCTACTCTTGAGAGCGCATCTATTGCTCCCTTCTCGTTGATAGCCCTCGTCACGCAGTAAAGGTGCCTGCCTCTCGGGATACTGACCACTATCATGTCGACAACTACGATAACTGGATTAACGACCATCTTTACCCCTCCAGCGTCCTGTAGCTCCTCTTGGACGTACGAGAAGGAGTTCTACAACAGCATCCAAGGCGGCTTGCTCTTGCAGAATGCAGTATCCGCGAACGTGGACACAGATTGCTTCCCACCAGGTTTCGCCTATACTGGAAGAGTACCTTTTCCAACACAGGTATTCAGCCCTGGAGCATGTCCAGCTGAGTACGTGACAGCCACGCTATCCTTCAGTGGGGACAAGTCCTTAGCAGTTTGTTGTCAAAGGTGAGTTTGGTTCTATCAATGCTGGAGTGCAACTACATCCCTGACGGCTAACAACGATGACAGTGGATTTTCTTACACCAGCACTTTCAGCCTGAAGGATCAATTCAACTCGACCACAGTTCTCTTTGCAGGTTGCACAAGCACTTATCCTTCTGAGAATGGCAGCACTGTTGTACCGGCTCGCGACGACCAAAGCTTGACGCTTACCACCGTCACAGGCCCAATCATCATGTGGGGACAGCCGATCAGCGTCGAATTCCAGCAGCAAGACCTTACTCTGTTCCCAACAAGCACGACTACGACTATGGCAACTGCTCAGCCCTCGCAAGCTGCTACTCAAGGTACCGGTGGCCCGACTTCTATGGTGCCTGGTCCGGCTTCAGACCACAGTGGCCTCTCAAGTGGTGCCGCAGCCGGTATTGGCATTGCAGTAGCATTGTGTGCTCTCGGCATGATAGCCGGTATAATCTTTCTTTTCTTGCGAAGGCGCAGAACGAAAGTGAAAGGTCATCCAACCCGGTTCGAGGATGACAGTGGCAACCAATGGTACTCGCGGCGGCAGGAGCTTGAAGGAACATCGTTTGATAAGAGCATGCAGAGCTTCACAAATATCCAGGAAGTGGACAGGAGAAATACCAGGGGCCATCAGGGCCCCCTTTTGTCGAGATCCACTCCACGAGTTGAGCTTGAATAGTCTTGCGCCGTCTCCCTCTAGAGATAGCCCTGTAATTATCAGAGTACACCAGCATAGCCTCGTCACCTTTATGTTTGACGGATCACATGCGGTTCGTCGCAGATTTCCCCATATACGACTCCTTGTCGTCATGGATTGATTCCCACCCCGCGAATCGTCATGATCCGTGGGATGACATCAACAAATGATGTTTCAGTCACAAAACACGGACTCTCCAGCCGATGGCTGTTCACAGCGTGCGAGTATATTATGACTCTCGTTGAACGCTAGGTTAAGCCTCTTCTCTCACCATATGCCATGATATTCACGGGAGTGGGACCATTTTCATTCAAATTCGAGCCACTTGTTACAACACGACAAACATCTCGCTGCGGACTCCGCTTAACAAATACACCAAAATGACGCCCAACCTCATGAAAGGCCAAACCGACACATCCAAATTCACAGGCACAAAGCCAGACACTCCCGCTACCGACCCAAATAACAACAATCTCCAGAATTACAACCCTGCCAGCGATGATAAGAAGTCGTCAACTGCTGCGCCGTTGCTGAGCAGCGAAGGAGCCGTGGGAAAACAGTTTACGGCGGATGGAGGTACGTCTTGATAACCCCATCTTCTCTCAACTTCACTTTTCCTTCCACAACAAAACAATGATAATCTGGATGTGTTTTTATTGAAACCTTCGTTGAAGACAATCGAGAGGCATATCAGAGCTGACAGGCTGTAGCAATTGGCAGTGTAGGCGAAGCCGTCCGTGGTCCACTTGCCTCCGATGGAGCTATTGGGAAGAATTTCACCGCCGATGGAAGCGTTGGCGGGACTATCAATAACATCGTCGGTGGTTCCAAGATGGAATGAAGTTATAGACGACGACGTTTCATCGACGAGAACATGGATTCGAGAATCCGAGGGGTGAGAGGTGCAACGAGGAAAGTGCTGTCTGGCCGCATGTCCATTCTTCCATTTCACTTCTGTATTCGACAAAGCTGGTGACATGTCTGGTAGGGCACGAATCATAGTATGATACGATGGATGTGTCATGTTTCGTATAACGAATACAGGAGAAAGTGTTTAAATATTCGAGAATTGGTGAAAAGGGCGAAAACCGAGCAGGTCTACCCTTCCTCTCTCGGTAACGCCAGCATGTTCTAAGTCGGCCATCAGCACCTACCGCGGGAGTAATATCGTCTAGTCTCTGTGTGCCAGGTTTATGCTGCTGACTCCTGTTTGCAGGGCTGCACTACGATGTAATAGCGTGAGCAAAAGTTAACGTCACTCGTGCAAGGCTGACCGGAAAAGCGATCCTATTGATCCGGACGATGCATCCCACAACTCACGTAGTAAGCATCCCTTGCAAAGATGGAAGTTGATATCCGTGATCTCTTGGGGGACGATTGACGCGCTCCGTGGCAGTGGAATAAATAACTGGCCTGGAGTGGGAACATTAATCCGCCCCAGCCTTGTTGGAGTCCATTTTGGTCGACATCATGTGGCGGCTGTCACTTCCGACGAGCTGATCTCTCTCTTCGCTATAGACAAGTGCAGATTATTCGCTTCTCGCTTTTGAAATGATGGGCTGGAAATCCCAGTCCAAGGTATAACACGAACAACGTGCACAGCGTTGCCCTCCCAAGGGCCAGTTTGCCCAGACAATGGAGTTGGGTTGATCCGAATAGCTTCTCACTCCCCATCATCCACAAGAACCAGCCCAGAGACAAAAACTGGAACCTGGATTCGCTTGAGGTAGCTCCCATGGCATTCTTCCTTCCTCACTGCCACCTCTTCCACGATGCCTGACATCATCCCTCTATGACCAAAGCGGTCTGATATATATCATAGACCTTGATATCCCTTTCTTCAGCTCGCCATGCTCCTATTTCAGCGCAAATAGATTCTATACACTTCTACTCTGTCGACTTCTCCATGGATCCTCATTTGAAGGTCGAGTACTTGTGATTGCCAATCGACTTCCTATTACCATCAAAGACACCAAGGATGGGAACTTCGAATACAACATCTCATCTGGGGGCCTCGTGTCAGGACTACGAAGTCTCGCCAAAGCTGTCGTTTTTAAGTGGTTTGGCTGGCCTGGAATCGACATCCATCGGAACGACAAAGACAGGGTCCGTCGAGATCTTCAGGACAAATTTCATGCCTACCCTATCTTCTTGAACGAGCAGCTGGCTCAAGCTCACTACAACGGATTCTCTAGTACGCCACTAAACAAGGCGGAGCCTCTATGGTACTTACTGGCATGACAGATTCAGTGTTATGGCCCCTGCTGCATCGAATGCCTGAAAAGGTACGTGCAGAAGAAAGCTGGCCAATGGCGTATCGAGAGGTCAATGAGATATTCGCAGACAACATTGTGCCTATGGTCGAGGATGACGATCTCATCTGGGTTCACGATTATCACCTGCTTCTTCTCCCAGGTATACTGCGTGAACGCCTGGCCAAAAAGAAGAATGTCAAGATAGGTTCCTTCTTGCACACGCCGTTCCCTACAGACGACTTCTTCACTATCTTACCCCTCCGTGAGGAGATTTGTCGCAGCTTCTTGTTATGTGACGTGGTTGGTTTTCATACACAGGAGTACGCTCAAGATTTCCTGGACAGTGCTTCAATTGTCCTCGAGTAAGTGCTGTCACCTTGTTGGGACATGTGATGACTGATGTGGTTCGTAGTGGTGTCTCAAGATCCCCATCCGACTTGCACTGGGGCGGTAGAAAAGTGATTGTCCATGGCTTTCCCATTGGAATAGAGCCCGAGGACTTCCGGCAGCGCATGGAGAGCGAATGCGTCAAACGAGAGCTTGCGAATTTAAAAGACAGCTTCAAGGGACAGAAGATCATTCTTGGAGTCGACCGTTTGGACTACATCAAGGGGATAACACAAAAATTGATGGCCTTTGATAGGTTTTTGACCGAACGTCCAGATTGGGTGGACAAAGTATGCCTGATCCAGCTGGCCATTCCGACTCGCGCGGAAGTGGACACCTATAAGAAATTGCGAGAGGAGGTCGAAGCTCTCGTAGGTCACGTCAATGGAAAGCACGGTAAGTTAAGCATATATTGATGTTCCTCTGCAACACTGATCTTAACGGTATTTTCAGGAACATTTTCAAGCACGCCAATCCACTATTTTTATCGCTCTATTAAACCAGAGCAACTCTGTTCCTTGTATGCTGCTGCCGACGTATGCATCATTTCCTCGATCCGAGACGGCCTCAACATGGTGAGCTATGAATATGTCGCCTGTCAAAACCAGGACACGGCCGGAGTTCTACTGATGTCCTACTACGCCGGTGCTGTGAAGACACTTCCGTCCACAGTGGTAGTTAATCCATGGGACATTCCACGGTTCTCGAATACTATTGAGGATGCTCTAGAGATGAGCGCAGAAGAACGAAGGAGACGTTATAGGCAGAATGTAGATATTGTGGATCGATGCACCAGGTAAGCTTATCGAAAACGATTTGATTCTGGCATGCTGATAACATCAAGTGTTCGTTGGGGCACCATGTTCCTCAATACCCTGTACAAGGGCCGCGTCCCCGAGCCAGAGGAGCTACCGGATGCAACTGAGCAGATCAAGGAAACGGACAACCGCACCATAAGGACTGCCCATATATTACAGGAGAGATCCCGGAGTCGGGAAGCTTCTCAATCATCGACTGTGGCATCGGATTCCGGACTTTCTGCAGTCTAAGCTACGTTGAGAGACCAGGTTATTCTCACTCAAGGGACATTTGGATCAATGGGATCTGTGGGCAAAATGCTATTTGAGCAAGTTCCAATAAAGTACTATGAATCAAGCAGTGCTTATTTTTCAAGCTGATGGCTCACCGCAGACTTGTTTGTGGTTATCAATAAATGTTTGCATAGTCCATGAACCGCCATCAACATATGAAAAATCACTCTGTCCTCCCGATTGTGACTGTTCTTGCTCATCAACTCGGTCAACAGCAGCTATTTCTTGGTAGTGTGTCCATTGGGGGCAGTGTATGTGGAGGACCCGGAGCCAGTGTTGTGGTAGGTGCTGCCATTACCGTTGGAGTAGTAGTAGGATCCATCTGCAGATGGTCAGCGTGGTGTCGTCACGATCGCTAAACAGCGTGAGGAGACAGGGAAAGTTACCGCTGTTGGAATAGTGGTATGCAGACCCTCCTGGTTGCGAGCGGGTATCGTAATTGTTCCCCTGTTCAGATTGTGGTCAGTACAGGGCCTGGGGAACTGGAGTAATAGGCGACATGCCTGGCTGTTGGTACCCCTGCTGCTGATGGTGTAAGGGGTATAGGAGTTGGATCCTGATTTGCCTGACATCTTGATACAATATATGTGAGACGTTTGAGAACTTGGGGAGATGTCGTCGATTGGATAGCGACAGGAGCCTTGAGCCAAAGTTGTATGCGTAGAAGATTGCAGGATAAACCAAGGTGATCTAGAGGGGAGATTCAAGTAGAGGGCGAGGCGGCTAGGTGCACCTTACTGTAAATGACTGTTTTGTGGTATGAGACGGTATCACTGTGCTAAGCTGTTTAGGTATCTACAGTAGGTAACTAAGGAGGGTAGCCTCGCGGGGCAATTGTAGAGAAGTGTCACAGCCTTGCGCAGCCTTGCGCCGGTAGAGATACTTGAGGCCATTAGACAGGAAAGATAGCCGAGCTCGCCATGTGGCAGGCCTGAAGTCAATCTCCATCACATCTCTCGACACGAACATGTGTCTCATTCCTTTCTTTCTTGTTGAAACACTTTTTACACCTGGTAAAATCCACAGGCAAAGGCTCTTAATTTCCGATACTCGACCTAGAGCAGTTGCTATCAACCAGACAGACGAGCACCGCCCCATGTGCCGTTTGCGTCTATTCTGGACATTGCCTCATGATTGCCTTGCTCAACACATCATTGGTTTGGGGTGTTATGGCACCTCATGGCTGCGGAACTAATAACTCACGTGTCACTTTTAGAGGAATTTTACGCCTGCCACGCCTTTGAGAATATATTTCCGTGGCGGTGGGTGCCCGACAGTGTACAAGGCTATGCTGTCCCGAACTCTGTGGATCTGTCTTCAACAAAGAGATCATGAGGAACATTGCCGCACGGTGTTTCTCGATATGCCCACCCAGGCTGTGCAGTTGTTACTATGAAAGTAGCCTTGCTCTCGACATAACGAAAGTAGCTGCAGCTGCCTTGTCTTCGGGGAGCGCGCCCCAACGTTGCCTTGCAACAAATTTCCCACCGGCGCGGTCTTACTACGACCCAGATGTCTGTTGCAACCCTGTGGTGTCCCGTGGTGTCGGTTCCATGCGGAACCGAGGCTTTCACTCAATCGGATGCCTTTGAATCTTCAATAGTCACCAGGTTTTAGTGTCCAGCTGTTTCAGCCTCGGGTCTCCAGTTGTGATTCACCTTTGTGCTCTCATCTATAAACTTGTCGCATATACGATCAATCGAGTCTGGAAACGACTGACATGACATGTGGGCCAACTGTGGACCTTGATGCCTCCCTGGGTCCATGGCCATGAGCAGTAGTGGCTCAGTTGCACCCTGGACAGACTCCGTTCCCCCTTCTCGGTGGCCTGTTTACGAACCCAAGAGTTTATCTACTCTATAATTTCCTGGTGGAGCCAGTCAATGAAGGCTTGCCGTGGACAGTCCAATTCACCTATTATGGCTCAAAGTGCACGAAACAAGTTCCTGTTGGCTCTGGGTGAACTAATCGACATCTTTCCAGGCGCAAATTGCTCGATGTCGACATGGGGGGAGTCCGACATAGCCCTTGCTATGTTCGAGCCTTCCACGAGCTCTCATAATTCTCTCGTCGAAAAAGTGAGATTGTTGGTAGGTCCGCATACAGATAAAAGGCGGTTACTCTCTGGACGTAGTTCTGTTCTGACTTTGCTTTCTTCATTTCCCTACAACCGACTACTACTTCTCATTACAATTTCTAGGAACATCATTACTGTACCAATCATGTGGTAAGCAAGAGGACATGTACCAGGGGAAAACTGCTGACGTTGCTTGTGGTCGCCAATTCGATGTCTGGCATAAGCCTGTCGAGAACGTCCTCATGGATGTTAACACTCAAGACACCAGCACGCACAGCCATGTGCAAGGCACCGAACATGATTCAGAAAAACTAGTCATCGGTTCAGATAGCCCAGGCTTTCTTACCGGTGAAGTGTCCGATGCCGACTCTGTCTGGTATTGTTGCAACTGTGCGACAGGGCCATACAATCCATCTACCGACAAGTATTGCCCAGACTGCCATAAAAAACGTTGCGATCACTGTCGAACTGAAACAAGGAAGCCAAAGAAGCGGACTCACCTTCACTATTGTTGAAGGTGGAGCTACGAGAAGAGGGGAGATCAAGCGTGGAGAGGCTAGTGGCAGTCTATGTAGGAGACCGAGAGTTGGGTTCGTCGGGGCGCTGGTGCGTGGAGACGACAGGGATTCAGAGTGTTTACGCTTTGGGTGGGCTTCTGCGAATCTGGTAATGGGGCGTCATTGTCGACTGGTTTCGATCAATGCATGGCGTGATTTTGTTGTACTTCTGAAGCCAAGTGGACTTCTATCGTTAGTAACTCAACTAATCATGACTTCATCCACAGAACTCGGCACCTCAAAAGTACAATCGATGGTGCGTTTTGGTTATAGTACGAGCTGCATGACATGGAACTAGGTTCAGGCTTACTGAGTCCAGGGAGGCAATCTACTGTAGTAAAATCACTCTACTCTGCAAGGCTGCCCTATCAGGCTGGCTGCCACGTAGTAAATGGTGAAGATGTCTGAGCGCTAGACAGCCTCAATCCACTGCCAAAGGCCACTTGAAGAGCATCAAGGCATTCCAGGCTGTGCCGAGCTAACCACGTCTCAGTATGACTTGAGACTGGGTGACTAACGATTACATGCAATATTGAATAGTGCCTCCCAAGGCGGAATTTTGATTGCAGGTTCAATGCCTGGTAGTTTTGTATGTCCGGAACTGCAACAACGTTTGTCCCGGGAAGCGCCAAGACTCGCGAGGCAGGAAGGCGCGCAGCTGTTGCCTGGACTGACTTACGAAGAAACATCACAAGGCAATCTATGTACACATTTGGCGCATCAGCACAATTCACTCATGTGCCCACGGAGACGGCGGAAACAAAATTACCCATGTCCTCGCACTGCCCAATGACATCTCAGGGTCTCTAAGGTCCCCTTTGCGCAATACGATGCAATACCGGAGATGTTCAGCGTTGCCGACGTGCCGATGATGATATTGACACACACGGCTTATTCATTCTGTTCTTTGTTGGATTCAGAACCGAATTCTGACTCAAATGTGCCGTCGAACAGGTGTTCCGGAGTGCGTCTGGTTCTGGCAACTGTTCACTCCCGTCAGAGCGATGGATGAACAAATTATTGATACGCAACCGTTGATATGGCTAGCAACAACTTCAGGCTATGTTGCCATGTTGCATGTATCCTTTTCATTCTCCATGATGACTCTTCTTGGCCGTTTCGAACACTGCCACACTCATCCGCTAGCAGCATGTGACGAGTTTTCGCATTCATGGGACCTCAGAAACTCAACATGAAACTGACGCCATTCAGTTATCCTCATCAATCGCTGATCACTGGACGATTCCGTGGAACATTCTGCTTCAGGCTTCTTTCATGTTGCTCTCTCGAGAAATATTACGTGGACTGAAACATATCAGGCAAACAAAGCGAAAGAGGCGGAATGGCTCAAAGAGCCCCCTAAACGCCTTCACTGAGACGCACCTTGAAGGCTATGCGGATCTCCAGTGCACTTGCCAGGTGGGCATCGCTCAGCTTCTACTGGTCCATCGCGTGCATCTCGTCGGCAACCCCTAAAGTTTCTCGTCCAAAACCTCTCCGGGACCATGATCTAATGCTGTATGGTCAATTTGCGGTTGGTCAGACAAAATGATCGCACCTTAGTATTTCAAGCCTGCTGTCAATATCGATTGGCCATCTCTACCGTGAGGCACAGCCCATTCTCCGCCAGCACGACGGTTTCGAATGCCTGGGACCAATGACGATATGTTACTTCTTACCTTGCATGTTCCTATCATGGCTTGCTTGCCCTGTGTTTTGTTGCAGTTGAGACAACCAGCTTTACGCTTCACTTTGATCAAAGGTGTCGTCGCCTCATTTCTGGACTGACGCGAGGCATATTCGCCATGGCTGTGAGAATGATGTTTGAGCAAAGAGGTAAGACTATGATCCGAAGTCTACAATCGTTACTCCTTCCAGGAGAGCCCTCTAAGGTTCACAAGACACAAGGAATTTCCCCCTAGTTCTCTGTGCCTTCAGACCAGGAACCGGCCCCCAAAACGCTTGGAAATGCTGCAACTGTCAAGAGTGCAATCTCAACCTCGAAAATCACTGCCCCTTATGCGACCATGAGCGGTGCACTATCGGGTGCAAGGACGTACACCTCAAGCAAAGGAGTCCATCAAGAAGAGAGGATCGTCGGCCTCCCAGAAGATCCCATTAGGAAAAGACGTCCTTAGTATGCTACCTGCTGAACCTTGACTTTCCGTCCGTCGAAGTTACTAACGAGGGGACTCTTTCAGATCACCGCATGGAAGAATAGTGAGCTGAGGCAGAATGGCAATGGGGGTATACTCAGTCACCCTTGGCGGCATCAAACAGACTGCATCATCGTTCAGTCTATCTATAGCAGAAATGGATTTGGA